CCCCCCAATGCAGCGGTCCAACAAAGAATCGGCACGCAGTCGAAGCTTCGCTCAAGCTCCCCCTTTGTTGCACTGCGCCCAGGAACATCAACAATCCGTCTACATTCGCCGCCCTTTCAATCTGCACGTCCCAACGCCCCACCCTGTCAACTTTATTTCCCTTTGTGTCGAGCTCGAGACCAACGCCAAGGCTTTTGCCCACATGGCAATGCACCGAAGCCGCACCTCATCAAGTCCCTTTCATCCCACATCGCCGCCACAATCAACAAAGCTTGCTGCATTCGACACGCGGCGCAAACAGACTCTCAGACCCAACCATCTTGCTCATTCGCGCAAACATCTGCCAAGTTCAAGTGTGTATTGTCCGAGAGGAGAGTGGCCAGCTTAATAAACAAAAAAGGGAACGTCTCAGGCGACGCACCGCACACGGTGCGGCGCCAAGACGCCTGCTAAAAGCGAATGTGAACAGTAAACCGACGATGCAAAGAGCGTTGAACGAGCGAAACAGATCGGGACGTTGCGGTCTTCCATCGAGAAACGTCGAGAGAATATTAGAGCGGAGGTGTCGAGGGATGATCGGGAGCCCCTCGGCTTTTCTGGACCCAAGCTGTTGGCATCCGAGCAACGACTTTAACGAGCACGGCCGTAGCCGCCCGAGCCCTGCCTGTCGTGGTACTGGCCGCCCTGCTGCTGGTATTGCTGCGGGTACTGCTGCTGCTGCTGGTGGTACTGCTGCTGGTAGGAACGTGGTGGGTAGTCGTCGTAACTCTGACCGCCGTACCTGTTGCCCTCCTCGTAGTACGCGCCTGCGTCGCCATCGTGGTGCTCGGCCCAACCCTGCTGGTAGCCGCCCTGGGAGCTGCCGCGGCCCTGCGGCTCGTAGCCGAGCGGGCTCTGGGCGTAGCCGCCACGGCTGCCGCTGCGTGGGTGGTCGTAGTAGCCTCCGAGCGCCTCCTTGCTCTCGATGACGCTGCCCTGGTCGTGCATGCGGTAGCTTTCAAACGTGTTGGAGCTGTCCATCCTGCGTCCGCCGAAGCGGCCGCCGTTGACGGAGCCGACAGGAGTGTCGACACGCTTGTACTCGGGACCCGAGCCGACGTCGCGGCTGGTCCAAGGCGCGGCCGACTGTCGCGCCGCAGCCTTCTCGCCTCGCGAGTTCTTGCCCTTGCGCCTCCACAGGCAGATGCCGATAGCGATGAGCGCCAGCACGGCGGCGCCAGCGACGGCGATGCCGATGATCTTGCCAAGGCCAAAGCTGGACGACGAGTCGCCCGCCCTGGTGATGGTGGCAGTGTACTTGGTGCTGTTGACGGCTGCCGGGAGCGACACCAGAGCCGATCCGAGCGTGGGCGTGAAGGGGACGTTACCGGTGCCCGTGGCGCTGGTGCCGACCATGATCATCTTGCCGTTGCTGGGCACGCCTGCCACCGTAACAAAGAAGAGCGCGGGGCCAGGCACAACAAGGCGGTTCATGGCCTTGGTGTTGGGCAGAGGGTTGACCATGTAGGTGACCGATGCGTCGTCGTTGACGGTGTAGGTGTAGTCGAGGTAGACGGCTCGCTGACCCATGTTCATGGCGTGCGTGGAGAAGCCGGGACGGATGATGGCAAACTTGGTGTTGGCAGCCTTGGCGTTGGCCGACGAACCCATGAAAGAACCATCGACGGTGATGTTGAAGGGGCTGCCACCGTACTGGATAGAGGTGGGCATGCCCTGAGGCGAAGGCTTCGGCTGTCCCCAGTAGGGAGGGTACCATTTCTCGATCTCGTAGGTGGTGTTGAAGGCCTGGGGCGTAGTGCCGGTGGGCATGTTGAGCGTGACGTCCTGGTGCGGGTTCGAGCCGGCGACCATGACCGAGCCATCGGGCAGCAGCACGGCACTCGAGTGGTAGAGTCGGGCGATGGTGGAAGCGCCAAAGCCAGCGTTGGAGAGACGCTTTCCTTGCGGCTTGGACGGGTCGTAGAGGACGGGCACGTACGTAGGATCCTGCGCGAGACCTTCGGTGTTGATGGCCTGGCCGTTGTACTGGGCGCTGTTGTAGGTGGCGTTGGTGTAGCCGGCGGTACCCTTCTCGGCGCCGTTGAGGATGACCATGGTACCATCGGGCAGATGAATGAATTGACCCATGGTGCGGCCCTGTGGCAGGTCCTCCTCCTTGACGTACTGGGCAGCGGTGTTCTGGTTGCCCTGGCTGTCTTCGGGAGTGATGGAGGAGCAGTCGGTGGAGGCCGTGATGCCGAGAATGTCGCCGCCGGGGCCACCGTAGTTGCCCCAGAGCGTGTCGCTCATGACACTGCCACCACAAAAGAGGATGGTGGGCGTGTACTTGTTCTGAGGCGTGAGCGGCAGCATGGCGACGGCAGCCGAGGCCGGGTAGACGCGGATGACCCGGCCAGGCATGTCGGGAAGATAGGTCTCGTTGTTGTTGACGTGATCCCAGAGGACCGTGCTGAAGTTGGCCTGCATGAAGATCTTGCCAGAGGGCATGAGGTAGGTGTGCGGGTACATGTTGAGACCGGACGTGTTGCCCATGAACTGCGAGACCGTCTGGTTGCCCTTGGAAGGAAAGTACTCGTAGGTGGGATTGGAACCGCCTCCCTGGTAGAAAGGATCGAGGTTGGGGGTGTTTCGGTTGATATAACCACCTCCGACGGCGCCTCCGATGAAGAGGACGCTGCCGTCCTCGAGCACCTCGATACCAGGATACCATCGGGCGGACTGGAGCATGTTGACCTGGGCGGTGGATGTGCTGGGCGAGTCGATCCACGTCTTGGAGCCGGGCTCGAGCAGACGGATGGCGCGGGTGCCATCGTAGTCCGTGTAAGGGCCTGCGTCAGGGCTGACGTTTGGCAAAAGGGCCGCGCCACCGTAGCCGACAGCCTGGTTGCCACCAGCGACGACCCAGGTTCCGTTGCCGAGCGTGGCACCTGATGCGCAGAAGGTGTTGGTGGTCACCGAGACACCGGTAACCGAGTTGTCGGAGAGGTCAAAGAACGAGCCCCAGACCGGGCGGCCGTCGGCCAAGCGCTGCGAGTTGTTTTCGGCCTTGTCAAGGATGAAGACGTTCTGCTCGTCCATGAGACCGAGCATCATGGCCGATGCGAGCGAGTTGGTGTTGACCACCTCGTAGGAGCCGGCCTTGGCGGCGGCTGCGCCACGCGCGGAGATGGCGAGGGCGGTGGTGGCCAAGGCTGCGGCCCTCTTGGCGAGCCTCGACGAGGGAGATGGACGCGCCATGACGAATCAAGTCGGGATGCTGTCGCAATCCAGCAACGAGCGAGAAAAGGGCGAAGATGGATGGAGTCTGATCCCGAAACGAAGCGACGCTGGTGAAGATCCAGAAGCGAGAACTCTAGAGGAGGTCTAGAGGAGGGGGCGAGCGAGGTCCGCGAGTCAGCCTCTCTGAACAGCGAGATGAGATAGGCGTGTTCGGATGCTGAGCCGATAGATGCGGAAGAGGGGAGGGATGGATGGATGGAGGGGAGTATGGTTGAAGGAGAGAAAGAGCGTGGGATTGAGTGGTGCGAGGAACGACAGGCAATCGGCGGGGTCCGATGAGGCGAGCAGAGCGGTTTTAGGGTGCGAGAGGTGCGAGCGTGTGTGGAATAGTCGAGACGAACGAGGCGAAGGGCCTTGCTGGCCGCGGGTGATGCAGGCTGCGTGTGTTTGGAAGCGCTGCTGTGCACGGCACCGTGGGGCGGCAGGGAGGTGCAGTTGGCGGCGTGGGCTCGGCCAGCAGAGCCAAATGACTGGTTAGGGGGTCGGGCAGGGCAGGGCAGGGCAGAAAGAGCGTGGGATTGAGTGGTGCGAGGAACGACAGGCAATCGGCGGGGTCCGATGAGGCGAGCAGAGCGGTTTTAGGGTGCGAGAGGTGCGAGCGTGTGTGGAATAGTCGAGACGAACGAGGCGAAGGGCCTTGCTGGCCGCGGGTGATGCAGGCTGCGTGTGTTTGGAAGCGCTGCTGTGCACGGCACCGTGGGGCGGCAGGGAGGTGCAGTTGGCGGCGTGGGCTCGGCCAGCAGAGCCAAATGACTGGTTAGGGGGTCGGGCAGGGCAGGGCAGGGCAGGGCAAGGCAAGGCAGGGCAAGGGCAAGAGCAAGGGCAGCTTCGGAGTGGCGTGGGCGTGGCGTGAGATTGAGACGGCACACGCACCCACAGCAAGGCCTCAACACGTTGGTCTCAGCTGGCGCACGCCAGCTGCCTGGCGCACAAAGGCCTGCACTGCAGCGCGCTGCATACCGCGCCCGAAAAAAAAGGAAAGGAAAAAGCCCACTCTCAATCAGTCGGCCGACGAGCCGACCAGCGGCACTGGCACATCGCGTGCCGCCGCTTTTTTGCTTCCTATTTTTATTTATTTTTTGCTAAGCACGGGCAACCACATTTCAGAAGGGTCGTGCCCGGCAAGCTGGAATTTTTTCAGACGAAATCATGGATATTCGAGATCGACGGCGTGTTCGAACCTCGGCAGGCCTCCGCTCTGCGAACTGGCGGCTCGGCACGACAGGGGCCACGGCGATGCCCCTCGAATAGATTTCAAAATGGGAAAAATGGCAGGTGTGGATGTGATTTCAGGTGCCTGCATCTCGACGGCGCATTTCGAATTTCAGGTCCGACTGCAGCGAGCGGGCGAGCTCTGCTGGCCGCCTGCAAGCGCTGCCAGCTGTGTTTGTTGGTGGTCACAGCTGGTGGCTCCTGTCGCGGTGCCCCCTCTCCAACTTCTCCTTCTCCGATCTGTTTCAGACCTCCAAAGATGTCGGAGCGACCCGATTGAGCCTGCTTTGGTGGATGCGCTTGAATCTGCGACAAGTGCCGAGACTTGCTGCTGTATTCTTTTTTTTTTTTTGGCTCGACTTGACCTGCCTGCCCTTTGATTCCAATGGAGTCGCGTCGGAGGGTTGCCGCTGTCGTCGACGCAACTCCGAGCACCGACGCGCGATGTTTTCCGCAGCAGCTGCACCAACCGGCTGTGAAGCGTGACAGCGTCGTCGGCTCATCCGCTAGGCTGTCAGCCGCTCTGAGACTGGCGTGCACATCACATTTGCTTGCCGCGCGTGCAGGCCATGTCGAGCACTGGTACGGAATCGCCAGGAGCCTCGTCCAGCTTGCTGTCATCGCGCGTCAAGCGATCTTGCAAAGCAGAGAGGATCTGCACAGGGATGCCGACGCACTCGTAATTCTCGGCGACAGCGGCAATTCCGCACATCCGTATCAGTCGTCTTTTCCCCCTTCGTGCCTGTGGCTGGCGTGCAGTCTGCTTCGGAGCGCCGATGCTGCCTCTCGGCGCAGACAGGATCTTCCGGCCGTGCCATCTGCCGTTCCGAGCCGACTTCGGCTTGTGACTGGTCGGTGGTGGGCGATTTGCATTGCAGAGGCAAGCCCCCCATGTACCAGCCCGTGCCTCGCAGCCAATTTTTAGCCACCGCGAGCCGCAAAGGCTTGGCAGGCATTTTAGGCCGATGCAGAGGGCCCGCGTATCACCTTGCTTGACACTGTGCGCCCGAGGTGACCCTTGAGACACCGGAAGCGATCCTCGAGGTCGCCAATCGCATGCTCCAGGCGCACTCGCACTTTGAACATATTGCCACTGCTTCCTGATATCATGGCACGAGGGTGCGCAAAGAATGAGGCAAGATTGTGACAGCTACGTTGAGCTTGTAGATGCTCTGGACGCTGCAGTAGCCTTCTGAAGTGACAACGGCTTTCCCACGCTCGAGAAGCTTGTCGTTCATCTTCCGAGGTCAAGGGAACAAGCGCATGCGCATCCTCATCGAGTCTCTCGACGCTCATCCTTGTCCAATTGACCAACGGTCCCTCCGGACAGCCGCATCACAGCGACACTTCCCCAACTCGCACTCGATCCCGACTCTTTCTGCAGCCAATGCCATTCTTTGATGCTAGTAGCTACTTTGTCGATGATCACTGGCGTCGAAGCCATCGGACGGCGCGCTTGTCGTGCTTGACGAGCGGCATGAGCGTGTTGCGCACGTCAGCATTGTGCTGCTTGAGCCAGCGCGACTCGGCGTACGAGAGCAGGCTGTGGTCGACAAGGTTGGTGGCGATGGGCACCTGTGTGACGCGCTCAAAGCCGTACCAAGCCACACCGCCGTAGCCACGGTGGGTGTGGACGCGTTTGACGGCGAGGAGCGACTCGGTGCGAATGCCAAAGTGGCCCTCCTCGTAAAAGCCCGGCTCGTTGGTGAGCACCATGTTCTCCTCGAGCGGCACTGGCTTTTTGGATCCACCGCTCATGGTCGAGAAGCCCTGCGGACCCTCGTGCACGTCGAGGAACGAGCCGATGCCGTGACCGGTGCCGTGGAGGTAGTCGTATCCGTCCTGCCACAGCGCGTGGCGTGCGATGGGGTCGAGCTGAACGCCGGTCGTGCCCGCGGGGAACGTTGCCTCGCTGAGCCGAATGTGGCCCTGCAGCACGCGCGTGTAGGCGCGCTTCTGCTCGGCGCTTGGACGGCCAAAGTGCACGGTGCGCGTGCAGTCGATGGTGCCGTCGTGGTACTGTCCACCCGAGTCGTTGAGGTAGGGCGTCTCGCGGTCGATCACACGGCTGCCCTTTTCGGGCGTCTCGTAGTGCGGAAGCGCCGCGTTGGGCCCTGACGCAGAGATTGCGTCGTAGCTATCACCAGCCGAGAGCGGCAACTCGCTGCGCAGCTCGGCGAACTTGACCGCAGCCTCCCACTCGTCGACGTGCGCGCGCTTCACCTTGACCTGCTCCTCGAGCCATGCCGCCCAACGCACCCACGCGGCACCATCGCGGATGTGCGCGGCGCGGAAGCCGTCCAGCTCGACGCTATTCTTCACCGCCTTGCGCAGCGCAAGAGGCGACGGGCTGAGGATGTCGACCTTGTCGTCACCGACCGCGTTGGCGACGGCGTAAGACAGCTTCTCGCCCGAAACGAGCTTGCGCCCATCGCTGCACTCGCCAGCCCAGCGGCCAAGGTGGTCCCAGATGGCATCGTATGGCTGCACCTTGAGACCGAGCGTGTCGCGCACGTAGCGGTCAGCGCCACTGGCCTCGGTCAGCAGCTCGCCGCGAATGAAGAGAACCGCCTCGTCTGCCGACACGAGCACGTAGGCAGGGAAGACAGGATGACAGGGGATCGATGCTCCACGCAGGTTGAGCACCCACGCCACCTCGTCCAGTGCCGACACGAGGTACGCCGAGCCCGCCGGCTTGGCCTCGAGGTCCTTGCGCACGTCGGCGAGCTTGGCGGTGGCGGGCTTGCCGGCGTACTTGAGCTCGTGCTCGTACACGGGCGATGCCGACGGCTTGGGTCGGTCGTCACCCCACGCCTCATCGACGAGGTTTCGCGAGGGGAAAACCACAGCTGCGCCTGCATCCTTGAGCGTGTCGATGAGCGCCTTGCCGGACGCGTAGCTGATGAGGGCAGGGTCCATGCCGACCTTGACGCCGTCGTGCGCCTGGGCAGCGAGCCAGGCGGGCCAATCGAGCACGCCGGCACGCCCGACCTTGTGCAGCGTCCAGTTGTCGTCGAGCTGTTCGGCGGCCTGGACATGGTAGCGACCATCGGCGAAGAGGTGCGCCGAGTCGCGCGCCACGATCGCCGTACCGGCAGAGCCAGTGAACGCCGAGATCCACACACGGCGCTGGTCCGAGGGCGCCGTGTACTCGGTGGCGTGGGCATCGTCGGTGGGGACGAGGTAGAGATCCACGTCCTCCTCATCCATGAGCTTGCGCAGAGCCGCAAGACGTCCGCCCGTCACATCCGGCTTGCCCTCGAGCTTGGTGGATTTGTCCGATGCCGGGTTGGGTTCGACCAGGGTGCGCTCGCTCCGCACCGAAGCGACGTCGCTCGACTTGGCCTTGCTGAAGAAGCCAAAACAGCCCATATCGATTAGCTGTACGAGTGCAAAGTGCGTATGACGGGTTGATGGTGGTCGAGAGATAAGCMCGCCCCCCCCCCCCCCTTGCAAACGGTGTCTCACTGTCTGTGCGGTCGGAGCTTCAGGGTCCGAGCGGCGACCTTGAATCAGACGCGTGCATTGCTCAGCTGCCATAGATTGCCGATCCGACCGACCCCGCCGGTCTGGTCAACCAAAAAAAAAATCCGACAATGTCAGATCGACCTTTCGGTCTTCGCGCAAAAAATCGGTTTCTTTTTTCAGCTCAGCCTTCTGGACCCGGCTGCTGTCGCCGCTGCTGTCAACTGGCGGGGGAATGTGGAGTAAAAGCGAAATTTGCAGCCGGAGCTCCAAGGTCTGACCCAACCGCCGTATCGGCACACCTCCTTCTGTTTAGCCATCTACTCCGTCTCCCTTCGCGATCCCATCGGACGACAGCCTGGCAACATGAGGTAACAAGGTCGATCCTTCCCTGTGCATCGGTATATTCTCAGAAAGGCTACGCGTCAGGATGTTCAAAGCAGCAAGCACGTCCAGGCTCGGCGCAGCCATCAACGCCCGCCTCGCTCAGGCTGGATCGAAGACAAAGACGGCGGCTGCAGTCTCCGCAACCCAATCACAACTGCGTCTAAAGACCGATGCAGGGAATCCAGCAGCACGAGAAAGCTACCTGGCCGTACGAGCTTACTTTACACGCCTCGAGCAGTCTCACGAAGTTCCGCTCGCGCACAACAAGCCAAGGCCGTCTCCTCTGGCATGCCCCTCTTCGCTTCAACGCACAGGATCGGGCACCATCACTCAGCAAGCTAGAGCCTTCCATGTAGCCAGGGTCACATCCAAGGATGCCGATCAACGCTCAGCACCTGGCCAATCAAAGTCGACAGCCAGCCCGGAATCATCCGCGCCTTCGAAGAAGACGCCCTCCAAAGATGCGCACTCGCCTCGCTCCACAGAGCAGCCCCAAGATCCTCCGCCTCCAGGCGCACCTACTCCTACAACCACATCTACCGAGCTCACCACCGCAGAACGCGCGTACCACCACTTTGCCAACTATCCGCGCTCGCTGCAACGTCTCGCTCTCAGCGCTGTACGCACCTCTCCCGCTCGACCCGCCTCGAGCTCCGAACCCTCATCTCACGAGCATCACCGCCTTCGTCCGTCCAAAGAGGATCTGCTACGCATCGCACAGGGATTCTGGACTCGCCTGCGCATCCGCTTCAAGTGGTTCACCATCCGCGGCTTCCGCCGCTTCAACGCCGACGACATCAGCGCCTTCTTCACGCTCGGCGGCTTCACCACCGCCATCTTCATCATCGTCGGCACCACCACCTTCTTCTCGCTCGTGTTCGCCGCGCTCAATGCGCTCAATTTGCAGGAGTGGATCGCACGCAAGATCGCAGACTACCTTACCGCAGAGACGGGCGTCACCGTTGTCTTCGAGAGCGCCATCGTTCCCAAGTGGAAGCAGAGCAAGATCAGCTTCAAGAAGGTCTTTATCTCGCGCCGCGCACACGGCGATGTCGACTCGCTCCTCGAGGAGAGGAGGCAGAAGGCGAACAAGCGCGGCGCAGAGGGCACCAACAAGGTCAAGAGGAGAACCGCAATCACCGCGGGCGACGGCATGGCGTGGGAGGGCACGCATTACGAGGAGGTGGAGGAGGTCGCCCCGCCCATGAGCGACGAGGCGAGGGGAGAGGACCTCGCAGAGGACGACACGGTCAACACCAACTACACCATGTTTGACCTGCAGGTCGACTCGATCGACGTTACGCTCAGCCTGCAGCGCTGGTTCGACGGCAAGGGGCTCGTGGAGGATGCCGAGGTGCGCGGCGTGCGCGGCATCGTCGATCGCCGCAACGTATTCTGGGACCCGGACAGGCCGTACGATCCGGCGGCCGCACGCAGGGCGCCTCAGCACGGTGACTTTGAGCTCGAGTCGCTTGTCGTCGAGGACTTCCTCGTGACCGTGTATCAGCCCAACGACTTCCGGCCGTTCAACTTTAGCATCTTCAGCGCACACATCCCCAAGCTGCGCAAGCAGTGGCTCTTCTACGACCTGCTCAGCGCCGACTCGATCACGGGCCAGGTGGACGGGTGTCTGTTCAGTCTGCACAAGCCGCAGAGCATCGGCCGCACCGTCGAGCAGGACCGCGAGATGATCCACTCCAAGTGGAAGACCATGTCGCGCATGCGCGTCGACGGCGTCAACTTTGACCACATCCAGAACCAGTCGGATCTCACGGGCCCCATCTCGTGGATCCTGTCGGGCAAGTTTGACGTGGTGGCGGACATCAAGTTCCCGCGCGATCTCGACGACGAGGCGGACATCAACACGATCATCAGCGAGGTGCTCGACAACCTCACCGCGGCGCTGTCGGGCGAGCCCAATCGCGACCAGGACGACGCGCCGATTCCAGGCCAGCACCGGCTGAGTGGGCCCGCGATCGAGGCGCCCGTCTCGGCCGTGGGTGCTACGGCCCAACGCGTACGCAAGGAAAACGAAGAGGCACGTCGTCATGGCCGCGATCCCGTGCGTGCCGAGCGCCCGCCGCTTCCCGACGCAGAAGGCAGCGCGGCGGACCAGGCCAAGGCGGCCAACAAGGCGATTCCACCCCCGGCGGTGGTGATCGACATGGACGTGCGCTTCAAAGACATCAAGGCGGCCGTACCGCTGTTCACCACCGACATCAGCTACAGCACCAATGCCTTCGTGCGGCCCATCGTGGCGTTTATGAACGCCAACAAGACGCTCATCCCCATCCGGTGCAGGATTGTCATGGACCTCAGCGAGTTCGACGGATCCCTGGATCTGGCACAGACAGGACTGCTGCCGGTCGTGTCCGAAAAGATCTACGAGGCGCTGGCCAACCACGTCGCCTCGCAGAACGCCTCGAGGGAGAGGCTCAAGAACGTGAGTCTCTGGTCGCTCCAGGTGAGCGCGAATGCGGCGCTCAACCTCGTGACGCTGCTGCGGGACACGATGGCAAGAACCACCAGCACTGCTGCTGCCATCACCACCAAGAGCGCTACTTGAGACAGTCGCACATGTAATGAAGGTCTGTTCACGGGTCCAAGTCGAGAGTGTGGGTGTGGGTGGGCAATTTGAGGACTGATGAGGGGTACGACACGTGAATTCGGATGTCGGAAGACACACGCTCTTCCACACGGGCCTCTTTCTTCCGCACCTGTTGTTTCTTTCGACTGCTCCATCACGCACACACAATTCCGATTGGAAGATGGTAAGCCGCATCTCACCTCGTATCTTTAGCGATGCTGCTGTGATTCTGACTGGTTTGTGCTTTTGATTTGGGCGGGTATAGGTTCGGGGCCACGCGAAGCAAGCCGCGCAGGAGGCGGCCAAGAAGAAGGCGGATGCGCAGAAGGGCGGCAAGTCGCAACTGGGCGAAGCGCGCGCCAAAGGCCTCAAGTTCACCTGCCCCACATGCAAGGCCCAAAGCCCCGTAAGTAGTCGCTGCCCGCTCCCGACCCTGTGGTATTGAATCACTGACCGCTTTTGTGTGCGCGAGTGTAGAACTACAAGGTGCTCAAGGAACACTTTGACAACAAGCATCCCAAGGACACCTGTCCGCCCGAATCCACGTTCACAGCCTAAACTCCCCGCTCACAACACACACACACATCTGCGGACCGGACGATGTTCAAATTCTGGCTTTTAGACAAGCGTCTGGAAGATGGCTGTGAGCAGGTCTGCGGTGCGACGCACTTCGTCGGCGGAGTTGTAGTGGACGAACGAGAGGCGGATCACGCCGTCGGCGAGGTCGAGGCCGAGCGAGGAGACGAGTTTGTGCGCGTACATGTGGCCCTGTTGGGCGCCGATGGCGGAGCGCACGAGCGCTTGGTGGATCGCCTTGCTCGTGCCCACGCGGTGGTTGCCTTGCGCATCGACGAGCACGAACGCGATGGTGGGTGCACGTGCATCCGAACTGGCGTCTTCGGGTCCAACAATCCGCAAGCCCTTATCGGCCCACTTCAACAGCACCGGCATGATCACCTGCAGGAGTGTAGTTTCGTGCGCGGCCACGCGCGCATACGCTGCATCCAACGCATCATCAACCTCGCTCCTACTAAGCGCCGTCAGCTCGCCTTCGGAAGAGGCGCGACCAAAGAGTGCGTTCCAGTCGACCTTTGATGGGACCTGCTTGGCTGTGCCGAGAGAGACGAGGTAGTCGGCCACAGCAGCGATCGAGTAGTTGAGCTCGTACTGCACCGAGCTCGTCTGGAACGGATACATGCCCGGGGGCGCGTGCGGGGTGTGCAGGAAGAAGTGGTTGAGTCGAGCCAACTGGGTCTCCTTCACACGCGGGTCGACGTACATCGCACCCACGTGCGCTCCGTACGTCTTGTACAGGCTGAAGAAAGCTACGTCCACGTCCCAGCTGCGAGGTGTGATGCGACGGTGCGGTGCGAAAGCCACACAGTCGACACACACCAGCGCATCCTTGGCCACTTTGCGCACCACCTGCGTCGCAGACCCGATGTCCGTAAATGCGCCGAGCAGGTTCGAGCACGCTGTAAACGCCACTACGCGCGTGTGGCTCGTCACGAGCGTCTCCAACACCTTGGGATCGAGAGTCACAGCGTACTTGCTCTCGCTGTTCGAGACGCGAGTGACGGGCCAGTGTTTGAGCTTGAGCCCCAGTCGCGTGGCGAGCCGAGTCCAGGCACCGCGGTTGGTCTCGTGGTCCGCATCCGAGATGATGATCTCGTCTCCCTCCTGCCAGGCACCCTCTGCGCCCGCGGCTCGATCGGCCAAGACGCGCGTTTCGAGCATCATGCTCAGACTGAAGACGAGCTGGGTGGCTGACTGGCCAAGCATAACGTCGTCGGGCGATTCGGCGCCCAGCAGTGCAGCCGCCGCACAGGCACCGTGCGAAACGCGCGACTCGGCTCGAGACGCAAGCGCATACGACGCCATCTGCACATTCGTCGTCAACAGGTACGACGAGATCGCCTCGGCCACCGACAAAAGCACCTGACTTCCGCCCGCATTCTCGGCGAAGACTAAACGCAAAAGATCGTCAGCTGTGGGCTCTGCACGAAGGCAGGGTGGGGGGTGGGGACTTTACTGTATCCAGAGGTGGGGCTGGTGGGACTGTCCGCCGCAGCAAGCGCGGGGAACTGAGCCCGAATGGCCGCCAGCTGCTCGTCGCTAAATCCAGACATGGTCCAATACGCTTCGGTCAAGGCTGAGCGGGTGATGGTCGGTTAGAAGGCGCACCCTGGCACTTTGAACAAGAGACTTGTGCACGTCCGTGCGACGCCGAGTCGGATCCAAAGCCTCCGTAAAATGTGCATTACCGCACGCGCGCCCCACCTCCGGCCAATTCGCCGTCCCCCTCCTTCATCCTTCGCTCTTTATGCCTCATCACCCGCATCCGCACATCCGCACACACACGCACAACCGCACATTCGCACACACACCCCACCGCCAAGCCTAGCGTATACACGATATTGCGACACTAGAATCGACATACAACAGCGATCCCGGGCGAGGCTACGAAGGAAAGCGATCTCGAGAAAGGAGGGAAAAGAAAGCGGGAGGGGAAGAAGAACCATTACATCGCTACTCGGTACATGTGACACCAAAAAAACAAATCCTTGGGGCAGCCGACCTGCGCCTTCACCATCGCCTCGCCGGCGGGTTGAGCGGGGGCAGCGTGTTTTTGGGATCGGCAGCGAGGCCGCTCCTGAGGCTCGACGTTTTGCGGTCCAGCTCGTCGTCCGCGCCGCGGTCGCGCGCCGAAGAGATGGGCGGCAACGCGCCGCCGTAGTTGGTCGAACGATCCGAGCTGTACGGATGCTGGTAGCCGGCCGACGCAGGCGCCATCAGCCTGCCCCGAGCGCCGAGGCCAGCACCTGCTGCAGGCGCAGTGGCGGCACCCGCAAGCTTGTCCAGCGCCGATGCAGCAATGCCTTCAGGCACCGAGTAGGCGCTCGAGGTCGGGCTCGACTTGGGGCTCTGCGACGAGCGCGCCGACGGCACCACCGAGACGGGCGCCGAGGCTGCATGTGCCGCCGCGCTGGGGCGCGATGCCGGCAGCGGCGGCGGCAGCGATGATACGCCTCCGCCACGGCTGCTGCTCGTCGAAACGCTGCGGCGATGGTACTCGGCGGGCGAGTCGTACTGCCTCTCGTCGGGCCTGCCCACCGCACCGGCGAGTTCCGGGTCGAGCGACGCCGATCCGATGCGCGGCGCCGGATCGTACACGTCGCGGCGGTGCGGGCTCACGGACACGCCGGTGCGCGCATAGCCAGGCGCAAAGCGCGGGTCCAGATACGCAGGCTGGCTCTGGCTCCACGCCGGAGGCGGCGGCGCAGGCGCACCACCGTACGCGCCATTCATCTCGCGGCCGTAAGGAGCCGGCGGTACCGTCTCGCGGTACCTCGGGTCGTACGCTGCTGCTTGATGCGGCAAGCTCAGTCGGCCCTGCTTGACCATCTGGGCAGACCAGTAGTCGTTGGGCGCTTCGTACGCGGCGGCATCCAGCGGCAAGCCGGGCCCGCCGGGCAGACTCGCCTCGCGCTTGACGCGCTCGTCCATCGACGAGGGCGAGGCGGAGCGCGCATCGTCGTCGAGGCCACGCAGCGATTCGCGGCGCGAGCGCGGCATGCCGACCATGCGTTCGATGGTCTCGCCCTTCTTGCGGCCGTGCTGGTCCTTGACTTCGTGCACGACGGCGATGGCGGTGCCGTCCTCGAGCGCGCGCCTGCCGAGCTCGGCCTTGGCCTCGGCTTCGGCGTCGGCGGCGTCAAGGTCGAGGTGGTCGAGTTCGAGCTGGGCGGCGGCATCGCGTGCCTGGGCCGACTGGCTGGCGCGGCCCTTGGGATGGAGGATGTGGGTGCGGTAGTGCTGGAGGCTGTTGTCCTGGCGCGAGAAGCGCGCCTTGCAGCCGGGGAAGGTGCAGCGGTAGGGCTTCTGACCGGTGTGGATGCGGTTGTGGCGGGCGGCATGGCCGCTGGTGGAGAAGGTCTTGTCGCAGCCCGGGTGCTGGCAAGGGTATCGCTTCTTGCCGCCGATGGTGATGGCGCCGGAGCCACCATCCTTGGAGGTTCGCTTTGGCATGCCTGCGTGAGCGGCGGCGTCGCCGTAGGGCATGCTGCGGTCGTAGGGGTAGGTGCTGTCCGAGCTCGAGCTAGACGAGCGCCTGCTGTAGTCGTTGGGATCGAGGTAGGCGCCCGATCGGTCCCACTGTCCGGGGGGAAAGACGCCGGTGGCCGAGGGAGGCAGCGGCTCGCCCGGGCGCATGCCAATCGCCTGGGGCGACGACGAGATGTGGTTGCCGCGGAGCACCTTGTGCCCCTGCAGTCCACGTGGGGGAAGCGGGTCGCTGAATTCGCCGGGCACTTCGATGCGCGGGAGCCTTACGGGTTCTGCGTACGCCTTGTGCCTGTGGGCACGCGAGTCGTACGAGTAGTCGAGCGAGGTGGGTGGGGAGGTGGAGGCAGTGGAGCGGTCGCCACTGCGTAAGAGCGATTCGGTAGACGAGGAGGTGGAATCGAATGCCGAATGGGACATAATCGAGGGGGAGGGATGATAACGCGGATCGTGATGGTCCGAGAACGACGGATGGGTCTGCTCGGGTTTGATCGCGGACGGAGCACGGTCGTTGAGCAAAGAAACGACGCCTCCAGCGGAAGGTAGGGAGAACGATCCCATAAAGGAGTGAGACGAACGAAGCAAACGCGAGAGTGCGGAGCAAGCTCGAAGACGAAGGGTGCCGAGAAAGGTGGCACGGAGGTAGACAGCGAGAGCGGAAGCTGGACTGCTACGGAACGAGACACGGAAAGCAAGACCTGTCTTCTCGTCGCGGTGCGAGAGATCGTGTATCTGACAGGAGGAGTCGCTCGATTGACTGTTGCGACGGGTGGTGAGCTGAAGTGTACGCGACTAGGGCTGGATCCGAGGATGAGCGTCTAAGCCGAGTAACGGTTGGTGTCGATGGGTGGACTCGATGGCCTAAGTTGACATGTAACTTCCAGGTGAAGAGAGGCGAGGATGGTCGAGATCCAAGGTTGTCGAGAAAAGCAGCAGTGACGGGGGTTTAGACGAAAGCTGCAGATAAGCTGATGATGGCGAGCAAGAGTGCGAGTTGTATGCTGTACGTTGTCGATAAGATGTATCGCTGGTGGAGCGTGCTGGTGCTAGCGGTAACGTATAGATGATGATGGAGGGAGAGGAGGAGCGATGAGCCCCGAACAATGTGCGATGAGCGTAGGGCGGTTGACAATGGGTGAGGCCGCACGCGGGAAGGCAGAATGCAGCAGCAATCGACAACCTGGGTGTGGTCTTGCGGACGGTCGCGAGCTGGCTAACAATAGCAGCGTCTCACGGTTCGGAGCTAGGCGCGGTGACGACGGCGACAGCGAGCAGGCGACTTGAGAAGATGCAGGCGCTGTGCTGTACGGCGTCTTGGGAGGCAGGGCACGCGCAGATGGCCGGCGTCTGTTACTGGCTATGAGCGGTGTCGAGCAACGAGTGGCAGGGTGCAGGTGGAATGAGGTCACGCTGGTCGATAAGGGTTCGCGTGGGTGGGATGGATGCGGGTCGTCAAGAGCGAGCTCGGAGGCCGGAAGGCTGGACGAAGAGGCGATGACGAAAGAGGATGTGCGAGGTTGCTTGGGAAGAAGGGGCGTCCAAGGGTCTGGTGTGTGTGTGTGTGGCTTACGACGCAGCGCGGATCGCTAGAAGGCCGTGGCAGGCAGGAGGATCATTCCTCAGAGGGAGCGAGGGCGAGCCAAAGCAAGAGCAAGAAGAAGCGCGGGAACTGGGTCTGGCCGACTAGACCCTTTGGCACAGGCAAAGGGCAGTGAGCGGACCCAGGCAGGCGAGGGGATGGGGACGAGATGCAGCGCTGGGCGAGGGAGCAAGGGTCATGGAGAGAGGGGGGGAAAGGAGGAGAAGGAAGAAAAAGGAAGGAAAGGGAGTGGGATTGGGAGAGGGCGCGATGACGCTGCGATGATGCAGAGCCCAATCCGAGAGGGAGCGACCGATGTTCTTGACCGAGAGTCGCAAAAGTACGGGAAGAGGGAGGGGGAGAGAGGAAGAGAAAGGGCGAGCAGGGCCTGCCCTTGGGATTGAAGCTGCTGCTGCTGCTGGTGATGATGAGGAGGGCAACGAGGATGATGATGACGATGATGCAGGGCCTCTCTCTCTCTCTGCCCTCCTTCGCCGGACAGGGAGGGTCGCGTCAGGGTCAGCCAGGGTCAGCTCAGGGTCAGCAGCAGCGACAGGCAGGCTGTGGACGCGCTTTCATTCAGGGTTCGCTGGTCGCTGCCAAATTCGGGCATACGAGCAGAGGCTAGCCGAGCGAGAAGAACGCTGAAGAAAAAAAAAAAACCCCAAGCGGGTTCGAATCGACGAGAGGGAGGGAGGAGCGACAGAGAGGCACGCGATGCAGCCTACCTTTTTTCCAGGGCATTTTGGCGCTTGACACTCACCGCTCGCTGGGCGCGGCTCGAGCTCTGATCTTGACAGGGCGATCGGAAGGGGGCGCTCGATTTCCAAAAGACAAAAAGAGAGAAATAAAACCGGGTGTCGATCTACGCTGCTGTTTTGGCGGCCAGCAGCTGACCTGCAATTGCAGGCATCCAAAGTGCATCGTCGATGCTCAAAATCAAAGCGCGCCATCGTCCGCTGCCATCGGCACCAACCGAAAACAAGGCTCGGATCGCACAAGTCTTGCTCTCGTTCCGTCTTCGGACAGTCCGAGACGATAGTGGATGTGCTGTGTGTGCGTGCGTGCGTGCGTGCCTGCGTGTGCAAAAGGCGGATGCAGTCGATTGATTGGTCGCATGCACACCAGCCATGCTTTCAAAGACAAACCCACGGCCCGACTCTCTGCCAGGGTCCTGCTTCTGCTGCCCCAGCCCGGGGAGGTTTGAGCAGCGGGGGTCGGGCTCACCGAGGATTGCCCGCACTGGCGGGTGGGTTAAGGTTTTTTTTTCTCGCTCTCAAGAGTCGGCCGGATTGCGCTCGTCTTTTTCTTCCCGAACCGTAGTGCCGCTGCCAGGGCAAAGCCAAGGTGGCGCTTTTTGATTGGCCATCGCCAACCCCCCGGCTGCCTGCCATAGCGGTGGACCCCTGAACTTGGCGTCGCGTGGGGGCGGAAACGGAGCCACGGAAAAAAAAGCACGCTTGAGCTTGGTCGGATTCGAGACCCCTCCCAACCCAACCCAGGGTCCACTGCGAGACGCATCCGCTTGGCCGGCGTTCGAGCCACAGCTCCGTCGTAAGCCAAGCCGCGGGTCAAACGAGACCTCCTCACGTCGCCCGCGGGCCAGTTCAAGCTGCTACAGGGCTTGATCAGGCGGGCCATTGTTCCGAACATGCTGCCATGGAAGCTTGTCGAAAAGGAAAATTTGCGCTGGGTCGTCCTTCGACCGCGACCCCGACTCTGGCAATCTCACCGGCGTTTCCCTTCAGTGCTCACTCCCTTGCCCTGGCTTGCAACAGCCGAGTCGGCTCCTACGAATACTCCAGTACAGGCTGTTGGCGAAGTGGATGAGGGCGGAGGGGCAGTTGCGGATTGGAAGTATGAAGGCGGAACAAGCTCGGAGCGGATGGCAGCACGAACCCTGGGCTGAACCCTTTGAAACGCACATGCGGCACAACCTAAATCCTAGCCCGCACGCCGCCACCAGCCTCCAACCCGTCGCGAACCCTGATTCGACCCCTCGCTCTCTCGCAGCCCGACCCGACCAATGCCGTTCCATCCCCTCCCTCTCTCTCTCCCTCCTGGATCCGGCTCGACGCTGTGCTTGCAGCTACGACTCTCCGAACAGGACAATCAAATTAGCGTTGCGAGGTCTTCAAGGTCCGATTCATGAAACAAGGTTGCGCTCGAAAGACGGCGTACTGCAAAGCGGGGGCGGGAAGCGGTAGGGTTTGGATTTTGACATCATCCAGCGTCGGATTGGGTGGCAGCGTGGGTACGCATCCCGCACATGCGCACACAAATGCCGAATCCTGAACCTCGTGCCATCTACTTGACCCTTGTTGCTGTGGTGTTGTCCCTTCTGGCTGGAGCATGCTGCGGCGACTTGGAGTGAAACCAGCAGACACGAACGGGGAGAGGGAAAAAAAAAATGGGTGTGGCACGGCGTTTTTTTTTTTCTCAGCTGCTGGAATTTCTCCCGCCGCGGAGCCCGTCGATCGTCACGTCCACTGACCCTAGAGATCGAGCCCAGCATGCCCGAACCCCTACTCAAACGCCTCCCAAGGGTCCATCCACCCAAGCCATCGGATCGCCTTCGTGCATCCCCCCCAAGCCCAATCGAGATTCCAACGCCACGTGATGAACCCCTGCCACCCCGATCCCAACTTCTTCCAACCCTGGGAACGTCCGATTTCATCGAGCTTTAAATCCTGCCCGCCGAAGGCCGCTACAACACCACAGACCCACGTCGGAGAAAAGCGAGCTGTGTCTTTCCACACAGACGCTCTGGTTTTTGACACAGAGGCTGATCCAGAACACCGCAGAGCCTCTAGGCAAGCTCTGTGCCAATGGCAGCTCCCACAGCCTCTGTGTGACCCTCTGCGGTAGTCACACAGATTTGATCATTTTCCGATGTGACCGCACACACTCGAGAGCAGCATCACTTGGAACCATTATCAATCATTGTGTGCGGTGAAGCAAAGACGTACATACAAACAGGCTTTCCTGACAAGCGCTTGTTACTTGAGATGAGACTGAAACCATCGAAACCTTGTGCACGTCGCCGGATCACGGGGTCTAGATGCGCAGCTGCTCGGCATCCTTGTCCTCGAGATCGTAGTTGAGTGCGCCGCCAAAGATGCCTCCGAACAGCGGCGAGTGCAGGGGCGTCTTGCACGCCGACGACGGCAGCATCGCAGTGGCACTCGCGCCATCGTCCTTGGCCGCAGCCCTGCTGGGCATCGACGGCGTGGGGGTCGCATCCAGCTCGGCCTCGGGCAGGAACTGGCTGCTCGTGGGAGGTGCGAGGCTCGGTGCATCGCCCGACTGGAGCAGATCCTTTCCTGGCGCTGCGGGGCCGAACGGAGCTGGCGAGCCGCGCGGCGTGGGTGTGGCATCAGTGATGCGCATCCGCGGGAACGCCGTCGCGGGTGAGTCGCCCTCCTCGTATCCGCCGCCGCTGCCTTCCGGCAGGTTCGACAGCTGCAGCAGTGGCGTCGAGGGCATCGGCGATGCCGACACCGTCCGGCGCTCGTCGCCATCCTGCGGCGAGCCCACCTCGCCATTCTCCTGCGCAGCCAGCAACGCCGCGCGTCGCGCCCGCTTCTCGCGCTTCTCGCGACGCGTGATGCGCCCAGGACCGGCGCTGGTGTTGGAAGCCACACTGGCTGCATCGCCCGCCGCACCGCTGCCGCCCAGACGCATCGCCGCCACCTGGCTGTACGTCGGCGTATGCGCAGTGTACGGGCTCGACGACGGCGGAGGAATCTCGCCGCCGCGCGTCGGGAACAGCACGGGCGAGATGATAAACGAACGTCGTCGACCGGGCGTGCTGTCGCTCGAGCGGCCCGCTTCCAAAGGCTGCTCTACCTCCTGGTGCGGCTGGCGCAGAGGACTGATCGAGAACATCTCGGGATGGCGCACGGCATTCGAGCTCGAGCGGAACGGCGAGTTGGTGCGTCGGCTGCTTCCCGACTGGCCTTGCGAGCGCGTGAGCAGGAACGTCCCCAGCGGCTGTTGATGCTGATGCTGCTGCTGGAACGCGTTTTGAGACGGCACCGGCGCAGCCTGCGAATCGCGGAACGAGCCCATGGGGATCTTGTTCCATCGTGCAAACGCGTTGAGGTTGAGACCAGGTGCAGACGACGACGACTTGCGCGAGGCGCGCATCGACGGGCGTCGCTCCGCGTCCGGCGCTTCCGGCGACGGCGACTTGGAGCCAGCGCCGCGCCAGATCATGCTCGCATCCACCACGTCGTCCAGCTCCATCGGATCCACCTCGGCCACCGGCTCGGGCGACGATGGTGCCAACTCGCTGTACTCGTCCAGCGCCGAGGCAGCGTCGTTGGCCGACGAGAATCGTCGCAGACGCTTGGCAGAGAAGCCCTCGTCCATCAGCGAGCTCCTGCGTCCGGCGCTGCGCTTCTTGGCGAGACCCTTCTTTTCCAGGCTCCTCTTGCCCGAGAACGGAGATGGCGCCTTGCGCGAACCGTCAATCACGGCTCGGTGCACCGACTTGGCCGACGTGGGCATGAAGCTTCCCATCTGAGGCTTGGCCACATTCGTCTGGCGCTGATCCGGTGTCTTGGGTGCCATCATCTTGCCGTCGGCATGCACGGAGCTGCTAGCGGAGCTATCGGTGCCGTCGGCGGGTTGGCCGGCGATCGCAGGCACCTGCACACCAGCCACCATGTCGGCGGCTTCCTGAATCGTGACTCCCAGCGCGGCTGCGGCAGCCCGGAGGGTGCCTTCAGGATCGCGCGCCAGGTCTTCGGTCGAGATGGTGATGCCGACCTCGTTGGCAGCCTGCTCGTCCGATGACACGGGCGAGGCTCCCGATCCGCTGGAATGCTTGCCATTTGCGCTCGAGTCCGACGTCGCCGCGGCGGGGGCGTGTTGCAGCGCCGAAGGCGAAGGCATGTTGCTGCTGGCAGCAGGCGAAAGGCGGCGCGAGTTGGTGGCCATGGCACGCGCACGTCGCGCGTTGCGTCCGCCACGAGGCGCGACGGAGCCGACAAGCAGACGCGGATACGGCATGTCTTCGTCCGGAAGCTCATCCGTGGTGTCGCCGTCGTCGTCGGGCACAGTCAGGAAGCCGGCATGACTGCCGGCGCCAGACCAGAGTCGGTTGCCGCCCTGGTCGAACTCCCAATCGGCGCTGTCGTCGTCGCTGTCGTCGACAAACTCGAACTCGCCGTCCGAGCCAAAGACGGCCTCACCGTCGCCAGCCCTGGCGTAGATGAGACGGCCGTCGAGATCCTCGATGACGAGCAGCGGCATTTCGGGCTTGGGCAGGTCCGAGCCGTCCTCGGCACCTTCCGACGTGGCGACGGTCTGGTCGGCGCTGCCAGTGCCAATGTGGGCGATGAGCGGCGCATCGAGCAGGCCGCCTTCGAGGTCGCTGATGTCTCGGTCTTCGTCCGAGTCGGTGGTGAATTCGTCGTCGTCGTCGCCGATCTCGTTCTGCGTGTCGGGCGCGCCCGTCTCGCTGTCGGTGGAGGTTTCGAAAAAGTCGGTGAAGGAAGGCTCGGAGGACGAGTTGAAAGCCTCTTGCTGTTCGAAGAGCTCATCGTCGATGACGGGGAGGCCGTACATGCGCAGCGTGTCGGGCGACATGGAAAGCAGGTCGGCATCATCGCCATCGTCATCTTGATCGCCGTCTTCGTCGTCGGCTTCGGCGTCATCGCCAGCCTCGCCGGTCTGGCCGTCGCCGTTAGCCCGGCGTATCGCCATGGAGCGAGCGCGGTGCTGCAGATCACCCTTGCTGGCCCAGTTGCGGTCGCCAGCATGGCGCGATCGGTCGGTGGGGTCGCGATGTTGCAAGCGCGCCTTGGCCTTGGATTCGCGGTCGAGGGCGTCCTGGATGATGAAGCGCTCCTCTTCCTCCTCGGTGTCTTCGCCGGAAGCGCCGCTGCCGAGCAGCGACTCGCCATCGCCCGCCTCGGCGAGCTTGCGCTCCATCTCGGTATCCGAGTCCGACTCGAGGTCGTCATCGCTGTCGACGCTCCTTGCCTTGCCCTTGTTCAGGCTCGAATAGGAGGGACCGGCGACGGAAGCATCGTCTTGGGCGTCGTCATCCGAGGGGACGTCGGTGAGGTCCGAGTCGGTGTCGAGCTCGTCGAAGCGCTCCTTGCGAACGCTGGCCTTGCGTTCGCCGCGTGCGCGATCCTTCTTGGTCGAGTAGACCTTGGAGGGCTTCTTTGTGTTTTGGTTTCTGGGTGCCTTTCGGGAGGACATGGCGAGAGTGGGTACGGGCAGTTTGATGCCGGGAAAGTGTTTGGAGCCTAGGTCGTCGTCGTCGTCTGTGGAGCTGGATAGTTCGTTGTCGGACTGAAAAAGGGGACGCGGTGAGCCTCCTACGCTCGAGCCTGAGCGCGAAGGAGGGCCCGACTTAAATGCGCCGGTGCGGGCGTACGGGCTGGTACGGCCGGGCGTGCTCTGCAGCTTTGCCTGCAGGCTCTTGCGGTGGGTGAGGGGATGGACAGAGTCTGCTCGTCTAGCGGAACGTGCTGTTTTGCGAGAAGGTGGTCATCATGCGCAGGAGCCGGAGCACAAGAAGAGTCGGATGCAGTTAGTACAGGCTGCAAAGGGCAAGGCAGTCGAGAGCAGCCGTGCCGAATCCGTGTTCGATTCGCCGCGGCGCCATGCATGCAGCCGGCTTGCGAGAACTTACAGAAATCTGCGCTGAATTGGCGAGACATGAAGCTGGAGTAGGGACGAGCGATGCGGTGCCCGTATGGTGCGAGTAGAGTCGACTGGAAGGTCGGCGAAGGTGAGGACGGTGACGAGTTGAGATCACCACAGCAGCTTCGACGGGGTGCTTTTGCGTTTGGAATGCGGGGTTGAGAGCCGCACGCTCACGCAGAGGCGGGGGGGTGGTGGGAGAGACACGATGTGGTGTCGGCCGTCTACGGTGCAGTTGGATGCACGGGATACGATGACGGTCTGGTATTGTGGTAGAAGAATCCGAGAGTATGCGAAGAGTTGGGCAAGAGCGGAAGGGAGCGGTGGGCGGCACTGAACATGTTCTGATGTAGGAATGGTCAGATGGGTCGTCCCTTGGCTAGCGCTTCTTGAACCCGGGTGGAGTGCAAAGCGTGTGCTAGATGGCGGGGCCAGGCGGTGAGCAGGATGGAATGTCGAAGTAGAGGCGTGGAAGGTTACAGAGAAAAGCCTGGATACGACTTGATTCTCAAGATCGATGGCTGAAGGATGTCGGCGTAGCGAATTGCAGGCCGAACCTGTTGGGCGATACGGTGGTGGTTCGTGCTATCTTTGATAGGTGGTTTGATAGGTGGTTGAAAGCTGTATGTGCTAGTGAGCAACGTGCATCCGATAGCTTGAATATGTAGGCGCGAATGACAAGCTTCGAGGTGGATGCAACAGCGACAGCAGAAGAAGAGGAGGGGAGAGGTTGGTGGGTTGGAGAAGAGGTGTTGGAACTTCCAGAGTCACGGATGGCAACCATCCAAAATCGCAGAACCGGGAGCCCAGGCGCGCATCGCAGCAGAAGCAGAAGCAGCAGAAGCAGCAGCAGCGCAGCAGAACCGGAACTGAGCCGTCGGGGCGTCTGCGCAACTTTTGTCCGGCGCCGACCTCAACCTCTGGAGCCTCCTAAAAAAATTCAGGCTCTGGCGCAGTGCCTCTCCTTTTTTGCGCTGCAGCCGCCACTTTTGGATTTTTGGGAGTTGTGGCAATTTGACCGCTCTCTTGCCTCATTTTTTTTTGGACCGAAAGTGTTGTTGTGGCACACTGGCCTGGAGCCAGGCGAGATAACAACACCGCTCGACTCTGCTCACGCGCCCAGACAAGCAGGGTTTTTTTTTCTTCTCGCTTCAACGCTTCGCGCTAGCGCCGCATCGTCGCTGACCGGTGCGAGGATTTTTTTTCCCCTTCTCCTCGAGGTGACGCACTCTTGCCTTTATGCGGATCCCAGGGTTCAAGAAATTTGAGGGGAAAAAACAATCGTCAAACCACCCGATTGCGCCTTCCAGCTTCACCCGATCATCAGCACAACGATACCGTTGCGGTCATCTCCGAGCATGGCCCTCACTCCCTCAGCCTCACTTTCAGCAAAGACGCCGGTCGATCCAGGTGTGATGATGACATTGCGGAATGCTCTGTGCAAATCAGCCTCGAAGTTCATTGCCGTACCTGCGTACCAGACGCACCGCGAGGATGCCGGCCACGAGCGCACAGCAGCCGCCCAGGCGGAAGACGATGCCGAGCGAGTCGCTTCTCTGGCCGACTGGTGCGTCGGCGGGCGAGCCGTCAGCGCCGGTGCGCGAATCACCCGAGCCACTCTTCGGCTCCATGATGGCGAAGATGAGCGACGACAGCGCAGTGACTAGGAACTGCGGAATCACAATCGCAACATTGTGCAGCCCGAGCACGGTGCCTGCGTGTGTAGACGTGCTCGACGCTGATGTCGATCCTTGCTCCAGATCTGCATCCCGGCCGTGGTCGTGAGGGCTGTTGTCTCCGTTTGTACGGTCACTTTCGCCGCCAAAGGAGAGTGTAGATTCGAGACGCTCGTCGTCGTCCGAGTCGGCATCGCCGTGTGCGTGCTGGGGATACTTCTGACTGGCGTGCGAGACGGGTCTCGACCGGCTCTGTCCGGATGCATCGTAGGAAGGCGTGCGACTGATGGACCTGCGCTGCTGGTCGTCGTCGCGCGAGCTGTCTCCGAGCAAGGCCATCGTCACCTCGTCTGCCTCGTCGCGCGATGCACGCACGGACGACGTCGGCCTGCTGAGCGCAAGCCCGCCAATCCCTGCTCCGGCTGGCACCTCCTTGGCATGCTGCGTCTGGATAAGAATACCCAGCAGGCTGTAGGGGATCCAGTTGCTGCACGCAAAGCAGAATCCCACCGACGCAATCACCCACGTCGCCAGAAACACGCTCTGCGTGAGCCCGGCAAAGTAGGTGCCCATCATGGAGATGAAAAACACAAAGTTGGCAAACACCCACCAGAACGGCAGCTCGGGCCAGCGGTCGCGCATCCCGCGCAGTCTGCGCACGAGTGCCGAGTTGGCAAACCACACGGGATGCGTCTGCGACTCGTGCACCGGATTGGGCACCACCATCGGCAGCACGATCGACGTCACGAGCGACAGCACCGCATGCCAGAAGAATGCGCGGCTGCCAGCACGTGTGGCCTCTTCGAACAGCTCGTGGTCGGACTGCTTGCCGCCGTTCATGCGCACGTCCGCCTTGTAGATCTCGCCCACCCACACGGTGCTGTAGAAGAGGATGGGGAACCAGCCGATCTGGGCGAAGAACTGGATCTTGAAGATCTCGACGATCGGCTGCGGAAGGCTGCGCGCCTGGGTGTAGAGGTCCGCAAACACGGCTGCGGCTCCCGAAGCCTTTTGTTTCGCGGATGAGCCGCGTGTACGCGACGGAACGAGCACCTGCTCTTCGACGCGAAACACCACAAGCGCATGTGTGGCGACAAGGATGGCGCTGACGAGCACCGAGATGATCTGGATCTGCGTCTTGCCCAGAAACGTAGGGGACACACTGGGCAGATCCAGGTTGCCGATGAGGAAGCTCAGCACGGATCCGACGCCGCAGAGGCGTGCCGCCCAGGCATTGGCTTCAGCCTGGTCTTCCGTGGCGGCGACGTCGACCATGAGTGCGCGGTCGAGCGCCGTGACTGCATTCACCGAAAAGTCGACGAGGTATACTGCCAGCACGCCCATGAGGATGGCGAGGCTGCGATGGGCGTCCGACTCGTGCGTGGTGAACCAGCCCGCCACTTCTCTTGCAAAGCCGAGCAGCAGGATGCTCGCTGCGCAGATGAGCGTGGATGCAGCCAGGAACGGCCGACGCCTTCCAAAGCGCGACGTGCTGTTGTCCGCCAGGCTGCCGATGAGCGGCTGCACGATGAGGCCCGACAGCGGTCCCGCGACAAACACGGCCGCCATGGCCGATTTGGAGAGCCCAAGGTCGAGCAGATACGGTGGTGCAAACGCCATGTCCATCGACCACACCGTCTGTGCACCGAGCACGCCGAGCGTGAGCAGAGGCAGCTGCAGCGGCTCCGGAGCATGGACGCGGGCATCGCCCACGAGCCGAAGCCCAGCACTAGCCGTGCCGACAGACGCCATCGAGACTCCCACCATCGCGAGCGTCCGACGATGAGGGGTGAGAGTGCAGAGTCGGCGCTGGAGGCGATTCCTGGAAGGAGGCTGACGGTGCCGTCTATGGCATGGTCCGTCCGAGTCCTTGCGATAGTCTCGATGTCCGTGTGTGGTTTAGGCTTGCAGATGGTGCTCCTGGGAAGAGGGTGGCGTGGATGAGAGCGTGTTTGAGAGAAGCTTCGAGACGAACCGCCGCGCAATCCATTTGGTGGGGCAGTGGAGAGGTGCTGTCGAAGCATGCATGTGTGTGGGGCGCGCGGTGCGGTGCGGCTGGCTGCAAGGAGGATTCGGAGCGTTCCTGGCAGAGGCGCCGGAGCGTTAATTGCTCGCGAATGCTGACTGAACCCTGGCTTGGGCCTGCGTGTCTCGCGCAGACCAACACCGGAAGAGTGGCCTCTGCACGCGCCAAGCGAATTTTTGAGATTACAATGTTAGGTTTACCAAAGTGTCGAATGCTGTTTTTCTCTCGCTTTCGTGCGGCTGCCGCGAAGGAAACGCGGTCGGTTCGAGTGGAGTGGAATCGGCACATTTGGACACGAATCGCTTCTCCTGCTTCTCGTCGTCGTCTCCACCGCATCCTCTTCCAACCGACTCCAGACAGACAGACATCCAGCGCAGAGCAACAACAGGATACGCACCTGTCACATCGCACCGCGGCGTTAGAACCAGATAGCTCTTGCGAGCATTACTGTCAAAACACCGTCGAGACTCACGGATTCCGATCATCCTCAAGGCACCCTAGTCGATCGTACCTTTCCCTATCCTACCTTTCACGGTCTCTCACAGCCTGGCACCTCAAAGCTCATAACATGTCGAGTGTAAGTAGGTCCCTCCAGCGCGGAGGTTCTCCATCGGATCTTAGATATGCATGCTGACGCCTCTGTTTCTTGTGTGTGGCAGTTCCAGCCAGTCAACCCAAAACCGTTTCTGCAGCTGCAAACGGGCAAGCCGGTGTTGGTGCGGCTGAAGTGGGGCATGGAGTACAAGGGCTTCCTGGTGAGCACGGACAGCTACATGAACCTCCAACTCGCCAACACCGAAGAGTTCCAAGACGGCAAGTCCAACGGCATGCTCGGCGAGGTCTTTATCCGTTGCAACAACGTGCTCTACCTGCGAGAACTTACGGACGAATCTACATGATCCCCTGCTCAGCCCCAAAATCCAAAACTTCCTTTCGACATCCATGTCAAACCCGGCTCTCACATTGTATTAGTACGACCCGAAAAAGCAATCATTTGTCTCAACCACCAGCTCAGTTTCTGCGAGATCTGCGGACGGGGTTGGGAATTTCTGTACATTGATCGCGTTGCGATGCGGAATTTTTACATGTGAGCGTGCGGGTCCTCGGGAGGCTGTTCGGGTGCAATGGTAATGGCATCGTCGATGCGGAGCAAGCTCGTAGCCGCCTCGAGCGCCGACTTGAGACTGCGGATCTTGCTCACGGTGGGCTCGAGCACACCCGCCTTGAGGTTGTCCCTCACCTGGCCGTTGAGCAGATCGAGTCCGTAGAAGCGCAGCGCCTTTTTAGGGTCGCCTGCATTGGCGCTCTGCGCTGCATTGTGGTAGGCGCGAAGCTTGGCGACCAGATCGGTGCTGTCCTTGGCGGCGTTGACAGCGAGCGTCTTGGGGATGACGAGGAGCGCCTGGGCGAATTCGGCAATGGCAAGCTGCTCGCGACTGCCGAGCGTGGTGGCAAAATTCTCGAGGTAGATGCTGAGTGCCGACTCGACCGCTCCGCCACCGGGCACGACCGAGCCGCTCTCGAGCGTGCGCTTGATGACGCACAGGCTGTCGTGGAGCGCACGCTCCATCTCGTCGAGCAGATAGTCGTTGGCACCGCGCAGCACGATCGAGCTCGAGCTGACGGTCTTGGTGCCGCGCACGAGGATGAGCTCGTCGTCGCTGATGCGCTCCTGCGCCACCTCGTCGGCGGTACCCAGGCTGCTCGCCTCGAACGTCTCCTCGCCCTCGAGGTTGCTGAGACTGCTGACGAGCTGGCCGCCGGTGGCCTTTGCGATCCTGCGCAGGTCCTCCTTGCGGCAGCGGCGAACGGCCATGGCGCCGGCCTCGACAAACTCCTTGAGGCAGAGGTCGTCGATGCCCTTGGTGGTGAGGATGACGTTGGCGCCCGAGGCGAGGATCTTGCGCACGCGCTCGAGCACGATCTCGGACTCGCGCGCGCGGATCTTTTCGAGCTGGTCGGGGTCGTCGATGGTGATGTGGACGCCGAGGTGCATGCGCTGCTTGACGAGGTTGATGTCGAGCAGCGCGATCTTTGCGTTGGTGACGCGCGTCTTCATGGCCTGCGAGGCGACGGTGCAGTTGAGGGCGTAGCCGTTGATGAAGAGCGACTCGCGCGCCGACTTGCCGTGCGCCTTGAGCACGTTGACCGCCTTGACCGGGTACTTTGTCTCTCCGCGCGGGTTGACGGTCTTGACGGCGAGCATGGCGTCGACGGCGATCTGAGCGAAAAAGTCGTCGTCGGCGCCGATGATCTTGCTCGACATGCTGGTCTTTGCGACGTTGATGAGCGACTCCTTGCCGAGCGTGTCGACCTTGGTGGAGAGCTGGTCCTGGAGGTATTTGCAGGCCTCGCGGCAGGCGAGACGGTAGCCGGTGATGATGGTGGTGGGGTGGATCTTGTTCTTGACGAGCTCGTTGGCGCGACGGAGGAGCTCGGCGGCGATGATGACGACCGAGGTGGTGCCGTCGCCGACCTCCTTGTCCTGCTGCTGTGCGAGCTCGACGAGGATGCGGCCTGCGGGCTGGTCGACCTCGAGGAGCGAGAGGATGGTGGCGCCGTCGTTGGAGATGGTGACGTCGCCAATGTCGTCGACGAGCATCTTGTCGAGGCCGACGGGGCCGAGCGACGACTTGACGATGTTGGCGATGGACTGGGCAGCAAGCACGTTCTGGTTGCGAATCTCTGCGCCCGAGAGACGCTCGCCGCCGATGAAGAGACCGGCGTTGCGCGGGTCCTTTTGGAAGAGCTGCGCCATGGCTGCGGTGGAGTTATGTGGTGGGTGCTAAGCCGGTGGGTGGAGGAGTATGTCAATTCGGATGCAACGGACAGGCGCAAGAGCAGGCGCTAACGTCGAGGTTGCGGTGGTGGTGGTGGTGGTGGTGCCGTGGCTGAGGACGTGACCGGCTCGAATCTGCTTGGAGGCGATGAAGTGGCAGCAGTCGATAGTCGATAGCGGAACGAGGAGCGAAAGCAAGGCTGAGCCAGTCGAGCTTCCGCCGCCAACACGTCCCTTCGCCGCGACGACTTTGAGCAACACTTGCTCCGAGCACAAGCACACACACCTACAAAACGCAGCGACGCGCGCACCGCACTCAGCACCGCACCTCTGCACCAGCCTCAACTGCCGCGCTGCCAACCGACCAAAAAGTTGTCGGTCAGAAGAAATTGGCGCCTCGCTGCTTCTCTGCCTTTGTCCACGCCGCCGCCGCGCGCAGAGTGTTGCTTTGCTGCCTTTTCTTCCTCGAGCTTCTTCGCTGGGCCCCGGTATTTCGCTCTAACATTTTAAATCGTCACCACATGTTTTGTGTATCGGTCTCACATCAAATGCGGATTGCGATCGGGCACGACCTTTGTAGTCGCGTCGCCGAGCTGCGATTTCAAAGCCACTTTGAGAAGAAATTGAGCTGAAAAGGCGAGCAAAATACGCGAGCCTGACTCCATTTACGGGACGCGTGCTGGAATGGCGTGGTTCTGTGGGAGAGACAAATTTTCACGCCCCGTTTTCTTTTCCATTTTTTCTTTTCTTCTTTTACCTCGCTTTGGGCCCTGTGGGCTTGGCGGGCGAACCCTTGCTGCTTGCTGCTTGGTTCTTGCTTTTTGGGGGATTCTTATTTGTTCGGGCACGCGACAGATCAAAGCAGCCGGGTATTTTGGCGCAGCAGCCCCCGCAGCCAAGCCTAAAAAAATTGCAGCCAGAGGTGGTGAGCAGAGAGAGGCTTTTTCAGATGATGGCTTCGCTCTCTCTTTCGACGGCCCTGCAGGCCTGTCTGTCCATTTTTTTCCCGTTCATATCGCCGTGCATACTCGACGCGGATCCGCAAACAGTGAGGAGCGAAAGTCGGTCCCTCGGCATCCTTCTCCCCTTCCATCATCGTACTTTACCCTTCGCATCCAGCTTCGGCTCCTCTCGCACATCCGCTCGCATTGTCGCTGCCCATCAGTCGACCCGGATTGGACGTGCTCAACAAATCGCACTTCGACCCTCGAGCAAGCCTCGTACCGCCCCCGCACTGCCTTCCTGGCATCCCATAGGTTCGACTAGCCTTTAACATCTCCCCATCTCTGCAACGATCCATACCAGCCCTTACTCGCTCTTTCAGTCCCGCCACGCTTCGACGTCGATACCATCCTAGATCCGAACGCCCAACAAGCCCACTCACCGGCTCGCAAATCGCACCGCTTCGCTCGTCTTTATACCGTCCTTGTATCGGCCCAATCGGCCTCGTTTACTCTAGAGTCACGCAGCTCCCGCTTATACCACTCGTCCCCGCAACGCGCATCCGCCAGCTTGCCCGTCGACGCCGACCGCTTCGACGCTGTACTACACGCATTTCTCGGTATACCTGTCTCGTCTCTGTCAAAACGTCCGCCTCAAGGCCCAAATCAAGGTTTCGCTCCGACACCACAGCGGACGCCACAAGCCACCTCTTGACCATCTAGACGCCATTCCAGCCAGCTGGTGCTTTTTACGCACTTTCATCGTGGCAGCCATCCTAGCCATCCAGCTGCTCGCCTCGCCATCATCCGCACAGCTTCATTTTCGCCGCGCCATCCGTGTCGCCAGCATACGCACACATTCAGTCGCTCAGAGTCACCACAAACGGGCCGCATCCCTGGCCTTCCAAGTGGTCACAAGTCTCTAGACTCGCGCGCAGTCCTTCCTCACACCAACTCGGGTTCCCGCGTGAAGCTCGAGCACCCCCCGTCAAGGTACCCACTGCTGAGTGCATCCACCGCTTGCGACGGCAGCCATTCCCGTCGCTCCTTCCTTCCCGCACGCACGCGTCAACATGTCGGCAGGCACCTCACCCCCAGGCATGCCCGCCTTCAACTTGGCCCACTTCCCTTCCGACTCGGACCGTAGCGCTGCAGCACGCACGCTCTTCTCCCGCAGCACATCCTCCGATGACGGCCACGCCACCGTCAACCTTCCACAGAGCAGCCCAAACTCGGCAGCCCATCAAGCACACGACGCCGCTGCCGGCCACGCCCAGCAAGCCTCTTCCTTTGCTGGTCAAGGCAACATCGGCCCTCAGTCCGGCGGCTCCCAAGCTCCCGGTCCAGCCAATGCGCCGCCTTTCTCCGCAAGGTCCGCATACGACCAGGCAAGTCGTCTGCGTCACAACTTCAACGCCCGCAGCTCCTCGCCTCTCTCCCGTCCGCCTCTCTTCAGCCCCAACCTGCTGCACGAAGTCGAGCGCTCCTCGTTCCCGCTCCGATCGCCATCAGGCTCCCATCCTGCCTCCTCACCTCCGCCCAGGAGCAACGTCACCTCTCCACGCTACTTCAACGATCCCAGCCACGGCGCTTCCAACTCGCATCACCATCACCACCATGCCCAGCACAACCCGCATCCCGCCCACTCGCTCCCGCATTCTCAGCAACCACAGCACCAGCATCTCCATCCGCAACAATCGCATCAGCAAGCTGCCAGCAGCACAAACCAGTACTCCGCTCCTAACTTGGCGCACCTGCACGGCCAACCACAATCCTCCTGGCAACAGCCCCGTGGCGGCATCACGGGTCCCCTCGACTACCCGCCCTCCATGCAGACAGCAGCCGGACCGCCACTCAACCCTCTCGACCGCCCGCATTCGTCCATGTCCGAGCGCACCTCGCGTCTCCAGGAGGCCGCCGCACGAGGCATGGGTCCAGGCACCGCTCAGAGCCCCGTCGGCTCCATCCACAAGGATTCCGAGTACAGCATCTTTGTCGGTGACCTCAGCCCCGATCTGCGCGAAGACGACCTGGTGGCGCAGTTCCTCCAGCCTCCGTCCTGGCCGCCTGCGCATCCGTTCGCATCCGCGCTCATCAACGCGCAGCAGGCTCAGGGCGTCTATCAGCCCGGTGCACACATCGGTCCCGCTCCCTTCCACTCGACCAAATCCGCAAAGATCATGACCGACCCCGTCACCGGCGTCTCCAAGGGCTACGGATTCGTCCGCTTTGCCCTCGAGGCCGACTGCAACCGCGCCCTCGTCGAGATGCAAGGCGTCGTCGTCTCGCCCGCCAACGGCCTCTCGCCCGGTCGTCCGCTGCGTGTCAGCACGGCTACGCCTAAGAATCGCGGCGCCGCACCTCCGCTCCCGCACGGCCTTCAGGGCGACCCCAACACCCAGCATCTCCAAATGCCGCGCCCTCACAACCCGGCTCAGAATGCCGGTGCGTCTTTCTTGTACGGAGGTGCGGGAGGCGCCAGTGGCATGGGCGCACGTGGCGAAGTGGTGTCGCCTCAGCCTCATTCGCGACAGCAGTCGAGTCCGCCCGACGGCATTCCGCTCACCTCGCCGATCTCGCCTGCCTCGCCGTACGACGGCCCCAACAGCGCCGCCAACAACCACGGTATGATGGGCCCGCCTCTCGGACAGCTCTACGGCTCCTTCCCCAACGGCGGCGGCGATGGCACTCGAGACTCGTCGCCCGCTGGCATGCTCCGTTCGCACACGCCTTCTTCGGCGCCACCGCTCCCTCACCAGGGCGGCGGAGGCGGAGGCGGCAATCCAGGCGACAGCGCCGCGGATCCGAACAACACCACCGTGTTCGTCGGCGGCCTTTCGTCGCTCATCTCCGAGTCGACGCTGCGCCGATACTTTGAGCACTTTGGCGAGATCACCTACGTCAAGATCCCGCCCGGCAAGGGCTGCGGCTTCGTGCAGTACGTCCGCAAGCAAGACGCCGAGAACGCGATCCAGCGCATGAACGGCTTTCCCATCCTCAACTCCAAGATCCGTCTCAGCTGGGGCCGCAGCCAGGGCGACAAGGCGGCGGCGGCAGCGGCGCAGACCATGGCGCACTACGCACAGCTCGGTCAGCTCGCGAGCCTTGCCGGGCTCAGCACGCTCAGTCCGTCGCAGCTGGCCCAGCTTGCCGGCCTCGGGAGTGCACTGAGTGCGGTGCAGGCACAGGCGCAGAGAGGACCCGCATACGGCCCAGGCAACCCGGCGCTCGCCAACGACCCGCTGTCTACACTCGCTCGCCAGCTTGCGGCCGCCAATCTCGGCGGCGGCGGCCCTGGCATGGTGGGTGGCAGCCCCAACGTGGTTGGCTTGGGTCCGCGAGGTCCTCTGCCGCCTTTCCTGCAGCAGCAGCCGTCTTCGCCGCACGATCAAGCACATGCGTCTTCGCACCACCAGCCTGGGCATGCGCAGCATCAATTCCGCGGACCCGGCGGGTTCGGCTCAACCCAGCACGCGGGCCCGCCCGGTGTAGGTATGAACGAAGCCGGCGCCTCTGGCTACGGCGGCAGCTCGAGCTCGCATTCGAACCACGGCTTTGACTTTGACCCGCGTGGAGGGCAGCAGGCGGGATCGATGGGCTTTGGCTCGGGCGCGCAAGACGCTCCAAGGGGTAGGCCGCCGTTCGCAACGCATGCTTCGCACGACGACGGCGCGCTCTCCGAGTCGGAACTCGTGGATGCCTTTGCCGGACTCGACTTTGACGAGAACACGCGTGCGGCGCTTGCGGCGCGGCTGCAGGCTGCCCAAGCCCGACCGCATGCCAACGGGTTCGAGGTTGGGAACAATGCGACGGGACGAGCCGATCCCTTTGCGCGCGGCTACAACCGCGACCCCAACGCGTTCATGTTCAGCCCCTTCAGCCCGTCCGACTCGCCGCTGGTAGGTGGCAAAGCCGACTTGCCCACAAAATCGTCGCTCCTGGCCAACCGCCCTGACGACGATGCTTCCACAGCAAAGGATGCCAGCCCCACCAACGCCAACCGTTGAAACCCACCCAACACCGTCCTCCCCCCCACCTTGTCCGTGCCGCGCTCTTTCAAGTCTTTCTGCTACGCATGCACCGTTTTGACCTCCCTGCTACGCCGTCTTCCCCATCTGCACCGCTCGTTTTCTTCCTTGGCAAGCATTCAACAAGCTTCGTAGACCTTCTGTATCACCTTTCGCTTCGGCTTCGACTAGTTTTCGCCCCAAAGATTGTACCACCTCGGCCCCCACCCCGCGCGCGCGTATAGAATGTGCGCTCAAAAGAATGTAAGAGTATCATCGTGTCGATGCCTCAGCTTGTGCAAGCGGATGTGTTGCGATCGTCGTGCCGCGCTGTCTCGGCGTCTTGGTTGTGGCGCAAAACATCACTGGTTGCTGCCTCTTAGCAGTGCGAATGAATATGATTGCGGTTTTAGAGCGTGGGTAAGGGCGACTGAATCTGTGCCTGCGCCGACTCGAGCACCTGCTTGGCAGCACCGTACTCGTCGCTCGAAACCGCCTCGCCCTCCACACCATCCTAACCTCGACTCAAACAAAGGCAATCAGTTTCCCCCTCCGTCTTTCCTGCTGATGCTGATGCGAACTTACGATGTAGATGGCTAGATCGTCCACCGCGAGTTCGAGCCTCTTGCGGCAGTCGGGAATCATCTTGAGCGAATCCTTCAACACCGATCTCTGATTCCCCCACCACCATCAGTCTCTCTTCTCCTCTCCATTTCGAGGCATCTGGGGAAAACCTTACCTGCTGCTTGAGGTCGTATTCGTCACGACCTGCATCGATGAATTGCTGGATCCGCACTTCTTGCTCGCGTGCCTCGTGCATGTACGAAGACTCCTCTTTCGCCAATCTAAACCCCCACAAAGCCGTCAGAATCGACAATTCTCGAACGAGGGGGAGGAGAGACGTACCGCTTCACCACGCCCGTCTTGATCGTGAGCTGGCGCTTCACCGACGACAGATCCGCATACCTGGCCATCGTGAATGTGTTGGTTGATAGGATGCTCTCCAAAACCCCAACCGCACGCGCCACTTGAACCCAACACCTTGGAATCCCGACTTCCGCTTCAGGTCCACGCCCAATCTCACACCAATCTCAATTTTCTCAAGACCCTTGTATGCTTAGAAACGATGCACAATCCAGGTCTATATTGCAAGATGAAGCAGATGGTTAGGACGAGGGCCTGGGCTTCATACGGCCCGCAAAGCCACCGGCACCGTTCATCCTGTCCTTCTTCTTGAGCAGCTTCTTCTGCTCCTTGGCACCCGTGAAGGCACTCGCGTACGGCGAGGCAGGCACGCCCCGACCCGCCTTGGCGACGCCAATGGCCTGCGCAGCCTTCTTCTGCCGACGCTTCTCCTTCTTGGACAACGCTGCCGCCGCTACTGTGGCATCGTCATCCGAATCATCGGCTTCGGGGTCGGGTGTGTGGGTGGTGGGCTTGCGCGGCGAGTCGCCCACGATCGCCTCGTACTCGTCGCGGTCGACGCTCGTGCCGAGCTCCTCGTCGTCGGCGCTCAGCATGCTGAATGGGTTCGCAGGCCGACCGCTGCTCGAGCCGTAGAAGCTCGCCGCCGACTTGGGACGCGCCGACAGCAGCTCGTCGAGCTTCGCGCTCGGACCACCCAATGCAGGCTTGTTGTCCGCAGAGTCGTCGTTGCTGTCGTCGGGCTCGGCGCGCGCCTGCAGCGCAGCCGCCTTCTTCGCCTTGCGGCGCTTGAGCAGATCGCGGTAGGCTGCCTCGTCGTCAAACTCGTCGGCACTCGCGTCGGACTCGGACTCGGCCTCCTGCACTGGCTTCTTTTTGCGCTTCTTGGCCTCGAGCGACGCCGACACGCTTTTGGGCGAGGGCGCGACGGCCGCAAGCGCCGTTTCCAGCGCTTCGTCCTTCTCGCGCAGGTAGAAGAGGATATAGGCACTCTGGTCGTTGGTGGGGCCGGCGCGGCCCATTTCCGCCACGTGGCTGTCGTCCATGCGCATCCACTTGCCCGACGGCGAGCGCACGCTCGCCACATAGTGTCCGCTGTTGGGGCCCGAGCCGTAGTGGTGCACCGTCGCGTACAGCCTGTACCTCGCCGGGCCGTTGTTGACCGAGAGGTACGGCGCGATGTTGAGCGTGTCGTCAAACGCGATCTGGCGCGACACCTTGCCGCCAAACACGGTGAAGCGCTTGAGGTGCACGGTGAGTGCGGGCGGTGCGGCGTCGATGGTGAACTGCTTGGTGGCGTCGACCTTGCGCTTGCACTTGTCGCACTTGTACTTTTCGGCGCCGGTGAGGTGGTCCTTTGCGACAAAGGCGCGCAGCGCGTCGGTGAGCGAGTTGATGCCCTTGCGCACGTCGAGGCTGAGGTCCATGAAGGGGTCGAAGGTGTCCGAGTTGTGGCCGCAGCTGTGGCACGTGACGCGGCTGCGCAGCTTGCCGCCAAACGTCTTGTGCACAAACGTCGTGCGGCGCGCGGGGTCGTCGGGCTTGAGCGACTTGGGTGCGCGCGCGAGGCAGCTCTGCTGCAGCGCCTCGAGCAGGAAGCGCAGATACTCGTGCGCGTCCTCCTGGCGTCCCTGCCGCAGCGGCTTGGCAAACGCTTTGAGGTTGCGGTTGAACTCCTGCGGCGCATTGGTGGGGCGGGTGCCCTGGAGCGAGCGCCTGGCAAAGCTGTGCATCGCCGTCACGGCGTCAAAGGCAGCGTTGGGCTTGCCGCCCCACTCGCCGTGCAGCACATCGAGCTCCTGCGTGAGCAGCGCAAACGCGAGCGGCGGCGTGTGCACGAGCGCCTGCATGACGCTGTTCATGTAGCACGTATTGCCGTAGTTGGACAGCCCCGCCGCAGCCGTGCGCACCTTGCCCGGGAAGCGCAGCGAGATCTTGTGCGGGTACAGGTCGCGCGACTTGGCCTTGGCGGCCTTGGTGGGCGAGGAGGGCGCCGACGCCGTCGCTTCAGCATCGTGCGCCGAGGCGCCGTTGATCTTGGGCGAGTCGGTATGAAGCAAGAGCGCGTGCTGCTTCTGCTCCTGCTTTCGCTTCTGTGCTGCCGCAAAGTTGGCATCGTTGACAGGCGTGAGCCCGAGCGTGGTGTAGTCCTGACCCTGCTTATGGGCCGACTTTATGAACTTGACCGGGTCGGCGAGGAGCGCGTGGAGCATGCCGCGTTGCTTGAGCGTGGCGCGCAGCTGGTCGCCGCCCGTAGCAAGGATCTGCTTGGCGAGCTTCTTCCTCTCCTCCTTGGACGGCGAGCTTGGCAACGAAGCCGACATCCTCTTGTCGACGCCATTCGCGGCGGCCTTTTTGCTCGGGCTCGAGTGCGACTCGGATCGATGATGTGCCTTTTTCTGTGGTGACTGGCCGTAGGAGCGTGAGCTCGAGCCGCCGTCGGGCTGGGACGGGATGCGTCTCGCCACCTCGGCCATCGTTACGAGCCGTCCAAGGTGCTGTGCTTTGCTGGTGCTGTCGTTGCCGAGCCTGCTGATCCAGCAGCAGAAGCCACCTCGAAGCAGCGTCACGCGGATCTTCCGACGACAGAGACGAGGCGCCAAGCGATGGTGTGCGCCACGATATCGATGTCCTGCTGCCAGAAGCGAGGTTGAGCGTGGGAAAGGCACGGATCGCTCGGGATGGCCGCGTCTCTGCGAGTCGTTGAAGCTCTTACGGTTGAAGGGTGTCAGTCTCGTTCCTCGACCTTGGTGTCGGGCGATCCGGTTCGGCGTGCTGCAACGGCACATCGCGCGAGCGAGCTTTACTCGACTGCCACCAACATTTTTTTTTTCTGGAGTCGAGTCTCGCCGAAATTTTTCTCATCGGCTGCCTCCGCCGGGCTTTCGCAGGCAGCACAGCAGCTCCAAAAACAGAAAGGGGCCCAAGTTTTTGGTGTCGTGGCGCTGCGCAGCCAAGAAGAGACGCGTTCGGTCTTCTTTTTCCTTTTCCCCTTTTTTGGCGCCCGCCAACGCGTGCTGCTGCTGACTGCTGATGCTCGATTTTGCCTCCACATCCCCCTCCCCTTTGCAGTCGCAGTCGCGGCAGCCTCAGAGGCGGGGGCCAGCCAGGCGCAGCGGCTGCAGGTCCATCAGCTGCTGTTGGGCCAAGCGCGAGAAGGAGACGGACCCTGGCGAGGCCACAACCACGCCCAGCAACCGTGCGGGCGAAAAAGGCGAGAACAACACGCACGCACGAACGGCACTCTGCACAGACCCCTCGTCGGTCGGCACTTCCGTCTCCCACCTTTATCCTCCCGACTCGCTACATCCTACGAAACCACCACCATACTCCCACGGTAGAGCCGAGCCGAGCCGAGGTGGATTGGGGTCTGAATCGCCATGGACGCCGCTCTGCAAAAGGCGCTGCTCGATCGCGTCTACGACAAGCGCAAGGCGGCCACGCTCGACCTCGAACGCCAGGTGCGCGATTGCCTGGCGCGTGGCGACCGAGCCCGCGTCAACCTCATCGTCCAGCAGCTCTGCTCCTTCCTCAGCGCATCGCCCCAGAACGTCAACGCACGCAATGGCGGGCTCATCGGTCTGGCTGGTATCGCCATCGCCCTCGGCGTAGAGATCGCCCCGTTCCTAGAACAGATCGCCAAGCCCGTTCTCGCCTGCTTCAACGACCCGGACAGCAAGATCCGCTACTTTGCCTGCGAGAGCTTCTACAACATCGCCAAAGTATGCAAGGGCGAGATCCTCGTCTACTTTAACGAGACCTTCGACGCGCTCTCCAAGCTCGCTGCCGATTCCGAGCTGAGCGTCAAGAACGGCGCCGAGCTCCTCGACCGTCTGCTCAAGGACATCGTCTCCGAGGCTGCGCCCCACTACGTCTCCCAGTTCCAAGACATCTCGCTCATCCGTGCGCACCAGGACGCCAACGATGGCTTCAGCGGCGGCGCTGCCGAGCTCGACGTCGCCCGCGAAAAGGCGCACCAGATCGATCAGCAGGGGACCGCCAACAACAAGGTCTTCTCCCTCGCACGCTTCATCCCGCTCCTCGCGGAGCGCATGTACGTCATCAGCCCCTTTACGCGCAACTACCTCGTCAGCTGGATCACCGTGCTTGGATCCGTGCCAGAGCTCGAGCTCGTCAGCTACCTCCCCTCCTTCCTCGACGGCCTGCTCAAGTACCTAAGCGACCCCAACACCGACGTGCGCGTCGCCACCGCCAATGTGCTCGCCGACTTTTTGCGCGAGATTCGCCACGCCGCCGAGCTCTCCGCCCGGCGCCAGGCCTTCGAACAGCACCGCGCAGAACGACATGAACACAAGAAGCGCAAGGGCAAACAACGTGGCCCCACTGGCGCCGCGGATCCTGTCACGCTCAAAGCTGACACGGCAGACGAGCCGACTGTCGCCGCTCAGGTCGATGTGCAGTCCAGAAGCGCTAGCCCCAGCAAGTCATTCCGCAGCCCAGCGCCCAGCCAACCCAAGCCAAGGTCCGACGGCGCCACTTCGCCCTTGCCACCACCACAGCGAGACGGACTGCCAGCGGACCACGACTCGGCCTTGGCCACTTCGCCAGCACCCACTCAGAGCCACGACAATGACGCTGCTTCCGGTGCAGAAGACGACGAAGAAGATGAGGACGACGAGGACGACCAAGACATCTGGGTCGAGGGTACCGAGGTCCGCATCGACTATGCCGCCATCGTCGAGATCCTCATCAACCACATCGGCTTTCCGGACGAAGAGATCCAGGCCACCACGCTGCAGTGGATCGCCGAGCTGCTGCTCGTGGTCAAAGACGTCGTCGTTCCTTTCACACCCCGCCTCATCTCTGCCATCCTTCCCAACCTCGCCCATCACAGTCCCGCCATCGCCAGCGCAGCACATGCCACCAACGTCAACCTCTACAGGGTGGTGCAGGATCTTCCAGCGCCCACAACGCCGCCAAGCACGCGCGCGCAAACGACCCTGCCGGCCACTGCACCGGGCCACCGCTCGACGGGCTCGGTCTCCTCGTCGAGGGAGAGGGCCAGCGCGGGGAGCCCGACGCAGCATGGCAACCTGAGCCGGCACGCGTCCATCTCCCGCCCCGCAGCATCATCGGCATCAGGACCGCTCTCCCCAAGAGTCAGGGCGGGCACGATCAGTGGCGAGCCTACGGCTGGGATCGCCGGGCTGAGTCTGTCTGACGATGCGGCAGGCACGGATCGCACCTCATCGCCCAACGCCGCTGCGGATGGCAGCGCGGTGGAATCCGATCCGTTCGACTACCAGACGACCCTGAACGCACTCACACTGCAGCTGCTGGACGAGCACGAGGAGACGCGTGTGACTGCGCTCGAATGGCTGCTCATGCTGCACGGCAAGAGCCCGCGCAAGATCCTCTCCATGGACGACGGCACGTTCCCGGCGCTGCTCAAGACGCTCTCGGATCCGTCGGACGAGGTGATCCGGTGCGACCTGCGGCTGCTGGCGCAGATCAGCTCGGCGTCCGAGGACTCGTACTTCCACGCGTTTATGGCCAATCTGCTGAGCCTGTTCAGCACGGACCGGCGGCTGCTCGAGACGCGCGGCTCGCTCATCATCCGGCAGCTGTGTGCGTCGCTGCATACCGAGCGCATCTTCCGCACGCTCGCCGAGATCCTCGAGAAGGACGAGGACCTCGAGTTCGCGAGTATCATGGTGCAGAACCTCGCCATCATCCTCATCACGTCGCCCGAGCTGGCGGACTTCCGGCGCAAGCTGCGCAACCTCGACTCGCGCGAGGGCCAGCAGCTGTTCGCGTCGATCTACCGGTGCTGGTGCCACAATGCGGTGGCGGCGTTCAGCCTGTGTCTGCTGGCGCAGGCGTACGAGCACGCGAGCAACCTGCTCACCATCTTTGCCGAGCTCGAGATCACGGTGGCGCTGCTCATCCAGATCGACAAGCTGGTGCAGCTGCTCGAGTCGCCCATCTTTACGGCGCTGCGGCTGCAGCTGCTCGAGCCCGAGCGCTACCCTTATCTGTTCAAGTGCCTGTACGGCGTGCTGATGCTGCTGCCGCAGAGTTCGGCGTTTGTGACGCTGCGCAATCGGCTGAATGCGGTGAATGGGCTCGGGTTCCTGCACTCGGTGCCGCGCTCGAGCTATGCGAGCAGGACGAGCTCCAAGAGCGTCTCGACGGGGTCCGGTGGGGCGGGTGCGGGTGGAGGCGCCGGTGGTGCGGGCGCTAGCGAGATCAAGTGGAGCGATCTGCTGCACCACTTTCGCGTGGTGCAGAACAAGCACGAGCGCGCGCGCCGACAGACGGCGTTGGGCGCGACCACGGCGACGGGCGCCACGCCGGGCGGGCCTGACTATGCTGCACCGCGCATTGGGTCGGCGACTGCTGCCGCGACAGCGTCTACAGCGCCAGGACGCCGGCGCGTCAGTCAGGCGGCCACGCCCGTCTCCACGGCTGGGTCGCTCACGCCGTCCGGATCAGCGGGCCGCTTTGGGCTCGGACTGAGCTCGGGTGGCACCACCGCGCGTGCTCCTGCCGCTGCGGGTGCTGGGACGAGCAGCTTCTTTGGCATCCACCTTCCCTCCACCGGCGCGGGCGCAGGATCGAATGCCAATGCGGCGGGAGGCTCCACGGCGCGGTCCTCGAGCCCGTCGACGGTGCGTCGACACGCGCTCGGCTCCAACCCGGCGTCACGGAGCGCCAGCAAGGGATCGTCGCTGCGTTAGCAATGCAAGTTCTACACGCCCTCGCCACTGCGTGTGTGTGTGTGAGGAGTCAATGTGCGCATGAGGCGGGTGTTTCTGTTGATACTGAAAATTGCACGGGGACGACAGAGGGTTTGGTATTATACAATCTTGTCTGCGAGTTCTGGCAGCTGGTCGCCGGGGACAAAGTGTCGCTCCACTCCGTCCTCTGTGATGTCTACGAGGCGAATCGTTCCTCCGGACGAGCCGTCTCTCCTCATTGCGAGTGCGAGCGCTGTGCCAAAGAATCGGACGTGTCAGTTTCATCTGTATCGTACATGGCGGTGTGGCGGGGCTGAGCTTACCGTTCTTTACGAATTCGAGAGTCTTTTCCTTTCCCCAGCCAGCCTTCCAGGTTGCATCGCAGTAGCCGTAGATGTAGGTGCTTCCGGAACCGCCGATGGCCCAGGGCTGTTGGAAGACGCCTCCTCCAAGCGGGATGTTGAAGACGCTGCCGCCATTCTGCTTGTCCCAACCTGCGACGATGATGCCTGCTGAGAGACGGTCCTTGTTCTGGTAGACGATCTCCTGGAAGAGGTTGGCGGCGACCTTGGTTTCGACGGGGTTGCCCGACTGGACGGCGTACATGTCGAGGTAGTAGGTGACAATGTCGGCGATCGCCTGTGTGTCGGCGGCCGAGCCGGAGCGACAGCAGTAGATGCGGTCGGACAGATGGGTGAGCTTGTCCGTGACGCGGTTGGCGATGTACGAGCCCATGGTGGTGCGCGAGTCGGCGCCGAGGATGACGCCCTTGTCGTAGGCGACTGCCATAATGGATGTGCCGAGGTCCACCTCGCCCTTTTTGAGGTGGCCTGTGATGTCCATGCCGTTGACCGCCATCGTGGCTGTATGTGCGCGGTAGGCTGCGAGGATTGCCAAAGGTGTGTGTGTGTGTGTGTGTGTGTGTGTGTGTGTGTGTGGGCAAGAGCAAGAGCCGATGGTGACGAGGCAAATGGCTTGCGAAGCTCGAGCCGTGTTAGTTGGTCTAAGCGTGGAGGCCAAGTGGAGTGCACCTTAGCCTTGAGCCCTGGCCGCGTACGCGCGATCACCACCGCCGCGCCAGTCTTCGAGGGCGACAGCAGACGCGGCCTAACAAATCGGGATTTTTATTCTAGAGCAACACTTTCCGACTCTTGGGCCTGGGCGGGGCAAGCTGCCACACGGCGCTGCCACACGGCGCTGCCACTCGGCGCTGCCACTCGGCACTCGCGCTCAAAGACGCCGCCACGCCTCGCACCCACGCTTCCCGACCCACGCTGCCGACACCAAGCTCACCACGCGCGCACGAGCTGCATCGACCCCTTGGCTTGGCTCGCTCACCAGCGCTTCTGCACGACCTCAACACCCTCCCACCCTGCTTCTGCATCATCGACGCCGCGCTCACACTTTCGTTACTCTACGTTACCTCACACTTTCGAGGAGCTGGTCTCTTTTTCTTCTCCACTCTCTCTCTTTCTCGTCCCCGCAGAGCCTTGGAAAGGCGCTGCTGTTTCGCCCTTGCGCCCCGCGCCCGCCGCCCTTCCATCACATCTCGCACCTCGGAGCGCCGTTCGGGCAACACTGGCATCATGGGTCAACAAGGCTCGCAGCTGCTGTCGGAGATCGAGCAGACGTCCAACTTCAACACTAAGGAGATCCAGCGTCTGAAGAAGCGCTTCATGAAGCTCGACCGCGACGGATCCGGGTCCATTGACAAGGACGAGTTTCTGCAAATCCCCCAGATCGCCAACAACCCACTAGCCCTGCGGCTCATTGCGATCTTTGACGAGGACGGAGGAGGAACTGTTGACTTTCAGGAGTTTGTGGCTGGATTGTCGGCGTTTAGCAACCAGGGCAGTCGCGAGGAGAAGCTGCGCTTCGCATTCAAGGTGTACGACATGGACCGCGACGGACTCATCTCCAACGGCGAACTGTTCCTGGTGCTCAAGATGATGGTCGGCAACAATTTGAAGGATCAACAGCTCCAGCAGATCGTGGACAAGACCATCATGGAGGCGGATACCAACGGCGATGGCAAATTGGACTTTGAAGAGTTTCAGGCCATGGTCGCCAATACCGACGTGGCTAAACAGCTCACCCTCGAGGATCTTTTCTGATACCCCCATCCTACTGCCCACATGCGCACACCCCGCCCCCGTCGTGGTCACCACTTGCCTCGTCCACTCTGCATCAGCTGTATCGTATCTTCTCTTTCTCGACCATTCTCTCAATCCCTACAAACCTCCGCTGCTTGGCTTGCTATGAGTCTTGTCTCGCCTTTCACACGTGCGGATTTTGGTGATGATACATTGCCTCGCCTACACTAGATCTATTGCTGTGCGAAACGAATCCTTGCCAGCGGTTCGAGCAGCTCCTTCAACGATGTCTGCCTCGATTCTGGCCTGGCCTGCGTTGCGAAGCCCCTCCTTTCGAGCCTGTTGAGCTTTTTGGCGGTGTTTGCATTCGTACTTGTCCTCTGGCCCCTCACGGGCAAGTGCGCCGCATGTCTCCTTCCCCTGTAGGTGCCCACGTTCCTGTGGTGGTTGATGTTGGCGTGCAGCACGCGCTTAAGGTCGGCTTCGATCTTGATCTGTCGCAACGCATCGTTGGCCGCACTTCCCATCGACGGCCTGTCCACTGCTTCGCCTTCGTGTGATGTAGGGTGCGCCGGACGAGGTGGAATCGAGCCGGGGGACGAGAGGTATGCCGAGAGCTGCGTGATCTGCGCCTCGCTTAGCGACGAAACGGTGGCGCGGTCGTGCAGCGACAGTCGTGCACACAGCCGATTGGCCGTGTCATAGCTGATGCCGTAAAAGTTCGTGAGCGCAATCTACAAAAGCCCACAATTCAGGCGTCAGTCGCAAGAAAAGAGAGAGCGAGAGAAGGGGTGTGAGGCGGGGGGACTTACTCGAACCAGCTTGTGGTCTGCGAGGTGGACTCCGAGCAAATACATCTTGATCTAGCAGCACTGTCCAGTTGAATGTGTAGGGACGAGCGAAGATGGGTCGGTGGTGATGTGACTGCAGCCTGGAAGCGCCGAAGGTGTTGTAGGATGGCGAGGATACGAAGCAAACCTCCATCTGAAGGCAGATCTTCCAGCCCAACCCTCTTGGCCGGCAAAAACTGGGCCACCCCCGACACGTGATGCGCAATTTTTCGAACCTGTAATTCAACTACACCCTAACACCAATTTCTGGCCGGCCGCACGCTTCATACCTTGCCCTCCCGTCAACATACGCACCCGGACTTATTGGAACAACATGGAGAGAAATGTTCTTGACCCGGAGCGTGATACGAACGCCCTCTATTGACACAGGATTTGGTCTTGAATACCGTCGAGATTCGGATCGAGCTATGTATGAGGAGTCACCTTCGCACCCGCCTTGGCCTTTAACCAACACACGCAGCACCAGGGACACCTCGGGACAAGATTGAGAGACGTGTTTCTGAGGCAGAGACTCACATTTGACACCGAGGCTGGTGTAGAAGCCCTGCTGAGCGTCAGGTGTACACGTGCAATGGCGGAATGCGGCAAGTGTTTCAAGATACTGAGTGCAGCGAGCCTCTCAAGAGGTGAATCCGTTCGATTCACGCGGACAAGAAGTCTCTGTGAACTTAGTCTTCGTACAAGGCCTTCAACCGTCATAACAGCCTCCATCGTCCTGCATACACATTTTGATGCGCGGTGTCGCCAGCGTTTCCATGCAAAGAGTGCGACGCGCACGTTCGACTGAACATGCTCCGTGTCAACCGCAGCTCACACACAGCCTTGGTGTGAGCATGTGCGGGAGTCACAGAGTCTCATCAATCCCGACTTGTTCCGATGTGATGGATGCTACGCAAAGCATCGATTGATGCCGCACACAACGTAAAGCGGTACCTCTTCTTTGCCCTCCCTTTCCACGTTGTTTCGTCAACACACGTAGCAGCCAAGCTTTTATAGCAAGGCTGGATTTGCAAAGACCGTGATTGTGACACAGACCCGATTCTTCCACGGTACACTATCCACCCTGCGCTTTAGGCAGCGCATGCAACACCAGGGACACTTTGGAACAAGAGAGATGCCTGTTACAGAGCTTCACTCTCAACACCGAAGCTGGTGCAGAGTCCGCTGGGCGTCTGATGTGCAAAGGTGGCGGGGTGCATGCGACACAGATCCTTGCACTTCTTCTTCCACCGCACCCATCGCACCTTGCGCTTTAGCCAACACACGCAGCGACCAAAGATGTAGTGTCAAGGCTGGACTGGGAGGCAAAGCCCGATGACAGCGACACAAACCTTCACCTCTTCCTTCCACCGCAGCCTTGCACCTCGCTTTGACGCAGCACATGCAGCAACCAGCACAAAACACAAGCTTGAGCAATGTCTTTCGGATACACAAGGATGCATAGGCTGATGCAAGAAGACCGCGCTGCCGAGCTGAAGCTCACAAGCAGTCTCGGTGTGACACTCTGCAGCAGTCAGACCGAGCTTCAACCTGTTCCGATGTGACAGATGTTTGTGGAGTTGTGTCGATGCAGAGGCAAAGACGCGTGACTGTGACGCAAGCCTGAAACTCTTCTTCGCCCTCCCCTCACCTCGACCATTTAGCATCATTGTGTCATGAAAACGGACTGTTGGGCAGGCAAAGACCGATGACAGCGACACAGACACTTGATCTTTTCGTCAACACACGCAGCAATCAAGAATGTAATGCAAAGGCTGGATTGGAGGAGGCGAAGGCCGGTGACTGAGAGACAAACACGACATGCGCCTCTTCCACGCACGCGCGTGACAAAGAGGGTGTCGTGACAGAAGAAAGTGAAAAGAAACAAGCTTCACGGCCGCCGCCGCGGGGGGTGTGGGCATCTATGAACCGTCCTGAGCGCCCGAGGTCGAGCCAAAGAGGTTGCCAAAGTTGCTGTCCCAGCCGTCGCTGCCCAAGCTCTGGCCACCTGTGCCGTCGGTGGAGAGGTCAAAGTCGAAAATGTCGTTCATCGAGCCGCCGAAGCCGAACATGCTAAAGTCGTCGGCTCCGCCCGACGCACCGCCTGCACCTCCGCTGCCATCTGCACCACCATCGCCGACAGACATGCCGTTGACATTCGTCGTGCCGTCAGACTGGTCAGCGCCTGCATTTCCACCCGATGCACCGCCAAAGTGGCTCGCATCGGTCGAGTTGGCGCCGGGACCCGATGGTGGCGGCATGGCAGCGTCGATGGGCTGTGACGTGGGTTGTGGAGCGCCACCTGCAGTCGCGTCCTTGCCAGCCATCGCCTCGCGTCCGGGCGTGGTGACGCTGGTGCTCACCGGTGTGGCAGCATTCGCCGTGGCCGGCGTGGAGGGCGCTGCAGCCCCGTTGCTGCTGTTTGGAGCCGAGGTGTTGGTCGCCGAGCCACTCGAGCTGGGCACGGCCGCTGCCGTAAGAACTGGCGTCTTGGTCGTCGCCTTGGAATTCTTGCGCTGTCGCGCGTTGCCCTTCTTGCCCTTTTCGGCTGAGCCGAGCTTGGGTGTGTTGGGCACGTTCGAAGGCGCAGGCGAGCCTGCCGACGGCGCGTTCGAAGCGACGCCGCCAGCCTGCGATTGCTGCTGCTGCTGCTGCTGCTGCTGCAAATTGGTCGCAGAGATGCGGGGCGAGGGCGACGAGATGGATGCGGCACCAGGCGGACCCATGCCACCGGCGTTGGGTGGGTTGGGCCCCAGCTGCGAGCCGGCGCGCTGCATGCCGGGACGCTGGATACCGGCGGGCGAACCCATCTGCACCGACGAGAAGTGGCTCGTGTGCGGATCTTCCGGTTGCGCCGACGGTGGCCTCGCTGGCGGTTGCTGAGGCTGCGATCCCGGCTGCGACGCTTGCTGCTGGCCGGGCGCGCCCTGCTGCAGCGGCACGTTGGGACGGTTGGGCGTGCCGTTGGGCATGCTGTTGGGGCCCATCATGCTCGCCATCAGACCGGGATCGTGCGTTGCCATGAGCGGGGTGATGCGGCCTGCCGCCGCCTGTGCGCTTGCGATCTGCGCTGCACGCTGTTGGGGCGTCATGTTGGCCATGCTCGCCGGGCTGCCTGCCGCGGCCGGCCCGCCAGGTCCACCGACGCCGGGCATGCCTGGTGGCCGCGGTTGCGACGAAGGACCCGGCTGGCCAAGCATGCCCGGCGGGGTTCCGTTGGCAGGCGCACCTGTCGCCGGACCGCCCTGGTAGTTGGCCTGCGCTCGCAACAGATTCTGCAGACCTTGCGCTTTGGCCTGATATGCCTGTACGTTGGCGTAAAAGTCGGCGGCTGTGGTTTGGTTGGGAGCGTTTTGCGCCTTCATCCACTCTTCGCGCATGGCGGCCTGAACGCTCTGGAACTGGTTCATGACCATCTGCTGCTGGTGCGGGTTGAGTTGCGGATGCTGCTGCTGCTGTTGGCCGGGCACCTGGCCTGGCTGGGGCGGACCGCCAGGCTGCTGTGTCTGTGGCTGCTGCGGGCCGCCCTGCGCTTGGCCGGGCTGCTGCTGCTGCTGCTGCTGCTGCTGCTGCTGCTGGGATTGGGGATGGGCGCCCGCCAGGCCAACCGAGGGACCGGCCATGTGATCGGGACGGATGCCGTCGCCACCCGGACCTACGGAGCGTCGACCATCCATGGGGCCACCAGGAGTGGGAGGAGCAGGCGAGCCCGCTGCGCCAGGCATCTGCGGGTGGCCCACGGGCGGTCGCACCTGCATGGCGCCTGGCATGGGCGCGGCGCCGGCGAGTCCAGCGTGTGGAGGCATGGGCGGCTGTGCGCCGACCTGGCGTTGCTGCTGCATCATGCGATGAAGCGCCTGCTGCTGCTGGAGGCGGGCCTGGAGCTGCTGTTCCATGAGCGGGTTGTTCATGCCGGGACGGACGGCTTGCGCGTTGGCCGGGTTGTGCGGATTCATCGAGTTGATCAGAGCCATTCTGGATGCGGGCGTGAGGTTCTTGATCTCGTGAAGCGGGATGTTCTGGCGCTGGGCGGCGGTGATGAGCAGCTGCTGTTGCTGCGCCTGTGGCAGGGCGGCCGGGTTCCAAGCGCCGGGAGCAGGTGCGCGTCCGTTGGGACCGGCGGCGGCGGCGGCGGCGGCGGCGGCGGCAGCGGACGAGTTGGGATCCGAGGCTTGAGCGGACATGACAATGTTGGGGAAGCGAGAGTCGTTCTCGGGAGGCTGGTACTGCGCTTCGAGGGCCTCTGCCTTGCGGTTGGCGTCGGCGAGTCGCTGCATGTTGCGGGATTCCTGGTACTCAAAGTAGGCGGCGGCCTCGGAGCCTCCGCGACCGGAGCGAGCGGCAAAGACGTCCCAGAAGATGGCCCAGTACTCGAAGAGGAGGCCTTGGGGCGTCTTGAGCGGCACCTCGGGGGGTTCTGCCATGCCGGCCTCGTTCATGAGCGCCTTTGCTGCGGAGCTGAAGCCTCTGCGGCTGAGATAGTCCCAGACGTAGACGTCGAGCTTGGTGGCCTCTTCGCCCCACACGCGGCCGTCGGGGACGGAGCTGGGGTGGGCAGCGTTGGCATCGTTTGGCTTGGAGTCGTTGGAGGCGGCGTTGTCGTCGGGCCGTGAGCGCTTGTCCTTGGACTCAAAGTCGGGGCTCTTGCTGGCGGTGCGCTTCTTTGTCATGATGACGGACTGTGCGGTGGGGGTGTTGGGTTTGGCGGAGCCGTTGGGAGAGGCGACGTGGTTTGGGGCGGAAAAGGTGGAGGAGTTGGCGTAAGGCTGTGGAGGGTAGACCGAGGTGGCCTTTTGCTGATTTGCCGGCGAGTGGATTGCGTGCTGCTGTTGTTGTTGCGATTGCTGAGACTGGGAAGCCTGATTGAGCTGCAATTGCTGCTGCTGCTGCTGGTGTTGCTGTTGTTGAAGCTGAAGCTGAGTTTGATGTTGCTGCTGCTGCTGCTGCTGCTGCTGCTGCTGCTGCTGCTGCTGTTGTTGTTGCTGCGAGGCGAGGTGGTGTTGGAGATGTGGTGGATGGGGTTGCTGCTGTTGTTGCTGTTGCTGGAGGTGCGGATGTTGGAGATGCTGCGGATGCTGAGGATGCTGTTGTTGCAGCTGAGACTGCTGGTGTGGATGGGCGTGGTTGATTTGTTGAGCCTGGGGTGTGAACATGGTTGCCGAGGCGAGAGGCGACGATGACGACGACGACGACGGCGGCGGCGGGTGTCGCGATGGACTGGGCGCGCCGAGGGAGTTGTTGCTGGAGGCGTGGGGAGGCTGATTGAAGCCTGAAGGCCAGCCCCACGCGTTGAGCTGAGTGCGAGCTGCGGGGTGAGAGGCAGCCGAGTGATCGTTGGCGAGCGAGGGATGAAGCAGAGCCGGATTGGGAGAGACGTAATTGTGAGCGGCAGTGGCAGTGGCGGAGCCGCTCATGCTAGGTAGGCAAGGGTGGATCCGAGCGCGTTGCGGGTGCGCGTGAGCGACGAAATCGAGCGCGTTCGGTTGGCTAGGCTAGACGTGGGATGAGCAGGCCATCGAGAAGCGCGATGGAGCGTTTGGGAGCAGGGCCGGTGCGACGGCACGAGCGAGGTACAGTCGCTAGCTCGGGGCGGGGACGAGAGACGAGAGCGCGCGGGCGTGATGATGGTACCGGGAAAAAGGGGTGGCTGAACGAAGCCACGGGTGGCACGCGTGGATATGGGCGCCGAAGAGAGAAGAGAGGAAGGGGGAAGGATGGACGGTAGGGAGAGGGATGTGTGGAAGGGTGGGTGGGGAGAACGACGCTGGTGGTTGAGGACGATGGAGCGGGAGGAAGGACGAGGAGGCGAGGGCCCAAGCCGAAAAGCACGGAGGATGAGTTGGGCGATGACGGGAACGCGCCTTGATTGAGAGGAGGAGGAGGAGGAGGAGCGGCGGCAGCAGCGGAGACTGAGAAAGCGGACGGAGAGTGGATGTGGCGCCGACGAGGATCCCAAAAGCAGGCAGGCAGCCAAGGGAGCAGCAGCCGCCGACAGAGCAGCAGCCAAAGAGCAGGAAAGCGGGCGTTGGCGGAGCGTGGTGAGGCGAGCGGCGTGGCGAGGCGAGGCGAGGCGAGGCGACAGAAGCCAAACGGCGACGTGCAGAGAGGGCAGCAGCCAGCCAGCCAGCCAAGGCACACACACACTCACTCACTCGCTCACTCACTCGCCTTGGACCCACGGATTTGTGCAGCAGCTGCAATCGGCGGTTCGAGTGATTGCATTCTCTCTCTCTTGAATTTTGAGATCCCATCAGGTTTGAACCCGATTTGCACCACCAGATTGGGCTTCCCACGACGCCGACAGCCGGTGTGACGACGCTACCGTTAAAACGAGGGCAGCAAAAGAGAGAGAGAGAGAGCGCGCTGCGGAACGGGGAGAGGGCACTGCGTCAGAGGCTTGCAGAGAGGTTTAGCCCAGCCGCGTGCGTGCATGAGGAGGAGCTATTTCGAACCACCAAAACGAACTGCCCACCATCCGCCAGCCGCCCAATCGTGGGGCGAGGCGAGGCAAGGCAAGGCAAGGCAAGGCAAGGCAAGGCAAGGCAAGGCGAGGCAAGGCAAAAGAGTGCGATTCGCGATTTCATGCCAGCGGAGGGGCCACCTCGGACGTGCATCCAAAATGTCGAATTTCCGAAATTCCACATTGTTAGGGCTCGGATTGCCACATTCACAGGGCGTCGCCGTGGTTGCACGCGCGTTGCATCTCCTTTTAGGCGCGTGCGGAGCGGAGCGTCCGTCGCACGCACCCACAGCGCTCTCACGCAGCGAAAAGAGCGCCAACCAACCAACTCAATGCAGCCCGTGCACCACTCCGCCGTCCACACGAGCCTCCCCTTCCCCTTCCCCTCCTCACCTCCTCGTCTCGCCTGTCGACCATCCTCTCTCGTCTCCACATCATCCATCTCCAGCGTCTCGAGGGTGACGTCGGCGTGCACCTGGGTTCGATTGTGCAAAACGCTCCCTAGCATTCACGATCCGCTCCTGCGACCCCCTCTCACTCCACGTACGAATACGCTGGCTTAGCATTCGACATACAATCACCCATCTACTGCCACAATGGATCCATACGCATCGGCTTCCTCTTCGGCATCGCCGCTGCCGCCCACCTCGGCGTCCGCGTCCGCCTCGACGCTCGAAGCCCACGCCGCCACCTCCTCCGTCCATTCGCCCGACCTTCGTCGCCCGGGCGTCGGTATGCTCAATGGCGACACACCCACCTCCGCGTCGCCCTCCCACCACCACTATCACGTCAGCCGCCCCTCCCAAACCTCGCAGCATTCATTCCAGTACCAGCATCAGCATCAGCACCAGCATCCGCAACAACAACAGCATCAACATCAACAGCATCCACACCACCACGCTTCCAACCACTCCATCGGCAGCTCCTCGGGCTTCCGTCACGACTCCTCCGACAGCACACTCACACCCACCTTTTCCAGCAACAACCTCCACAACGCCTCCCACAGCCTCTTCTCCGACCCTAACGACCCGCTCGCACAGCCCCTCAACCCGGTCAACGCAGCGCCACTCCCAATCAACGCTTCCAGCCACATCCTCATCGCTAGCATCGTACAGAGGCTCGTCAACAAGCTCCCCTGCAACTCAGGATGGCGTCTCCAGCTCGTCGAAGAGGACGACCTCGTCCGTTCCTGCGTCGCAAACCTCATCAACCTCAGCTGCTTCCAACTCGGCCTCGTCGTCAAGGAGCTCCTCGGCGCAATCGAACTCCTCGTAAAGCAGTCCTCCCAGCAGCGACTCGAACAACAGGCCGGCATCGGCGTGCTCCACTCCCAGCTCTTCATCCTCAAGGTGCTCGTATCCTGCCTCAACCACCAGTGGCGCATCGCCGCCGGCCACGCAAACAGCCCTCGCCCCGGCCTCGATCCGCTCGCCTCCACCCCTTCCACCTCCAACTCGGCCCACAGCTGGTCCGATCCACCCGCCATGGACGACACACAGGCAAAGCACGTCCTCAGCGTCATGACCCTCCTCATCAAACAGAACGTCGCCAGGGACGACGCCACCTTCTCCTCCATCCACGACGCCGGCCTCGATGCGCGCTCCTCCTCCAAACCCGACTCCACCTCCTCCCACTCCCTCTCCGGCCGTCCACCTCCCTCCGAACGCTCCCTCCGCGACCTCAGCCTGCGCGATCCCGCTTCCGGCTTTTCCAGCACAAAGAGCTTCGCCCACCACTCTGCCTCGCGCCTCACCCGCGACGACTCCGAGTCACGCGAAGACGCAGCCAGCCCCACCGCCGCCGCCACATCCGAAAAGCTCCCAGAGGTCTTCATGCCCTCTTCCCTGTGCCTCGCCGCTTCCACCAGCCTCTACGTCCTCTATCCCTACTTTCCTCCCACGCGCTCGCCCTTCGACCAACCTCCCTCCATCGACAGGGCCGATCTCGCCATGGGCGTCGGCGCCTCCGACTCCCAACCATCCTCATCCTCCATACCCACCAGCACCACCACCGACGCCCAGTTCGATCCGCTACAACTCACAAAGGGCGCCAGATTCAACTCCTCCTCTTGGACCAACACCGCCTTCAGTCCGGACGTAGAGGGCTTCGACGTGCCTCACCACCTCCAGACCCGCATCTACCGCCTCGCCAGCCAGGTCGTCTTCTACCTCAGCTCCAGCAACTGGGTCGTCGTCAATGCACGTCTCCGCAATCGCCTCTACTATCTCAGCTCCACCATCGAGGACTCGCCCAGCACCGCAGAGCTCCGCCTCCTCGAGTGCTCCAACTTCCAGCGCGCACGTCTCGCCAGCATCCTCCAGGAAGTCAGCACCTCCTTCCCCCAGCTCAAGCGCAGCGCACAGTATACCGTCGCCTTGGTCCTCCGCCGTGCAATCTGGTCGTGGATCCAGTACCATCCCGCCGAGTTCGCCGCCCTCGTCACCTCCAACCGTCGCTTCGAGGGCAGCCCAGACGTCGTCTTCGACCAGGTCTACGCGCTCGCCGACACCACCAAGCGCAAGATCGCCTTTTGGCCCCTCCTCACCTCGCTCCTCATCCTCTGCCCAGACGTCGTCGGCAAGGCCGCCGTCGGCGAGAACAGAAAGGCGAGCGGCAGCCTCGCAAAGAAGCTCTCCTTCATCGACGGCCTTCGCAAGTCGCCGCGCAACACCGCCCTCATCGACGTCGCCGCGCTCTGCTGCGTCGACCTCTTCAAGGCCGCCGCCACCGTGCCGCGCTCCGACAACGGCCTTCGCCTCATCGTCCAAGACCTCGAGGTCGACCTCAAGGAGCGCCTCTTCGATCCAAAGAGGCCGCTCGCCAGCGGCAACAAGCCCATCGAGCTTATGCTCATGGTCGACTTCTTTGCTGCCCTCTTCCGCATCGATCCCCAACGCACCACCCGCGAGCTCGTCCCCATCTGCATGTCCGAGTCCAATCCGGTCCACTTCAAGATCGCGCTCGTCAAGGCCGCAGTGCTCCTCGCCAGCGAGCAACATCGCCTCCCGTGGGCGCCCGACGTCAGCATCCTCTACCCGCACATCTCGCGTCCGCTCCGTGCCTTCTTCCGCGAAATGACCTACCGCCTCCCGCGCTTCGACAATCGCGACGCCGCTCGCAAACGCGCAGCTTCGCGAGCAGCTGCCTCGGCCCTCTTTCGCTCCGCCTCCCTCTCGGGCTCCGCCGCCGCTGCAGCCGCTAGCCTCGACGAGTTGGCTCGCCTCGACTTGTTCCAGTCCACCGTTCAGCTCTGGACTTTGGACGTAGCTGCGCTCGCACACGCCATCGACCTCGACCGTCCAAAAGCCTTGACGTCGCTCTCGGGTGGAATGACGCCCTTTGACCGCGAAAAGGTGCTGCGCAATGCCGTCTCCATCGACAGCCTCCTCTCCTTCACCGTCTCCATCTGCTCCGTCTTCGCCACCCCACCCGAGTTCGCTTGCTACCGCAAGATCAGCGCCGCCCTTCTCTCGCGCGTCTACCACTCGGGCATGTTCGACGACTCGCTCGCCGAGTTTTGCGAGCACCAGCGCCACGTAGGCGTCTCGCTCCTCCCCTTCTTCTTCACCATCCTCACCGAACAGCTCATGGCCTCCGAGTCGTCCGAGATGCAGCGCCACTACCTCGAACTCCTCCGTCGCTCACAGCAACGCAGAGGCTTCTTCATCAGCCAGGAGCGCGACTGGGAGTCCACCGCCGCAGCTCCCTTCTATCCGCCCGCCCAAGAGCGCAAACTCGAATACCTCTGGGTCCAGCTCGTCACCCTCCTCCTCATGTGCTCCAGCGATACCGAGGTCTGCTCACGCGCCATGCAGTGCGCCTACGGCCACGCACAGCTCACCGTCGGCGTCACCAAATACTACGATCAGCTTCCCGACGAGTGGCTCCGTCTCTACACCGATCTCGCCGATCCCAACTTCCTGCACACCGGTCGCATCGCTCAGCAGAAGCGCATCCGCGCCTTGCTCCGCGATATCGAGGAGCCTTCCGTGGCAGGATGGCTCGCCTGGAAGGAAGCCTATTCGCGATGGGCCAACCTCACCCAGCTCGTAGCCAGGCCCATTGTCGAAGATTCCTCAACCGCACCGGACAAGGCCGCCCAGTGGCACAACTATGCCGGCTTCCTCTGCGCCTTTGGCGGCGCCTGCTTTGCCGCTTCCGCGCGCATCACCTCCGAGGTCGAACCGAGCGTCGCACAAGTCTTGCCTCAGTTTTCCGACCTCAACGAGCAGCCAGCTACGCTCATCGAACATTTCGTCCAGGAGATGGTCGACCTGCTCGTGTCCGACTCTCTCTGGGTGCGCGAAAAGGCCAAGGAGACGCTGGGTGTCGATCTGGGTCCCCGTTTGATCGGCATCCTCTTCCGACAGATCCATGCAGTCCTCAGCGATTTCTTTGACAAGGACACGGGCTACCCCAAGACCAGCGAGATGTACACCGTCTTTGTCGAGCAGAGCATCGGCGTTGCCACCATGGTGCTCCACCGCCTCGACGAGGACAAGGCCGTGGTCGCCACGTCCAAGGTCGATATTGGCTCGCTCATGGTGCTCTTTGTCGAATATGCCAACTCGCTCGGGCGTGAAGAGCAGGCCTTGCGCATCAAGACCGCCATGTGTCAGATGTGCGAGGCCCTCATGCGCAAGAAGGCCGCCTTCTCGTTCTCAAACGAGCTGCGTGTTCGTAATCGCCTCTTCCAAGCCTTGACCACCTGGACTTCGGACGGATCCGAGGACGGCTTCCACTCCAACTCGCTCGATGCGCTCGATCGCCTCCACCGCGATCTCGACGTGGCCTGCCTCAAGTGCATCTCGATCCTGCTCGACAAGCTGCCGCTGCTGCTGGCCGACGATGCGCTCCTGCTAGATGACAAGGTCGAGGGCGCCAAGACCCGCCACTTTGCCATGTACTTTGCCTACTTTATCAAGATCCTCAACCGCACGCGGCACTCGGAAACGGCGGCTGTCGCGCGTGCTCGCGCTGTCAACGATGCGCGCTCGCTCGCCGGCGCCAAAAGTGGCAAGGTGGAATCCGGCCGCGACTTTGAACCGTTGCGCGAGTCGGCGATCCTGGCGCTCTCCAACCTCTTGGCTTCGAACATCGACAGCGGATTGCATAGCTCTTTGCCCTTGGCCTACCACGAAGATCCACGCATCCGCACCGCCTTTATGCAGATCATGACCAACGTGCTCAATCAGGGCACCGCGTTTGACGAGCTCGAGCGTCTCAGTGGAGCGCGCAAGTCCAATCGCCTCATCGACCTCGTCTGTCAAGAGGATCTGCAGCTCGCACTGTCCGTCTGCCAGGTGTGTCCTGGCCGCGATGTGGAGCCGATGAGCGTCCTGCTGCTCAGCATCTTCGATGCCAAGGGCGGCCTCATCCGATTCCTCAAAGCCGCCGTCGAGGAGGAGATCCAGCGCACGGCGACCGAGGAGATGGTGTTCCGCAGCAACTCCTTCTGCACCACCCTGCTCTCCACTTTTGCCCGCACGCACGGCTACGACTACCTCCGCTCCATCATGGCGCCTCTCATCACCGAGTTTGCGCGCAAGCCGGCCGGATTCTCGGTCGAGATGGATCCCTCGCGAGTCGAGCCTGGAGGAAGCGCTCTCAAGAACCAGACTGCGCTCGAAGAGATCGCACAGGCCTTTATCGACGCCATCTGCTCCTCGGCGCATCGCGTGCCTGCCGTGCTGCGCGAGCTTTGCCGCCACATCCGCAACGTCTTGGACACGCGCTTCCCTGCCTCGCGCTATCAGGGTGTCGGAGGTCTCATGTTCCTGCGATTCATCAGTCCTGCCGTGGTGTCGCCCCACATGATCGACATCAACCTCACCGGACCCAGCAAGGACCTTCGTCGTGGCCTCGTGTTGATCAGCAAAATCCTCATCACCCTCGCCAGCAACAACCTCTTCTCGAGCCACAAGGAACCCTTCATGACCGGTCTCAACGACTTTTTGAAGAGCAACGTTTGGAAGGTCACGGCGTTCCTCGATCAGGTCTCGGACGCTCGCACCGACCCCGATCGTCTCTACGCTGCGGACCAGCCGCTGGGCTTCGGCATCCATCCAACCGTGTACGGCGTCGACGAGCGCGATCAGAGGATGCTGCACAAGTTCCTCTTCGAGCACGTTGAAAAGCTTGGCAAGTGCCTCTCGGACCGTACCTCGAAGGCGAACGAGCTGTCGACGTCAGGAGCCGGTGCCGATCGGGACAGCTTCCTCGGCAGTGACGCTCAGTGGCGACGCAGCCACGAGGCCAAAAACGTCTATGACGACTTGTGCGATGCTCTGGCCGCCGCAGGAGAGCCCAAGGCAGACGAACTGCCCGAACCGGCTTTCGGTGCGAGCAACTATCAGGACTTTCTTCGCCGGCACGCCGGCCGCAACGTCGACGAGGACAGCTACCGGGCCATCTTCTACGAAGGACCGTCGTCGCGAGCCGGTCGTCCAGTGCTCTACTATGCCATGCACAACCAGAAGGCGGACACGATCGACTTTGAGGGCCTCATTCTCTACATCCTTCAGACGCTCGAGACCTTCGCCTATCGACACTTCGACCTGGTGTTCAACACGACCGCCTGCCACCCGTCCAACGTGACGCCCAGCCAGTGGCTCCTCTACTTTAGCTCGTTGGTGCCCGCCTCGATCCTGGCCAACGTGGTCAACGTCTTCTTCCTCAATCCCAACACCACTGCCCGCGTCGAGCTGCAGTTCTGGTCTTCGTCCTCGTACGGTGACTCGTCGATCAAACACGAGATCGCCGACCGCATGACGTCGCTGCAGAACGTAGTCTCCTGCACGACGCTCGCAGACATCGAGATGTACGTTGAACCGCGCAACCTCGCGTTGGACAAGCTTACGCTCGCCATCCTCGGTTCGACAGCCGAGATGCACTTTGACCAGATCACCATGGTGTGGTACTACCGCTCCTTGACACCCGTCAAGTTCAGCATCGGTGGCGAATACCTGCAGATCACCGGCCTCAAGCAGCAGGAGTGGTTGCCCAACGTCTCCGTCCATCTCAACAACGTCTTCCATCTCTCTGACATCGACGACGTGCGCTCCATCTCGATCCGAGGCGACGACAACACCTTCTTCCTCTCGTGCCGTAACGGCGCCATGAACTTTGTGTTCAACAGCCGCGAACGCTCCGAGGTCGTGCAGGCATTGCGACAGGCCAAGGCGCGAGTGTCCAAGTTCCGAGCCAACAACGCCGTGGATCGTGTGCTGCGGCCCAACGATGTGCCGGGCACGCTGCTCAACATGGCCATGCTCAACATCACCAGCGACGATTCGGCGTTGCGGCTCAGCGCCTACAACCTGCTGTGCGCGCTGAGCACCTCGTTCAACTTTGGCGCCAGCAGTGCCAAGAAGCGACTGTTGAGCTCGCGCGGCCTCGCGCTGCCTGCCAACACCATGGCGTTTGTGACGGATTTGAGCAAGGACTTTGCGGTGGCCGCGCCTGGCGTGACGCTCGAGTTCCTCCTCTCGTTCTTTGACGGATTCGAGCGCGCGGCGCGCAGCCAGAAGACGGTGTGCTTGCACTATCTGTCTCCCTGGCTGTCGAATCTGGTCATGTTTGTGCACACGTCCCGCGAGCAGCAGGGCGAGTACCACCGCCGCATCAAGGAGATCCTCAACCAGCTCATCAGCATCACCACCAAGCAGCCCGACATGTACGCCATTATGCAGCGCTGCGTGTGGTCGCAGCTCAGCCGGCTCGACGACCTCATCCCGACCTTCTTGGACGTGTTTGCAGAGGCAGCCATGGACTCGGGCCTGCACACGGAACGCTTCGAGGCGGTGCTCGATACGATGGTCTCGTTTGCCTCGATCAATCTGCGCGGCAAGCTGCTTTCGCGGCTGCGCAAGGTGATCGCCAAGACGGCGCAGAACGCCGTGGTGTCGCAACTCCATCTCAACGCGTCGTGGAAGGAGATCGCGACGCTGGTGCGCATGAACATGGTGCTCTCGTTCACCAACCGCGTCGAGGCACTGCTCTACCTCCCGGAGCTGCTTCACGTGATTCTCCTGCTGGCAGGCAACGGCACGGATGCGACTCGACACGCGATCTACGGAAGCGCCATCAACCTCGTGCATTCGCTCTGCACCGAAGACCAGCGCGAGGCACGTAAGCCGGAAGAGGCGACGCCGCGCAGCGCCGAGGCGGTGGCCAAGCTGCGTGCGCTGCTCGAGCGACTCGCCGAACCGGACGCGCTCAAGCTGTTTGGCCTTCCCGCCGCTTCGCAAGCGACGAGCGCCAATGCAGCGTTTGGCGCCTCGACGGAGATGGTGCGCGATCCGCCGGACAATGCCTCGATCGAGCGCCTGGCACTGCTCATGTACGAGGTCGCCGACGCGGCGGCTCCTAGCGTGGATGCGGCTAACAGCTGGCGCGCGCGACTGACGAGCCTGGTGACCAGCACGGCCTTCCAGTATAACCCGATCATCCAATCGCGAGCGTTCGTGCTGCTCGGCTGCCTGGCGCAGGGCGAGATCGACGACGACCTGCTGTACCAGATCCTGGTGTCGCTGCGCGGCTCGATCTCGGAGTGGGCGAGCAGCAGCTCGGACATGCCGATGATCAGCATCGTGACGTGCCTGAGCAAGGTGGTGCGCATCCTTCCGACGCGCTCGCGCTATCTGCCGCAGATGATCTGGCTGGGCGTGGCGATGGTGCAGTGCGGGCATGTGCCGCTCTTCAAGGCCGGAGCCGAACTGATGCTCGCGACGGTCGAGACGATTTGGCAGCGGGGCATCCCGACGAGCGAGGGGTCGGATCTGATCGCCTATCTGTTGGATGCGCGCTTCGAGTTCCGCGAGCTGGCGTGCAAGCTGGACGACGAGACGGGGATGGACTTTGACATTAACTTTTCGTTTGGCATGGCGGCGCTGCTGGTCAAGGGGTTGCGGCATCCGTCGACCAAGGAGGTGACGACCAAGCTGATGCGCGCCATGCTGCGCCACTGTGGCGTGGATGCGTCGGGCGAACGTTGTTCTAGCGATGGGCGGATTTCGGAGCGACAGCTCGGGTTCTTCGTTGGGTTGCTGCCGACGGCGACGCGGTTGGAAGAGTTTGGCCAGCTGTTGGCGCTTGCCGGCGTGGAGCCGGGTGCATGCTCAGCAGCGGTCGAAGCGCGTCGATCCGGATACAAAGGACTGCAACAGTATCTGGACGTACTCAACAACCGCATAGCGCTATTGCTCGTCACGCTCGTCACATCGTTACTGCAGCATGCCGAGTCTGACGCGGAGCGACTCATGCTGTACGGCTTCCTGAACGAGGCTGCGCGCGAGATGCCCGCCATCGTCAGCATCCTCTACGACAGTCTGGCGCCGAGCATGAAGGACGTCTTTGTCAACTGTTCCAACGGTGCCATCCTCGACGCGGTGCATGGCATCGCACAAACCGCGCTGAGCCAGCCGTTCTTTGCCGCCCAGGCACGCGAAACCGCCAAGCGCGGCGGTCCCAATGCCTACCTCGTCGAATCTGGCTACGGCAGCTTGCTCGGATGCGGCGCCTTCGTCCCGCTCATGGAGGGCCGCCGACACGTGCTGTGCAAACTCAGCATCCAACTCGTCCTAGGCCTCACCGACGTAGGCACCACCTAAGTCCGCTAGATCGGTATCACAAGAGACGGTTATGGGTATTTTGTTAATCTGATTGTATGCTATTGCTTCTTGTGACCGAGTGCGGGGGATCAGACGGTGAGTTTGTGAGACTGCTCACGCAGGGGTGAGTAGAGGAGAGGCTATTGTGGTCAGTGGCTGACTCGAAATGTGGGCCTTGCAACGCGAGGTTGGATTTCCACATCATATCGAGAGAACTAAGATTCACTGAACAGATGAGACTACATGACCTGAGTGCAAAGTGAACACCATCCCACTCTTTGCGTTGCCACGAGTCCTGTTTGGTGATCAACCGTCTGCAAAGTGACCGCAAAGGAGGGTGGATGTTGGCATGCAACAAGAGAATGGAGAGCTTGGCTGCGAACGAAGTAAGTCAGCGGTGACTGCTTCATCAAGCTCCAAGGGCCAACATCCTTTGCCAGTGACTGGGTTCCCGGTGTGACGCTTGTAGCAGCCGACACAAAGCTTCCTCTTCTTTTCCGTCTTGTGCCGGCGCTAGGGAGCAGCAGACAGAATCCAAAGTCGCATGGCCAACCCCCCAAAGAACGCAGGCACGCGCGTTGCTTCCGCAGGTCGAGTCGCGATTCAGTGCGACGGCGTGTATGGTTTGCATCGCATCGTACTTTTCTCACTTGGTCTGCATCAAAATCAAGCTGCATTGTGAAGCGAACGTCGACTCCGGATTGCAGTTCTTGTGATCGTAGCGCCGAGGATCGATACGACCGGACAGCGTGGGTTTTTCGAGTCGAGAAGGCAAACACCCCAATGTACGACAGGCTTGTGTCCGTCACCCTCGTTGCTTCCACCACCCCACTTTGGAATCATCTCCCAGTACCGCACAACAAGCTCTGGCTCGCTTCACGTTTCCACAGCCATGGGTCAATTCCCTTGGCTCTCGATCTCTGTTCCACCACTTTGGAGCCACGATTCGCATCTCCAACGGGCACGATCGTCCAGTCTTGTACGCAAGGACCTTGTTGGTTTGTAAAGGCCTCATTTTCACGCACTTCTCGGCGACACGTGCTGCGTAGTTCGGCGTACAGGAGAGCGGAGCGCTTTCGAGTGGAGCCACGGTGTCATAGCGCTCTTTCTGCGGAACAGCATATCTTGGCAGCCGGCCACCAGCAATGTACGAGGATTGAACGTAGATAGCAAGGTGCGGTTCGAGGACAGGATCCGACGCCGCAGAGCAAATACTGTGCGTTGAGAGGGAAGATGTCCGGATAACTGCCGAGGTGGGGCCTTGTGAAGGTCAACAGCGCGAGCGTTGAGTGGCTAGAGAGTCTCGACTCGTCCGCGTCGATGCGTTCAGGAACCGCGGATCGTGCGTGGTCTGACTACTTTGACGTCTGACTGGAAGAGCGTTTGGTGCTCGCTGCGATGCCGGTAAAGCCCAAACCGCGGCACTTTTTGTACCGAACTACGCACAGGTCGCAATTACCCTTGGTTGGATCGCGCTCCCTGCCTCTGTGATTGGTACCGACACCAAAAGTGCAGATCTTGTTGCGACGAGTGCATTCGTCGCAGCCGGGCTGCATCACTACAAAGCCAGGATGGATGGACTCGCCAATGCTGGGAAAGTGACGCTCTCGATAGCGAACCTCTCCGGCAGGTACGACGAACCGGTTGCCAGGAGCCGTCATTTGGTTCTCCTTGATCGGACCTGACCACGTCTGTCCTGGGCCCAACGGCAACTCTGGATATCCACCCTCGGGCTGGATCTCGACTACATCTCTTGCGCTTCTAAGAGATTGTGTCTTGGTCTCCCAGGAGGCGTCAGGTGTCTGGCGAGACTGAGTTGGTGGTTGACTGTGTCGAGGCTGGTGATGGTGAGTTGTTCGAAAGTAGTCAGGTGGTGGTTGTTCATGTGCGACGGTGAGGATGACTGCAGGCAAATCACCGAGCTTGGGCCTTTTTCTGCTTACATTGTTGGCTGCAAGTGCTGGATTGACTGCAGTGGCAGAATCGTTCGCACCGCGCTGCTTGCGATTGGCATCTCGACCGGTTTTAAGCCTATCTTCCGGCATCATCTCAGCCCCGCCGAGTTGACGCTTAGAAGAAGGACCAGCACCGACATCTTGGTTCAAGACCTCGGCATCGCACTGCTCAAGCTTCTGCTCGGGCTGGCGATCCATGAGATCGAGGTCGTGGTTGAGCTGGATTTCGAAGCGGTCGAGCTCCTGCTTGGAGCGGGTCACGAGCTCGGGGAGTGCATACTTCAGCGCGAAACTGGCAGTATAGCGTTCGATCTTGATCCTCGCGTCGTGGAAGTTCTGCGTGACCATCGTCCTAGCGTCGACGTCGAGCCATTCATCCTTGATCGTTTTCCTCATGATGATCTACTGGAGCGGATGTTAGCGAAAGCTCAATGACCAATCGCATACGACAAATGGTGGTTCTTTGTGTGAGCGGCTGACTATGTAAAAAGGAGGGAATATTTGGGATCATTCGATTCAGCGCTCGGGCACATCATATATATGGCAAAGTGAGATGACAGTCACGAGTGTGGAATGAGTGCAGAATGATATGAAGGCGAGCGGCAGTGTGATCGCCAAGCGTGAGTTCATATGCGGGGAGCTTAAAACGCGGATGTTAGTGCTGCGCTTCATACACGCTTCGGCGCAGCGCCGCGCACGTGCGGGTCTAACGGCGCAGGGCGTCAGAGCTGCTTGAGCTGAAGCTGAAGCTGGCAAAGACGCGATGTGCTGGCCAGGGTCCCGTTGCGCCCAGCCTTGGCCCCAAATTTGTAGAGAGCAACGAGTTGAAATTCGCGATTTCGAGCAAGAAGCTGCAGGCAATTCAAATTTTGGCCGCCATCGAAATTCAAGTGGGGAAGGCGTGGGCGTTGCGTTTGGGGCGGCGGCGGCGCGTAAGTGAGCGGTTGAGAAGTTCTTCTAAATTTTCACCGCTCGACCCTTTTTCCTTTTTTTTTGCGCCTCTGCTTGCCCTTTGCGGCGACATGCCTAGGCTCGGCTGCAAGGGTTCGCGCTCTCGGACCAGCGAGGTGCGACAAGGGCAAACGTGCCCGTAGCCACAGCCAACCCCTCTGCAGCGGCTGCCTCTCTCTGGCCGAAAGTTTGCTGGAGAGGCCAGACATTTCGGCGGGTGCTATTGGAGCGCTTCGACAAGGTCAAGCCATCTTCTGCAACACCATCACCCTATCTGGTATCCTCCCTCAATACATCGCCCATCATGAAGGTAAGGACATTCCTCACGCCGCACTTGTGACTCGATACCAAGATCAACCGCAACACGCAGCAACGCGCACATCGTGGTTCGATTGCTGGTCTGGCGTGCGTGTTGAGCTCTAGGCGCCCATCCTCCTCGACTGGTAGCGCCCGCTCGTCTTCGCACGGTGCTGCAACCATCGCAACCAGAGCGTCGCGACGTCTCAGCACAAGCACGAACCGTATCAAGCTCGACTGAGCGCGGGCGTTTTTCCACCTATCTTCGGGTAACCCTCAGGAATCCGCCCGAGCTGGTTGCCTTCGTAGGCCGACAGCGCACCACGACCATCGACTTCTGCCTGGCTGTCTACGATGGCTTCTATGCCGGGATGGATTGTGCTCGCAAGGTTGCCGTGAGCGACTGGCGCATGCGCTACGAAGCGTCTCGCAAACGCATCTAGGGCGCTCCACCGGCACTTCGAGAGCCGCAACTGTGTCGGCCCACGGGCGTGCGCGCGGGCAGTCCGGCAAAGATCGCTGCACTCACGCTGCTTCGGTACCTGATCTTGGTCATCGTGTCGCTATCGATCGAGAGTTCCGTGACTGACGCGTCTCCATCTGGTCTTTGCTTGTCCGCCCTACAGCTCTACACTGACGTCATCGCCAACGACGAGATGTGCTCGGACGGTTACGAGATGAAGCTCGTCGACGATGTTGTGTACGAGGTCGACGCTGCCAAGATTGTCGTCTCGGACGGTGATGTCGACATTGGCGGCAACCCCTCTGCCGAGGAAGAGGCCGAGGCGCTCGAGAACGGTGCCGAGCAGGTCATCAACATTGTCCACTCGTTCCGCCTCCAGTCCACCTCGTTCGACAAGAAGTCCTACCTCGCCTACCTCAAGGGCTACATGAAGGCGGTCAAGGCCAAGCTCGCCGAGACCAACCCGGACCGCATCCCCGCCTTTGAGAAGGGCGCCGCTGCCTTTGCCAAGAAGATCGTCGGCTCCTTCGGCGACTGGGAGTTCTACACCGGCGAGTCCATGGACCCCGAGGGCATGGTCGCGCTCCTCAACTACCGCGAGGACGGCGTGACCCCTTACCTCGTCTTCTGGAAGGACGGCCTCCGCGAGACCAAGATCTAAGGCGTTCGTTTGCACTTCGCCCGCTCTCGCGCTCAGTCTTCTTGCAGCGCCACGTGCCCAGACGCTCGCTCGTGCGTGGCCCCGTGGGTCCTCTGCTTGTACCACCAAAATACCTCACTCACCTTCGCACCCTCTCTGTCATGACACAAGTCAATCGACTGGATTCTGAAGTACCCTTGCTGGCTGCGGCATTCGAACCTCGTTTCTCAACTGAGACGCACCGACAAATCGTTGAGCACGTTCACGCCTCGGCCCTGTCTTGACCTTAGAAAGTCTGGCGACACCCCAGCTGGATCGGGATTCAATGCCAACAAGCAATCACACGTCAAAACGATAGATGATTAGGGCAGGGCGAGGAATTGCATGTAGAAAAAGACAGCGCTCGGGGAGGATGGGAAAAAAAAAGACGCGACCCCAGGCGGGCTCGAACCGCCGACCTCAGCATTAACAGTGCTACGCTCTAACCAACTGAGCTATGGAGCCTTGATGAATGGCGGAACGGAATATACACAATATGAATACCAAATGCCAGTGAGACGAGGCGTTGTCCGCGAGGCGAGGCAATGTAGCACAGACCACGCGGCAGGGCTAGGATGCACGACTGGTGCTGGCAGCTCGACGTTGCGCTTGTCCGCGACGTGGAAGCTCCTCTCTCGGCAGCCTGCTGTTGCACTTCCTCCACTTCTCGCCTCCCACAAAAGACCCGTCGACGATCGTCCTTTCTATCCTTTCACACACATACTCACATACATTCCGCATCGTTTGCTGATTCGACTCGCACGCTCGCTCGCCAATCAAACCCCTTTCTAGGTGCAGCACTTCAACAATGGCTGGATTCCTTAGAGGTGGCGGCTCCGGCGGCGCCGGGTACGGCAGGGTGGGCGATGGCTCGGACCCGTACAGAGACGGCCGCAATCCCTATACCTCCTCTTCAGCTTCGTCGGGTCGCTCGGCTGCTGGCGGCGCTGGTTATGGAGGCGCTGGCTTCGCAGGTGCCGGAGCAGGCGGCGCTGGTCGTACTGCTGGCGGTGCCGGCTTCCGCGCGGGCGGCGCAGGCTTCGCGGGCGGTGCTGGAGGAGCTGGCTTCTCAGGCGGTGCTGGTGGAGCTGGTGGTGGTGGCGCTCCCTACGCCTCGGAAAAGTCGAGCCCAAGGCCACGCATGGGCGGAGGCCACCTCGTAGTCAAGTGCCCCGAGCAGCTCATTCTGTCCAACTGCCTCATCGTCAACGGCCAGGAGTGGGGCTCCACGCAGTACGTGCTCGTCGAAGGCATGTACGTCTTCACCGCCCAAGCGGACCCTACAGGTGCCATCCAGCCGGGAACACTCGGCACCGCCAAACTGCAGCGACAGTGGGCTGGACTCTCCGCCCAAGGACAGTCGGTGGAAGCCGTGCCGTACGATCCGTTCGCCTTTGGCAACAGCGTCTACCTCGGTAGCATCGACATCGAGGTCGCCTTCATTCGCAAGGGTGAAGTTGCCGCGCAGGCCTACGACACCGCCGAGATGGCCAAGGTGTTTGCGCGTGCTTTCGAGAACCACATCTTCACCACCGGCCAGCTCCTCGTGTTCGAGTTCAAGGGCATGAATCTGATTGCCACCATTCGCGGCGTCGATGTCGTCGAGCTGCACGAGATCCAGCAGCGAAGCCAGAGTGCGCCCCAGGGTGGCCACGCCGGCTCTCATCCGAGCCGTTCCGATCGCGGTATTCTCATTGCCCAAACGCAGATCAACTTCTCGGCCACCCCGGATGGCGGTGTGAAGCTCAAGGCCTCGGGCAACCGACCGCCGCCCAACGCGATCCTGCAGCCCAACTTCAAGTTCGAGGACATGGGCGTGGGCGGTCTCGACAAGGAGTTCGCCAACATCTTTCGTCGAGCGTTTGCCTCGCGCATCTTCCCCCCGGCTCTGGTGGAAAAGCTGGGCATCCAGCACGTCAAAGGTATGGTGCTCTACGGTCCGCCTGGTACCGGTAAGACGCTGCTGGCTCGACAGATCGGCAAGATGCTAAACGCGCGCGAGCCCAAGATCGTCAACGGCCCCGAGGTGTTCAACAAGTACGTCGGCGGGAGTGAGGAGAACGTGCGCAAGCTATTTGCGGATGCCGAGAAGGAGCAGAAGGACAAGGGCGACGAGTCGCAGCTGCACATCATCATCCTCGACGAGCTCGACGCCATGGTGCGTCAGCGAGGCTCGGGCGGTGCGGGCGCGACGTCGGCGGGCGACAATGTGGTCAACACGCTGCTGGCCAAGCTGGACGGTGTGGAGCAGCTCAACAACATCCTGGTCATCGGCATGACCAACCGGCTCGACATGATCGACGAGGCACTCCTGCGTCCCGGTCGTCTGGAGGTGCACGTCGAGGTGAGCCTGCCGGACGAGTTTGGACGTCGTCAGATCCTCAACATCCACACGAGCAAGATGCGCACCAACGGCGTCATGGACGGCGACGTAAACATCGACGAGCTCGCGGCGCTCACCAAGAACTTTTCGGGTGCCGAGATCGCGGGACTGATCAAGTCGGCGACGTCGTTTGCGTTCAACCGCCACGTCAAGGTGGGCACCATGGCGGGCATCTCGAACGACGTGGAGGACATGAAGGTGATGCACCAGGACTTTTTGAACGCGCTCGAGGAAGTCAAGCCGGCGTTTGGCGTGGCCGAGGAGGAGCTGTCGCAGGTGGTGCAGAACGGAATCATGCACTTTGCGCCGCACATTGATGTCATCCTGCGCGACGGCCATCTGCGCGTCGAGCAGGTGCGCACCTCCCAGCGTACGCCGCTCGTCACGGTGCTGCTGCACGGTCCTCCCGGTTCGGGCAAGACGGCGCTGGCGGCTACGATTGCGATCGCATCCGACTATCCGTTCATCAAGCTCATCTCGCCCGAGAGCATGATCGGAATGGGCGATGCGCAGAAGATCAACTACCTCAACAAGGTGTTTAACGACGCGTACAAGTCGCCGCTGTCGATTGTGGTGATCGACAACATCGAAAAGATCGTCGAGTGGGTTCGGATTGGACCTCGATTCTCGAACTCGGTGCTGCAGGCGCTGGCGGTGCTGTTGGGCAAGCGACCGCCCAAGGACAAGCGTCTGCTGGTGCTGGCGACCACGTCGAACCGACGCATGCTGCATGAGATGGAGATGCTCAATGCCTTTATCGCCGAGATTCGCGTGCCCAACATCACGTCGCTGCGCAGCGTGGACCATGTGGTTCGCCAGATGCAGCTGTTCGAGCACGATGGCGAGGCGCAACGCTGCCAGCAGCTCCTGGCGCAGGCCGGACTCGGCGAAGAGGGCAAGCTCAACATTGGCATCAAGAAGCTGCTCTCGGAGATCGAGATGGCTCGTCTGGACAACGACCCGGCGGACCGTCTGGCTTCGAGCCTGTCGAGCGTGCAGAACACCGCCATCGATGTCGACATCGACGTTGATCTCAACTGATCTCGCTCACTGCACCTTCCTCACAGCCTGAATTCTAGACATTGGGACATTGATTCTGCGTTGCTAAGGTGCGGAAGGGATTCCGGCGAGCCAAGTCTTGAAGATGGAGTGTACATCTTTGCGCCATTCGAGTTCGCGTGCCGCCTCTTGGAGTGTGAAAGATTTCCTGCTTCGTTCGTGAGCTTCTGGCCATTGCTCGGCGGGTTGCTTGGTGAGGACCAGTTCGTGGGCGGAATAGCGAGCGCGGGCGACGAATCCTGGCTCGTGCGCATGCTTGACTGGGCTGTGCTTGTGTGGTTTGTGGTCGTCGACGATGAGCTGTTCCGGTGTACAGCGAGAGACGGTGTTGGATGGAGATGGATCCGCGATGAGACCTGCCTCTTCCCACAGCTCGCGAACCGCAGCTTGACGTGTCGACTCGCCGTGCTCTACGCCGCCCTTGGGCAGTACGAATCGACCCTCATGCTTGCGTGACGAGACGAGGTAGACGCGCAAGTCCCCCGAGCTGACAGCCGCGTTGGAAAGAGACGGCGTGTGCACCACAGGAATGGCAACGGCAACTTCTCTTGGGGTCGCCATCTTGTACGAGCCAGGCAAATGATGGACGGTCGGTGCGAGGTTGGTGTTGGTGTCGCCTCAAAGTGGGCGCACGGCCTCCACATGTGAGAGTGGAACGACGAACAAAAGTCGAATTTCGCACAAGCTGGCGGTCGAGCCATGCATTCGAGGCATAAAGGGCTCGAACGGATCGCTTTCCGACGACGCCCTTTTTGGAGGAATTTTCTGGGTCGGCAGCACGGCGAAGCGGGGCAGAGCGGGAAAAAGCAGAGAAGGAAGAGCCTCTCTCCCCCTCGCTCCTCCACACCATCACCATCGATCGCACAGACTGCCTCCGCCTGCATCCTCGGCATCCTCGCTGCAGCTGCATCGCTCGCTCGCTTCGTTCATGGTTGGCGCGCGTCGTTGGTTGCGTACGAGCGCCTTGAGCGTCTCTCGCTGCTCGCATCCCTCTCAATCACACACCCTTGCTTTCACCACCGCCTCGGCTCCACGGAGATCCCCGTCCTCGACGTCCTCGTCAACCTCCGCCTCTTCCGCTTCATCCTCCTCGGGCTCGTCGTCTTCGGGCTCTTCTCAGTGGAAACCTCCGCCTCCGCCGCCATCCGGCTCCACAGCAGCGTCCCGCAAGCAGTCGCGCAAAGAGTGGCTCCTCGTCGGCGTCGCTGGCTCAGCTGCTGCCGTCGGCTCGTGGTATTATTGGTCCAACATTCGCCCTCGGCACCAAGCCAACAAGGCGGCTGCAGCAGCGCTCGCTGCCAACTCGGCGCCCTTCTCCATCACCGCAGAGTCGCGCACCTCCTTCTCCATCCCTACCCGTCAGGCTCAGGCCGGCGGTCCCACCAACAAGGTGGTCTCCACACTCACCAACGCCGAGGTCGATCGCCGTCTCACCGAGAACCAGCGCAGCACGCGCGTCGATCGTCCTCGGGGCGCATGTCTCGTCGCGCGCTACGACACCAACTCGGTCGCCAGCAATGACCCCATCGAGGACAAGCGCGCAGAGGTGATTGTCGAGCGCGACAGGGGCGTCGCAGATCCCCGCCCCTCGTCCGCATCCTCCTCCCCCGCCACTACCACCACCAACACGCCCAACACCGCCAGCGGCAGTCTCAACGGCGACCTCTGCTTCTTCGCCGTCATGGACGGACACGCCGGCTTCCACACCAGCACGCTCCTCAGCCAGAAACTCATCGCCTTTGTCGCCCTCGAGCTCGACAAGGTCTTCCGCGAGGCTGGCGAGTACGCCGAGATTGCAAAGGCAAAGAGTGCCATGCCCAGCAAGCTCTGGCGTGCCCTCGTTGGTGGCAGCTCGCGCACCTCGTCTGCATCCGGTATCACCAGCGGTCTCGACGGCGACCCAGAGATCGTCAAGCGCGCCATCGCAAAAGCCTTCCGCGGCCTCGACAAGGAGATCGTCAACACCCCCGTCGAGCTGCTCAAGGAGTACGAGCTGAGCCTCGCATCCACCTCGTCGAGCTCGGTCCAGCCCGATGGCGGCGCAGGCAGCACCCGAAGCCTCAGCTCGCTCGCACACACCATCTTCCCGAGCTCCACCAATGCCACCTTTACCGCCACGCAGAAGAGCGCGTACGAGAGTATCCTTCCGGCGCTCTCGGGAAGCTGTGCGCTGCTCACCTACATCGACTCGGCGCGCCATGACATCTACGTCGCCTGCACGGGCGACTCGCGTGCCGTCGCCGGCTACTGGGACGAGGACACGGGCAAGTGGGAGGTCGAGGCGCTCTCGGTCGATCAGACCGGCCGAAACCCGGACGAGGTGCGTCGCATGCGTGCCGAGCATCCTGCCAACGAGTCGGAAAACGTCATCCAGCGTGGCCGCGTGCTCGGCGGGCTCGAGCCCACGCGTGCGTTCGGAGATGCGCGCTACAAGTGGGACCGCGAGCTCCAGGGCCGTTTGTACGATGCCTTTCTGCCGGGTGGCCGGTCTTCGACGCGAGGACCGCCCCGCGGCCTCGAGACGCCTCCGTACGTCACGGCGACGCCTGCGGTGGAATGGCGCAGAGTGGGCGAGACGAGCTCGAGCCCGAATCGCGAGCTGCGCTTCATCATCATGGCCACCGACGGTCTGTGGGATATGATGAGCAACGAGGAGGCGGTCAGCCTTGTGGCGGGTCACCTTGCGGGCATCAAGGGCACCATCCGATCGTCCGAGCTGCAGCGTCATACCTTCCAGCCCATCGACAAGCAGCACTCTCTGCCGTCGAATGCTGGCGCGGCCGCGACGTCGTCTGTAGCCGCAGCAGCTAATGCTCCGGCGGTGGCGGGGCAGGCGGCTGTTCAGAACCCCGTGCGCGCGGCGTCGTCCGAGGAACAGCGCGAGCTGGCCGTGTCCAAGCAGCATCCGCTGTCCAAGGGACCCGAGCCGCTCAGGACGTTCCAGTTCCAGGACGACAATCTCTCCACCCATCTCATCCGCAATGCGCTCGGAGGTGCCAACCAGCAGCGTGTCGCGGGTCTGCTGGCCATCCCCGCCCCCGAGAGCAGAAGATACCGCGACGACATCACCGTCAACGTCATCCTCTTCAACTCGCCCACCTCAACCCCCGCCCGTCCTCCCCCCACTGATCCGGAGCAGCACGCACACGAACCGATCAAAGCCAAGCTTTGATGCGATGTACTGTCTGGTATCGGGATCTCTTCTTGTGCAATACTGTATGACATCTGCCCTTTTGGCTTGGCTGAACGAGTGTGGCGGTGGAAGGGAGGATAGGGTTTAGAAGTGTGCCTCGTGCCTCGGTCGCGTCCGGCGGTGCAGATCTTTCCCGATACTTGAGCTTGGCACCGAAGGGGGGGAAGGAGGTTGAGTATGTGTCAGAGTCAATCGGCAAAGCCACTCGAGGTTCGAGTCGTCCGGGTTTCGGTGGGAGCTCCGAAACGGCGACTTTTTCTTTTACTGCACTCCATTGCTTACCTTGATGCAACTGCAGAGATGGTGGGGTGGGGGAAGAGAGAGAGGAGGGGGGTTGTTGATTGAATCCGGTTTCATTTGACGGTTTCATTTCCTTGGGTTCCGACCATTGTCTCACGCTGCGTGGTGTCCGAGCACGTTTCGGTGCCACCTTTTGCGAGTGGAGTCTCGACTCGAGAGCTTGAGTGCAAGCTTTCCGACGCTGGGTAGGCACGTTGGGGACGTCGCAAACACGGCCGATTCATCCGCCCCTCCCCCTCGCGGAAAGGCGTTGCAGTATCAAACTCGACCTCGGTAGGGCGAAATGAATCCACCATGCTCGTGTGTGTCGAGATGGAGCTGTTGGTTGGCTCGGAATGGATCCTCATTCATCCTTTGTCCGGCTGCTACCGCACGGTGAAGCCCACTCGACATCCGCACATTGTGCAACTCGACTTGCATTGTATCTTGGTCGCCGTAGGTGCAGGTGCAAGCCCACTCGCATTGACAAACTCACACCCTGCCACGTGTAGCTCCACACATGAAACCCTCTTCATCGCTCTTCCTTCACACCCCCCACCTCGAAGAGAAGTGCAACTCATCTAGCACCAATGACAGACACACTGCGAGACGAGACCTTGAGATGCAGCTCGGTTTTTACCCGCCCCACTTGGCACCTTCATCACCGAACAGCTCTTGGCTTTGTCTTGTCTGTGCAAAATGAGGCGTTCCGAAGACCTGTTTTTTTTATTCTCTTTTGGCACATGTCAATATCGCGACTACCGCCGCCGCGGGAGGAGGAAGGGGGCCAATGAGAGCGACAACCGATACCTTAATGCACACCATCAACCCATCGCGCTGCACGCTTGAGCTTGATGAACCCATCGACCTGGCATCGTTGTGGCTTTTGCATCTCGAAGGCCCAACTCTTTTCGAGCCTTATGAGCTCCGCTCCTCTCGGCAGCCGATCCTTTTCACTCTCCCCCTCCCTCCTCGAGCTTGGCTCGCCACAAAGCCGCGCCACTATAAGCAAGGCCTTGTTCTCGCCTAGCCTCGCCTGGTGCTGGTTCCACTTGTCCCTGCTTGACTTCTTCCTCGTTCGGTTCGACATACTCCAAGCAGCCATACCAACACAGCCAACAGATTGCACGTAGAAGTGTGAGGGGAAATGGGAAATCTCATTGCCAACATGCCGCCAAATCAGCTCCATCTGCCCTCGTTCAAGGATCTGGTCACCTTCTGCAAGGATGACCGTGTCACCGTAGAGGCATCGTCCCTGCCGGTGGTCAGGGATGCATCGCAGGCTGCGCATCAGACTGCCTTCGACAGGCGTTGTTCCGATGCCGGTAGGGAAGCACGAGAGCGACACAGTCTCGACCAAGAGCAGCGAGGCAATCCACCCTCCCGAGAGCCATCAATTCAGAGTCGTACTTTCCCGACAGTCAAGGAGCCCGAAGGTCGTGGTCTGCAGCATGCTTCTCAGACGGATCATACGGACCAAGTTCGGCCTCGTTCCGCCGATCTCTCCGGCACACTACCAAGACCGATCCACACGGCGAGCTCCAGCTCGTCGTCTGCATCCACAAGGTCGAGCGAAGAGTCGGCGCGACTTTCCCACCCGCAATACGCTCGCTCAGTCACGCAAGTCCATCCCTCGGACCGACGCTCCGAATTCCAATCCCAGCAGTCCAATCGCTCGCCGGCCGAGCTGAAGCCGTCGCGTGGCGACACCTTCATGCCACCAACGCCATCCACGGCAACTCGATCCGATACCCGCTATGCGCCCCAGACGATTCCGAGCCAGCGCTCGATGCCGTATCGCTCCAGCAGAGAGATGCACCCGAACGGCCACGTCAAACAGTTCGAACACGCCCACCAGCGCCACCCGCAAGACCACCGCGTCCGCTCGTGCTCTGCGAGTCCTCACGCGGCGAGCACCGACCGAGGCCGTTCGGCTCCGTCTTCGCCTCCGGCGTACGTCGCCCGGCAGACGCTTGTTGTCCCCGGCTCTCGCTCGCATCCACCGCCCATCGCTCCGAAGCCGACCATCGCTCGACCCGCTACGCATGATGGTGCGAGGACGTTCGACTCGCGCTCATCCGCTCCCATGCATCGGGCACAACCGGCTCATGCGAGGTCGGGAGATCACAGCGTGGGGTACCCCCAGACACGCACTTTTGCGGCTCAGGAGAGTATGGCGCAGGTTCGGGGTGGTGAGCACGACCCGAGTCGAATGCACACAGTCCCGCACCGACAAGAGGTCAACGGTCGAGGCAGTCTGCCGGATCGGAAGCGCTATGACGACGAGGTTCATCGCGATACAAGGATGGCTGGTCCAGCCTTTGCCGGCTTCGCCGCAACACAGAGCTCGTCGCAACGAGCACACACAGAGGCTTCAGCCCAGCATCACCGCGTCCGACCTTCTCATCCGTCGCCTCTCGACGCTAGCCCCCAGCTGAGGTACGGTACAAATAGTCAGATCGCGGCCACATCCGGACCGGTCCGACAGTACACCGACACGGCTACAGATATCGCTGCTAGGCGCGAGTCGGCAAAAGAGCGAGACCATTCGCACCGGCAGTGCACCTCGCCGTGCAGCCCGAGCTGTCCTCGGCGCGGAAGCGTACGCCACAACGCAGCGCACTTTCACCAAGCGAGCCGCGAGCGGATGCCGAGTCAGCCGCAGATCCTACGTGCCCAGTCCGAGGAGACGCGACGGCTTCAAGCGCGTCCTGCCCCTCAGGCTGGAGTGCGAGGAACGAGAGACGAGCGCGATGGAGTCGTTCGGCGCGAAGCCGGATTCTCGGACGACGGCAGGTATGCGATGCACCGCTCCACCGCGCACGCCGGGTCGCAAGTGCAGCGTCGCGTGTTGGGCGGAGTGTCGGTGCGCAGCCAGCAGCCGCGTCACCCCACCGCCTACGCGAACTCGTACCAGCCCTATGATGCTTCTGGCGGATACGCATCTGGTGTGGCGGCGAAAAGGTCCTCTCAGGGGTCGAGTCGACGAATGTCGCCACCCCGACTCACCCGCCAAGGCGATATCGATGCCGATTCGTTCAGCTCAGCCACCGAGCGCGCTCTTCCTCGCAGCACCGGCTACACCCACGGTCGGTCGGACGACCACGAGCCTGCGCACTTCGTCCGGACCCAACGCCTCTCTACTGAGCAGCATCAATACTCGGCCTCGCACGAAGCGGCCGCTCACGAGCGCGCCTACTCGACCCCACAGCGAGGCAGCGAGTGGTCAGGCGATCCATCTGCGGCAAGAAGCAGTCCTCACCGACCCGTGATCGCGTCGCAGCAGATCGCTCCCGCCGCAGCCATGCGCGATGACGGCTTGCAGCGAAACGGCTCCATGGCCGTACAAAGGCCGACAAAAAGGCTGCGCGCCGGATCCGATACTTCGCTCTTCCGTCCCGCTCGCTTCGCCGAGCAGAACGCCGGTGCAGATCGACCCGGCGGACACAGCTTGCAGAGCTCGCCTCTCCCTCGTCCTGAATCCTAGACGGCTCTGGAAGCAGCACAGGCAAGACACACGTGAAATAGATCATTGGGAGACAGCAGAGCAATTCATTGTTCAGAGGTTCGTGACGCGAGATGACAACAGGCAGCAGAGAAAGGTTTACAGGGCGAGTCCATACACGACGGCAGCGGAGCCCGGTGAGGCTGTCAAGCGCCGTTCGCTGTGCTCGGTACCAGCCTTCGACGGCGAGTCGTTCGTCGCGTGCTGAGCCTCGGACGAGGAGAGGAATGCGAGGAGCGAGTCGAACTTGTGTCGATTCGGCAGCGGCGTTGGCTTGACGGGGGTGGTGGCACTAGCCGAAGCCGGCGTGTTTGGCTGGTGGTCGAACACGAGCGAGGGCAGACCCGTGAGCGGCGGAGTGAGCAGGCTCGAGGGTGGCGGTGAGAACTCGCTCCACGTCTGGGCGGCAGTCTCGGCGGGTACGATGTTCTGGCCCTGGCTCTGCGTCTGTGCATGCTGGTACGGTCGCAGTGGCGCCACAGGGCCAAAGGGCGACACGGGCGTCGAGTTGGAGCGGGTGAAGGAGCGCTTTGTGATCAGGCCGCGACGCGGACCCCCGAGCGCGATAATGGGTGCAGAGCGCGGCGTTGGTAGCTGTGGCAGCGGCGTTGTCGGGGGCGGACACGGAGGCGGCGAATGTATGGAGGGCGAGAGTACTGTGCTCCGTGAGCCTCGCTTCTTCACCACCGACCCTGTCTTGGCGTGCTCGTCCGTGGTCTGCTGGTGCAGAGCGATGCTGATCGGCGGCTTGGCACGTCGCTGGCGCAGCGGCAGGGCGCTCGAGCCTACATCGCCCTCGCTATCCATCATGCTCGCCGAGACCAGTGTGGGTGTCGAGAACATGTGCCTCAATCGCATGTCCTCCTTGGCATCCTGTCGGCCCGCGGGAACTGCTTCGTCGCCAACCATATAGGCCAACTGGCACTGGTCATCCTGATCGTCTGCGGCGAAATCGCCCGTCCAGTTGCGAATGCGCATCGCGCCATACTGGCGAATCAACTTCTGCTCCCCAGAACCCACGCCTTCGGGTTGAATCCTCGCCTGTATCCTGCGAGCATCGACGACATGCTGTTGCTCTTCCACGGATGGCTCTCGCGATCGCGAGCGCTCGAGCTCGGGCAGCGGATGCGGATCCGCAATGGGCGGAGCGAACTGTCGCTGGTGGTTGCGCTGCTGGATGTGCTGCTGCAGCACGAGCAGCGATGCCATGGACGTCTCAGACGACGACCGCGCGCGCGTCGCCAGGCTGCCCCTCCACTCGGCCTGGCCCGTAGGCGCCAAGATGAGCGACGACGTCATGGCATGTCCGAACGCGCCACTCGAAGCAGGATCGGGCGTCTTGAGCACCTCAACCCCCTCCGCCTCGTCGGGCACTACCGCGGGCATGACTGCCAGCTCCGAGCCGGGTTGACTGTTGCGTGTCGGTGACGAAAGATACACGGATCGCATCTCGCCCGTCCTCGTGCGTGAGACGCGTCTTAAGACCTGCGATGCGCCGTGGTCGAGTTCGGTGAACTCGGAACTGCACCGTGTTGGCGGACTTGGGCTCCAGGATCGCTCTCCGAGAGCGTACTCTGTGTCGCTGCTGTAGCTGCCTGCCGAATCAGGCTCGATGCTTTGTCCAAAGCCCAATCCGGCTGTCGCGTCAAGGCTGGCTCTGAGCTTGGTCCCGTTGCTTCGTACAGGAGATTTGGCTCGGTCGTGCGATTCCGACACCGAGCGCGTCACTCGTCGAAGTCGTCCTGCCCGAGGCGATGATCGTACTCCAAGCTCAAGCCTAGATCCTTGCTCGGTCGCAAGCTCGGGATCGAACGTCGAGGTTGAGGTTCGAGGTTGTGCTTCCGGCGGCTCTTGTTCGGAAAAGAGGCCGAGCTTGTTGCCCACTTCGATTTCCGCTCCTGTAGAGGCTGCTGAGAGGAGCGGTAGTGAGAGTCCGTCGGGACACGAGAAGCTGCGTGCGAAATCAGCGATGACGGTGTCCGAGGTCTGGACTGCGTCGGAAAAGAGCGAGGCCGGGATCGGTTTTCGCTTGATCCTCTTTCTGCCGAGTACAGCGTTGGGAGACAGCAAGTCCTCGGGCTCGAGCTTGTGGCCAACAAGTCCGACGATCTGAAGCGGCGCTATTGGCTGCTGATCGACGTCGAGTGGTGTCGAGGCTGGCGGCGGCGAGGGATGGAGTTGTCGACGCTCAAACGGATCCGAGCAGCTACGGACTCTGCTCTGCTTCCTGCGTAATCTGGCGGGTAGTGCCAGTGACGGAAGTGACAGCGAAAAGCGGCGCAACACCACAGGGCTATGCTGACTTGGTCGTACCTCGAAGCGCGAGAGGGGCGAATGGCCGGGTGACTGGGGAAAGTCGTTGTCCTGGTCGGTACCTTCGTTCGCTTGGACCCCAAAGCCGAGTGACACGCCGACGCCTAGCTTTTCCTCGTCGTTCTGCGGGATAGGCCGGAAGGCTTCAGGAATCGGAAGCCGTTTCAACGACTTTCTCTTAAGCTCAAAGGCGGCTTGCTTTGGCGGCGCTGTGACGGTGCTGCACGCTGTTGTGGCCTCGGAAGCTTCTAGCCAGGTGGTTGCGTCTGATGCATCCGATTGTCCGCGAGCGCGGGCGTTTCGATAGGGCGTGATTGTTTCGTCCGAGTGCGAAGTCGAGGTGGAAGAAGATTGAGTATCCGACATCGCCGCAACGAATGTCGAAGCCACAAGAGGGTAGAGATGTGATAGCGAAGTGGTGAGAAGAGAAGATGTATCAGTAATCGAAGCGACTTCGACGAGAACCAAGATCACGATGAAGCCTGTGGGAAGAGTTGCTGTGTCCAAGACAGGCTCAAGAAGGTGGTACACCAAAGTGTATGCGAGACGTGATACAGACGCCGACGCGCGACCGACCGCAAACGATCTGTCTTCTCTCCGCAAAAGTGTTCAGACGGCTGATAGCCGGACCTCGTGGCCACCATCGTGACTGTGCGCCTTATCGGCACGAGCACGATGAACCAGCCCTGAGACCTTCGCATCCAGCAGCTCTGCTTGGCAGGTCCTCCTCGCGATCTGCTTCCTGCGGTGCTTCCAGAAGCCCAGCGTCGGTTTACTCACCTGAAACCGATCCGTAAGTATCCCGACGCCAGTCTTATGCGATGGCGACGACTCGAAGGGGTGGAATGTCTCACTCCGTCCGCGCTTTAGCAGGGACACGCAGCAGCCGTCGCCGTAGGCCGTGCGACTAGGGCGCTGTTCCGGAAGGGGTCTCGGTACGAGCAAGGTTTGGGGAGGAGGGAAGGGACGAGATGGAGAACCCAGCCAAGGGATCCCCATCCGGTCTTGCTGGTGAGGGAGAGATACAGGGAAAACCTTAATTTGACAGATCTTGCAAGCCGGTAGGGCTGCAAATGCCAGTGTCTGTCTCTCGCCAATGCAGCTGCGCTGGGTGGCATTGCCAAAAACACCCACGCTATCCGACTTGCGGGGCGCGGCTCGAAACGTGTGGCGCGGCCTAGATGCATCAGCTCGAGGTGCGAGCCGAGCCGAGCTCGGGCTGGGATCTTGGACGCCACTTGTCTGTGCACCAGCCATCTCACTTTCCGATGCACTGGTCAACCCAGCTGTGCTGCCGTGTAGATGCTAGCCAGACGCTTCGCGGGCGAGAAATGACCAGCCTCGGCGTGGCGGAGTGCCTCGGATGCAGCGTGCATAACTCGACAGATGCTCGCGGCATGTCTTCTGCAGCCTCATCCCCGCGGTTGAGTTTTTTTTTTTTTCTTTTCCGCTCGTTTTTCCTTTACCCGGGCCCTCTCCCGATTCAACTCTCCCAACCGCACCCGATAGAGATGAGGCATTCTTCCTCTCCTCGCCCGTCCGTCGACCGTCGACACGCAGGAACTTGGGCCACCACCACGAAGGCAGAAAGATGAAGGCAGAAAAAAGATGAAGGCAGAAAAATTGTTCGGATACGTGGCGCTATGGATACAGTCGAGTGGACAGGAAAGCCTTGCCAAACGTCTAGGTCTGGCGGACCCGTCCTACATCAAAAAGAAAGTGGGGGTGCGATACGAATCAAGGAGAGTGCTTGTGGTTGGAAGAGGGAGAGACTAGGTTCAGATGAAGGCACGGTTGCCCGGAGTGGTGGGGGCCAGTTTCTGGATATCCAGCATCACGATGGCGGCCACTTCGTCTTCGGCCGTTGCGCCGCCTCCTGCGCCGAACGAAGCATTGGATGCGCTCGAGGCCGACCTGGCGTGGCCCTGGCTAGACCTCGCGCCAAACTTGGTGGGGCTCGAGTTGGGACTAGGGCTCGGAGGTGCGCCTCCCGTTGGCCTGGCAAGGATGGCGAGCTTGAGCGTGAGCGGCGTCGGACCGAACTTGGGCGGGACAGTGCCGGAGAGCTCCTGCATGCGGTCGTCCCAGCGTAGCCAGTGGAGGAACTCGGGCCAGGTGTTGTAGTACTCAAAGTACTTTTCATCCTGCAGCACCGGGTGATAGCTCAGCTTGCGTCCAGAACGCTTGCCGGGCGAGCCAGGAGCTCCACCGACCATCGGCGGTGCGGCGGTTCCAGCGAGTGCAGAGACGCGAATCAGCTCGCCCGGTCGCACGGTGATGTTGTGCGAACGAATGCGCGACCACGGTGTCGAGCCTCCCACCGGCAGGGCATCACCCGAGCGCGTCGACGAGTCGCTTCTTCGGTGCGAGACGGACGATGTAGCTCTGTGCGCCGTGCGCGATGGCGTGGCGGTCGATTGAGGCGTTTGGAAGATTCCCCCGCCTCGCGAAGCACTCGAAGCTGCCGACCACGGACGACCGCCGCCAGCAGCACCCCTGGTGGCGCTCGTGTCACCAGCGTCAGGGGCGACAGAGGTTCGCTGATTGCGGGTAGGTGTCTTTGGGTTCTCCGTCACGGCCGTGCCCTCACGCTTCGATGAGCCGGGGACGACTGGCGAAGCGGGCACCGGACCCGTTGACTGTCGCACCGCTCGCAACGAGGGCTGATGCGCCGAGTCTTCACTTGTTCTGCCAGCGCCGGCTGCCCTACCAGTACTGTCTGCCGTCCTAGTGGGTGTAGAATGACCGACGCTGGGCTTCATGGAGCTTCGGCGGCTATCTGTGTAGCGCACTGCTGCGGTTTCGGCACCGGCCAGGTTGGGCACGTAGCTCGCAGCCGAATTTCTCTTGGTGTTCTCGGCAGTGTCTCGCATGATGGCCGCGTTGGAGGGATCGTCCTCGGCATCTTCGAACGGATCGTCCTCATTGGCGCCATGAGCAGCAGAGCCAGAGCGAGTGGTGTCGATGGAGGCACCGCGCGCGGCTTGGTGCATGTAGTTCTCGAGGTGCTGCGAGAGGTTGCGCTGACCCTGCTGGATGCTCACCTGCTGCGGAGGCGGGATTGTGCCCGAAGTCTCGACGCTGACCTTGCGAGCATAGCCGACCACAGCATCGTCCAAGTCTACCGATGCGACTGGACCTGCATGACCCCGACTGCGCGCAGAAGCGACGGGAGCGTCCGACTGACGCGGCTCCCGCAGTCGGTCCTTGGGTCCATGGTCGTCTCGCTCAGGCGAGCTTTCGAAGCTGTTGTTCAGGTTGAAGGCTGGTGAGGTGTTGATGTGCGCGTTTCTGTGTCGCATGGGCGCAGAAATGAGGTTGCGGCGCACCGGCACTTCGAGCGGAGAGTCCAGGCTGAGAGCCTCGGTGCGCGATGCAACTGCACGTCGACGCTCCGGCGTGCTGGGAGCTGCTGCGGTACTGACGCCACGATCCATCGTGTCGTCGTAGAACAGATTCGACTCCCAGCTACTGCGAGCAGCAAGACTCTTCGACGTTGTCATCTGAGACAAATCGCGACCCATCATACCCTCGAGCCCGAGACCAATCGAGGTTGGGCTCGCCATCTCGGTTCGACCCTCGTATTGGCCTTGTCCAGCACCAGTGCCGTTCTCGTCAGCCTCAGCGGGGTACGCGTTAGGGTCAGCGGCGGCAAAGCTGGCAATCGATCGGTTCGACTTGCTTGCCTTTGGGGTTCGGCTAAACAGATTCAGAACGGAGCTGCGTCTGGGCTTGTCGGCCGCCATCGGCGATGGGTTGGTGATGGTAAAGGCAGGCGCAGGCACGAAGGCCGACGGCGGCTGTGCCGGTCTCGGTGCGATGTTGCCCATCGTTGTAATCACCTGACGTGGTTGGCCGTTCGACATGTTTTGCCCGTGGCCCTCGTCGGATGGTGCCAGTGTCATCGCATCCGAGAAAGGAGACCGTTGAGTGGCCGGAGTTCCGTCTGCGGCAAGGTTGGCATCAGGATCCAGGTAAGGACTAGCGCTTTCCTCGTCCTTTTTATCTTTGCCTGCTTTCTTTCCAGCCGGGCCCAAGCTGGCCCACCCGAACCTGGGTGAGCGGTCGTCGGCCAAGGTGCGCTCGTCGTCGCCGAGGTTCCTGCCCCCGTATGATTTTTCGAAATCAGAAGCGTAGTCATCCGGATGCGCTCCACGGAAGTGGCGATCCTCGGCAGCGCAGTGTCGTCGACAGCACATCATGAGCAGGATGAGCATGATCAGGCCTCCGACACCACCCAGAGAGGCTGCGATGGCGATCTTGGCCTTTGAGCTGAGACCTTGTGAGCTCGTCTCTGAACCGCTGACGGAAGAGGCGAAGCCGTCTGTTGAAGTACTCGAACTGGTGGGCGACGATGCACCGGATGTGGAGCGTCCCGGTGCAGGAAGCGGAGTGGGAGACGTCGACGAAGCCATCGGGTTGATGGCGAAACTCCGTGTCGAGACACTCCTGTAGTCGCCGCCCGGCTGGGCCGAGTCCAGAGAAAGCTGCACCTCGACGCGCTCTGCCCCTTTTTTGGGAGCATTGCCAGACAGGATCATGCCCATTGGATCGAAGTGGATCCAGTCACTAGCCGATGCAGGATTGAGGGTGAGATGGGGTGGAGTCTGCGTTTCACGGAAGTAGGTTCCGAGCTCCACCTGGAACATCTTGCCCGGCGTCACCTGGACATCCGGTAAAGACGATACCGAGAAAGGCGAAGGATAGACAGAGATGCGAGCAGATGCGGGTACTGGGGCAGCGTTCGGGTTCGTCGCGTTGGTCAGGAGCACGGGTACTGTGAGTGTAACGGCTTCAGCCTGGGTGAGATTGAATGGAGCAGTCCCGGAGAAGGTTCTTGATGTGTCGTCGAAAGACAGCCAGTCGCCAATCGCGCTGGTGTTGGCGCTGACGCGCAGCTGTGACACGTTCACGGGTGCCCCTTCCGAGTCGACGATTCCTTCGAGGGGCAGCTGGGAGCTGAACTCCTGTCCAGCTGTTGCATTGATGATGGGGAACGGTGCCGATTGAATGAGTGGGGCTCCACTCACGACCATCTGAAAGGAGGAGTTGACGCCTGCATAGCCAGCCACGTCGCTTGCGGTGACGACGACATCGTAGAAGCTGCCCGCCGTGTGTACATCTGTAGGTGCCACGCCCCATAGAGTGACGGTCTGGTCAAGGTGCATCCATTCTGGCAAGGGAGAGCCGTCAGCCAAGGCAGCGGAGAGATACACTCGGTGGCTGTCCGAAGTGAACGAATCGCCGGCGAATCCGAGAGAGAAGGACCAGCCTAGTGGGAGGCGTTGAGCTCCCGAAGGCAGGATTGAGTCTGCTCCCAGAGTCGTAGCGTTGGGTAGCTGGAGTGCCAGTGGCTTGTTGACTGTAGGGCCTGATCCGGTCATCGCGATGAGCTGGTACGTGGTGGATGCCGTGCTTCCCGTCTCTGGATTGTTCGCAATCAGGGTGACGTTCGTACCGACGCGGGAGGACCCTGGAGGTGGTCCTTGTGGGACTCCGGAGATGGAGCGATTGGACGGCTCGAAGGTTGCCCAAGAGGGCAGTCCGGTGGCATTGTAGTGGAGTGGAGCGGTCGAGTTTGTGTCGACAAAGGTGTTTTGGGCGAAGGACCAGGTGTAGGGTTGTCCGAAGCGGGCGATAGCCGGAAGCTGCGAGGAGATTGGCCGCTCAACACGTACTTCGGCCTCGACCTTCCATGCGAGGAGCAAGAGGGCGCAAATCCACGCCCACGAAGCCGAGCGATTCGTGTGAGAAAGCATCGCAGCAGTCTCTTGAGGGCTCTACGTGTCAGAACGTATCGCAGTGCAGTGACCGGTGCTGTGAGCTGGTGCTGTGAGCCGGTGCTGTGAGAAGGAAGCGAAGCTGGCTTCTTCGATAGATGCGATGGTCGTTCCGCCTCGACGCTTCTCCCGGCGGCTCCGAGCTTGACGGCGCCGATTTGATGGTGCTCTTTTGTTGAAGTGGGGTGATTAAACTGTTGTCGGAAGTTGGTGCTGTATCAATGTCGCTGAAATGGTGGTCACGGGCTTGAAAGAGTGTTGTCCAAAAGAATGTGTGTCCGTAGCCAGATGATGGATATGGAGGAGAGGAAGGGGAATGGGAATGAGTGCTGAAACAGACGGATAGCGGCGAGGGAGGAATCAGGAGGCAGGTGGTGGTGATGGTGATGGTGGAGGAGGAGGAGGAGGTTGTGGTGGGAACGGAAGCATCGCCAGCGCTCAGATCTAGACGTCACGGACAGGGTCAGTGCGGCGTTCGAGACGAGAACGGTGGGAGGAGTAGACACGAGTCAATGCTCTGCCAGCTCAGACGCGTGACGAGAAGGGGACGCGATGCGGGGCAGAGAAGAGTCTTGCCTCGATCGCGTTCGGCTCGAGGTGCGCACGGAAAACGACGACGGCGACAGACGGTGGCACTTTTGTCCGACGCATGGTCGAGAAGATCTTCAACGCAAGGAGTCGAAGCTGGGCACGATTTCGACAGCCATAAGCTGCGTGCAGGATCACGACACAGCGGCAAGCACGTCTGCCGGTCGCGCGTGGCGCGGCGTGCTGTCGATCATGCCGACTCCTCTTGTTTGCAAGTGCGCGTATAGATGTGCCCAATATAGAAGGTGCAGAGCCGCTTCGTCAAGATGCAGCCAACGGAATGGAGGCCGCCGTGCAGTGTGCCGAGGTGAGCATGCCGGTGCGAGCGTCAAGAGAGGGGCAGGATTGGGAATGCAGGGTCAAGTCTCCAGGCTCCTCTGTGTGTGTCTGCGAGTGGTGGTGGGAGGAGGCACGAAGCGCGTACCGCTGCCAGGCACCGGCGAGAGCGAGTCGCTGCACGATCTTGTCCCTTGCATATGTCGAAGAATGCGCAGCGACTCGGAGAATTTTTGTGAAAGAGAGATTCAGGCTGAGTCTAACACCTCAAATTTCCGGAGAAAATCCGACATCCGAGTCCCGCGCTCAGGGAAAGACACGGAGCGCTTGACACGGACCACCCGAGAAGGCTGCTGCGGGCGCACGCATTCGCACTTGGTCTTGGACCACATCGATCCGTCAGACCGGAACCGGCTTCCAACATGTCTACGAAACAGTACAAGCAAGCAGGCGAAGATGTGTGGAAGAACCGGACAGAGAAGATCGTACGTTGCTGCGGCCATGTTCGCAAGATTTGCCTTGTCGGCGAAAACAGATGCTGACGATGGACGTCGATACTTTTGCATGCCTACGCTAGAACGCGGAGCTGTTCACACTCACGTACGGCTCTTTGGTGATCCAGCTCATCAAGGACTACGAGGACTACGCCGAGGTGAACAAGCAGCTTGAAAAGATGTAGGTCCGCGCCTGTCGCTCCGAAGGCGAAGCAACCCAGAAGAGATGCTGATGCTATTGACTTGCCGGGATTCAGGGGATACAACATCGGCACGCGATTGATAGAGGACTTTCTCGCACGCACCAACCTGTCCAAGTGCTCCGACTTTCGCGAGGTGGGCGAGGTGGTGAGCAAGGTCGGATTCAAGATGTTCCTCAACATCACACCCAACGTCGTGCACCATCAGCAAGAAGAGGCAAGCTTGCCTGCTGCAGCGCAAAGTGCAAACTCGACACAGCCAGCGTCTGGGGCGCCGGCACCAGCTGGGGTCACTGCACCCGGAGGCGTGCGGGAATTCAGCTTGATATTGGACGAGAATCCTCTGGCCGAGTTTGTCGAGCTGCCGCAGGATGCTGCGGCTGGGGGACTGTGGTTCAGCAACGTGCTTGCCGGAGTGCTACGTGGTGCTCTCGAGATGGTGCAGATGCAGACCGAATGCTTCTTCGTGTCGGACACGCTTCGAGGCGACGAGACTACCGAGCTGCGCGTGCGCCTGCTCAAGCACCTCGATGAAGAGGCGCCCATCGCAGACGACTAGATGCAGCACCAAGGGCATCCCGATATCCAGCAAAAGCTTCTTCTCTGCACTGCAATGTTGACTTGTATTTGTAACGAATGCCGCCCGTGCGTGTCCGCTGCCAATGTCGTCCGCAGCGAGAGTGTCGGAAACGAGAAGGCTGCGGAGCGATCGGGAAAGTGCAGCTCTCTTTGGTGATCGATCCTGCAATCAGGCAGTGTGCACTGGCGCTGGTGCTGGGTGGGACCTCTGTCTGAATGAGCGGGAATGTGGCTGCACGTTGGAGCGTCGGAGCCCACTCGATGAACTCGGCTCTTCCGATGAAGCCAGACTCATAATCCATACGCCCACCTCAATGACGGGGCCATTTGTACCCTGCGGTTCCTTCTGCACTCGACGAGCAGCAATTGAAGCTTATCGCGCTGCCTTGCTATAATCACACGCTGCACGTCAAGTGCAAAGTAGGATTGGGATTCGAGGCAGAATCACGGCAGTGCACCCTTCGGCTACGGTGGCGACGCGAAGAGGCTCGTTGACACACTTCAGTACAGTATCTCACTTGGGCCGGTGGGACCACCTTGAACCTTAGTACCCAATTAAGTTTGCATGCAAGGTCAGTCATGGTTCCTTATGATACCGTAACTTAGCTGGCTGCTCGCGAGAGCGCACAGGCGTACGCTCCCACGCTTAGCCACCCGTCGAGGCAACAGCTTTGGCCCTCGTAGCCCTACGCAATCACGCCTTGTGCGAGCGGCTGTCCGTTGTCGTGTGCTTGCTGCGTCCCGTTGACTGCATCTCCGCATTCCCATCCAAGTAACCGCACACCGAAGCCGAGCGGAAGGCCGTCAGTATCGTCATTTGTATTCCTCCCTGCTTTCTTCCCGCTCGTCATCACTATCGCCGTTATTGTTCCACCCCTTGTGGCAACCGGCTCGGATCTCAGAGCATCGGGTGGAGTACTCGCCTACGCTTCTCCAGGTAATAATCGCATCTGCCAAGCGCACCGCCCACACTGCTGACCCATTAAGCATGTCGGACCGTGCTGCGGAATACAAAAACACCCTACCTCTTCAGACCCCTGAAGGCAAGATCGAAGATCGTCATGCATCAGCCTTACCTTCAGCATCTGTATTCCAAGCGCTCGATGCCTCGGATCAAGACGACGCACTGGCTTCACAGCATGCTCTGCACTTGCAGCCTTTGTCACCATTGACGCTAGGCGAGCTTGGTCTTCAGCCTCCCGAAACTCCAAGTGCTTTGATCGATATCACCCCAAGCACAACTTCGATGATTCAGAGCAGCGTATCCCTCAACGACCGGTGCGCAACTAATCGCGCTCACCTGAATCGACGCAGCACTGCTCCTGTAGCAAGACTCGGCGGATCAGATGTAAGCTCGAGCTACGGTGAAAGAGGGGCGCAAGCAGGGAATGCATCCCACTTCACCAGCAGCATGGCTTCGACAGACGCATCCGCCGGCGGGCCTTCCGAGAGCATCGCAGATCCCCTCCTCGCCAAGTTTCTCCAGAGTCTCGCCGATGACGGATCGACATTGACCGAAACCACCTCGACAACAGCAAGCTGTGACGATCTCGAGTCGTCGCTGCCGTCGCTCCTTCCTACCTCTACTGCTCCAAGGCCAGGGTTCGTCTTGGATCGCTTCGCTTCCATGCGGAACTCTACTCCAGCTTCCATGCGGAACTCTACTCCAATACGAGCGGCCGAGATGCAACGGACAAGCCTTGGCAGCACTGGTCCAATGCGGGATAGTCATGGACAGCTCCCCTTTCAAAATTCAAGATACGTGGATCCCTTCTTGTCGGCGGAACTTGCCGCTGAGCGTGTCCCAAACGCTACCACCTGTGGCGATGCGACGTCTCAACCTTCGTCATACCCTTTGGCGTCCTCCGGCCACCTCTCGACCATGTCAGAATGTCATCTCAGCTTCAAGCCATCGGAACGATTCCACGCCTCACCCAAGAAGAGAAAGCGCATAGTCCCCTCGGGACTTGAAGACACCATTCGTGATCTGTCCGCAAAGGAGCACGCTTCAAAACCACCTTGGTCGCTCGATCTTGCAAGTCTCTCGCGGCTGGCTTTACCCCAGGCACCACCTCTACAGCCTCTCCACCGATATCCATCGCAGATTCTCGAGAGCGATGGACGCTACGATTCGGATCGCGACATGGATCGCGACTCGGAAGCTGGATTTCAGCTCGGCACCAGTCCGTCTCGTATCGACGGCTTGAGCGCTTCTTCAAAGCGGCTAATGCGGACATGCTAGCTACAGAGCCCTTCTCGAGTGACCTTGCTATCGGACCCGGCGACTCTGATCCTCGTTCGTCGATGACGCGCGCGCTTTCTTTGCAGACGAACGCTGATGGCAGTCGCATGGCGGAAAGCGCGCCGGCGCCTACCAACGTGGGCAGCCCTGCGGACCGATTGCACTCAGCTCCTGACCCGGTGAGGGTAACAAGCGGGTCAATCTCTTCGCGAGCTGCGTGCGAAGCCTCTGGCGGAAAAGCCGGTCCACCTGCTCGGACCAGCAGCGCTTCTAAAAGCAAGCCCACAACAACTGTGCACGACTCGTCAGGCAAGGCTTCCCAGCATTCTCCTACTTCTCAAGATCGTTCCGCCAGCGGTACCAGCTCGAGCTTCACACGCAAGGTCCTCTTCGATTTTATCCGACGGACCAACCTGCAGAGGCCCGTCAGCCCGTCCTCGGCGGGTACGATCCGGTCCTCCTCCGACTCGTTCCCAAGATCAGCGGAATCTTCGCCGGTAGAGCTGCTCTCCAAAAAATCGTCCCGACCCCTATCTTCTAGCTGGCCGTCTACGGTACCTGCCGAGCTTCAAGCGCATCTTCAGAACTGGCAGCAACAGCGCAAAAGGTCGAAGCCCAGCTCAGCAAGTCAAGATGAGGCGGCGACGTCATCATCCTCCGGCCACACGCGGAGAGCACCAGCAGGCAAAATCTCGCCACCGAGTCAGAAGGAGAGGAAGGAAGCACCGTCGAATGCGCGCAGAGCGGTGGACAGCGAGCTAGAAAAGAAGACGCAGAGGCAGGAGCAGTACCAGCGGCTGCTTCAGCGGCTCCAGGCCCAAATGCGCTCGAGCATGCAGCGGGAGAGGGATAAGAAGAAGCAGAACATCCTAGAGATGGGCATGGGAGGAGACGAGGAGAGGAGAGAAGTACGCGACGCCCAGGAGCGCGACTGGAAGCAGGATGCGTCTGCAAAGATGGATTCGCTCGGTCATCCAAAGACGCCAAGTCCGCTGCTGTCGGGAGCAGCTGGTAGCAAGTCCAGGCCGACATCGTCGAAAAGGAGCTCGGATGACGCGGGGCTGTGCTCACGCTCGAATCAGAAGAATCATCGCCAGAGCCAGGATACGAAGGATGAAGCTCCCACCCCGGCGGATCAGCTTCAAGAGGTCGTCTTGAACCAAGTTGCTGGGCCAGCCGGCCGCTCCACCCTCGCCATCGGTCCGTCGGACATTCCAACTCCAGTCGGTAAGAGTCCACGAGCAGCAAAAGGGGCTGAACCAGGGCGAACTCTGTCGCCCAAGAAGCCAGTAGGAACGTCTCGGGCGATCGAGTCCCCATTTCCACTGCCGAAGACTCCGTATACTCAATATCAGCAGTCGACGCCTCATCCGACATGGGGGCAGCAATCATCCCTTCCCTTTCGCGGCTTTGAGTGGAGCCATGCGTGGATGCCCTCTCCCTTTGGCGCAGCTGCATATCAAGGCACGCCGCCCATGTTGGGTCCGCCGGGGTGGATGAATATTGCGCTCACAGGGGCACTGGGATGCTCGCACAGCCCCGAGCTCATGCAGAGCCTGGCGATGAAGCATCCCAACTGGCGTCAAGACTTTCGAGCCTCCTTGACACCGGCTGTCGTCGCGCGCGAATCGTTTGCGACGATGCCCACGCTCAGCAAGGGGGCACTAGAGACGGGTCTGTCGTCGGTCTTTGCATCGTGCATTGATCCGCGCGCGATAAGCTGCCTGACAGCGACAGAAACGACCGTGCCGTCGCCTGCGGCTGTAAAGCGGCCGTTCTCACCGGGAGACCGTGTGGTCTTTTGGGCGGTCAAGGGGACAGCGTCGGTCAAGCTCAAGGGTGTGGTAGAAAGTGTAGGTCGCGACCCTCATCGCTGCGGTAGAAAGAAAGGCACTGACTCCCTGCTTGGACCTTTCTCGATCCTCATCACTAATGCTTGATTGGCCGCTCTCACGGCGCAAGATGGCAGCTGATACGGCAGATATCACAGTAGAGACGGCCGGTGACGAGTCGCTGAGAGAGCAAAACGTTCACGGAGGCAAATTGGGCACGCAAGCGGTCAGCCACCAGGAAGAACCAGTCACCACATGCGTAAGTGTCTTCGGCGCACCTTGACGATGATCGAACGGCGACTGAGTGCCTCTTGATACGCTGCTATTGCCCAATCCAGCAGGTCTATCGCAACATATCGTGGAGCAACATTGTGCCGCGGCAGCAAGCGATCGCTTTGCACTTTCTGCGCGCCGACGAGTAGCCTAAATCCAAGCTGCTATGTTGCCCCTTTGCCTTGCGCTGTGACTCGTGTGGCGGGTGAATGACGGATGGTGATGGGCTGGTTCGGTGCGAAAATGGCACAAAATGTTCTGCCGTCAGTTGGCACAATTTCGAGCGCGCAGAAAAAATCGGAAACCGGGAGTTGGATCGACAGGGACGCGTATGCTGGGCAAGCTGGCAGTGAGGGCGTGGAGTGATCTTGTGTTTCTCCACTTTGTGGCCGAGCCGCACGCGCCGTCGAGTTACTTTGCACACCATCATCATCCTCACCCTCCCCCCGCGCACTCAGCACCTTTTCCAGCGCTCGCACTCGACACATTTACGACCAACACATCGGCGTACCATCTTAAAGCGATATTTCTAGGGATGACGTCGTTGGGAGCGATGCACAAGGCTTTGGTGGCGGCGTTTTCGTCGCCAGCCTCCAAGCCCGAGGAGGTTCGAACGCTGCTCACCAAGCTGAAGATCGCTCTTACAGAGCACAATCTGCTGGTTCCCTCGGTGGCATCTTCTGTGTCCAAGGCGGATTTGGAGTTGGCAAGGTCGGTGTTGGAGATGGGGGCGTTCTACTCGGTTCGAATTGGCGACATTCCCGGATTCGATCGATACCTTTCGCTGCTCACGCCTTTTTACGACACCACCCTCTCGGCTTCGGACAACTACGAGCCGCTGCTGGGATTGAGGCTGTTGCGACTGCTCAGCTCGAACCAGATCTCGGCCTTCCACACGTTGATCGAAACGCTGCCTACGGACTTGGTCAACAAAAGCACTTTCCTCCAGCACCCTGTTAGTCTCGAACGTTGGTTGATGGAGGGAAGCTATTCCAAGGTGTGGAGACTCAGTAGGGAAAAGCCCCCGCAGCACGAATATGCCTTCTTTGTGGATCTGTTGATGGACATGATTCGAAACGAAATCGCCAGCTGTGAGGAGAAGGCTTACGACCATCTCGCCCTGCACGACGCTGCGACGCTGTTGTTCTTTGAAAACTTGGATCAGGTCCTTGCTTTCGCCCAAACCGTAAGTCCCCGTGCAACCATCAGAAGGACCTTGTATCTGCATGCTAAAACACGTCTTGTGCGATCGGTCGGTTGTGCAGAGAGGATGGCAAGTCAACCCTTCAACACAGGTGGTCTCGTTCACCTCCGCCGATGCCGCACACTCGGCCAACGCGATCCCCAAGAAAGCGACGATCGCAACCAACCTCGTCTTTGCAAAGGAACTCGAGTCGATCGTCTAAGACGCCCCCTCCCTCCCTCCCCCCTGCGTCTTCGGTTTCGTTGCAATGCTAGCTCGTCGTTCAAATGTGCTGAGCGAGCACGGAGGTGTGGCATGTACGTTTATGCGATTGTGATTGCATTGCAGCAAAAAGGCCCCCCAAGAGCGACAGAAAGAGAGAGACGAGTGGGCATACAGAGCGTTCGTAGGGGGTTGCTATGGGCTAAAACTGCCTGCGCGCATGTCAGGCTGTGCCGATGCAGCCGTGGGTGTCCTAGGCGAGCCGTCTGCATCGGACTGGGTATGGAAGCCGTTAACATAGCTCCTAGGTGCTCCTTGTTGATGCGCCGACCCCGCGTGCGGATGCTGTCGCGGCGGAGACTGTGGTGGAGACAAAGCCGAATTTGCGCCGAGTTGTGGCGAAAGCGACGCGGTTGGTGCTGTCGAATGTATTGGATATGCGTTGTTCGACTGTTGTGTGGGCGGCGAAGTGGTGTGGGCATTTTGCCGTTCGAGTTCGGCCTGAAGCTGACGTGCGAGCGCCGAAGTCTCCACCGGTGTCTGCTGTGGAGTATTAGCTGGCGCCGGTGCGTAGCCCCACCCTGTACCGGGCGCACCGAAGTTGCTGCTGCTACTAGCGACGCTCGATTGAGAACCCCACGACCCAGGACCCCCAAAGTACGTCGGCTGCCCATAGCCAGCGCCCATGCCGGAAGACATGGCAGGGTGGTGCGAGTAGTTGCTCGAAGACGAGAGCATGGCCACGTCTGCATCGAGTGAGCTTGGTGGTGGTGCGAGGGCCGAATTGGAGGGCGAGGCCGAGGTGGCTGGGTGTCGTCGAGCCAAGTTGTACGGATGGGCTGGATTCGACGGACCGGCGGCTGGATGTGGATGCTGCTGGCCGAGCGACAGCTTGAGCGATTCGCGGATCTCGTTGATGTCGTTGCCCCGATCGCCGGCGTGGAAGCCATGCTGCATGGAGCCGATCAGATCGTCCATGTTGAGCGCCATGATGCGCGTATGCAAGCGCGGCTGGAGCGCAAGTCGAGCAAATAGATCAGCGGAGACCAGCGCTGGGAGATGCAAGGAAAGGACGGATGCAACGAGTGGACGTCGGATGTGCTTGCCGACGGACAAGGCTGGAGGATGCGCACGTGGTGGATGGAGCCCAGGCCGATTTGGCGCAGTGGGAATGAACGGCGGATGGTGCGTGGAGATTGGAAAGGTGGGGGTGCAGGAGCGGCGCCGAGAGCGATGAACGTAGGATGGTGGGAGTGATGTGGGGAGGGTCAGAGCCGGCTCCGGATGTGAATGTGATTGAGACACTTTGCTGATCAGGGGGGAGAGAGGGTGAGGCGAGTGTGAGAGTGTGAGAGTGGATCCGGCTTTCTCTCTCGCCTTTGTCGCCTGGCTGAGCTACGCGTGCTGTTAGTGTGAATCGGTGGGCTGACCGGAGCGTCGGTCGAGAGCAGTGTGCGGGTGCGGACGCGGACGCGGGTCCAATTTCGCTGCTGCTGCGATGCGACCGGCGTTTGAGCCGAAAGCGTTGAGAGCCTGTCTGTCTGCGCTCATCATCGGCAGTCAGCCAGCCTCCCTCGCCGCCTCGCTGCAGACTCGGTCGGCGAAAATCAGACGAAAAAAGGTCTGGAAATCATGAATTGAGGCCGAGATTTGCGGTGCGCTGCGCTCAGCTTTTTCGCTCAGCGCTGCTTGCAAGCTGGCCCCCCGGATAATCGGCTAACGCTGGGAGCCTGACGCTGCCTGTGTTTTCAACTACTGCTCCGACTCCACTGCTCCACCGCTCCACCCCCACCGCCGCCGACGCAGAGCCGGTCCTTGCCGCCACCCGTCCGCGGCTCAATTGCTGCACATCGCATGCTTCGGTCTAACATCCTGTCTCAAAAAAATCCTTACTACAGTCCGGGCGTCCATCGCTGTCTTACGGTCAAGAGCGCTCCTATGCTTGTCCATTGTACCCATTGCTTCTGTTGCTTTTGAGAAGGGAGAATGACGGCTATCCGAAAGCATCCTCCATCTCGTGAAATCGGCTGTGCGCAGTGAGCATCCATGGCCGCAACGCCTCCCCGCACAGCTTGCACTGCTCCAGCTCTTCGTCCTGCTCCGAGTCGTCATCAGCAGATCCAACGACAGCATCCTGCCCGTTGTCCTCCGCACTTTGAGATGGGATCAGCGTCGATGGTGGCGGTGATGATGATCGTGAGCGTGCGACCAGATGCGCAGATGCGCTTTCGACGGGGAGTCCGAGCAGCGGATACAGCTCGTGGTCGTGCTGCATCCACACCTCCATCGCTTCTCCGCACGTGGCGCACCTCAGCGAAGCTGTCCCAGCATCCACGTCGGCGCCTTTGACAGGTGCCACCATCGACAGTCGGTCCGCGCTTCGCAGCCCTGGGTCTCGTTCGAGCGACGCACCAAGACCATACTCGGCCATGATCTCCTCGCGCAGCTCGGCAGGCAGACTTGCCAGTACCGCTGCGTCAATCTCGCCCGTCTCCGCCTCTGGCATCTTTGAAAAGCTTGCGCCAATACTGCGCTCTGTGCCAGCTGATGCCGATGCAAAGAAGCTGCCCAACGCCCTCTGCGGCCTTTTGTCGCTCAGCTCCAGCGCCGCAATGTTGATCAGGTTCATGCCATCGCCCACCACGTCGTCGCCACCGATGAGCGCACGCAGCAGCGTCTTGCATGCCTTGGCCATCGCTCCGGCACGCACCTCCCTCGGCTGCTCCAGCTCAAAGATCTCCACCGGCATCAGCGCCTGTTTCGAGACCCGGTTGTTCCATCCCTGGCGCACGCTCAGCCGAAGCTTGAGCGGGTAGCGCACCCAACTCGCTGCCTTGCCCTTGGTAGCTTTGCCCGCAGTAGCAGGCATGGCATCCTTGTAGTCGCGCACAACGCCCGAGTCGGTCCGCACGTCTATTGGCTGACTCGCTTTCTCGCGGTCAGTTGAGCTACGCTCCGACAAGACCAGCTCCAGCTCCAGCCGGCGTAGCAGAGATAGCGACAGGCGGTAGATCTCGGAATGAATCGCCGCGCCCCGAAGGCTCGGGTAGGGATACGTGTCTTCGATCGAGATCTGCAGCGGAAAGTCCGGAGCCGGTACCACGGGTTCGGCATCTCGTCCGCATACCAACGCCCACAGCCTTGGCCCAGTGACGTCGCCAAATAGGTCGACCATCTCTTGCAGCGACAACATCTTGCGCGTCGTCCCCACCATCAGCCGTGGCTTGCTGGAAGCCACTTCACCGCCTCCGTGTGTCTCTTCATCCGACACGCTGGTGGGCTCCATGAAGTTCGACCGCACCTTGGGGCCGCGTTGCGCTGCTGCAGTCGCTTGCGGATGCAAATGGTCTCGGATCTTTTCCACCACAACTCGTCCGTAGCCCGGCAGCTTGCGCAGGTCCAGCGGGTCGAGGAACTCGGTGATGTGATGCAACAGCCTTGCCTCCTGCTTCTTCCCTGCCAATCGTCCAGCAGGAGAGCTCGCGATGGGAGGCGCAAAAGTCGTCTGCTGGTTGGGCTTGTTGAGTGCTCCCACCAGCTTGGCGAGCGACTTGGTCGGTGCTACTCCAGCGGAGCATGTGAGTCCAACCTCGTCCGAGATCCTCTGGCGCAGATAGAAGGCCAGATGAGCTGCCGCCAGCATGCGTTCCTGCCACCAGTCGGGCTGGTTCTCGTTCAAATGATCCGACGCAGCCTGCGGGAAAACGTGTCCCGGGCCTTCGTTCGGCCAAGCATCATACTCGAATCCATACTGCTGGTCCTTCTCGCCCGCACTGGGGGGGTTGAGATCAAAGTATCGCCTTCCCTTGGCAGCTGTTTTCAGATGGTGGTCGATCATCTCTGTGACATCGCAGAAGAGCTCGTCCATCCCGAGCTTCTCCACCCTCTTGTGCCAAACCACCGAGCGCACCAGACGCCACACTTGCGACGATACCTGGCGGAAGTACGTAAGATCTTCGCCGTTGACAAGCACCATGTCGGGGCACTTTTTGAGCGCATCTTTGATGCTATCGAGTTTGTCCACGCCGGCCGCACGTGCCTCGTAGCTGATGGTTGCAACGAGCGCCTTTTGCTGGATCCCGATCGGGATGCCTATGAGCGAAGGATCGCGCTTGCGACATGCAGACACGTAGAACGCGTCCAGATCCAGCGCGATGATCACACGACGCGCATAGTCCGGCAGCGAGTCTAGGTCGCCATTGGCATGTGCGGTCGGTCTCTGCCGCTTGGAATCGTGTGGTCCATGATCGCTGGACGTGCGCTTCGAAGGCGATGTTAGAAACGCAGCTGCGTCAGCGCGAGGTCGAGACGGGCTGGATCCATTCATGGTGCTCGAGCTCGAGTTCGCGGCTGCTGCCGGCGCATCACCTTCAGCACCTCCATCTGCACTCGCGACAGTCCCGAGCTGTCGGACAGTGATCAAAGGTGGTCATCGTGGTGCAGCTCGTAGTCGCCGAGTTGCGGGAAAGAAAGCTCGAACGCGTCACGGCGGGGAAGAAAAACTCCACTTTACCGGACGCCCGGCTCGTGCGCAATCTCACATTGCTCAATTTTTGCCCAAGCCGGCCTCGAGCTCCCAATCGCAGGGGTTGCACCTTCGTGCCTTGCGCAGGTCTGCCTTGCGCATGTCTGCCTTGCGAAGCGGGCGCGTCTAGGCTAGGCTCGAGGAATCAGTCGCTCGAGAGCTGATTTATTCGATACGGAAAGCAATTGTACATGTGCGTGCGAACAGGGTCGGCGGACCATGTCTAGGAGACGTACTTGTATGCAAGGTAGGCACCCAGCAGCATGAGGGGGATGAACATGAAGAGAGGGCTGTTGAATCGGTCGCAAAGGTAAGATGTTGGAGGTCAGCAATTGAGCTTTTGTGGCACAGTCCACAATGTCACGCATGGAGCGCGAAAAGGCGATGGCGGGAAACGGAGAGAGACTTACTGGCTGTTCAGGTTGGTGTTGTTCTCGTTGGTCACGGCACCGCTGGTGGTCTTGATCTTCTGCGTCTGATGGGCGAGAAATCGCACGCGTGTGGGATGCCAGAAGGCGGAGACGAGCGGACAAAGTGTTAGCATGTGTCGAGCGCAGCCTCTGGGCAAAGTTACAGGGAGGGAAGAGCTGCACGCATCGATGGACCAATGTCGCAACCAAAGCTTGCTCGTCCGTTTGCGACGCCGATGAGAGTGGCCTTCGCATTACGTGCAGCTTTGTGTCGGTAAGGGTACTTACGCCGCCTTCCAGCTCGCCGACAAGCATGGGACCGAGGAGCGCACGCGCATCCTCCGAGTGGCCGACATCCTCGAACGCCTCGGTGGCGTCCTTGCCGGCCTCGGTAACAAGAACCTCGTCACCACCGGGGTGCTGTTCGGCGCGACCAGGAGTGAGAGTGCGCGCATGACAGTCGTCGGATCGTTGCAGTTCACATCATTGCCGGAATTGGACGAGAGCGCAGCGTGTTTGCAGACGAAGGGTCGGATGGAGTCGGATGGAAACGTGGAATCAGGCCGTCAGCAAATGATCATCCATGCGACTCGGCGCGATCGTAATTGATCGAGCTAGCCGTGACAGATCGGCATCTGAAGAAGTACGTACCTCATCGAGGAACTTGCTGACGTTGTAGACTGAGGACGCGCGCAAGGATTGCCGAACAGAGATTCCGATGCAAGATTATATGAGAGAAGAAAGGTCAGCGCAACTTGCAGATTGACTCGCACCATCCAGCCAGGCAGTCTGTCGAGGTGTCGATCTCGAAGCGCATCCGAGCGCCGTCTCTCGGTAGACGCTTCTGTGAGATGTGCTCGTAGATCGCGGTGCTGGCGGTGCTAGAGATGGTTTCGAGGCAACGTACCCTTGCCGTCGATGAGGAGCCAGAGGTCCTCGTGGGTGTTGTGCTCCTTGAGCTGCTCCATGGTGATCTTCTTGGACTCGGACATGTTTGCGGATTTACAACGATGCGACTCGGATGGATCGGAACTTTGTGTGGGTGGATATGGTGGAGGAAGGAGCTAAAGAGAGTTGTGGAGAACGCTCGACTCTGAACAAAAGAATGCGGAGAGGCTGTCCGGCGTTTCCGTCGAGTGACCACTTCGAGAGAGAGTGCGTGCACCCGCCGCCGAACTTCGGCCCTTTGCTTGACGCAGATCTTCCACCGCTTCCACAGGCTGGTTTGGGCGCGCACTCTCTCTCTCTCTCGTGTGAGCATTTCTGCTGCGCGTGCGTATCAGCAGCAGGTGTTTTGCCGCCGCAGGCCCCCAACACCGAGAGTCGCAAGTGGCAACCAGCGATTGGATTCAACCGCGGTTGTGCCCGAACTGGCTGAGCTGCGAGAGACTGACGCATGTTGGACTTTCCCTTTTCTTTTTCCTTTTTCCGCACCTCGCTTTCGAAAGTCGACGTCAGGGCAGGCGGAGGTGAGTGCGGTTTGGGCGTGAAACTACTCCTTCACTTCCGAGGTGCGTCGAATTTTGGGCCGTGAATGCCACGAGCTCCGACCAGACAGGTTGAGGCCAGTAGTGTGAGTGTCGACCGACAGCGCGCCACTCGAGCTCGAGGCATTACAAATGACGTTCAACAGCACACCCTCTCTCCGCTCTGTAGGCTTCAAGATGCGCCCTGACAGCAGGAGCCGCCTCCAAGCAGCGTGCAAGCGGCGTCGTGAGCATTCAATGTTGCCAGAGGGAACGGTAGGAAAGCTCAGTCCATCCCCGATCTTTTCCTGGCAAGCATCCATTCCGCGCAGCTCTCGGCGTCATGCTCCTTTCTCGCATCGGGCACGATGAGCCTGATGTCATTATCCGCCCGACCGGCGGGCCTTCAACTCCCGTCGTCAGAATGCCAGTACCGTCTGAGCGTCTTCACTGCCCGTGTCCAGCACGTGGTCCTTACTGGCTGGGGGCAATGTGAGCTCCTGAGAGTCTGGCTGCTTTGTGCAATGTGGAAACGAGGGGGCGAGATGCACAGAGAAACCCCAACATGATACCAGACTTGTCGGCGAAAAAAAAGAGAAATAAAAAAAAGGATAAGAAAATGCGAATAGAAAAAGCAAAAAAAAAGGAAAGCGACCCCAGGCGGGCTCGAACCGCCGACCTCAGCATTAACAGTGCTACGCTCTAACCAACTGAGCTATGGAGCCTTAGATGTCGTATCGGCTGATTGTTGTCATCACATCAACTCACAGCTTTTGAGAAGCATCGTGACGCGTGCCAGAAGAAGGTGGAAGGAGCGCATTGATTTGTGGAGAACAACACGTCCGGCTTCGTACAGGCTTTCGAGCTTTGCCTCCCCTCCTCGACCTACGACCACTCTGTCGAAGCCGCCGCGGCCGCAAAGCCAGCCAGACCAAAGTGTAAGCTGGGCACGGGTGTCGTCCCGCGGAGTCAAGCCAGTTCAGCCTGGCCATCCCTGCAAGCTGCTCCAGGGCAGCGGGCCCGAACCTCGCCGCACGCTCGGGTCCACGATCTGCACGCTAGATGCTGTCTTGTCAGCGCTGTTCGCTCAGTATAAGTCCGTCAACCTGCTCGGACTTATCCCGCTAGGACCTACTGGCATTCATTCGAGGCATACAGCCAAGGTCCTTCATCGGCCGAAGGCTGTTCGGCTGCGACCCTCTCCTTCACCATGGGTCTCATCAACTTGCTGCTCAAGTCAGTCATATTGCTGCTCGATCTACGCGATACGTACGACGCGCTCGGCTCGGTGAAGCTTGCAGAGATCGGCAACGAGCACAAGATGGTCATTGTGCGCAATGTGCAGGATGGATCGAGGCAGGCAGCCACCCGGCGGCGGGTCGGCACTTCGAAACGCAAGGCAGCCGTTCGGTCGGCACTCACCACGATCCTCGTGTGGAATCTCTTCCACAAGCTTGAGCCGGTCTGTGATCGGACCGTCTCCTGGTTCGTTCCATTCTATGACTCCTTCAAAACGCTTTTCCTCGTGTGGATGCTCTTCACGCGGAGTTACGGAGCGTCGATCCTGGTTTACCGGTTCCTTGCGCCCCTAGTCCGCCCATACGAGCACATCATCGATGCCAGCATTGGTATCACACTGGCTCTCTTCAGCTGGATCGCATCGCTCCTGGCCCCGGTCACCGAAAGCTGCACTACGCTCCTCCACGGCATCATCTCTGCAGCCCCACAATCCGCACAGAGGAGACTGAGCATGACTCCTCTCGAGCCACCGCTCGAGGCCAAAGCCGACTCAGCCCGAAGCACCTCAAAATCGCCCAAAGCAAAGAGCAAGAGGAGGCCGCCTTCACCGCCGCCTCCATCTCAGACAGTCTTGACCCACTCGAAGCCTGCTGCGCCCGGCCAGATCGCGGCATCAAAGACGGCCCGACAGACACAGCCCGGGCCAGTCGTGGCGAAACGGCTGCCTACAAAGAAGACATCGAGCGCCGATTTGGCTGCAAAGCGCCGCATCCTGCAGGAGCTTCCCGTGCCAAGCCACGCATTCGAACCGCAGACTCCAGACACCACTCCGGCATCGCAGACCTTGTCAACCGGTGCACCTGTCACAGGCTCTCCGAGCACGATGGTCACGGCGGTCAAAGAAGAGCCGATAGACACCTCTATGGGGCTGAACACAGCTAGTAGCAATGGATCTGGTCTTGCTGCAATGCCACTTTCGACAGTCCCTGCAGACGCCAAGCCAGAGCCGCCTCCGACGCCGCCCACCGGCCTCCAGAACTACGCATTCATACCAGGGGTGACGCCGCAACGCAGTGGTCCTTCCGCGGTGATTTCGCCGACGCCGCGCTTCCCAGGCGGCTTTGCGTTCTCCTTTGCCGCTTCTCAGGCTTCCACGTCGACGAGCTCAAATCCCTTTCAATTGCAACCGAGGCTGCCCGCCACCGCCCAGATGGCACCCCTGTCACTCTCTTCCTCGCAAGGGGCCCCGCCCGTGCTACCGCTTGGGGCCAACAATGTTGCGCTAACGCACGAGACGGTCGCTTCGGCGCACGACGATCGGATCGTGCCTCCGCCAGGCAGCGCCAAAGTGATCCGAAAGACGCCTTCCTCGGGGTCACTCAAGAGCAACGCGAGGGCGATCCCTGCACCAACCGTGCCCAAATCGACGATAGTCGCCAACGGAAAGAAGCGCAGCAGAGCCAAAGCAACAGAAGACGCAGATACCGACGGACCGACGAAATCCGATGCTACGAAACCCTCGCCGAGGAAGCGGTCCAAGCCTGCACCAGGTGCTTCTGCCTTGCGCAAAGCCTCAGCTACAGGCGACCCAGCGACCGCCAAATCCAAACGCGCGCCGACAAGCACAAGCGTCCCCAGCAAGGGAAAGGCGGCGGTTCAGACTTCCTCAGCAAAAGAGGTTGCTGCGAAGAAAGTGGCCGCTCACAAGGGCAACGGCAAGTCTTCTGGGGCCAAGGCGGATCAGGATCCCGTCACCACAGAAGGGAAGCCGGGCAGCAATTCGAGTGGCTCGCCGCGGAAGAAGCCGATCAACGTTGCGACCACAACAGGCATCACGTCGACCAAGCCGAGCCGTGTCGTCAAGAAAGTTTCCGCTGTGGGCAAGCCCGCGGCCGACAAGCCCGCCGAGTCCACCCCACCAGCGGAAGAGCCGCCTCCCACGCGACTCACCCGCAGCCGTACAAGGCAACACCTCGCAGATTGAGAGACTGATAGTGTAATCAGCAACGTCCTCTCGACGTCCACACATGCTCGCTAAGTATGCTATGTGAGCGAGTGTCCGTGGGTGCATCACAGACGGGAATGGGAGCATGTTGCCGCAGGCCCGTTTTCGGACCCTCTCAGGTTTGGCAGGAGGGTTGTGCCGGCCGGGACCCGAGGAAAAGTGCCCGCAGCCAAAACGCCGTGTGGAGTTGTGTGATCTCAGAGAGAGGTGGGAAGAACGAAAAAAAAGCGAGGGAAAAAAAAATTAGAGTCTCAATCCAGGTCGCGGGTCTCATTTCTTGCTTCTTGCTTCTTCTTCGCTACGAACATTCCGTCTTCCATCCATCTACATAGGAAGCCAGCTGCTTGGGCCGGACATCCCGTTTCGACCGGTGCTCAGGCTGAACGGAGGCTTCCGATGCCATCCACGACATCATGAATCGCTCCATCACCGGCGCTTGGGCGAATCCGCGCAACAAGCTTTCGCTCAACAGCCCGCTTCCACCCTCTTCTTCCGCTGCCTCGGCCGGATCCAGTATACCCCCTCCTCCCGGATCAGCTGCTGCTGCTGCACTGGCTAGGCAGCAACAGGCGCAGGCGCAGCAGAATGGCGAATCGTCTGCAGCCAATGAGCCATCCGAGACCAATGCAGCTGCCTCGCCCGTAGCAAGTGGGTCCGCACCAAGAACAAGGCAGAGCTCGCCTTCGCTCGCGCCCTCGAGCTCATCCCCGATTAAACGCAAGTCCCGCTCCTCACGCATCGACGGCAGTGGCGCGGCAGGCTCGTCTGCAGCCTCCTCATCTTCCAAGAGACCCAAAGGTCTCATCTCCAAGCTCGTCAACGCCGCCGAGAAGTATACCCCGCCTCAGACAAGGCTCGCTGATCTCGGTGGCATCTCGAGCGCCATCGAAAAGATCCTCGAGCTCATCGCCATGCCTCTCTGCCATCCGGAGATCTATGCCCACACGGGTGTCAAGCCACCGCGCGGTGTCTTGCTCCACGGTCCTCCCGGATGCGGTAAGACGATGCTGGCTGGTGCTGTGGCTGGCGAGCTCGGCGTGCCGTTCTTGTCCATCTCCGCACCCTCAGTCGTGTCCGGCACGTCAGGAGAGTCGGAGAAAACCATCCGCGACACCTTTGACGAGGCTGCTAGCATCGCGCCCTGCATCCTCTTCATCGACGAGATCGATGCAATCACGCCAAAGAGGGAGACGGCACAGAGGGAGATGGAGCGCAGGATCGTCGCCCAGCTACTCACTTCGCTCGACGATCTTAGCTGGGAAAAGACCGACGGCAAGCCCGTCATGATCATCGGCGCAACCAATCGACCCGACAGCCTCGACCCGGCCTTGCGGCGTGCCGGTCGATTCGATCACGAAATCGCCATGGGCGTACCGGACGAAGAAGGTCGCGAACAGTAAGTCACTCTCTCTCGCCAACTCTCTCCCTCAGCCGATGTCGACAAGCGCGCTATTCGCCTCGGACAGTCTCGTGTCTTGCATGATGCACAACATACACAGCGCTAGCGGCAATGGGCCGTCCTGTGCGTTTTGGCCTTCGGGCCTCCCATTCAAGTCCCTGATCACACGACATGTCCTTGGCAATAGTCGGCGTTCGCCACCGTCGTTTGGGAGCAGAGGTGCCGTATCGAAGTGGAGCGGGACAGTAATGACTGACCTCTCTGGGCAATCGCCTACCGCTTTGTTGATGATGACAGGATTCTACGAGTGCTCGCGCAAAAGCTTCGACTCTCCGGAGACTTTGACTTCCGCGCACTGGCCAAGGCTACTCCGGGCTATGTCGGAGCCGATCTCACAGCATTGACCTCGGCTGCAGGCATCATCGCGGTCAAGCGCATCTTTCAGCAATTGAGCGAGGCCGAAGCCCTGCCCGAGAGCCTGTCAGCGGAGCGCATCTCCCAGGCCATCGGGCTGGACACGGCCACGCCTGCCGAATCGACGAACGACGACGTCGTCATGGGCGATTCCGACACGCCTGCCACCGACGTGGAAGGGCAAGCAAACGCTGCCGTCCAGGCAAATCTCTCCGCCGCAGCTACTCCGGCCGGCGCCGAGGCCAGCGTCGACTCACCTGCGCCTTCCACGGGAGCGGTGACGCCCGCAGCTGCCGACGGCGATGAAACCCAGACTCCAACAGGCGAGGCTGCGCCTTCGTCAGTGGCAAAGTCGAACGTCCGTCCTTCCGCCACCTTCTTCGATGCGCTTCCTGAGCACATTCGCGACTCGTCGATCGCCTCGTTCCTCAAGAATCACCCGAACCCTCTCAGCGATGCCCAGCTTGCACCGCTCGCCATCACCAACGCCGACTTCCTCGTGGCCCTCCCCTCGGTGCAACCGTCGTCGAAGCGAGAGGGCTTTGCCACTGTGCCCGATGTTTCGTGGGCAGACGTCGGCGCGCTGCACTCGACGCGCGACGAGCTATCCATGGCGATCGTCGAGCCGATCAAGCGACCCGAGCTCTTCCGCTCTGTGGGTGTCTCGGCCTCGTCCGGTGTCCTTCTGTGGGGCCCGCCTGGCTGTGGAAAGACCCTGCTCGCCAAGGCGGTCGCCAACGAATCTCGCGCCAACTTTATCTCGGTCAAAGGGCCCGAGCTTTTGAACAAGTACGTGGGCGAGTCGGAGAAGGCGGTGCGCCAGGTGTTTGCACGTGCACGCACATCGTCTCCGTGCGTCATCTTCTTTGACGAGCTCGACGCGCTCGTGCCACGCCGAGACGACTCGCTCTCGGAAAGCTCGAGCAGGGTGGTCAACACGCTCCTGACGGAGCTGGACGGACTCGAGACACGTGTGCAGACATACGTTATCGCTGCTACCAACCGGCCGGACATGATCGACCCTGCAATGTGCCGTCCCGGTCGTTTGGATAAGCTGCTATACGTCGACCTGCCCAAGCCCGACGAGAGACTCGAGATCCTCAAGACCATCACTACCAAGACTCCGCTTAGCGATGCGGTTGATCTGGCGACCATCGCGTACGACACCAAGCTCGAGGGCTTTTCGGGTGCCGATTTGGCTGCACTGGTTCGAGAGGCGGCCGTGCTTGCGCTGCGCGAGACGATTCTCTTCCACAATTCGCAACCAGCGGCGGAGGAACCCGTCAGATCCAAGAAGCGAAGAGACGAGGACCAAGGCGTCAAGGTGCTCGTGACTCAGTCTCACTTTATTGCGGCGCTGTCCAAGATCCAGCCGTCGGTATCGGCTCAGCAGCGACGAAAGTATCTGTCGCTGAGGCAGAAGCTGCAGGGCTCTGTGCCGATTGACGCGGGCGCCCCGAGCTCGGGCAGACGAGCACGCTTCGATGCCGACGCGGACGACGCTTCCACTCCGACGCCTGCCACTTAGATCTGTGTACTTGTATCGTGCCCCTTGTACATCATTGCGCCAACGCTCATGCAACACTTGTATGAAAAGGGAGATTGAAGGACTTGTGTGAAAAGAAGAACGACATGACAGGACGGGCCGGGGCCGAAGACGGGTTGTGCCGATTAGGCGGCCTTTTCGGCCGCAGGGGGGTCGAGCTTGATGGGCTTGTCGTCGCCGGGGCAAGACTGCTTGTCGAACTTGAGCTTCCACTCGGGCAGGTCGTAGAGCTTGACCTGGGAGCAAGTCTTGTTGGGCTCGACATCGGCTCTGTCGGGCACCTCGACATGGACCTCAATGGACTCGGACAGAGTCACAATCTGACCAGCAAACAGCACAAAGTCTGTAACACATAGCGATGGCTCAGTAGTTTGTTCGAGCAGGGGTTTTGTGGATGGTATCGGAACTTACTGGTGCCATTGTTGTTGATGTAACCGGTGAGACGCTGCGGGTTGGGAGCCGAGAGACTCTTCTTGAGCTCGGTGTTGGTTGCGAAGCAAGCGTAGTGACGAACGTAGTCGCCAGTCAGAGGCTTGTCGCGGTTGCAGTACATGCGGTAGACCACTTCGTCTTGCACAAGACCGAACAGTCCAGTGGGGTTGAGGGCTCCACCCGGTCCTGAGCCTGGTTGAGTCGGCTCGTGTCCCGGAACGATCTCGGGACCCGGTCCCAAGACCGCGGGCCCCAGTCCTGCGATGGCCCCGGGCCCCAAGTCAGCAGGGCCCGAGGGCTCCAGCTTCACGGGGACAAAGCCCTCGGGGATCTGGAGGGCACTGGTGCCGCAAGCGGCCATGACGGCCAGAGAAGCGAGGAAAGAAGCAGACTGGAAGCGCATGTTGATCGGTTGCAATCGTAAAGATGAGTAAAGATGAGAAGATGACAGAGATATGAAGGGCCTTACTCTGCCCTTCGACTTATATCCCATTCTGCCACGGTGGAGCCGGTACTGGGCTGCACGCTCTGGCCTCTTCATGTGCTTAGCCTCGCTCGCACCCCCATCATTTCGACTGAGGCCGCCAGGGGCAAGCACAGCCACTGCCAGTGGGGCTGGCCTGACCCACAAGTATAGACCCACCTGCGAGCTATTGTTCCACGTGCCCACCAACCGCTTTCACCGACTACGGCAACGCGAGACGACAATGGACGGTCAGATCGCACCGCCGAAAGCGAAGCCGCCGAGCCCTACATTAGCCTAGCCGACAATCGACTCTTTTCTCCCCACAAGACCCCACATCGTCCCACTGTCCCTCAAAAGGTTACCTCACCTTGGGACCGCCCACAGGAGCGCGGAACCATGCATGCATCCGACTGTCAGAGAGGGGCTCAGTATAGACTCGGCCCCCTGACGCTGAAAAAAAAAAGAAAATCTTGAAGAAGACCGAGGTGAGAGAGCCTTGCAAAAAAGGCAAAAAAGAAATGACCAGCCTGGGGCTCGAACCCAGAATCTCCTGATTACTGTTACGTTTTGAACACAACTTCGTAGTCAGACGCCTTACCATTGGGCCAACCGGCCTTTGATGTATCGTCGAGTCATGAATGCGTTGATGAAGCTGGTGTGTTCATTGTGCAGACTATCTGCGGTGCATTGTTTGGCAGGTCAGACCACATGGGACCACACTTATGTCTCGTACCAAGCGATTGCATCAATGGAGGCCAGAGCATTGTTGCCTACAGAAGACCCACAAGCTACAATCGCAATCGATTGGAGCGTTGTGCAGTGGAACGCAGGGTCATGGGGCGCATGTGAAGCTCATTCGAGGGTGGCATCCTTGCTTGGGCCCCACCTTCGAGAGGCGACGCGGCAGGGTACCCACTGCAGCTCCGCTTGATATGGGATCGTACAGTGCGCTGCCCTGCGGTAGCGTGGCCTAGAAAGAAGTCTTCAAGGCCACTACTCTCCATCGTGCTGCTCGGCGGAGCGAAAGGTATGCAGGACAGGCAAAAAACTTCCCCTTTCTCGACGTTATCATCCTCACCGCAGAGCTGACATCGGCACGATCATCTCCAGACAAGTCGATTTCGCACATCATAGCACTCTCTGGCTCTGTGTGATGCTGTGATTCCGGAGCTTTGTAACGGGCGGAGGGCACATGCACCCTGCAAATGAGTTCTCAAATCGTCGTTGTCACGGCAGTGGATCCGGTGGGCTGTAACAGCGTGGTGTGGGGTTTGTGGCTGTGTTTGGTGGTCCCGACCTCTGCATGCCGACGCCCCATGAATCCCCCACAAAGTGGGGCGACCCAGCAACAGGATGGACAGCGTGACGAGGTCCCAGCGGCAGCTCATTTCCTGTTCGACTCAAAGCTCCCTTATGGTTCACAGACCTCTTTTTCACTCGTGCTCTGAAGCGGATGGTGTCTGGCAGCAGAGCCGCCCTTGCGGCTCGAAAGGTATAAAGGACGACATCTCTCCCCCCTTCTTCCAGGTCAGGTCATCCAACATCACTCGAACGACTTCCATCGGCACGACCTTCCTCCACCAAATCTTTCCACCTGCACCACCTCCAACGCTTTTCGAACTTTACGATGAAGCTTCTTACCTCTTTCGTGCTTATGGCCCCGGTCTTTGCTGGACTTGCCAGCGCAGACTGGGTGGCTCAGGATCCGCCGAACATGACCGTTCCGGCCCTCTGTGCCAACACGGACGCCAGTCGAGCTTGTTTCACCACCGACATCGGAGACCTTACCCCCGGTGCTGGCTCGCACTTCAAAGGCTTCATCGCTGATGACAAGAAGAGTATGTCCAAATGCTTGGTCGGTATGCAGTAACATTGGGCGAATGCTGACTTGATCGTCCTTGCGTTTGAAAAGGCTTCGTCGTTGTCCCTGATACGGACAGTTCGGCTTCGCTTGTGGTGGGCAGGTACAAGATCAACATCAACTGGAATGCCACTGGCAACAACGACAAGAACTGCGCTGCTGTTGATATCGAGGATCAGAACGGTAACGAGATCACCAACTACCTCACCTGCTCCAGCGCCAAGTGGTACAACCTCTCGGCCTAGGCGATCTTGTCGCGACGCGCGAGAAGCTCGGCCATCTTCTTTCCAGACACTGACTGCGTCAGGGGCAGAAGAAAGAGTCGTTAGCTCGCCCTTGTGCTCACCATGAAATTCCGATACGATTCTTCACGCTCGAGTGGTTGTTGTGGCTTCCCATGATGTAGAGAGATGCCAGAGAATCGAAGTTCGTCACAGTCATACAGCACGGATAGCGAAAGCAACATGTTGAATTCAGAAGACGTCAAGAAGAACCGACAAAGAAGCGACGTGGAACGGGCATCGTTGAACCGACCAGCAGTATGCGATGCTTTGAGAAGCGGGGGTCTTCGGTGGCGAGCCGCAATCAGGCCTGCTCAGGGGGGTGCTTTCCGTGGCCGGTGCCTTTGCCAGCTGGAGCCTTGCCGCCGCCGTGACCACCTTCATGACCACCCTCCTGACCACCGGGGTGACCACCACGACCGCCGGCATGACCACCGGCATGATCGCCAGCACGACGGACAGCGGAAGAGCGCTTGTTTCCGCCACCCGAGAGCTGGAAGATGGTCTTCTGGTCCGGGTTATCCGTGTCGCCTTCGGCGGCGGTGACCCAGCCATTGTTGACGTAGTCCTGGACGATGACGTGTGCGCTACTTCCCCCGAGCCACTCGATGTTGATGGTATGGTCGGGCATCGACATGAGCTCGCCCGAGCTGCTGCTTTGGATGAGCGCAAACGCCAGACCGTCCGAAGCGGCGTAGCCGGACCAGGTTCCCGAAGCGGATTTTTGCGTGATGTCAGAGGCGCTCGTGAAGCAGACGAATTCACCCTCCATCTCGGACCCGAGCGCACAGCGTGCAGACCACTCGGACTGTCCATTGCCCAGCCAACCGGCTTGAGCAAGGCCAGCAAGGAGGAATGCAGTGAGAAGAGCGAACATCATCGTTGCGAAAGTGGAGGTTTTGATAGAGATCTTGGAGGTCTTGTAGAGGGATGTGGATGTCTTGGAGAATGAGTGTAAGATTGGAGTATGGGATGGGGGAGGAGAAGGGGACTGCGGAGAGCAGCCGTGTTATATGCTTTTCCAGGGGGGGACGAGTGAAGCACAAAGACTGAAACGTCGCCAAGCAGAGTTACAGCGAAGGAGTGTTAAGGTGAAGCGGTGTCCCGAGTTGCAGTCATGTTTGCTGTTGGCCATCGCTTGGCGCGCCAGCAAACTCATGGCGTCGCAGATGGAGATCGGTGCGGCGTGAGCGATCCCACCAGCTGGCGTGGGTATGGCATGCACAACAACCACGCCACGAGTCCGACCTCACCGCGACCCGAGCCGATCTGCATCCAGTTTCCACGCCATGTGCGCCATCATCCACCCTCGCACTCACCCCTCAATCCCCTGTCACACGCCGAGGCCACGCTGCCCATCCATGAGCGATCCTGATCCTCGCCAAGAATTGTCGTCACGATGAAGATCAATGCATTGCATGTGCGAAGCGACGCCTCACGGGTCCATCTCGACGCCCTTGGTGGCGTTCTGAACGACAGCCTGCCCGGGCGAAGCCTGCCAATCGGTCAGCAGCAGTTCGAGACGAACCGTGGCTGCCTTGACATACGGCTTGTCGGTGGCGTGTTTGAGCCAGCCTGCTTTCTCTTCCTGCAAGCCCTGGGAAAGCAGGAGCGCCAAGAGTTTGCGCATCTGCTTGCCGTACAGCTTGAGCGCATACGTTCCGGCGATCTCGATAAACACCGACCAGATCGAAGGGCACATTGGGTGGTCGAGAAACGCCACGGGCGCGGCGGTGGAGGGCGTGAGAGCACGCACGCTCCAGCGCCAAAGCGACGTGGATCGCAAATGCAGTGGGATGCGTTCGAGTGTGATGCTCGATTTGCCCGGTGGTGGCGTGGGCACGGTCTGGAGCATGCCAAAGTAGAAGGCGGCGATGCCGTTCATGCGGTTCGAGTAGTTTTCGGTGGTCTCGTCCGACTTGTAGCCCATGACTTTGCGGTAGGCTGCTTCGTCCATTTCCTTGGTGCGTGCAGGCCAAACCGGAACGACCCAGGGACACTTTTTGCACAGCCTCGCCATAAGCACGTCTGCCAACTCCACATGGCCGAGCAGCACAAGCCAGATCGCAACGCGAGCTAGCGGGTAGGCGGTATCCTGCTTGGCGGCGACTTCCTGCTCCGCCTGTCGGATGAGACACTTGGAGAGGTGGTTGAGGATCCAGGTGTAGACATCGCCGCCTCCGGACGCGGTCGCTTGCTTGGCTGCGTCAAGCACGCTAGCGATGGCCTGGGTGATGCGCACGATCTCGGCGCGCGAGTTGGTGAGCTGACCGATCTTGGGCGTGATCTGGCGCTTGGCGGCAAAGCACTGCTTGCGCAGCTCCGGATTCGACGCGATGCTCGGCAGCACGCTCGTCTTGATGTGGCGGATCTTGGCCATCCATTCGTCGTACTCTGCCAGCGCGGCTTTGCGGATGTCGTCGCCGGTTCCGCCCATGGCGCGCGCCTTGGCCTGCTCCGCCTCGTCGTGCTTCTGCTTGGCCGCCGTGGCCTCGGCCTCTTGCTTGCGACGCTCGGCTTCGGCGTGGGCAGCCTTCTTCTCGGCCTCGATGCGGTCGAGCTCCGCCTGGCGTTGCTGCGCCGCTTTGCGCTCCGCTTCCTCCTGCGTCTTGCGCGCTGCCTCTAGACGTGCAGCTTCGGCAGCGGCGAGCTTGCGCGCTTCGGCCTCGGCGGCGAGGATGCACGCATCGATGCCTGACCACAGATCCGCATTGCGCGCTTCGAACGCTTGCTTGATCTGCGCGTCTTCTTGATCTCGCCGCATGTTGAGCGACGACAGGAGCGCCTGCACCTCGTCCACATCGGCTCCGGTCGAGGCTGTCTTGCCTGATGCGGATCGTTGTGCGATAGTGGCTCCGCTGGCTGATGTTGATGCGTCGCGGTTCGAGCTGCGTGCGCGCTGCCACGCGAGTCGGGACGAAGCTCGGTTCCACTCCTCCCAATCGTCACCGGCGACCGAAGCGAGCTTGACCGCCGAAGCGTCGGCGCGGTGGGTGCCCGATCTGGACCTGCTTTTGGTCCTGCGCGTGGGCTTCGATGCGGCGCCTTGATGGCCGGACCAAGCTTCATCGTCGCTGTCTGTCAAACCGTCGCCGTCGTAAGGTGATGTGTGAGGAGACGAGGATGCTGCACTGTCCGAGTCGTTGCTGTCGTCCGAGTCCGACTCGGTGAGGCGTCCCTCCTCTTGGTCGTCTGAAGAAGATAGCTCCGCATCATTCTCGTCGGAGGAGTCTGTGTCAAAACCGTCCACAGCGGAGCGAGGCGCGCGGTTGAACGACGGCCGCATCCATGGAGGAAGGCTGCCGGACGGTCTTTGCGGCGTCGCACGATGCGTTGCCGGGCTCGAGGCGTCCGTGCGTGATGTGATGGGCGAGCGAGAGGATGAAGGAGCCGCACCTACCAGCTCAAATGCAGGCGTGGTGCTCCGTCTGCGGTGGTGCTGCTGGAACGGAAGCTGGGTAGTGCCGTTGGCGCCGCGACGGCCAGGGGTGGAATCTGGGTCTTGGAGCTGCGGGCTTGCCGTTTGGTGGTCTGTCTCATCGTGGAAGCGTTGAGCGCGTCGTGGCGTAGGCGTTACAGCGGAGTTGTACGAGGATGTCTTTCGAAGGATGCCCTTCCTGGATGGCGCCGGAGTGGACGATGTCGAGGCGAAGTTGGGCAAGTCCGTGCGAGGTGGGGGGGCCTTCCTGACGACGACGACGGGAGACGGCTGCTCGTCTGCAGAGACATCTGAAGCGGAGTCGATAGTGATCCGCATGCTGTCAAGCCTCTCTTGCCGCTCAAGAGAGGAAGGAAGCAGCGCGGTTGCAGCTGTGGTTGAGATGAGGTTGGTGAAGGAGGAACGGTGGGATCGAATCTCGCAGCGAGACGTGTTGGACCCGTCAATACGCCGAAGCTTTTTTCCCACGGAAAAGCAGGGGAGGAGACGCCGGTCTAACATCAATATCCTCGAAATTCGGTCGGCAGGGTCCACCTCTTGCTGCGAACCTTATTTGCCACCAACCACAGCTTCCGGGCCACAGCCGGCAATCTAAGCGCACTCTTCTCACTCTTCCCTTCATGACTGCCAAGGACCATAGCGTACCTCTTCATCTCGACCGTTCCGCCTAGATTGCATGCGAGGATCGCTCATCACCCCCATTCTCGCCCATCTCTTCTACCGAAGCCCAGCCGTCCTTACAACTCGCTGCATCGCAAGACACCCAAGCTCGCCACGACCGTTTCACACGTCCTTGTTCAGCATGGGCTCGAACGGCAAGCTCAACAAGCTCGACAAGCTGGACAAGCACGATGACCCGGAGCACGCCGACTTCTTCGGTCCACGACCGCCCGCTGGCTATGCGGCGCTGAGGGCGGCGCCGTCGCAGATCCTTCTGCCGCTCACGGTGTCCAACAAGTGCGGGCAGGCCTTCCGATGGCGCGCCCATAAAGTATGGGTCCCCGCTGCGTCGGGCCCAAGCAGTGGTGGATGGGACGAACAGATCGAGTGGTCTCTGTGTCTGTCGGACCGAGTTGTGCTGCTGCGTCAAGACGAGCACCGCGGCTTCCTGTACCACAAGACGCTTCTCCCTGCCTCTTCTGCGCCAAACGACGATGCGAATGCGCAGACTGTCAGGGAGACGGAGCGGTGGCTGAAGGATTATTGTAATCTCGATGTGCCTCTGGAGGCGCTGTATGCAGAGTGGGAGGCCAAGGATGCGGTGTTTGCGCGGTTTGCCACGCGATTCTCGGGCCTGCGCATGCTGAGGCAGGATCCGTGGGAGTGCATGTGCGCCTTTGTGTGCAGCTCGAACAACAACATCGCGCGCATTGGACAGATGGTGCAGAACCTTTGCACGCATTTCTCGCCACCGCTGCTCGAGCATGTTTATGCGGCGCCACCATCGACGCTGGGGGAAGACGTCGAGCAGGGAGAGGTGCGGATCGTGTATCATCCTTTTCCGTCGCCAGAGGCGCTGGCAAAGGCGGGGGTCGAGGAGAAGCTGCGCGAGCTCGGCTTTGGGTATCGCGCAAAGTACCTCGCCAAGACGGCGCAGATGTTGTGCGAGCAGCATGGGCGGGGCACCACGACCAAAGCAGGCTTGGCAGATCATCTGGATGAGTCGCACTGGCTGTATGGCATCAAGTCGGAAGAGGACATCTCAACTCCCGCCACACCTGATTCCGCCGGCGGATCGAAAGATTCGAAGGAGGTTGGAAGGGCTCTGAAGCGGGCGCGACGATCAAGTGCACCAAACGCATCGAACTCCTCCACCCCATCAGCGGCGTCAGAGGGTGAAGAACAGAGGTTTGAATCGGTGCGCTCGTATCTACAGCACCTGCGTACACTATCGTATCATTCGGCACGACAAGAGCTGATCCAGTTTCCGGGGGTGGGACCTAAAGTGGCCGACTGTATTCTGCTCATGTCGCTCGACCAAGCCTCGAGCATCCCCGTCGACAGACACGTTTTCCAATTCGCCGAAAAGTGGTACCGCCTACGCACCAAGCGGTACGAGGAGATTGCCGACTACTTCCGCGCGCTTTGGGGCGAGTATGCCGGTTGGGCTCACAGCGTACTTTTCACCGCAGACCTTAGGTCGTTTGCAACGTACAACGCTGCGAAAAAGGAGGAGCAGATCGAGGATGCAGACAAGGCGTTTTGGGGCGAACCAACAGCGACGGATGTTGGGGGCTATCCTACGCCACCGTCGAGTCAGGTGAAGAAGGAGGAGGAAAAGTTGCAGGCAGTGCATTCGCCTCCGCGTGTGGCGATTCCGCAACTCGTGCCCCAGTCAATGCAGACAGAGGGTGCTACACTGGCGGAACGCATCAAGGCTCGAGCCAAACGCAAGAGTCGCTCCACCTAAAGTGCTACAACCACAAAGCAGCTTTTACATTCTCACCTTCACGTGCAAGCAAGATCACCAGCACGCCAAATCGGTTCTTCACAATAAGCAACAGGCAGTGATATTGCAATGGGCTGTTTTTTTTACTTGCGAGTGCGGCGGTTGGCATTGGGATTTTTGCGGCCGTGTCCAATGACGGGGAGGCTGCTCTTGTCGCGCGAGGCGAACTGGCTTCCCAAAAAGATGTCGCCCGTATCCCAGGCCTCCTCGTACCTCACGGACAACGAATCCTTACCCGCGCGCATGGCCTTTTCCAGCGCCCTCTCCTCCTTGCGCTTCCTACTAGCCTCCTTGGCAAGCGCCCGTTGCCACTCCAACTGATCCTCGCGCAGAATGATCCCCGATCCACCCGTCTTTCCGCCCGAAGCCGAACCCGCCTTGGGCGCCGGAATCGAGTACTTGGTGCCGCGCAGGTTGAAGCGGTAGTTCTTCTTGAGATGCAGCTGGAACCCTCCCTTGGCCGTGTCGTCGACAGTGACGGCCACTTTGGTTAACGTGGCATTGCCGCAGACGGGACAGAACTTCTTCTCCATGTCCTTGCACACCTTCATGCACGCGTGGCAGCGCAGCACGAACGACTTGACCGACCGCACGCGCGAACCGTGCACGCCGACGAGCGAAAGTCCCATCTGCAACAACACGTTCTGCACCGCAAAATCACCCGTGATGCACGCGACAGTCATGTGGCCCGTGTTGGAGACGTTGCCCATCGCATCCCACGACAGCGAGGGCCGCGACTGGATCGATGGGTCGTTGTAGTCGCGCGACACGTGCCCCGACTTGGACGCCGATTTGGCCTTGGCCTTGCTGCTCGACTCGACGCGCTCCCAGCCCTCGTCAAGCGGCTCGTCCGGCTGAATCAGGTCGGCAGGCTCCGGAACGTCGTCCTTGGCCTCGTCGACCGAGTACTTCCAGCCCGGCATGCGGCTGTCGTCGACAAAGCCCAGGCTGAAGTTCTTGGCCTTCTGCACGTTGTCCGGCGTGATCCACTCGCCCTCGCCCTCTTCCTCCTCGTCGTCGTCGGTGTAGTCGGCGTCGTGCCATCCCTGCTCTTGGCCTGGTTGTACATGCGACGTGGACGCCTCCTGGACGACGCTTTGCCCTGCCGAGCCGGCTGCGTCGTCGGAAGGCGCTGCTGCCTCTTCGGCTGCAACGGCCTTGGCGTGCTTCTTGGCGGCCTTCTTTTCGCGGTTCTGCTGGATGCGCTGCGCCACGAGCTGATCCACGGTGAGTCCTTGCGCCGCCGCTTCCTCTTGGAGCTTCTTCTGCTTGGCGTCTGCCTTTTGCTGACGCTTCTTCTCGATGGCTGCCTGACGTGCTGCCTTTGTGTCTGCCGAGGTGGATGCGGATGTCGAGGCGGCTGCATTGTCTTCGGCACCGTTCGCTGTCGCGGATGCAGATGCAGACGTGGATGGAGCCTCGCCTCGCGGGCCGTCTGGCCTGCTCCGGATGCGCTTGGTGCCGTGCCTGTGCACCTCCTGCTCGTACGTCAGCGCGATCACCTCGAGATCCTGGGTGGAGAGCACGCCGATGTCACCGGTCTTCTTGGCGAACTCCGTGGCGGCGACCATGCTCGCGGGGCCGGGCTGGACGATGTTGAGCTTAAAGTCGGGACGCAGACGGAGCGAGTCGAGGTACTCGCGCGCGGATGCATGCTTGATCTCCTGGATGACGCGCGGCGGGATGTAGTATTCGGACGCGAGGCCGTCGAGTGGAGCGCGCATGATGAGAGCACCTGCGTCGAGGATGAGCGTTTCGATGCGCGGCTTCTTGGTCCTGACGGCCGGTTCGGATGCATCGGCGGCGGCGGCATTCTCGGTGGCCGTCGAGGTGGAAGCAGCTGGCTCGGAAGGCTCGGAGGTGTCTGGTTGAGCGGGTGCAGGCGCTTTGTTGGCGGCCGCAGCCATGGCAGCCCAGGTCGACATGGCTGGTGTTTGAGCTTCAAGCTTGGTAGTAAGTAGGGTGGATGAGGTGATCAAGCGGATGATGGACGCAAGCGGTGCGAGTTGATGGCCGTCAAGCGAGAGTGCTTCTGTTGGAAAATTTTGGCCACTTTTCTTGTGCCGTTGCGCCCGGCTCTTCTCTTGTCTGCTCTGAGCTTTTCTTTTTTCGTGGACAGGGTCCAACCGCGCATTTTGCCGGCCGACATGGAATTTCTGCTGGGCCACAGCGGAGCAGCTGATGTGGAGGCAGAAAGGGTGCAAAAGAATGCCGGAGCTGCAGCTGCACGATGGCCGTGCGTGCAAGGTGCATCGACCTTCGCTTCCTACCTCATTCATCTCGACCTCAACGCAGCACCACACAGCACGCACGGAATGGCTTCGCTCCTCTTTGCATCGTACAAGCCTCGAATCGGTTCATGAACCACGCAGAATGACCGCCGTTCTGCCAGACGAGGTGTTTTACCACATCTTTTCGTTCCTCGATAGCCGCTCGCTCGGGAACGCGCTGCAATGCAGCACCACCTTCTACCGCATCGCCACGGCTCCGGCGCTGTGGGAGATTCCCTATGCTCTTCGCTGGACAACAGGTGATGCTGAGCGGGAGGAACAGCGACGGACTGCTCGTTGGAGACAGACTAGGCGCATCAAGCAACTCGAAGCACACGCACGCAGGGCCACACTCGAAAAGGCGCAGGCACCAGACTCGTCTACAGATTCGCCGTTTCGCTATCTTCGATTAGATCCAAAGCACGATCAGCTTGACGCATCTCAAGCAGAATCGGCTGCAGGCCAGCCCGACTTTTACCGGCTCTTCATCGAGCGTATCGCTATCGACCAGCAGGTGCTCGACACACTGTATCAGCAAGTCGAGGCTACACATGCACGCATCCCGGTAGTCACCTCGCTCGCACGCCGATTCGGAAACGATGCAAAGGACGTCCTCACCGCCGTGGTCGAGGCGCAGGCGAGCTGCCCTTCTCGTTCGACCGACGGTCTGCCAGCATCGCCCACGCGCACCGCCTCAACAGACTACCGCATCAACGCCTACAACGCCCATCTCCCCACCACACTCCGCTCGGATACCCATCACCTCGTCATCCTGCACCACGCCAGGGAGATCCTCGAGCACCTGCAGCGACGCCAGGCCATGCACAAGATCGACGAGCTCGCACGCATGGCCGACGACACTCCCGAGCCCCGTCTGGAGCCGTCCATCTCGGCAGGCCGCTTCGTTCCCTCGGACACGGAAACCGCCGTCTCGCTCCTCACCATGTTTCGTGGAGGTGAGGCATCGTACGTCGAGGCTCAGCTCGACGAGCTTGCGGCAGCGTGCGACTTGTATCTACAGCAACGGCTTCCAGATCCGTCAAGTGTGGCTACCTGCGGACTCGACGCGGTGGCAGCGGCCAAGGACATGGCGCTGGCCATCTGCGACTTTCTCGCCGACCACGGCTTCCGCGGTGCGCGCGACAGTCTGTTCACCGATCTCGACAACCACTTCCTGCACCACTGCTTCACCACCAACCGCGAGACGCTGCCGCTCAGCCTCACGCTCGTCTTTTGCGGCGTCGCCACCCGTCTCGGCCTGCGCGCGTCGCTGTGCAACTTCCCCATGCGCATTCTTGCATTCGTCATGGTGGACAACTCGGCGCCGCTTCCAAGGCCAGATCAGACGCTGGCGGAGGTTACGAACGATATGTTCTGGTTGGATGTTACCGAGCACACCACCGTCGCGTACAATGCCCACGAGCCGACGCCCACCGATGCGTTTGCAAGACAACAGTCGTGGCTCGAGCAGCGACCTGCACTGCTGGATCGAGACGACCTCACCGGTTGGATTGGCAGGATCGGCGTGCCGCCCTCGGACGACTTTTGGCGCCCCGCTTCGCCGGATGTTATGGTCCAGCGAGCCGCGAGGAACATCCTCAACAGCGTGCAGATGGCGCAGATTCGGCCGAGGAACTTGCAGCCCGGCAACCAGGCTAGGAACGTCATTCGGAGCATCGAGCTGGAGCGAAGATCAGCGCGGCTTCAACAGCAGTGGACGCACCTTGCACGGGTCGACCTTGCGTTCCTCAGCTCTGTTCACGGCCGGACGGATGCTCACGAGCACGACTGCATCACCAAGACCGTTGCCAAAGCGCTGGAGGGCAGTATTGGTGGAGCGGATGTGGCAGAAGACGAGACGACGTGGGGCATCGTGCGTCGCTGGAGGAGCGAGTCGATGCGCTCGCTAATCACCTCTCCCGAGTGCTGGTCTCTGCCTGCCGTGCCAGCTGCGCGACGATTTCGGGAATGGATGGACGAGCGTGCTGTGGATAACGATTGGACGCGTGTGCAGGACGATCTGTACCGGCGCGCGGACCACTGGTCGGAGCACGAGCAGCAGGCGGCCAAGTACGCGGCGATCAATGCGCTGTTGCGGCTCAACACGCAGGTGTCTGCGCGCGAGGTCGATTGGATCGCCGCATTCCTGCAGAGCTACTTTATGCTCGACGTCGACGTGATCGAGCACGACTTTCTCGGCATCGAGTCTGGCTTCAGTGCAGAGCCTGCCCACGATGCAGGGGAGGAGGAGGGGAGTGAGGGAAGCGAGTCGAGTCAGGAGGCGAGCTGGTCGCGGCGCGAGGAGCAGAGTGAAGGAGGGGGGATGGTGCAGAATGCGAGCGTGCGCGTGATTCTGCGTCGCATGCTGCAGGCAGTGCGTGTCAAGGATGCCCAACCGCCGCGTGTCAATCGCCGTGCCCGAGGGGATGAGGAGGACCTGATTGGTTATCGAGTCGGCACGGTGTTTCGTCACCACACCTACCGCTACGCTGGCTGCATCCTGGGGTGGGATTCGCACTGTGCGGCACCAGAAGACTGGATCGTCAACATGGGCGTCGACCGTCTCCCTCCACCTCGGACCACATCTCCCTCCACTTCGACTCCGCGTCAGCGTCGGGGGGGACGACACCAGCCGTTCTACCACTCGCAAGTTGCCGACGGCACACGACGCTACGTGGCCGAAGTGAATATCGAGCGCGTCTTGGGGCCGATTTGGATCTACGGTCTACCTGACAACGCCGCTGCGGGCTTTGAGCCTGTGGAGGAGGCGAGATCGTTGGGTGCGGCAGTGCATCAGATGCTGGCGCTGCGTGGACTCGGCGAGTACTTTCGATGCTTCGACCAACAGCACGCGGTTCTGCGGCCCAATCGAGACTGCACAACCATGTTCCCCGACGACTGGTCCGACAACGACGCAGAACAGCAACACCCTCAGGACAATACGGTTGAAACTGATCGACTTTCAGAGGACGGTAGTTGGTAGGCCAAAAAGTCACACACACCTATCGCACTCTGAATGTGTATTGGATTGATTTACCCAAGGCCTGCGCTGCGGTACCAACGAAGAGCACCGTCTTCGCTCGCAGTAACGAAGCGCGTCATTGTAGCCTCTGTGCCTTCATCTCCTGCACGAGGCTGAAATGCAAATGCCCTGATAGGCTTGACTTCGCTGGCGCTAAACACGGGTGTGCTTTTGGTGGCGGAAGCGAGGTCCCAGAACTTGATCGTCTTATCCGCCCCCACACTCGCGAACACCGTGGATGCAGCTGGAGCCCCAAGCGCCAGCACCCAGCCCTTGTGAGCCGCAAGCGACGCCACTGTTCCTGCCAACCGCACGTGCTCTTCGTCCGACAACACCCCGGGCGCCGTCAAGATCGGCTGGACATCGTGCACACTAACAGTGCGGTCGTCGGAACCCACCAGCAACAGGGTGTCGGTAAAGCTCAGGGCGCGAATGGGTGCCGGATGATCGGCGAACATCGCCACGAGATCCAGCACGGGTTTGTGCGGAGAGGGCCAAGTGAGCATGTACAGCAGCACACGACCGGTGTTGGTGCCAACGGCGAGTAGAGTGCCAGAGGCGTGGAAGGCGAGCGAGAGGCCAAAGAGGTCCTTGGACCCCGTGCGTGACGGAGGAGGCTGTGCGCGGCCGAGCATCGTCCCAAAGCTCACTGCGTCGCCAGACGTGGGTGTGGCGTGGAGAGTGAGGGTGGCGCCTGCACCGACGGCGGCGAAACACGGCAGCGTAGGGTGTAGAGCCGTCTGCCATGCCTCGGACAACTTGCCTCCTTGAGCCGCTTCGCCGACGGGACATGCGGGAAGCGAGTCGATCTGACCCGTGATCAACGACGCCGCGTCTTCCACCGGCAGCAGAAGAAGCGGTACCTCCCCATCTTGGTCGACATCATCCCCCGGCGATAATTGCGCGGCGAAGGGCTCGAGATTCCATGCGGTGATGGTTCCATCAATGGCTGACGTGAGCACGGTGGTGCCGGTGTGGTTGGCGGTGATGCAGTGCACCGCGTTGTGGTGTGCGACCGGCAGATTGCGGTACGCGCGTGCAGAGTGTGCGTCGAAGAGCTTGATACGCCCATCGGTGTCGCCGGAGATGACGAGGCCTGCTGTCGATGTAGACGGCCGCGTCCAGCACACAGAGACGACGGGCGACGAATGCGACTGGCCCGCAAGCGTCTCCTTGTCACTGAGAAATTGCAGCGACTGTGGGGAGAGACCACGTCGATACACATGCGTCAGCGACAATCTACGTTTCGCGACTTGGCGAAGCGCAACCTTACCATCTCGGTGCTTGCGACTCAGCTGGTTCAATGCTCGATTGGAGATTGGAGGTGTGGCAGCAAGTCGAGGTGGAGAAGAAAGTGGAGTTGGTCCAGTCCGTGCCATCTCGGGAGTTGGCCTCGAAAATGTCGCGGCCATCTGCCGCCCGAATTCCGCACTTTCGGCGTGGCAGCAGCAGTAGGAAAGCGCGACTGCCACTTCTGGTTTGTCGCCCACCATCATCAACTCTCGCTCTTCCCCCTCTCTGCACTCCAACACCCGCAGCCCACCACTGGCGCACTAGTGTTGACGCACCAACATGGTGGTGTGCAAGTTCTTCCTCCAGAATCGCTGCGCGTACGGCAACAACTGCAAGTTCGAGCATCCGCAGAACGGCGCCGCCGCACGATCCGGATTCGGCCAGAGCGCCTTTGCGCCACCCTCGGCGTTTGGAGGCAACTCCAGCACTCCAGCGCGTTCATCTGCGTTCGGAGGTGGTGGTAGCGCGTTTGGCCAATCGAGCGCCTTTGGCTCGCCGTCGGCATTTGGCTCCCAGAACAACAGCGCGTTCGGGTCGACTTCCAAGCCGGGAGGCAGTGCGTTTGGAGCAACGGCTCCGTCGGCATTTGGAGGCAGTGCGTTCGGTGCACCAGCTGCGGGAGGGTCGACGTTCGGCAGCACCTCGACTCCATCAGGCTCGGCGTTTGGGGGAGTCAACAAGCCCGTGTCTGCGTTCGGCTCGGCTGCAGCGCCAGCTTCGGCGTTTGGGGCAGCGGCGGCGCCGTCTGCGTTTGGGTCCACAGCTGCACCTTCTGCGTTCGGATCGACGTCCGGGAGCGCGTCTGCGTTCGGGGCGGCGGCGACACCGTCGGCTTTCGGCTCCACTTCAGGACCGGGTGCGTTTGGCTCGGCGGCCAAACCGTCCGCCTTTGGGAGCACACCGAGCACATCCGCGTTCGGCTCGACCAATCCGCCATCGGCTTTCGGCACCAACACCGCACCCTCTGCATTTGGCTCAGCAGCACCGCCCTCTGCGTTTGGCTCTACAACACCCTCGGCATTCGGTTCAGGAGCACCGTCCGCGTTCGGGTCCACGTCAACACCGTCGGCGTTCGGATCCTCGGCATTCGGTGCAGCTGCACCGGGGTCGTCGTTTGGATCCGCGCGACCATCGGCGTTCGGAGGCGCAACCACCACGCCGCAAGCGTCGGCGGGGCCGGCAGTGTCGGCCTTTGCGGCGCAGAATGCGGCGACGCCGTTTGCGTCGCGCACGAATCAGTACGGCGACTCGAACCTGCCCGAGGTCACGCTGACTGCGGCGGGGATCGCGGAGGACGTGGGTGCGCAGGGCAGGCCGCTGTGGAAGCTCTCTGCGTACGGACCGGCAAGGGGAGAGCCGAATCTGGTGGTGGGAAAGGACGTGAGTCCGGACGAGTTGAGGGTTATGGCGTACCAGGCAAGGGCGGGCGGACAGGATGCGGCGTATGCCCAGCATGAACAGAAGCTGTTTGGCGAGGCCGATGCCGAGTATAGACAGCTGAGTGCGAATGCGAGTGCGGCCATGCAACAGGCCCTGCGAAATAGGGAAGAGAAGAAGAAGCAACAACAGCAACAGCAGCAGCAATCACAGCAGCAGCAGCAACCACAGCAGCAGCAGCAGGGTGCGATGCAGCAAGGAGGTGCGACGGCATTTGGAGCAGCAGCACCGGCGAGCGGTGGGTTTGGGGCATCTGCATTTGGCGCGGCCACACCTGCGCCGGCGACGAGCGCGTTTGGAGCGAGCACCGCCGCGCCTTCTGCTTCTGCATTTGGGACTTCGACGTTTGGCGCATCCACATCTGCACCACCCTCTGCACCTGCCCAACCAGCGGCGACGTCAGCATTTGGAGCTACATCTGCACCGGCGGCACCAGCGAGTGCATTCGGCCAGCAGTCGGGGTCGGCCTTCGGTGCAGGATCAGCATTCGGTGGGTCGGCCACATTCGGCACGGGCAAAGTCGAGGATCCCTACAAGAGCGACGTTCCCAGTCGCGGCGATTTGACCGATACCGTGATTCAGGCATTCGAAAGCGCATCGTTCCAATGGGGGCTTGTACCGTTCATTGAGCCGCCTATCGATGTACGCTAGAGCAATCCACACACACATTGCGCACATTTTTGTCAGATTGCATGCTAGGACTTGAGGAGGGCGATGTCGACACGGGCGCCCGAGCCTGGCCATTCGTGTTCGGGCGACTCGTCAATCTGCCCCACAATGTGCGCGTCGGACGGCTGGTGAGAGGGGGCTTGTGCAGGTGAGAGGTCGAGTCGTTCGCCCGGTCGCGAGCCTGCGAATCCAGCACCCGGGAAACGCGATGCACTCGTCGAGGGTGCTAGGAACTTTGCCCCCGGTAGTGCGTCTTTATCCGCCATGCGCGGGAGCTGCGTGCCCGATGCGACGGCAGAGTGGTACGCCGCCAGCGCCGTGCGCGAGATCGTGGCGAGTGTAGACGAGACCCAGTTCACATCGGTCAGTGGCGACAGATCGTGTGGACGGTAAGGCGGGAGCCTCGAGCGCACCAGCGCATACGGTGCCTGACTCCCACTACACTCCCGAATCAACCGCATAGGCTCCACCTCTCCCTCGTCCATATCCGCCTCTTCCCCCATGCTGGTGGTGCGCGAGGTGCGTGGTGCACCCAGATTAAGTTGCCCCAGACCCGTTGGCAGCGATGAAGCAGGACGTGGCACTGCGGTGCCTGAGAGTGGACGCGGGACGTGCGCGCTCCCATCAGCGGGACGGGTGAACTGGCAGTAGAGGCGCGTGTCGAATACGCGGAAGAGCACATCGTCAACGCGCAGGAAGAAGCGCTGCAGCACCAGGAACCCGGACGGCATGACGCGCACCTTGACACTGACGATCGAGCTCCCGTTGTCCGCCAGCTCGTCCTCGTACAGCACAATGTCGTCGTAGAACAGGATCGGCTCGCCGCTCGACGCACCCAGCCTCTCTACGGGGATGCGATCGCGCGCCGGATCGCTCCCCGGCACAAACCACTCCCTCTCCCCCTGCTTCTCTGGCACAGCCAGCTGCTTCAACCCTGCCGCTGCGGGAAGCTCTGGCGTTTCCGACAGCAGTGGCGGGGGAGCCACATCGCCCACTGATCCAGCCCAAGTGGTCGAGTAGGTCCAGTCGTAGTCCTTGGCCGTCGTAATGTCCGTCTGTGCCACGGCGTCCTTGGCGACACTTGCGCCAAAGTGCGACGTGCCCGCCTCGGTGCCGCCCTCAGCTGCGTCGGGGGCGATAAAGTCGTTGCGGCTCTTGCCCCACTCCTTGGCGTAGGCGACTTTGATCGACGACGACTTTTTCGGCGGCTTGGTGCCGGGCACACTGCTTCTGCTTGCCTTGCCCGCTGCAGCGCTTTCGCGACAGTCGATGCCGTGCAGCCTGTTGCGCGACTGGACGCCGTCGATCGAGCGCAGCGCACGCACCGCGTCGAAGCACAGGCTGAAGCCCGACGCGGCGTGCTGCAGCACGAGCGAGTTGTGCGGAAACGCCATCTCGGGCGGTGGGATGCCGAGCACCTCCGAGAGCGCATCCATCTCGGCAGAGGATCCGATGGGCCCGCTCGTGACGCGCACGCTCCAGCCGCCCAGGTCAATGCCGCGCGTCGTGGGCTGCAGCGACGGGGCGGTCGATGTGCCCGAGGCATGCGAGGACGACGGTGCCGAGGGTGCCCGTGCCGGCGTGTGCGACCACGAAGTTGCGCCCGACATGATGAGAATGCAGCGCTCTGGTCGAAGAATGGAGCAACGCTGCCCCGATCAGAGTGGTGGTGAAGAAGGTGTTGGATGTAGAAGGCTTTGAAGCGCTGCTGGGCAACCTGAAAAAGTGCACTTTTCGAGCAGAGTTGCTTCGTGCGCGCAGAGCGTCGTTTTTGGCCGCCGCCTCGTCCGCCCTGCCTCCACCCGCCAACTGCATTCAGCCTTTTCGTCTTCCAGTCAGCCACCATCACCAGCTCCCACCTCATGATCTAGTTTTCGTGCCAGACTTCAGAGCGACTAGCAAAGCGACTGCGAGAATGCATGTGTCTGTATGCGTGTGCAGGTGTGTGTAGTGTACAAAAGATGGACGATCTCTGGATATGCGAACGACGGTGCTGCAGGCTCACTTCTTGCCCGCTCTGCGCTTGATGTTGGCCTTTGCACGCTCGAGCTGCTTCTGCTCGCTCCTTTCCACCTGGAGCGTGGACATGATCTTGTTGATCTTGTTCTTGTAGCTGGTGTCCTCCTGTGCCTGTTCCTGTCGGCGCACCTCGGCGATGAACTGGTTGTCGCGGCGCAGTTCGCGGATGGCGCCCTTGCGCTCCTTCTTGATGAGCGCCTTCATCTTTTGGATCTGCACGCGCTCCACGTCCGGGTCGAGCGCCGACTTGCGGTCCGGGTTGTAGCCCTGCTGGTCGAACTTGGGCACGTGCGATGCGATCGCAATCGCACGGTGCGCCTGCAGTCGCAGGAAGCGACGCGACGACGAAGCCATCTTCAGCTGCCGAGCTAGTGTCGCACCCACCGTCGAACCTGACGTCGACGAGCTCGTCGAGAGAAGGACGGACAAAGGTGTGAACAGCTCCATGTACGATGTCGAGCCGGCGTACAGTGTGCTGAAGTCGGCCGTGAGGGCAAGAGCCACCGAGAGAAGCTCGGCTCGCTGGTGGGGGTCCGCGTCCTGCTTCTTGGCAGTGATGAGGCTCGGCAAGTCCACGGGCTGTTGCGTTGCCTCGACGGCACTGTCGTCCTCGAGACGCAGGCGCTGCGAGTGCGCAACATCCACGTCCGGTGTCGGAATGCCATACTCCTCGGCCGTGGAGCGCACCTTGGCCAGCCCCTGCCTGTCCAGCGAGGCAAGGATGGCGATCGCCGAAAAGAGAAAGTTGAGTGCTTCGGGGAACAACCTTGCGCTCTCCTTCTCGTTGGACACCACGAGCGAGCATAGGAAGAGTCCTGACGCCAGATCGCTCACGGAGCGGATGCGCGCATGACCCAGGTACTGCGCGACCAGCAGCGCCAGTGGCGTCGTCACAGCATGCTGCTTGTCCGAAGTCGGCCAGATCGTGCCCACCAACCTGAGCAGCGTCAGCTCGGCCAGCCCGGGCCAGGTGCGTGCGTCGGCGTCGGTGGGACCCTTGGCCAGCCCGCGCGAGAGGTTGCGCTGCATCAGCGCGAGCTTGCCCACAAAGTGCTCGGCCGCCGTGGCCGGGTAGCTCTGCGAGAGGCTGAAGATGTGCGGGATGAGCGAGTTGACAATCGCGAACGCCAGCTTGTGCTTCTCGCCCGTGGCGGCCTGGTGCGCCTGTGCCTGCCCAGCCCAGTGCAGCGCGTGGTCGATGAGCACCCCGATGAGCGCCTGCAGACGGTACTTGTTGTCCTCGGCCAGACTCGCATGGTGCAGAGTGCGGATGCGCTTGATCACGGTGGGGATGTTCTTGGGCTCGATCTCGTGCTTGTCCAGAAGGTTGAGCAGCTCGTCGTGCGTCGCAGGGCAGGGAAATGTGAAGGGCAGTTTGGTAGCTGTCACTGGTGCCGACTTAGCCTTGGAGGAGGACGAGCTGGCTTTGCCCACTTTGCTGGAAGACGATGCCTTGGTACCGCCAGTAATCGCTTCGTGGTCACCCTCCTGCTCCGACTCTTCATCCTCGCCAATTTGGATGGCGTCGTCTGCATCCGCGAGGTCGGCGAAATCATCCTCGTCGTCATCATCCGCCTCGTCCTCTTCGGCAGAGCCCGAAGCAGCGGATTGCCCGTCGGCGTCGTCCTCGTCGCTGTCATTCTCTGCGTCTTCATCGTCATCCTCCTCTTCATCATCGCTTTCGTCGACAGCGCCACTCTCGGCAAGGCCGGCACCGAGACCATACACCTCGCCAGCTGTGAAGCCGTCCAGCTCAAAGTCGTCGTCGAGGTCGTCGGCCTGTGCGGCGCGCTTGGGTCCAGATGTCGAGCTAGCGCCCTTCTTGCGCTTGCGACGGCCACCTGCCTCTGCATCCTCGTCATCGCCTTCGTCGTCGCTGTCGCCGCGCATTCGCTTCAGACGCGCCTTCTCCGCCTTCATCAGACGCTGTGCTTCGTCGGCGGCGAGCTCCTCTTCGCTCTTGAGACGATCCTGCGGCTTGGCTCTGCGCTCGAAGGCAAGTTCGCGCACAAAGGTGTCGTACGAGCTGGCCGGCTTTTCGTCGCCTTCGACAGCGCTGGTACCGGCGCCCGCGACCGCGGTGGCGTTGGCTCCTGTGGCGGGCCCTGGGAAGACCGAGAGCTTGGCCTTGGCCTTGGGGTCGGCAGCTGGTGCTGGTGTCGGCACGGCTTGCTGCTCGTAAAGGAGGCCGCGGATGTCGGCGAGCTCGTCATCTAGCTGCTCTCGCAGCTCTTCGTCGGCATCCTTCATCTTCTGGCGTTCGATCTTGTGGAACTTGGACTTGGCGATGACTTCGCGCATCACGTCCGCCTTGGACTTTTCGCCGTCCTCGTTTTCGCCAAAGCCGCCAAAGTGATCTTGAGCCGTAAGCCGTCCTGGATCTGCAAGAAGCAAGCGTTCTATGTGCGTTAGTACGATTGCACTCATCCTGCATGTGCGAGAACGTCTCGAGCATGTACGAGAACAAGGTCGACAGTGCGCTTGGGGTTGCCATCAGAAATCTCCAGTAGAATCTTTTGACCGTCATGGGTTGGCGCTTGTCAGCGCGCTTTTGTGTGTTGACTCCGGATCGTTTGTATCGCCAGTAGCAGATCATCATGCGGCAACCCGAGCGCGACTGTCGCCCCGAGCTTTTCGTTGAAAGGAAAGCACTTACCCTCTTCGTCGTCGTCTTCTGGGAGGCGGATGTCCGCAAGGTCGTCGAGACCACTGAGGGACTGGCCGTAGTGAGTGAGGACATCGTCGTCGTCGTTGAGGTTGAAGGCGGCTCCCTTGGCCGCCCTTCGCTGCTTTTCGGTGGCGAAACGCTCGAGCATCTTTTCTTCGGGAGTCATATTGGCGTCGTTCTCACCGAATCGGCGGTCGACAAAAGTGCTTGTGCGGTTGCGGCTCTGGAGCTCTGGCAGCAGCGCCTCTCTCCTCTGTGCAAGGCCGCTAGCCTTGGCTGCGCCGGGCCTACCGACCGCTCCCTTGATCTTGCGACCGAGCACCTCATGCTTGGGCTTGGTCACCTTCTGGTCGAACGGGTTGAGTCCGGAGACGATCGAGCTGATCCTGTTGAGACGGGCCGCAGCAGCATCCTTCTCGTCCTGACCACCTTTGCGCGAACGCGACTTTTTCGAGAGCTGACGACGGTCTGTGACGCCAGAGCTGTGGAGCTTGGACTTGAGCTGCGACAGCTGCGAGCCTCCTCCCTTGGCCATCTTGGCTGTGGTGTCGAAGGGTGTTGGAGCTGGCAGGCGGTTTTGTGGCTATGTGCACTTCGATGCCAGCAACTCTCGAAGCGTGTAGAGACCCGATAGGTTGGAAAGGAGAGGGAGAAGGGGTATATGGTGTGGGATGGAACGGAAGAAGGCGAGCAACAGCTTCGCACCAACTTGAGGACCAACTTCAGGGTCGTTCTCGACAAAAATTTCGCCGCTGCCACTCCTCGCCAGAAGAAAAAAGAAATGGAGAAATCAAAGAAATAGGGCTCAAATTATCCCAAAACGGCAGTGGAGGAGGCCTTTTTGAGAGCATTTTCGGCCACCTTTTTTTTTTCGAAAAAAAGGGATGGAGGCCACATCGAGGAGAGGTGGAGGCCCGATTACCCGATGAGCGATGGTCGGCTCCGAGTTGGGACGACCAGCAGGCGGAAAGCCGAATTGGCCTCAACGCGCTGAACGGCACTTCCACTCGTAAACGCCGTCCTTCGTGATTCAACACTCTCACCTCGTCCAACGCTTAGCAACACAACACAGGCCACGATGAGCGGTGCAGGTAGGTACAACAACACACGCGAACACGTATCAGTGCGCTCGCATCAGCAACGACGCAGTTCTCGATGCCATTAGGGCGGTCCGGCACGCGAAACAAGGCCGATCATGCTCACACTTTGTATCTTTACCCTTTGCGACCGGCAACTCTCAACGTCTCATCGTTCCTCTCGATCAACTTGCAACGTCCACTCTCGACACGGATCACTGATCATCCTTTGATGACGCTTCCCGACTCGCCAGTTCCCTACCGACAGTATGTACTCGGTCTTTCTGTGGGCTCGCCGCGAGCTTACCGGCTTGTGTGCACTCACCCTCGGACGTCGTGTATATGATTACTTACAATCACCTCGTCGATCCTGGTTCGACACTGCCCTTTTGCCGCACAGGGACCTTCCTCCCTCCGGAGGCTACCAGCCCATCCGATACAAGCGCAACCTGCCAGGCAAGAACCTTTCGGGTCTCACCATCTTTGGCGGTGTGATTGCCATCTGCGCATACGGATTCTACAAGGTCGGCCAGGGCAACCTCGAGCAACGGTAAGTCGACACCACCAGCGACGATGTCCTGCGACGGCATCTTGAGGTAGCATCTGTCGAAGCGCGCAACCTGCTGACACTCGCTTTCTACCACCGATCCCCTCGTGATTTCTGCGTTGCGGCGCGAACAGAGAGCTCAAGAGGGAGCGTGCGTGGTCGCGAATCCACCTGATCCCTCTGCTCATGGCCGAGTCCGACAGGGATGCTTTCCGACGAAGCGAGGCCCAGCTGGCACGAGAGAAGGAGATCATGAAGGACGTGCCCGGCTGGGAGGCAGGCAAGTCGGTCTACAACACCAAGCGCTACACCCCTCCCAACTTTGTTGTCCTCTAGACATTGCTCACTACTCGCTGCCATTACCACCACGCAGCTCACGCTCGGCTAGCAAAACATATTCCTCACATCCATCGGCGCAGCATCGGTCGCTGTCATTGCGCGTGCGTCTGCGTTTCTTCCCCGCCAGCCAACCTACTGTTCGGGTGTGTGAACAAGCTGAGCTGTCGTTCACGCTCGGCCCAGAGCTACGACCCTGTATCCAAAGGGCGCGCTTGCGGGTGCGGTGCACTCCCTTGAGAAGCTTCGTGAAGGCCCTTGCGCGCTTATCTTCCCCGGGGGTCCGCAGGGATCAGCTTGCGTTGGCACCAAACCACCCCCGTCGGGCTCTCGTACCCTCCAGTTTCGAACTGCAGCGACGCCATTAGCAATGAATGCTTCCTCCGTGAACGCTGCAGCCGCCGTTCAAGGCATCAAAATCGAGCCTCAGACTCACTCCAGCCCGGTATAGCAGGGGCAAAAAGAGAACGAAAAAAAAGAATGGTGACAAGAGTGGGATTCGAACCCACGCCCGAAGATAGCAGGTCACTTCCTGAATACTCAGGATATCTTCCTTAATGCTACGCCTTAGACCACTCGGCCATCTTGCCTTCGATGTTAATATGCGCAGCAATAGCGTACATAAACGCATCAGCTCAAGCCTTCAATCGACGACGCTGCACGGATCGCCTCCACTCGGCTGCTCGACTTGGCAACAACGCGACTGCGTTATGGCGTGTGCTGCTCAGGGGGCTTCACACTTCCCACCAGCCCATCACTCTGCGGCGTTTGTCACAACCAACTCCATCCCAAACGTCGACGTCGGCAGGAACAGTCAACCTCCCACACCATCAACAATCGTCGAAGTTCTCGAGTCGACTACTGAGGATCACGAGGGATGGCGACAGCGGCAAAGTCGACCCGGACGGACTAGGAGTCAGTGATAGCCCCCGACTCTCCTCACAATGTCTTCGCCGCAGGAGACAGTGAAGCTGGCAGATGAGATCCGGCAGAGGCAGGCATCCTTCGCCACTCGAGGTTTCGGACGCCGCAACAGACCAACACTGCACTCGGAGCCATCCGTCCAGCTGTCAACCTCACACGATGATGCTGGCCCCAGCGACTCCGCTCGCGACGCCAGCTTCGACCTCGGAAGCGTGTCGCCGCAGCTGCAGTCCGTGACGCTGCCCGATGACGACGACGAGGAAGCAGGTCAGCTCGAGATGGACTATGCGCCTGACCAAGAGCCAACACCGACTCGTGCAGACGATTCCCAGGCTTCAGAGAGGCGAGATGGTCAGTCTCAAAACCAAGACGATGGGCCATCACTGGCGGCCGAGATTCTGGCTGCCGCAGCCTCCTCGGATGTCATCTCGCCCAAGAAGCGGACGCACCGCCGGCGACCCGACTCGCTCCGACGTACCGAAAGCAGCTCCTCTGCTGGGCGCGCCAGCACCAGCTCGCTCGACTCGACACCTACCTCTCCGGCGCCCCGACGCAAAAGGCCGTCACTCGGCCGGGCTGAATCTGCGACCGGATTTAGCCATGATGAAGCTGTAAAGAAGAGGATGACTGTCTTGCTAGAAGGCGAGATGCCCGAGGCGGATGCAGTCGTCTCCCCAGATGAAGACGCAAAGGAAGGAGCACAGCGCACGCGAACTCAGTCGCAGGAAGATCTGGGCCGGCACGTCGTAGATGCCAGCTCCGATGTCGAAGGCACACAACGGGCCACCGACACGGAACATGACGACACCTTCGAGGACGAAGCGGCGGACGAGGATGAGGACGACGACTCTGCAGACGAGAGCGAAGACGATGAGGAAGAAGATGTGGAGCCCTCGCTCAAGTACTCGCGCGTCAAGGGTGGGGTGAGCGACGTACTCAAGCGCGACACCGCATCTGCATTCGCGCTCTCTCCACGCTTCATGGCACTCGGAACGCATGCGGGCATGATCTACATCCTCGACATCAACGGCAACCTCGTCAAAGGCTTCCGTCTGCATACCGCCTCGATCCTGGACGTGGTCATCGACAATACGTCCGACTTTGTCGCTGCTGCCTCCATGGACGGCTTAGTCTCGATATCGGCACTCGCCACCGCAGAGCAGTACGTGTTCGACTTCAAAAGGCCCATGCGCTGCATCTCGCTCGAGCCCAACTTTGGTCGCAAGTCGTCGCGCGCGTTTGTGTGCGGTGGCATGGCGGGTTCGCTCACGCACCGCGAAAAGAGCTGGTTCGGTCACAAGGAGACCGTCCTGCATTCGGGCGAGGGACCCATCTGGACCACACGCTGGCGCGGCAGCATGATCGCATGGGCGAGCGACAAGGGTGTGCGCGTGTACGACACGGATGCAAAGCAGCGCATCAGCTTCATCTCGCCTCCGAGCAAGGATGTGCGAGGCGACTTGCATCGCTGTACGCTCTATTGGCAGGATGACCGCACATTGCTCATCGCTTGGGCAGACCACATCAAGGTGGCCAAGATCAAGGAGAGGCAAGCCAACGGCTCGGCAGGCGGCGCCACCGCTTCTTCTGGCGCGTCGATCGCCTCGACTTCGACGCACAATGCAGCGTCTGCCTTGAGCAAGGTCGGCGTGCCTGGCACTGGGCTTTCGCATCCGCAGCACTACATCGAGATCACCGCCATCTTCCAGCTCGACTGCATGATTTCGGGAATCGCCCCGTACGGCCTCGACTACCTTGTGCTGGCGTACGTCACAGACGAGCCTGACGACTCGGATGACGACAGCGACGGCGAGAAGCAGGTGGCACGGCGCCGGCCCGAAGCACAGAGACCCGAGCTGCGCATCATCAGCCGTGCAGGCGAGGAGCTCAGCTCAGACGTGCTCAGTCTCAACGACTACTCGCGCTTCCAGTGCAACGACTACTTGCTGGTGCCGTCCATCGAGGCGCATGCATACTCGGCGGCGCTGCTGGCGGGGCGCAAGGTGCGAGCCGAATCGACCGAGGCGTCTCAGTTCTACGTGGTGAGTCCGCGCGACATTGTGGTGTCCAAGCCGCGCGACGAGAAGGACCACGTCGAGTGGCTGCTCGAACGCCAGCGGTTCCAGGAGGCGCTCATCAAGATCGAAGGCATGGGTAAGACGGCGGCCCTGCAGAACGGATTCGATGCCGAGGTGATCGGCAAAAAGTACCTCAACTGGCTCGTCGAGGAGGATCGGTACTCGGAGGCAGCGCGCGTGGCGAGCAAGATCCTCGGCCGCAACGCGTCGGCGTGGGAAGACTGGATCTTCCTTTTCGTCGAGAAGGGCAAGCTTGGACTGGCGATCCCGTACATTCCCACGTCGGACCCGACGCTGAGCGAGATGGTGTACGACATGATCCTTGCGCACTTCCTGCAGCACGACCTGGACAAGCTGCTCGAGACGATCAAGGAGTGGCCGTCGGAGATCTACTCGACGCCAGCGGTGGTATTGGCGATCGAAGACCGGCTTGCCTCGGGCGGTGGTGGTGGTAGTGGAGTGGACGACGACAAGGTCAAGACGGCGACGGAGCGGTTGCTGATGGAGTGCCTCGCCGAGCTGTACATCAAGAATCGACAGCCGGGCAAAGCGCTGCAGTACTATCTGCGCCTGCGTCGCGCCAATGTATTCGATCTCATCCGCGACAATAACCTGTTCACGGCAGTGCAGGACCAGGCACTGCTGCTGATCGAGTTCGAAGAAGATCTCAAGACGCGCCGGGCCCCGGACTCGTCATCGCACTCCAAGCACGGTGCAGCGATCGATCTTTTGGTGGACCACACGTACTCGATTCCGATCGCACGGGCGATTGCGCAGCTCGAGACGCATCCGCGCTACCTGTACATGTACCTGGATGCGCTGTTCGATCGGGATCCGCAGCAGGTGACGCAGTTCTGCGATCTGCAGGTGAAGCTGTATGCCGAGTACGAATCCGGTCGGCTCATGTCGTACCTGCGCGCCATGTCGTCGTTCTACAGCTTTGAAAAGGCGTACGCGATCTGTAGCGAGCACGACTACGTGGCCGAGATGGTGTTCCTGCTGGGACGGGTGGGCGACAACAAGCGCGCGCTGTCGCTCATCATCGAGCGGCTCGGCGATGTGGAGCGTGCGATCGACTTTGCCAAGGAGCAGAACGACGACGATCTGTGGGAGGATCTACTGGGCTATTCCGAGTCGCGGCCGGCGTTCATAAGAGGGCTGCTCGAGAACGTGGGTGCCGAGATCGACCCAATTCGGCTGATTCGGAGGATCAAGAATGGGTTGGAGATTCCGGGGCTCAAGGCGGCGCTCATCAAGATCCTGTCCGACTTTACGCTGCAGATCAGCCTGCTCGAGGGATGCGAGGCGATCCTGAGCCACGACACCAAGGTGCTCAGCGACGAGTTGCAGCGGTCGCAGCTGTATGCGAGCTATGTGGATGACGAGTCGATCTGCGCTTCGTGTGGCGCTGCGCTGTTTGCGTCCGGTCTGGCCAAGACGACGGGTGGAGATGCGTATACGGCAGCACGACAGCCCAAGGTGGTGGTGTACCTGTGTGGGCATGTGCATCATCTCACGTGCCTGCTTCCGCCCGCCAACGTGCCTGTCGTCAAGTCGGCAGTGACCGGTGCGGAGTCGGTCAAGTTGACAACAACGCAGGCATTTGCAAGCACACCCGCTGTCAGGCAGCGCTGGACCAGCCATGCATGGCGGAGCTTCGACGCCGAGGAGGACGAGGCTGTGGCGAAACAGGCTGCACCGGCGTCGCTCGTCGAGCTCTCGCAGTACGGCCCGCTGCACCGCGCCAACCACGCTACGGCTCAATTCCACGCGCGACTCAAGTACGAAGCGCGCCTGCGCTCGACAGTCGTCGCGAAAAAAGGATGTCCCACATGTATCAGTGAGGGTCTTTTGTCTCGCTGACCGCGCGCAGTTCGCAATCGACATGATGAACGAGACCAAAACGTGTGTGTTTGCTGGGAAAATGAGAGTGGTGTGGGAGGTTGTGCGAGTGGATCATGGAAGTGGGGCTCCTTGCTGGCTTGCTCTGGCAGCTGGGGTTGGAATGCCTAGCCACATTGCACGTTCGCGGTCACCCTCGGGCCCCGCGGGTGGGGATGGTGTGAAGAACCTGCATCTTGACTTGAAGGCGTCGAGGCTGCGAGCGCGAATGATGCTTTCTACCTTGAGCTCGTTGTGCAGCTGTCTATTGAGCGTCTCGGCTGTATTCTCTGCCCTACTCCACCTGTCCTGCTTGCTACTTGTTGGCACGAAATCTGCATCCAACCTTTGATCTGTTGATCCGACTGCGGGGTTAGGATTGGAAGTTTGGTCGGCGACCTTGATGCAGAAGCGAACGACTTCTTCGCGTCCGATCCACACATCCACAAGTTCGCGCCAGAATGCCGCACATGCTGCGGGTTGCGGCGTCGCATACGTGCTAGTACCAAGGTCTACCGAGCTGGCCGAGTTTGTAGACGAGGAGAGGAGCGAGGGAGAAGAGCTCTGGCCCAGCGCTCGCGAGCGCGCAAAGCTGCGATTGAGCCGCGTCGTAATGCCATCATCCAGCTGACGGTACTGCCGAAGCAGCTCCTTGAACTCGCCGATCGCCAAACACGTAGACGGCGTCAAATTCGATACGCTCGGAGGCGTGAGTGGCTTCAGCACCGACGACGACCCGAGTTGCACGGGCTCGTATTCGGGCGCGAATGCAGACCGCTCCGACGAATCGGGCTCCGAATGGCTAGACGTGCCCGAGCGGTTGAACCGCGACATAGACGGCGAAACCCACGTGGACATCCCGCAAGTTTTGTAGGACCAAGCTTGATCCTTTCGAAAGTGCGCAGCAGCTCTGCCGATGATCTGATGGCGCAGTCGTTGCGTAAAGAGGAGGTGATGGTAGCGGCGGTGTGCGGCTGCGCATGTCGTAATCTTCTGAAGCTCAGCGCCGCGCGGAAATTTCCGCGCCGGTCGCAAGTGGAGAAATCGCATTCCTATCTCGCCCGTCTTCCGAGCCTGCCGAATGCACTCAACCACAACTTGGCCTTCACTCACGCCAACGCTCCCCATCCACGCAAACAACACAAGGAAGATCATGCAGAAAATGTTTGGTTGCAAGCGAGGATCTACACCTGGATGTACTTGTACGGGTTGAGGATGCCCTTGGGATCAAAGACGTTCTTGATCTTCTTCATGTACTCGATGCTCTCGGGCGTCTTTGTATATCCGATCTTGGTGGCCTTCATGAGACCAAGGCCGTGCTCGGCGCTGACGGATCCCTTGACGTTGGACGTCCATTCGTAGATGTACGGCTCGATGATGCTCTCGATCTTGGGGTCGTACGACTTGGCGACGATGTTGATGTGGAGGTTGCCGTCGCCGATGTGGCCGTAGCCGCAGACGGCGCCGACGTCGTTGCCCTCGCCATGCACACCGTGCTCGTCGAAGCGCGTGCGCATGTCCTGCACCAGCGCGTACATCTTGTCGATGGGCATCGAGAGGTCGTACTTGAACACCTTGCCCATCTTGCCCGCCGCCTCGGGGATGCTCTCTCGCAGCGCCCACAGGCCCTGCAGCTGTGTCTCGTCCTGGGCCAGCACGCCGTCCTGGATCATGCCCTCCTCCATGAGGTGCTCAAGCAGCAACTGCAGCTTCTCGTCGTCGTGGTCCTTGTTGGAGCCGCTCGTCTCGATGAGCACGTAGAAGGGGTGCCTCGCCTCGAACGGATCGCGCACACCGGCGGTGGCGTGTTTCTGCACCACGTCGAACGACGTCTGGTCGAAGAACTCGAACGCGGATAGGATCTCGCCGCAGTGCTTCTTGACCTGGCCAAAGACGGTCTGCACCGCGTCGTACGAGTCGAGCGCAAACACGGCGACGTTGACCGCCGAGGGTCTGCGCGGAGTGGCGATGGCGACGCCGGTGATGAGGCCGATGGTGCCCTCGGAGCCGATGAAGAGCTGCTTGAGGTCGAAGCCGGTGTTGTCCTTGCGCAGCGTCGAGAGCGTGTCCATGACGGTGCCGTCCGGCAGCACCACCTCGAGGCCGAGCACGGTGCCGTGCAAGCTGCCGTATCGGAGGAAGCGCAGGCCGCCGGCGTTGGTGGCGACGTTGCCTCCGATGTGACACGAGCCCTTGGCACCGAGGTCGAGCGGCATCATGTAACCCTTTTCGCCAATGTGGTTGTCGAGGCTCTCGAGGATGCAGCCTGCGTCGCATACGAGCGTGCCGGCCACCTCGTCGAAGGAGCGGATCTTGTTGAGGCCGCCGAGCTGGACGACGACCTCATCGAATACAGGTACACCGCCACCGACAAGGCCCGTGTTGCCTCCCTGCGGCACGACGGCGATGTTCTTCGCATGGCAGTACTTCATGATCTCGGAGACCTCGCTGGTGGTCTTTGGCTTGAGCACGAGCTGCGACCTTCCGTGGTATTTGTTCATCCAGTCATTGTTGAACGTGTCGAGCTCGCTCGGGTCAACTGGCTGGTATGAAGCAGAACCGGATTCGGGAGCGATGGTGGTGAGGATCTGGGAGGGAGAGGGCAGGATCTTTGCGAACGCCTCGACGTCGGCCGAGGTGAGGTTGGCGAAAGCGTCGGAGCGAGCCACGGTGGCAAGGCCGCGACGAAGCGAAGGTCCTGCGAGGTGCGGCTGCGCGGCGCGAAGGGCAGCGCGAGGAACTAGCGATGGCGAAGCTCGAGTCGAGTATGTGGCGGTGGCAGCGGAGGTGCCGATGATTCGGGGTGCAGCGGGGCGCGAGGCTGGCTGGAGCATCCTGGCGACGCTACGCGCGGTGGCGTGTGTCCTTTGCCTGGCGATGTGCATTGTGAATGATTGCTTCCGAGAAGCCGAGAGTGATGAAGGTGACGAAGGGTGATGGGAAGGAGGTAAAAGCGTAGGAGCGTCGGCCTTTTGAGGGGCCTTGTCTGATTAGCAAGAATTTCCGCAGACGCGCTCTCTTCGGAGTCATCCCGAAGGCCGCCTTGGGCAGCGAGCGGAGAGCTGCGTCCAAATTCCCCGAGACTCGCCCGCAGCGTGGCAAGGTGGACTTCGGAAATCAGCCGAACGAGTCGCCAGGTGGGGACGGCGTGGCTCCGTCTTGCGCCGCGCCGCGCCGCTCCAAGCTCTCTTTCAAGGGTCCAGTGGAAGACAATCAGTTGTTCTGAGCCCTGCCAACGGATGCCTCCGCATCCACAGCCATGGGAGCAAGCCCCAGTCGGCGTCTCCGAAGCGTCCGATGCGGAAAGCGTGGGACCTTTTGCACCTTGTTCCCTTGGCTGCCTCACTCTGTCCAGCAGCCGAGCTACGATATCGCACTGTAGGAGCCGATGCTGCTGCTTCATATGCACACCCACGGCGCAGACAGCCGGAATGAGATGGTGCCTTTCGCGCCTGCTCGAAGCAGTCTCGCCGCATCGGCAAGGCTCCGAGCAGGTTTGACGAACCACCTCCCCATGCTTCACGCCCACCGTCTGCATCAACCGCCGCCTGCTTCCGCTCACCATGCGGCCTTCACAACCAGCCTGCTCCCGAAGCAGCGGATCGTCGAATAATTCAGCCGTGGTGAGGCCTAGATGAGCTATGCCTGAGCGGCGGCGAGGGTCCAGCTCGAGTCGAGTCGTGGGAGAGAGTGTGTGGAGAATTCGATAAAAAAAATCTTGAGAAATTCGAAAGTTGACAGACTGGCGCTGCTGCCGGGTTTGAGTTGGAGTCGCCACTGCCGCATCTCGACACGACGTCGCGGCAGCTGGCTCTCAACTCGACGTGCAGCTCCCGACGCAGCCTCGACTCCACTCTCGCGACCGACAGCGGCGACGGCTCAGACGACCCCGCTTCGCCCTCGATTACCGTCCCGACATCCATCATCCTACCACACTGGGCACATCCTGAACGTCTCTAGGCTCGGACGCTTCCGTCACCGACATCGGCATCTTCGCTCCTGCTCCTACCGCAGACATACAACACAGGCCCGCCTCCCACCGCATCGTTACCGGCTCCGCATCGTTGCATCGCGTCGGCATCCAAAAAGCATCGGCATCCCGCATTCGCTCCTGCTCCCGCATCGGCAACACCCGAGCATCTGTCAGCCTCCCACCGCACGCGCTGAGCTCGCATCCACTGCCGTCTTACGCCCACGGACATTCAGCATCGAGCCGCCTCTACGCTCTTACCGACCCCCTCCCTCCCCGGCTCGTGCGGGCGACTCTACGGACGCGCAGCCGTCACCGAATCTTGGCCAAGCAGACCCTGCTCCACTCAGCCCCTGGTCTGCTAGGCTGATCGACACTGGACAGCGAGGCGACCATCCGCCTCTGCCGTCCTTCTCCACAGAACCATGGGCAGCGATCTGGATCTGCAGATCGAGCAGCTCAAGAAATGCCAGCCGCTCTCCGAGACGCAGGTGAAGGAGCTCTGCCTCAAGGCGCGCGAGATCCTGATCGAAGAGGGTAATGTGCAGCATGTCGATGCGCCCGTCACCATCTGCGGCGACATTCACGGCCAGTTCTTCGACCTCATGGAGCTCTTCAAGCACGGCGGCATGTGTCCCGAGACCAATTACCTCTTCTTGGGCGACTTCGTCGACCGTGGCTTCTACTCGGTGGAGACATTCTTGCTGCTGCTTGCGTTCAAGGTGCGCTATCCGGACCGCATCACGTTGATACGCGGCAACCACGAGTCGCGCCAGATCACGCAGGTGTACGGCTTCTACGACGAGTGCGTGCGCAAGTACGGCAGCGTCAATGTATGGCGCTACTGCTGCGAGGTGTTTGACTACCTGGCGCTCGGGGCCGTGGTGGATGGACGTGTGTTTTGCGTGCACGGCGGCTTGTCACCGAGCATCTCGACGCTCGATCAGATCCGCAACATCGACCGCAAGCAGGAGGTGCCTCACGACGGCGCCATGTGCGATCTGCTCTGGTCCGACCCAGACGACATTACGGGGTGGGGCATGAGTCCGCGTGGAGCGGGGTATTTGTTCGGAGGAGACGTGGTGCAGCAATTTGCGCATACCAACGATCTTGACCTCATCGCGCGCGCCCATCAACTCGTGCTCGAGGGATACAAACTCATGTTTGACCAGACCATCGTCACGGTATGGTCGGCACCCAACTACTGTTATCGATGCGGTAACGTCGCCTCCATCCTGAAGCTCGACGACGCCCTCAATCAGAAGTACGAGACCTTTGATGCCGCCGCGCAAGAGGCGCATGGCGTTCCCGCAAAACGTCCCGCTCCCGAATACTTTCTCTAACACTTCCGCCTAAGTCTGGCTGTCTCGGAACGGGATCGCTGGACTAGCTATGCATTCGTCTCTGTTGTACTTGTAAAGAGTCTCTCGCCCATGTCCGCGCGCGCGCAATCCATCTCGCCTGCGTTGTATCCTTCGCGCACAGCTGTGACCCTTGCGCTGCCACAGAGTGAGTTGAGTCGTCAACACAAAACCAGAGCACGCTTGTTCAAATCGGAAAGGCGAGCTTAATCTACAAGAGCGCAGTGCGAGCTCGGCACGCCACAAGAGCTCTCGAACGACGCCCTTTAGTAGCCGGCGGCGCCGGGCGCGGTTTCGCCTTCTCTCCTGAGGCTGAGGTAGAGCTCCTTCATGCGCGTCAGATCGGAGCTGCCGGGACCGGAGCGGGCGATGGTCTTGGACTGGCTGTTCTGCAGCTCGAGCAGCTTGGTGACGCGGTTCCAGGTGGTACCTTCGGCGAGCTCGCGCGTGCGCTGCTCGTTCAACTTGGCCTCGGCCTCCTTGTTGGCCGCAATGTTCTTCTCCTTCTTGGCGTTGTATTCGGCGTAGAACTTGTCGATGTCCTGCTCGGCCTGAGAGATGGCTTCCGCCTTCTTGCGTTCGCCCTCGGCATCGCGCTTGGCGATCGCATCCTTCTGCGACTCGCGCCACAATCGCACCGGCTCAGCCTCCTCAGCGGGCTCCTCGTAGCTGTACGAGTAGCTGGGCTGTGCAGGTGCCGCCGATCGCGATGCAGCTGGCGCAGGCGCACTCATCAAGTCATCCTGAAGCATAAAGCATTACTGTCAGTACAATTCTTCCTCCATCTGGCCAAGAGCGAGGGCTGGTGGAAGCGACTCACGGTATCGTCGTGGTAGCTGGCGCCGTTGGTGTTGGTTGCTGCGCCGTCGTCAAGTTCGGGGAAGTTCTGTTCGAACTTGCCCACCTCATCGTCGACGGGCTTGGCCGAAGTTGTCGACGTCGGCTCGGGTCGGTCGTCGATGTCGTCAAAGCCAAAGCCGCCGGAAGGCGCAGCGTTGGAAGATGTGGGTGCGGGAAGGCCATCGTCGTCGAGCGCAGGGAAGGCAGATGCGGATCGCTCAAAGTCGTCGGCAGATCCGGCACCTCCAGCAGCACCCGAGGAGCCAAACAGGTCTGCATCGCCGGAAAGCACACCGGCAGCCTCGCGCTCGCGCGCCAGGAAGTCGGCAGTAGGGTCCGAGGGCTTGGACTCGCCAAAGTCGAACGCCATGTCGGTAGGTTGTGATCGAGGTGTGGTTGGCTGCGGTGACGAAGGATGGATCAGAGATGATTGCACGGGTCGAGGTCGCAGGAGGAGCAGTTTGGCGATATCGAAGGTGCGTGATGGTGGATCGACGAACGTTGCTGCACGCGCACGTCTCAGTTCGCACCAACACCGCCCAGCGACTGTCCAGTCTGGCTCGCATCGGCGTCTGTGCGCGTCGAGCTTCCAAATCGGTCTCTCTCGTCCGCTGGCTCGGCCTCACCTTCGCACGACACGCTGGAGTTTCCTCCATCGGGCCGCCCTGCTGCCCACGGCCACCGTGATCGATTTTTGCGACCCTTCCAAACTGTTAGCTTGGCCGGCCGCACATTTAGTAATGTTGCTCGCCGTGTTTGCTGATACTGCTGTCGACCGAGCCGTCAAAGGCACGAGCTCATCTGCAAGCATCCTCTTCGAGAGCATATGCATCGAATTCAATGCGACGAGTTTATGATCGCCGCCCACTCATATCAAGGAGCGAGCGACGGGAAAATACATGGAGGGAGAGGAGATAGATGGCGGGAGAGACGAATGAAAGATGCGATTGTGGAATGCACGTTTAAGTGTACAAGAAGGTCTTGGGCAGGCTCTCGCCCTCCTGCATCAAGACCCCGGATTTTTGGGGGTGGGATGAGCAGACATCAACCGCCCCTTAAGCAACCACCCCTTACATTGGTGATGGAGCCATGGGGACGATCGTGGTCTTTACGAAGAAGGAACGACGGATGTGCTTAGAAGCGACCGAACTGCTTGGCGGCCTTCTCGGCGGACTTGTTCTTGGACACCTTGAGGACGTTGAAACGAACAGTCTTGGAGAGGGGGCGGCACTGGCCGACGGTGACGGTGTCGCCGACCTGGACACGGAAGGCGGGCGAAACGTGGGCGGCAACGTTCTTGTGGCGCTTCTCGTAACGCGAGTACTTGGGGACAAAGTGAAGGTACTCTCGGCGGATGATGATCGTGCGGGTCATCTTGGTCGAGACAACCTTGCCGGTCAGGATACGGCCACGGATCGAGACGAGACCAGTCCAGGGGCACTTCTTGTCTGTGAGTGCGCCCAATCGCAACGAGGGACAAAGTGAGTACGACAAGGTCAGCAATCTGAACGAAAGGCGCAAAACGAGGTGCTGGGAGCCATCTACAGCCAGCCATCTACGCATCGAAAATGCTTGCCGATGCCGGAGGTTTCGATTGTGCTGGCAGTCGGACACGGCGAGTATGCGGGCAAAACATCACAGCTTCGACAGTTGTTGGGATGGTCCAGGTCGTCCGAGCGGTCGAAGATGCAAGCGTTATGGACACCGCAGCGATCTAACTAGCTGCCTCTGCGAAGTACTCGTGGCGGGACAGATCATCCAAACATTCTTGTCCGTCGGACGATCTCGCACATGTCGCATGCAACATACTCCAGCCAGTCCGACGTGGGTCTGCCAGATCATTGTGCTGGAGCAAGTCGAATGCTGTAATGCAGAGTGCACTGCCATGTGTTATCCGTATCTCCTGCGGTCCGCAACTCTGGCCCGATGAACTCGCACAAGACGGCATTCCAGGGATCCGCCACTTTTCTTCTCCTCCGTCGAGAGCATCTGCGTGCGCAAGGCATGGTGATCACCTGTACTAGCCAGAAGTTGGCGTTGGCTTCCTGGGTGCTACACCCTCTCCTCGCTGGCGTCGACTATATCGACATCGCCTCTGCACTCCTGTCTATCTTTCCTGATCTTTGTCTCCTACGTCCTGCTTTCCTGCTGCTATATCTTCTGGCGGACGAATGCTGTGCCGATGTCCATGCTGAATGTCGCAACGTGCTGCTGCAGCGTGGATGGGCTGGCTGAAAAGGTGATGTGCTGCGTAGATGGCGGATGGCTGGCGATGGCGAGTGTCGGATGCTTACCAATGTAGGTACCGTCAATGGCGGCACGGGGGGTCTTGAAGCCAAGACCGACATCCTTGTACCATCGGCGGTCGCGGGTGGTCTTACGGGCGGCCTTGGAGTTCTGGAAGATGGACTGCTTCTGGAAAGCCTTTTCGGTCTGGACACCGAGCTCAACGTTCGACATGATGGGCGAATGTGTTGGGTGATGAAGGGTGGAGAAGGGATCGAGAGGTCTTGAGGTAACGATGGTGGTGACAACGGGGACCGACGGCCTTGCTGCAAACAGGTGGTGCCGCGCTGTGCCGCTACACTCGAGCTGGAGCCTCGACGCTTCTTCGGGCCTTGGCAGCGCGACGAGTTCGAGATTCCAATTCCAGATTGGCTGGCTGAGCCTCAGTGGACCCACGCTGCTCAAATGGCACAGCAGCGACGCTCTCGTGATTCCAGTTCAGGGCCCACTGTGCCAGCTGCTGGCCTGTTACGGGGCGGCGTCGCATCAGTCGCGGTTCACTGCTCGCTGCCTGTGGCGCCCTGGGCCCGGTCTGCTTGGCCGTCGAGATTGCATCCAGAGAGAATTTCGACAATTCCTGCCTGCCGCGACTGAAATTGTGACCGCACGTGATCATCTCAGAGCTCGGCCGAGGTCTTACGCCGGCTTGAAATCGGCGACTTATTCGGAATCGGGAATCCTGCTCCTCTTTCCCGTCTGTGGGCCGTCAGCAGTGTCCAAGCCCGATCCCATGAGAGAGCCTGAGGCCAGAAATTGAGACTCCTGCAGCAGCGAACGGCGACAGGCAAAGAAATTTGGAAGCCGAGCGGAGACTGTCGGCAGCCGCGCGGTGTCGGCCCTGTCGATTGATGGCGAGCTGCAAACAGTCTTTCGTTACCACCACCCATCCACCAAACTTCGTATTCCCATTCTTCACCTGACGTGCTGAGTAGGAATCGCCTCATCAACCCTTCCTTAGCGATCCCTTTCGAAGAAGCCACCCTTTTCTTTTCCATCCAACCGTAGCCATGTCTGACGTCGAGGAGGTTCCCCAGGAGGTCCAGGAGGTCGAGGTCGCCGACGCCCCCGCCGCCAAGGGCGCCATGTCCATCGAGGACGCTCTTCAGGAGGTTCTGAAGAAGGCGCTCATCCACGACGGTCTTGCCCGTGGTCTGCGCGAGTGCGCCAAGGCGCTCGACCGCCGCCAGGCCCACCTTTGCGTCCTCGTCGAGACGTGCAACGAGCCCGAGTACCTCAAGCTCATCGAGGCTCTTTGCAACGAGCACAAGATCGACCTGCTCAAGGTGTCTGACCCCAAGACGCTTGGCACCTGGGCCGGTCTTTGCAAGATCGACCGCGAGGGCAACCCCCGTAAGGTGGTCGGCTGCTCGTGCGTCGTGGTCAAGAACTACGGTGAGGAGTCCGAGGGCCTCAACGTGCTCCTCGAGTACTTCAAGAGCCGCTAAGCGCATGTCAGCTTCGGCCTCGGTCCGACGCCTGAAACACGTCGGCCGGCCAAAGTCGTGCATCTGTCAGGCTGAAGGTTAGTATTGATTGCAGTCGATCGGGGAGAGGAGGGATTTGCGGATACGCAGTATCGACGCGTTGGCTGGAGAGAGGAAGGAGGGATAGTCGGATGGCCCGCTCTTTGCTCGTACAGTGATGAACCACAGGACTCCCTCAACGGATGTGCCCTTCCATTTTGCGGATGGGTACGGCGAAGAAAACACCCTATCCGGAATCATTATACACGTCTGACATCGAGCGTCGAGCAAGCGCAGGTTGATGATCATCCAGGTCGGGGGGAAGGCGGTTGCGTATTCGTGTTGCGATACAACGAGCAGCTCTGACTGACACTTTCTACCTCGCTTCCTTGCCCTGACGCTTGCGCTGCTGCAGTATCTCGTCGATTACGCTTCGAGCTCTCTTGCTTTCAATCCAAAATTAGGCCGTCATTGGCCGCCACAACCCCTACATTTTCGCTCGACGACGGTTGTGCGATGTTGTGTGATGCGTGGCTGAAGCGAGAAGCAGTGAATTATGCGTGACGTGGGTACAAATACAAGAGCCGCTACTGCGCGTAGGTGGGAGCTAGTGTCGGTAGGGACGATAGCGGTCTGTCGAGACCCGTCGATTGCGGTCTGTAGGTCTGGACTGCTTGGGCGCCAGAGCGAGAGAGGGGTCGGGTTTGACGACGCAGTCGATCAAGTCGCCGTCGGCTAGATCCAGCTGTGCCAACGTGATTGCGGCGGCTGTATCGTCGATCTCATCGGAGAGCGTGTGCCAACCAAGCAGCGCTGCTGGCGAAGTAGGATCAGCTTCCCTGGTCGAATCTGCCGTTTCTTCCGACGTTGCGGTGGTGCCGTTGCCAGGGTCTTTGTCCGTAATGTCAGAGAGGAGGGACGAGATGCTGGTGAAAGGGACGCGGGTCACACCGACACCGATGGATGCGGCCTCGTACGTTCGCGATCGGTCGTTCCAGGAGATGCGTCGGAACGCGTGCAGAGCCAGAGGCGATGATATGGACGGATCGGCATCGTAGAGCATCTGAGCCACCTCTCTGAGCGTGTTGGTCTTCCTGCGGGTGAAAGGACGAAGTGTCAGTGACGTGTGCACCAGACACACTATGGGAGGAGGAAGATGCGGCACTCACCATACGTGCAGCTTGAACTCGTCGCGGGATGCGCGGTTGGAAGAATGAAAGTCGTCCAGCGGACGGAAGGGAGCTTGCTTGACACAGACTCGGAGGAGGAAAGGCGTGGCCTGTAGCAGGGTGCATCGTTAGTACCCGGGTGAACATCAGAGCCGAGGATGGCAAAGGTACGCACCTCATCGCCTGGTGATGGAGGCCGTTGAGCCATGGTGATGGAGAAGCGTTGCGCCGGCCGTGATGCTGGTGTTGGAGTGGAAGGAGGTGAGGAGGAGGCGCACGGAAGAACCGCCAATCCGAGCCAAAAGTGGAGGCGGGTGAGCCGAATTACGCGTGGGCTCAACGCGAAAGGCGGCTCGACGCTGCTCTCGTGTTGCTCTTTTTCTCGCACGCCTTAAGCTGCGCTGTGCCTTCGCAAAGTGTTGGTCTGACTGGCAACGGCCAAAAAGATACAGTTGGCGTGCGGACCCTAGCCCAGCCCTTTGACCAGAAGCCACGACGGCACTCCCGACGCACCGCATACAAGCACAACAATCACTTGCATCGAGCCCACAAGCTTGCAGCCACACAAAGCACACGCATACGCTGGGCGTGCATTGGCCAATGTCGCAGTGCAGCTGAGCGCGTCTGGGTAGAGCGCATTTGCCCTGCCACGCATCGACACAGCATTCAGGCTTGCGCGGACCTGCCCACCTCTGCTGCGCCTTGACGAGCGCGCTCGCTCGCTCGCTCCTCTGCCAAGATGGTCGGCAACTCACGAGAAGATCTCGCAACCGCTCCGGCACCAGCGCACTCGCAGGAGCCAGCGCCTCTGCCCGTGTCCTACGCTCCCGCCGCTGACGAAGCCGTTCAGGTCCAATCGGTCTCCGTGCCCGCCACCTCCGATCGCTCATCTCCTCACCCTTCCCAGAAGCTCGAGCAAGCAGAAGCACCTCGTACTCCTGTCCACGATCACGATCGCAAGCAGCAGCGCAGCACTACAACAACAATGATCAGCCCGGGGTCAAGGCGCGAACACGCAATGGACCCAGGTCAAAGGCCACCAGCAGCATACAACCACCTCACCCCCTCGAAGCCACGCCATCTGCCAGCCGACGCGCATCAACACGCACCGACGCTCGCACCGCAACCTCAGCCAGCATCTTTGCTTGCCACCGACGCCCGAGCTCACAGCACTGCCGACGATGTGGATGAGCTTGCCGAAGAAGAAGAAGAAGAAGAAGAAGAAGAAGAAGTTCCAGAAACGTCCATGACCACATCGAGCGAGGATGCGCGCTACATCGAAATGCTCAAGCTCCACGACGAGATCGAAGAACTCGAGTCCGCCATCGACGGCCTTAGCGACTACTACAAGATCGTCGACCGACTCGGCGAGGGCACCTTCTCATCCGTCTACAAGGCCATCGACGTGCAGCATTTCTCGTTCGACAACGACGAGTGGGTCACCCGCGGACCGCTCGATCCCTTCCGCAAGGGCGTCTGCCACGTCGCCCTCAAAAAGATCTACGTCACTTCGAGTCCACAGCGCATCTTCAACGAGCTCTCCATCATGGAGGATCTGCGTCCCGCAGAGTACGTCTCCTACCTCATCACCGCCTTCCGTTCCGAAGACCAGATCGTCGCCGTCATGCCCTACTCGCGCCACCGCGACTTCCGCGACTACTATAAGGAGATGCCCCTCGGCGACTTCAAGTACTACTTCCGTTGTCTCTTCTCCGCCTTGCACAGCGTACACGACGCCGGCATCATGCACCGCGACATCAAGCCCGCCAACTTTCTCTACGATCCCTCCACCGGTCACGGCACGCTCTGCGACTTTGGTCTGGCCGAACGCTTCGAGCCCACCGAATGGCGCGGCAAGTGTCACCACACCTGCCCCACACCACGCCACCCGCACGGAACCAAAGAGATCAATCGCGCTGTCGACTCGATCTATTTCGAGCCTGGTAAGCCTCTTGCCGGTCGTGTCCCGACCACCGAAGGCTTGATCTCGGGCAGTCACCACAGCGGGCCTGCAGCGTCCACCAGCGCAGACAGTGTGGGGGGTCCTTCGCGTTCTGGCATCTCGGCCATGGACCCGCCTCCGGAGCGGGTGGGCTACCTGCTCAACGATGCACGTCAACCCGTGCGTGCGAATCGAGCGGGTACGAGGGGCTTCCGCGCGCCCGAAGTGCTGTTCAAGTGTCAGGACCAGACGGTGGCCATTGACATTTGGTCGGCGGGCGTGATCCTGCTCACGCTGCTCATCCGACGCTTCCCCGTGTTCAACTCGAACGACGATGTGGAAGCGCTGCTCGAGATCGCGGCGATCTTTGGCAAGGCGCGCATGGAGACGTGTGCGATGCTGCACAACCGCACGTTTGTGAGCAACGTGCCCACCATCCAGCACACGCGCACGCTCACCGACTTTATCTTTGGCCTCAACCCGCAACTGGCGCATGCGGACAGCCATCCGAATCCGGAGCAGTATAGGCAGGATCTGTTGGATGCGTTGGATCTGGTCAAGTCGTGTCTGCATCTCAACTGTACCAGTCGCAAAACCGCCGGCGAGCTTCTAGAGCATCCGTTCTTGAGGATCGATCCCATGGAGGAAGAGGTGATGCAGCAGGAACAGGATTTTGCAGACTACTACCAGGGCGGCGACGAGGTGGTGGGTGCAGGTCAGGATATGGCCGAGGAGAATGAGCTCGGCGAGACCGAGGACGACGAGTATGCTAGCAGAGAACAGGTTGTACAGTTGCACAGCAGGCGTGGGAATTCAGCAGAGCCCACGGATGCACCCAATACCCCACAACAGCAGCAACAGCAGCACGATGCAACCGCCACCATCTCACCAGCGCCTCAGCCTTTGTAAGGAAGCCATCACGGTTGGAAAATTGCGCGAATTTTCACACATTGCATTCTCATGAGTGTGTCGGCGAAGGTGAATGGACATAGATGTCATTTTGAGTGGATGTCGCAAGGCAAGGCTATACAAGAGTGAGGAGGAGGGGGTGGGGAAGCTTAGGCGTTGTTCTGGGCCTCGGTCTCGTCCTCCTCGGGGATGTCGTCGTTGTCCTCGCCAAAGGAGGCGGGGACGCGGTACATCCTGATGGTCTGCTTGTTGGGGTCCTTGAGCAGCACGTACTTGCCCTCGTCGGCCTTGCGAGCAAGATCGGCGATGGTACGCACGATACCCCAGCCGTTGCCGAGGTTGACGGCCATCTGACCCGCGAGCTCGCGCGGCTTGAGCCACGAAGTGCCCAGGATGGTGTGACGCGAGGCGTCCTTGGGGTTGGCGCGCGAGATGTAGCCCATCTTCATGCTGTCCGCACCGGCGAGCAGCGACTGCACCGCAAAGCGCGCGAGCTTGAACGAGTTGTTCTTCATCTCGGTCGCCACCACCGCACCGCGCTGCGTGTCCAGCTTGGAACGCCACTCGGGCGCACCACCCGCACCCTGGGCGCGCGAGTCAAACTCGTTGAGCGACTTGATCGTGATGAGCTGCTTGTCCTTGTTGGCTCCGAGCGTGTAGGCGTCCACCTCGGTACGCACCACCAGCTCCACCGGATCCGCCTCTTCGGACGACAGGTTGAACTTGCGGTAGCGGTATGCGCACGAAGCCGCCGGATCGGTCTCGTCGGAAGAGTAAAAGGGGTTGTCGTTCTCGAGCTTGTAGGCGTTCTTCTCGTTGACGATCTGGAACGCAAAGTTCTGGTTGATGTACGTCGCCTCGAGGCTGAGTGCGCTGGGCGTGTTGAGCGCATTGGCCTTGGCGGCCGCCTCGTTCTCCTTGCCCTCGGGCGCCTCGCTCGGCGGGTCGGCGGCGTTCTCGTTGACGGTGAGGAAGTCGAACGGACCGCCGTCGCGCTTGTCGAAGAAGACCTTGCCGTCGGCGGTCTTGGTGATGATGATGTCCCACGAGTAGACGGAGCGGGTGGCGCACATGAGCAGCGCGAGGATCGAGTCGGTCATGTAGATCTTGGCGTCGTGCTTGGCGGCAATGTCGTGGATGATGGGGTCGTCCGAAGTGGTAGGGTTGTAGCGCACGCGGTCGAGCGACGAGAGCGCGTGCGAGGTCTTGACGGTGACGCGGTCGTAGGCTCGGTCGTACTCGTACAGCGTACCGTACGACGAGATCTCCTCGGGCTCGTCCACGTCGAGACGCAGCTTGCCCAGACGCACAAAGTCGATCTCCTCCACTTGCTCCCAGTCCTGCCCGACGGCGACGGAAGCCTCGCGGATGCGCTGCGGCTTGTCCCACTCCTTCCAGCCGAACCTTCCGCCACCACGGCCGCCACGCGCGCCGCCACGTCCACCACGAGCTCCACCACCGCGACCGGCCGCTGCGCCGAACTTGGAGGCGCCACGGCCACCTGCGGCACCAGCACCGCCGCGACCACCACGGCCACCACGCTGGCTCATCTGGCCCAGACCGCCGCGACGCGAAGCAGCGGTGCGGGTGTTGTCGACGACCGAGAAGGAGGCCTCGTCATCGCCGTGGAAGTAGGCGAAGGCGGACGAGGCAGCCGAGGTGCCGAAGTTCTGCTGGACGTCTCGCGCACGGCCCTGGCGACCGCCGCGAGCGTTGGCGGCATCGTTGGAAGCACCGGAGGCGTTGTTCCAGTCGGCGATGCGGCCGACCTTGTCGTTCTTTGCGTAAGGGGCGAAGGGGATGTCCTTGAGCTCCGAAGGGAGCGCGTTGGAGCCCGAGGCAGGACCCCAGAGGTCGTTGTCCGGCTGGAGCTGCGGAAGCTTGAAGCTGGCCATGTTGTCCTTTTTCTGTCGAGGCTACCGATGGGTGCTCGATGATCAAAAAAGTCAAAGATGATGGAGAGGAAGGCGAGCTGCAGTCGGTCTCTGTGGACAGACAGTCCTTTGCAACGCACGCGCGCCAGTGCAGCGCAGCCTTCGTTCTTCTCGCAGGCGGCGGCCCTCTGCCAACGAGGCGCGGTCGGTGGGTCTCTGCAACGACTCGCCCCGCGCTGCCTCGCCCTCTGGCAAGTTTTTTTCTTCTTCCTGCTCTCAGCCGCCGCTCAGCCGCCGCCTGGCTCCCCTTTGTTAGAGTGAGATGGCAAGTGCGAAGATTCCACGTGATGGCCGCACGCGCCGAAGTTGCGTTTGTTAGATTGGAGATATCGTGTTGGCTGAGTTGGTGGATTTTTCAGCTTCAACGGCTGAGCAGCAGCAGCAGCGCGAGCAGAGCAGGGTCCTCTCAGCTTTGCCACACGCGACCCACGCCTGCACGTCATACCCGCCAGACCAACAACACTGGCCATCCGCCCGGAAATCCCACCCAACACTCACTCTCTCACTCGCAATCTCCACAGCTCCACCCTCGCCCACCCCAAAAAAAAGAAAGTTGGCGTCCGCTCGGTGGCCATCCGCTTCTTCCCCCACGGCCACCATCACCTCGGGACACCGATTGCCACTATCCAGCATGTTCATGCTCAAGAGCTTGTTTGGCAAGATCTGGGGCGACTCCAACAACCAGGAGCTCATCCAGATCCCCGCCGGCGCACTCTACCTCGTCCGTCCCAACGGCCCTCAAGGTTCCCGCGAATGCATCTACGAGGACGCCGTACTCGCCATCCGCAGAACCACCTCCGAGTTCCACTATCAGCTCGTCGTCACAAAGGCGTTCCAGGATTCCCAGCCCGAGCTTGTCGACCAGGAGGAGGACGACTTGGAGGACGAGCGCGCCTTCTTAATCGACCACGCGCTCGACTTCCGCCTCTCCACCCGCGGCAAGGAGCGCACCTTGGTATGGCGCGACTTTGACGGCGACCAGGACGACCTGCTCGAATTCGTCATCGACAACAAGCAGGTCAACGAGGTCACCATCACCATCTTCGAAATCACCTACCTCCAGTGCGTCTACGAACATGCCTTCCGCACAAGCCACGAGCGCGCATCCGAAGAAGACCTCGACAAGCTTCGCTACAAGGATGAGGCCGATCAGAAGCTCAAACGCGAACAAAAGAACCAGCTCGATAAGAAGCTACAAGATGCAGGCATCGGCTCCAAGGACGCCAGCGCATCTGCATCCGCATCTGCATCTGCATCCGCATCCGCATCCGCACCCAAGCAAGAGCCGGCTGCTCCCGGAATCGCTCCAACAGTAGCGCCCGCTGCCGACACGGCCGGTCCGCAGATCGACGAGAACTCGATCGTCTTCTCCGCAAAGGCCGACCTCTACCTCTACGACCTCAAGTCGCAGTACTTCCTCGTCCAGGAGCGCAAGGTCGACATCAAGGTCGTAGAGGCTGGTCGCTTCCTCTTCTGGCTCTCCATCCAGGGCGCAGACAAGACATGGCTCGCGCAAAAGGTAGAGAGCGACATGAACATGAACTTCTCGCCAGAACAGACCTCGGCCGTATGGAACTACTTTACAGACGATCGACAGTGCTTCTCTTGGCTCCTCCGATTCGAGGACAAGGAAGCCTACGCCCACTTCCACAAGGGCTTCAGCCAGGTCCTCTACGAGACCCAAAACGAAGAACCTTGGAGCAAGGCAAAGAGCGACGACCGCGCCTACGCAGAGACCGCCTACGAGCAGGGCGAGCCCATGGACCTCGACGACATTAGCGAGAGCGAAGCTGGCGACGAGTCCGTCCGCACCGCCCGCGAGGACGAGGAGGACGACGAGGAGGAGGTGGCCGCCGAGCTTCAGAGCGGCGGTGCCGACTCGGACCAAGCAGCTTGGCCCGAAGACACTTCGCTGCTCGCCGGCAAGCAGGACGTCAACTCGTTGCTCGCCGTCGGATACAAGTTCGACCGCTCCTTCGTCGCCCGCGGCGACAAGATCGGCGTCTTCCGCCACACCGACGACAACAGGCTCGAGTTCGACACCACCATCAACAACGTCGGCACCCCATCCGGCAAGGGCTTCAAGCCACTCAAGATGATGCTCCACAACCAGGACGCGCAGATGGTCATGATGGATCCGTCCAACAAGCACGCGCTCTACAACATGGACCTCGAATACGGAAAGATCGTCGACGAGTGGAAGGTGCACGACGACGTGCAGGTCAGCAACGTCGTGCCCACCAGCAAGTACGCGCAGATGACGGGCGAAAAGACCATGATCGGACACAGCCACAACGGCATCTTCCGCATCGACCCGCGTCTCGGCGGCAACAAGCTCGTCGACTCGCAGTTCAAGCAGTACGCCGCCAAGAACGACTTCTCCGTCGCCGCCACCGACGACAAGGGCCGCCTGGCAGTCGCCTCCAACAAGGGAGACATCCGTCTGTTCGACACCATCGGCAAGAACGCCAAGACGGCGCTGCCTGCCCTTGGCGACCCCATCATCGGCATCGACGTGTCGACGGACGGACGCTACATCATCGCGACGTGTAAGACCTACCTCTTGCTCATCGATACCCTCATCGGTTCGGGTCGTTTCCAGGGGCAGCTTGGCTTCGACCGCTCCTTCCCCGCAGACGCAAAGCCGCAACCCAAGAGGCTGACGCTCAAGCCATCGCACGTCGCCTTCATGGGCTCTGAGATCTCCTTCACCCCTGCTCGCTTCAACACGGGCACGGGCTCCAACGCCGAGACTTCGATCGTGACCAGTACAGGCCCCTACGTCGTCAGCTGGGCATTCAAGAAGGTCAGGAACGGCGAACTGGGCTCGTATGTGCTCAAGCGCTACGGTGGCGAGATCATCCAGGACGAGCACACCTATGGTTCGGACCAGGCCATCGTCGTTGCGTTCGAGCACGACGTCCAGATGGCAAAGAGAAGCCAGCTACTTAAGCCGACGCGCAAGTCACTCGCACCCGCCGGCTTCGGTCGTTGACCGCTTTCGACTTCTTACCCCCGTCCTTCTTCCACCGCCTTGTGCGGCTGTGCTTGGCAGTCATGCATGTCGATGACGCCCCTCCTGTAAAGTAGTTCTGCACTAATGCTGGCCCCTTTGGCGGCCTTCGCTAGGGATGTAAAGCAATAATGATACCACAACCGACCAAAACAGCCTCACTTCTGCCCCTTTTTTTTTCCTCTGGTCCGCTTAGCCTCGCGGGGTTTGAGACAAGTGTCGATGTTCGCAGCGAGTGTGGCAGGCGAGAATGCTCGAGGTGGGGTTCTGAGGTTCATGGACGTCGATTGTCACCGCGCGTATGCGAGGTCGCGTCCCGCAGTTCGGGACACGGAAATTGGATTTGAGGTGCGGATCGAGAATTGACATCGTCCTCCTTCTTCGCACACCATCGGCTCTTTCCTCTGTGCATCCGTCTCCGCACCCGACTCTGTGTGCTCAGCCACACGCCCCGACACCTTTCTGCACTCAGTATCGGTGACTCGCCGATTGGAGCTTGGCAACGATGGCGCGAAATCAGGAGAAAGCGCAGTCGATGCTCTACCGCTTCCGCGAAGCGCAAGCGAGCTCGCTGGGGCTCACGCCCAAAACCACCCGACGACCGCGTCTCGCCTCATCGGTAACGTCGCTGAAAGAATGCGAGAAGTGGCGGGGGGAAGTGATCCGCGAGATCTCGCGCAAGGTGGCCAAGATCCAAGACTTTGGCCTCACGGATTTCGAGGTGCGCGATCTGAACGACGAGATCAACAAGCTGCTGCGCGAAAAGGTGCATTGGGAAAAGCAGATCCTCGCGCTCGGTGGTGCCAACTACATGCGTGCGGTTCCTAGCATGCTTGGTGGCGATGCGGGAATCGGCGGTAGGGGGTACAAGTACTTTGGACGTGCCAAGGATCTTCCCGGTGTCAAGGAGATGTTCACCAAAACTAGGGAGCAGGAGGAGATGGAACAGAGCTGGAAGTCGGACAAGTGGCAACGATTTCGCAACCTCCCTCCCGCATACTATGGAGACGAAGACGAAGACGATACTGGATTGTTGGAAGAAGAGGTGCGCAGGGAGGAGGAGGAATGGACACAGCGGTACTTGCAGATCATCCAAGGTCTGCAGCAAGATCGACGCGACGATGAGCAGATGGACAGCGACATCGAGCGGTCGAATGGTGGGATTGAAGTGCCTGCCATCCCACGACCGACACCACGACCTTTCAGGGAAGAAATGCACGCCCTCGCATCGGGCTTCCACCCAGCCACGTCCCAAGACGATTCGACGAGCGTCGAGGCTGATTCGGCATCGGCAGCCAAGCGTCAAAAGGGTTCAGACGGAACACCCCTACCGGCTACATCCGCTTCGCCACAAGTGGCATATAGCATCTTTGCACCCGAAGACCTTGCGCATCCCACACTGCCCGACCGCACCGCCGTGGAAAGGATGATCCTTAACGCCAAAAAGCGCCAGCTGCGTCAGGAGTACATTGGCTCCTCATAGTTGTCGACTTGCACCCCCATTGTAATTGTACCGCTTATCTCAATGCACGCTTGCATCGCTTGGCTCGTACCATGTGCAACCGTTCCTCGGCGCCGAATCCCATTCGAGCCGGAACTTCGTCGCATTGAATCACCGTCCGCTGGACTAGTCGCCAGAGCATGCTCATATCACGCGTCACAGCCAGAGTGGGATGTCGAAAAAGTACAGATTCTGCATTGATGCATGTGTGGTAATGGGTGTGGGTTTAGGGTGGAGGAATCCTCGGCCGCCGTATACACACCGGCAAGACGGGGTCGAAGAGATGGACTCGAGAGTCCGATTTTTTGGGCTTCAAGGATAGAAGGATCGAACGAACCTAGCAGATCACGCGACCTGTGTACCACCAGGTCAAGTGCCGCCAAATGCGCGAGGAAAGATGCATGTCGAAGGTCAAGAAAGAAAGGAGGCGAGATGGATTCACGATGCAAGAGGCTAGGCCCTTTACACCTTGAAGCCACGCGAGGCACGACGACCACGGGCCTTCTCGAACTTGCGGCCCTTGGCGCGGATGTAGGGCTTCTTGTTCTTGTGCGGGCCGAAGCCGAAGTGCTTGACGGCCTCGCGGGCGTTCTTCTGGCCGCGGATGAGCACGGTGTTGGAGCCAGTGGGCGCACGGGTGGCGAGCTGGTCGAGGGTGAGGCACTCACCGCCGGCAGCCTCAATGCGGGCACGAGCGGTGTTGGTGAAGCGGAGGGCAGCAACCGAGAGCTTGGGCAGCTCAAGAACACGGTTGTCGTCGGTGATGGTGCCGACAACAACGACGGTCTTGGGGGTCTCGGAAGCCGAGGCGGCAACGCCACCCTGCGACTTGGTCAGGTAGATGACGCGCGAGACCGACACAGGGGGCTGGTTGATCTTGGACATATACAGGCGGCGGAGGACAGCCTTGTTGAAGCGGCTATCCGTGCGGCGGGCAAGGAAGCGGTAGAGCTGTGTGTTGGAATTGGCGAGGAGTGCAGAGTGAAAGTTTGGTCAGCGAACTCTTGCTTTGGAAAGGTGGAGATCGAGGTGGAATCCGGATCCGGTTGGCTGAAAGGTGGCATGCACTGTATCTGGACCCGTCTGCACTTTGCTCCCGTCGATGGCTCCTGCATCCCATGTCGTGCAATCCTGCAGAAGCTCCGATGAAAGTCCCCATACTGCAAACCGAAGCGTCCATGCGTCCATTCTAGTTTCGAGCCGTGGTGCGTATCTGGACCTTGCCATCGTGTGCATGCCATTCCAGAACCGGATCTAGGTTCGATCCACTCGGGATGGTCGGTGTAAACTTACCTTGACCAGGAGCAGGAGGTAGGGGTCCTGGCTCTTGGGAGCGGTACGCTGACCGTTCTTGACGTGCTTCTTGGCGATATCAATACCCTGGTGTAGTGGACACATGGAGGATTGTGTGGCGCGTTAGTTGGACTGCATAGACGAATACGAGATGCTGGTGATGGCTATCCAAGACGAGCGATCCAAAGAGGACTTGTGTTGGTGATGCAAGGGCGACGTCCGTGTTTCCGATGACGAGTCGCAGCATGTTCGTGGTCGGAATGCGTGAAACGGGCATGGCGAGTACAACGCGATGCGGACTCGCCGTTCTATTGTTGGGCTGCTCTAAGGCATGCTGCTGATGGGTGTGTGTGCGGTTCGAGAATCGTCGCCATGTGGGTGAGAACAACGCGAGAGGGCCACCAATAACGAATTTGCCGGTCAAGGTCGGGAGCGTGTCCAGCGGCAAGCAAGCAATGTCCAAGGTCGTGACGAGTCGAAGTAATGCTCCAGATACGTGGTTGCCAGGGCAACCTGCACCTCTTTGCTGTTTCCAGCGTGACCCCACGCAGCCATACGTTCCGACGTGCTTCCGACAGGCGACGCCTCCTGCTGAATGACCAGCACTACGCCTTCTCAATCCATAACGAGATAGTACTGATGGACATAGATGCGTCGGACGGTGCAACTTTGGCGGAAGATGCTGATGCGGTGTTTTGGATATGTCTCTGAATGCTGAGTCGGAGTGGGCGTGGTGATGTCGATTGCATTCCGTTTGTTGTGCGTCGTCGATGGATGTCGTCTTGGTATGCCGTGTGTGCAATATGAGCACAACTTACCATTTTGATGTATGTCTTGACGGGGTGGAGATGGTGAGGGAAAGCTAAATGATGATAGCGACGGAGCGCTTTCCACACTCTGGGGCCACACTCTCACTGTCTGGCCCAGGCAGGCCCAGCTTCATTCTCAAACCTTGGCCGAAGCACGGTTCCGCACTCGCATCCAGAATTCGCACCTCGAGGCCTTGCCGCCACTAGCCACGACCAGCACACTGGCTGCAGGCTCTGCGAAGCCCACGGCAGTAAAGACGCTCACAATTTCGTTGGCCGGAACTGAGGCGAGGGCGAGAGGTCTTGGCTGGCCGGCTGGGCCGCCTTTGCTCCAACCTCGGCCGAGCTTTGGCATAGGGTCACATGACTTTTCGAAGCGGTCGAGATCTGGAAATCGGGAAATTCTAGAGAAAATTTGGCGATGCAAAGTTGTTAGGTTTGATGCAGATTCTACATCCCGACTCCCGAGCCCAGATGCCTCGCGCTCGAAAAAGGCAAGGCTGGGACGCGATCACCACAGGAACGCGGGAGGACAGAGGGTCGACGTCCGTGCAGTGCAGTCGGCGCATCCACACTTTGGCGCTCATTTTTGGCTCGGTGTGCCTCTGAAGCAAAGTTTCCAGGCTGCAGCCTCCTGCAGCCAATTTTGAGTGCATCTCAGTCGAGCGTCGTCCAATTACGTCGACCCACCACACCTCTCTTTAAGCTTGGCTCAAGCACAGCCGAAGCATCAACCATGGTAAGTCGTCTGCCTCACCTTGGCGGCGGCAGCAGCAGCAGCGCACATGAGCTTCGCGCTTGTAGCTGCAGCCGCGCCACGCAGAAAGTGTTGATCTTGTGTTTGTTGCGAGTGCTCATCTGACCTCGTACGATCCTCCTTTCGTCCTACCACACCCTCTTCACACTTGACACTGTCCCTTTGCATTGTCTCGCCACCATGGACTCGCACGAACCCATGGACGTCGCCATGGAACGCCGTTCCGTCCCGGACTACAAGGACATCGACGAAGACCGAAGGCCAGAGTCGCCTGCGCGAGGCCGCTCGTACTCGCGCTCGCCCTCCACCACCCCCGTTCCTGGACGTCGCGACCGCAGCATGAGCCGCAGCCGCACGCCCAGCCGCAGCCGTTCTCCTCCGCCCCGTCGACGCTCGCGATCGCCCGGCGCTCGTCGCTACGACCGCGACGACCGCGACAGGCGCGACGACCGCCGAGATGACCGTCGCGATGACCGCCGCGACCGCAACCGCTCCCCGCCTCCGCCTCGCGCCGACCGTCGTCGCTCGCCACCTCCCAAGCCGCGCACCGCGCCCGCCAACGTCGACCCCACCACCGTGCTCGGCGTGTTTGGCCTCTCCATCCGCACCGTCGAGGCGGACCTCAAGCACGAGTTCGACGCCATCGCTCCGGTCGAAAAGGTCGTCGTCGTCTACGATGCCCGCTCCGGTCGCTCGCGTGGATTTGGCTTCGTCACCATGCGCACCATCGAGGGCGCCAGCGCTTGCATCGACGCGCTCAACGGCAAGGACCTGCACGGACGCCGCATCCGCGTCGACTTTTCCACCACCCACAAGCCTCACGACCCCACCCCCGGCATCTACAAGGGCGAGGTTCGCCCCGACGACCGATACCGCGCACCCCCTCCGCGTGGCCCCGCCGGCCGTGGCGAGGGCGGCCGCGGCGAGGGCTCGAGGTACAACGGCCGTGCCTACGACCGCGCTCCTCCCTCCTCCTACCGCGACTCGAGGGGCGGCGACTCGTACCGACGCAGCTACGCCGACTCGCGTGACGACTGGCGACGCCGCCCCTCGCCTCCGCGCAGGCCACGCAGGTCGCCCAGCCCCGCCGGTCGACGTGGCGGAGGCCGGTACTCGCGCTCGCCAAGCCCCCGCCGCGGCGGCGACAGGTACCCTGCCGACCGTTACGACGACGACCGTGACGAGAGGCCGCCTCCGCCGTCGAGGAGCCGCCATGGAAGCCACCTCGACAGCCCCCCGCGCGAGGACAACGTCGAGCCCAGCCGATACTACTAGACCTCCAGCCCTCGAGTGACCTGCCGTGTATAGCTCCAAACTGGACGCGCCGCCCGCTTTCGTTTCACAAGATTCTCGTTCCGATACCAGAAAGCCCTGTCTCAATTCATGCCAAGGTGCCGATGCAAACCGATCGGTCACAAGCCTCCCTTTGTTGTCTCCCGCTCCTTTCAAGCTCCTCAACCTCCGATGTTCAAAAGAAAGAAAACAACCAGGATCGCCCGTCAACTTCAAACCCCGCGTCTCTCTGTGTGTGCAGCCCCAAGTTTAGAAGAACGCCCAAGATTAACAAGCAGCGCCCAGGTTGGATCAGAGTGCAGGCAGCCCCAGTGAACGTGATGCCATCGCCCGACAAGTTGACACAAGCTCCTCATCCCACACAAGCCACATCGCAGCGTAGCCAGATCAAGGCCTCCGGTAGGTAGGTGTGCTGAAGTACTGATCCCCCTTGTCTAGTTCCGAAATTTGAGATGAGTCTACAGCGCAAGTTCACTCTGGAGGTGAGTATGTACCCCGAGACCGCACCGACTCGATCACGGTCGTGCTTTGGCTGTCACCAGCAGCAGCAATACCAAACAATCACAGCATCGTCGCATTGCGTGAAGCTACAATGACTGCGCGAGTTCTTGACGGATACCGAGCATGGCTTGAACCAGCTGCTCGTTTTCCTCCCATCTTTGATCGACGTCGACGCTGATGGAGCCGTCCTTGTTCAAGGTGCGGATGAGTCTAGCGTCTGCGCTGCGCCCTGCGTACCAGTGCGCGTGCACATCTTCGCCATGCACAAAGGCTCTGTACGGTTTGAGCCACTCCGCTACGCTCTTCTGCTCCGCGCCGGGATTGAGGCAGGCGAACCACCAGACAAAGTCGTCAAACGAGTGGCTGACGCCCTTGAATGCCGGTAGCGCCTTGTCGATGGCGCTGGCGCGGTAGTTGATGCGGTACCTCAACACGCGTTCGGGGTCCAAGCCTCCATCGATCAGGTCGGTGACTAGCATTCGCTCGGCCATGTACACCTGCGAGTCGGAGCAGATGCGCCCAAACACTTCGCCGATCTCGCTGGGCGTCACATCGTGGGGTTGTGCGTCGTCGTCATCGTAGCGCACGCGGATGTTTTCGGAACACCCGTCGCAGCTGACCACATCCACCTGCGCATGCACCTGGTCTTCGGACAACATGTATGCCGAGCCGCAGCGACACGCGTAGCTAAACGTGATCGCATCGCCGTGCTCCACAGGCTGGAACGACTCGAAGTCAACCGTGGCCGAAATGCGCGGCTGAGACGATGCGCTGGCTGCAGCACGCGCAGCAGCAAGCGACCCGTCGTACGACGCACGCAGCCCATCGTCGACGAGCGTCTTGTATGCGTGATTCAGCTGGCGAATCAGGTCGTCCGACTGCGCCAGCGACTCGGCCACCGACGCTGCATCGTCCTGCGACATCGCCCGACCCCCACCCTGCTGCTGCAGCTTGTCCGGGTGGTGTTGTCGCACCTGTGCCAGGTAGGCGGCGCGAATCTCGGCAGACGTCGCCGATGGCCTCACGCCCAGCGTAGTGTAGAGCGAAGTATCGCCCTGAGCTGCCGACGCAAGGCTGTGTCCGTTGTCCTTTCGCCGCCGCTCGTGCTCGCTTGAAGCGCCGCCAACAGCAACGCCGTAGTGCGGCAGCATCTTGTGCACGAGCGGGAGGGTATAGTAGTTGTTGACCTGGCGAACGAGAGATGCCCTATCGGTGGGCGTGTTGATGTAGCGGTACACCCACTCCTCATCTGCGCACTCGCCGATCACAAACCGAACACCGTGCTTCTGAGCCCACCTTGCAAAGCGTCCGTCCATCATGGCTTTTGTCCAGTCTGGCTTCACGAATGCCCCTGGCTGCGAGTCGCGTGTAGCACGGAAGGTATGCACGCCCATACCGCCCAGTACGCGCGCGAGGCTGGCACCATCCACCTCCCTGAGGCGCGCGATCTTGTCGGCATCACTCAGCTCTGCTGGGATCTGGAGCGCAGCCACAAGTTCGTCGAACTGCGCGCGTGTTTCGTCGACCGGCTTGGACGGCCAGATGGCCGAGTTGGACTGGAGGAAGACGCGACGGATGATGGGCGTGTACGCGGGGTCGCGAGCGCACAGGTCGAACTCGTGCATCAGCTGCGAGTGGGTGCTGTGTGCACCCGCCGACAGCCCTGCAACGGTGATGTTGCCCGGATCGCCGCCAAAGTGCTCGATGTTGCGATGCACCCATTCCAGCGCAGCCCTCTGGTCCCAGAAGCCATAATTGCCCGTGCAGCGTTCCGGATCCTCGTTGCGAAGCTCATCATGTGCGAGAAAACCGAAGACGTTGAGTCGATATGCAGTGGTGACGACGATGGCATCGAGGCCGGCCTTGTGGATCAAGTCGCTCGGGTCGCCGTCGGGCGAGAAACGCGCGTTGCCAATCTGAAGCCATCCTCCGTGGATGTAAAACAGAACCGGCAACTTGCGGTCGAAGCGGGAGCCGTCGTCGCGCACGGGGCACCAGATGTTGAGGTAGAGGCAGTCTTCGCTCTGGGCAAAGACGGGCGCGTCGGGGATCGTGACGCCGTTGGTGAGCGCGTAGTTGGTCGGCTGAGGACACGCCTTGGCGAAGTGCTGGTAGCGTTTCCCATCGGTATCGTACCGGAAGGTGGTAGGAAGTGGCTGCGGTCTCTTCCAGCGTAGCGGGCCCACTGGCGGCTGAGCGAAGGGAATGCCTGCATAGCGCTGCGACTTGAGTCGGCCGGTGGTCTTGTCGCTGGCTACGCTTCCGACGAGGGTGCCTTGACCAGGGATATCGACCTTGGCCGCAGCATTGTCTACAAATGTGCTCGAGGCCTGACCCATGATGAAGTTCCACAGGCTCGGTGCAAGGCAGATTGTCGGGTAGCTGGTCGGCGTGTGCGGTTAGGATCACGACTGGGTCCACGAAAGAAGGTTGGAACGGAGCTTTGCGACACTCGGGGACCTCTTGAATCAGATCCAGTGTACGCTCGCGCCAGCAGCAAAGCCTCGTTGTGCGAAGGCGCCTTCCGGCAAGCGGTTCCAGGCAAGAGCCGGTGGTTAAAGTGGTGGACCGAGGCACACGAGCGATTTGTGGAGATCCGTGCGATGTCACGAGACTCGGCTGTTGGTCCGGCAATCCTAATTTTTGGCGCTGAAGATGCAGCGAATGCCGGTGGTATAGCCGTTGATTTCACCGACAAGACTTTGGCGCCGAAAGACCGTCGTTACTTCTCCCTCTCTCCGATGCTTTCTCATCCATCGTGTCAAGCACACCCGACAGCGGGAGCACGAGGATCACACGGCTGGGCAGCAAAAAGAAAGGCAAAAGGGAACTGCAGCACCTAGGATTCCCGCGTGGTCCCCCACCGCAGTACTGACTAGGCGATACCTTGCTTAACTTCGCAGATCGGACGGGATGCGGTGCTTTCAAGGTTCTATGGCCGCAGATGTTTATCAACCACTCAAAGTAGTATATAAGGGCTAGCAACAATCTCAAGGGTGCGAAGAAGAGTTGTTCTCGCGTCACAGGCCCAGCTCAGCTTGATACCGTCCACATGGGCACGACGTTTTACTGGGGTAAATGTGCATGAAGTCATAAGAGGAGAAGGGCTATATACGAGTGCTGCGATGTTCCTGCACCACGTACGGAAAGGGCTGCTATCGGTGATGCGGCTGTTGTACTGCAGCGGAAAGGACATGGCTAAGCGACAGGGGCGCTGTCGACGCGCATCTACAAGCGCGAGATGATCTTGTCGGTGAAGGCGCGGGTGCCGAGCTTGCCGCCGAGGTCACCGGTGCGCTCGCCGCTGGCGATGGTCTTGAAGATGGCGTTCTCGATGCGGTCGGCCTTGTCAAAGAGGCTCATGTGACGCAGCATCATGATGGACGACAGCAGCAGCGCCGTGGGGTTGGCCTTGTCCTGGCCAGCGATGTCGGGCGCCGAGCCGTGAACGGCCTCGAAGATCGAGGCGTCCTTGCCGATGTTGCCCGAGGGGGTGAGGCCGAGACCGCCGATGAGACCGGCGCACATGTCGGAGAGAATGTCACCGTACAGGTTGGGCATGACCATGACGCGGTCGGCGTATGGCGCAGGGTCCTGGACGATGCGGAGGCAGGCGCGGTCGAGGAGGTCCTCGTCGTAGGCGATGTGCGGGTACTCCTTGGCGACCTGTCGGCAGGCGTGGAGGAACATGCCGTCGGACATGCGCATGATGGGAGCCTTGTGGACGGCGGTGACCTTGTTGCGGCCGTTCTGCTCGGCGTGGTGGAAGGCGTAGCGGGCGACGCGCTCGGAAGCCTCGTAGGTGATGAGCTTGATGGACTGGACGACGCCGTCGACGACCTCGTGCTCGATGCCCGAGTACTCGCCCTCGGTGTTCTCACGGATGAGGACAGTGTCGACGTTGTCGTAGGCGGTCTTGAAGCCCTCGATGGACTTGCAGGGACGCACGTTGGCGAAGAGGTGGAAGGTTCGGCGGAGGGTGAGGTTGAGCGAGACGTGGCCCTTGCCGATGGGCGTGGCGAGCGGGCCCTTGAGCGCGACGGTGTTCTTCTTGATGGAGACGATCGACTCCTCGGGGATGGTCTGCTTGCCGTCCTTGATGAAGGGGGCGACGGAGACCTCCTCCCACTTGATGGGCACGTCGGCGGCGTGGTAGATCTCCTTGACGGCGTTGGAGACCTCGGGGCCGATACCGTCACCGGGGATCATGGTGACGGTGTACTTGCCGTCGGAGCCCTTCTGCTTGTTGTAGGCGGAGGTGGGAGCGTTGGTGACGGGCATGGCGAGGCCGCGGACGGACATCTTGTTGAGCTTGAGCGCCGACGAGGCGAGCGAGGGGCGCTTGGCCAGCGACGAGCTGGCCGATCGGAAGGCGGGGGCGGCGAACATTGTCGTTTGCGGCGATGGTAGAGCGACGACGACGACGGGTGAAAGACGACAGCGACGAAGTCTCGAAGAGGGATGGATCGGAAGCGACGTGTGGAGAGGAGAGGTGGTGAGGAAGAAGATTTGTGTCTCGCTCGAATCGCAGGTGGCTCCCGGACGCAGACGCAGACGCAATCAATCCAAGACCAAACCAGCGTCGCCGACAGCCCGCCATCGGCGCCCTCCTACCGCCGTCGCGTCCTTGCCTCCAACTCGCCCTCGCTCTCGAAAACGCAGCCACTGCAAAGAAAAGAGAAAGAAAAAAATCCAAAAATTCAAGAAATGAGCGAGAAAAAAGAAAAGAAAGTCCACCTCGGCACACTCGGCAAGTGACCCAGGAGAAGAGCGAAAAAAGGGCAAAGTTGCAATCTTTTGCGTCGATGTAAGGATGAACAAAGTCAACGTGGACTAAGGCACCAAACTCCCTCCGACCCGCACAGAGCTACTATGCTCCGCTGCCTCGGACTTGAACTCTCCCTCCGCAAAGGGTGTCTCCCTCGCATCACATTCTAACTCTGCAGACCATGCATCGTTCTGACAGTCGACCAAAGGCCAGCTCACGCAATGAAGACCATCCTGATTGCGCTGCTATGTGGATTGGATCGTCTTGGAGCGCTGCAAAGAGCGGCGCTATCGGTCTTGGTGGGGGACTGTCTGGTTGGTCGTGGCCCGAGCGAATTTTTCGAACCGAACCGTGGACGGCGGCGCAACCCTGAATCCAGTGTGCTGGGCGCGGAAGCGGGAGCCGGCAGCCAGAGCGGGACAAGTCGGACGGCGTGCTCCGAGCCTCGAGCGAGCGTGCCCCAGGATTTTTCTTGCCTGGCCTTTCGTCGGATTTCGTGCCGAGTTTTTTCTCTTCTCTTTCCTTTGGCTTTGCCCTTGGCCTTTCGCGTGGGTGAGTTCATCTGGGCGCACCGTGAACTCCGTTGTAGCCGATGAGTGAAGTGCGACGTGCAGCTGCTGCCGTGTCATTTCAGGGTCGAGTTGTCGCATTCACGAGCCCTTGCTCAGCTGCACGCGAGCGTCGGGGATTTTCGCCGGCAGGTGCAACCCATGGCGGCGAATGAGGAGCTACAACACCGGCCAAGGCTGCGATCTTTCATTCGATCAGATAGGGCCGTCCGCGTAGTCAGGGGCTCAAACATCCAACCACATACTTCACAGCGGAGCTGGCGGATATCTTGATGCGCTGACGCAGGCACTCTCCTCTGCAAGAGGCAGATCTCGACAAGGTGGCCGGTGAGAATGACACTTTGGTCGCTGGTCCACAACGCCGGTCAATACCGCCAGAGGGGGGTTTGGTATTCCCGACGACGGGCGACTGGCTCGAGCTCGGATTTCTCCGAGATTGGCCATGGCAGACCGCTCCGTCGTCGACTCGTACACCACATGGCTTGGCATGGTCGAGCCATGTCACAAATATTGGCACGGCATGTGTACGACCAGGCTCCGCCATCGCCGCTGGCTTGCAATAGACGGAGGAGGCCGGCCACTCGCCTTTCCCCACCTTGTGCGGCTGGCCTGCCGAGCATGAGTTGGCAGTCGGCAGAGGCTGAGGCTCCACCGCGCGCGTCCGACCGCTAGAAGTTGAGGCTTGACTTGACGCAAAACCAGAAGAACTGCATCTGCAACTGCCACTCCTGCACACCACGTCAGCTCGCGTTGGCCACGGCAAATCCCGTCGAGTGCGAGACAGTCCTTCTTCACGTGGGTGTGTTTTTTTCCTGCAGTTTAGAAATCCATTTGTTTTTGATTGTGACAAGCCTGACGCACAATCGGCGCACGGATGCTGTAGCCAAACGGGCCGACGACCGAGAGTGGAAAAAAAAAAAACTGCTTGACCTGCTCGCATCTCTCTCCTTTTCGTCTTTTTTCTTTTTTTTTTTTTGAATTTTTGAATTTTCGCACAGGCGCTCGGGGGCGGCGAGCCAGCCTGCACCACGCAAAACGGGCGTCGTTCGTTCTTCCAGCCCAGCAGGCAGCGGCGATATGGACGAGGGCGCGGCGCTGCAAGTTTGATTGTGTGGCCCAGCCAGCCAGGGTCGGTGTGACGCTCGAGATGCGCTGGTCTGCCAATCCCTTCTCCTCATCCCATCCTCTCCACCCACCCTTTCCTGTTCCGTCCAGCTCGCCGTCGTACCTTGCTGTCTTGATCCACCCCTTGACACAGCATCGCCACCAATATGAACACGCTCCGACAGCTCAACCGGGCTGCCGCCCCCGCCCTCAAGCAGGCCACCACCAAGTCGGGCCTGGTGCTGCCCAACCTGCCCCAGGTGCTCCGACCCGCCACCACGCTCGCTGCGGGCACGCCCAAGATCTCCAAGGGCCCCACCAAGTACGGCGGCGTCTACACCGTGACGCTCATCCCCGGTGATGGTGTGGGTGTCGAGATCACCGACTCGGTCAAGGAGATCTTCGAGGTGATGAACGTGCCCGTCGAGTGGGAGCAGTTCAACGTGTCCGGCGAGACGCACGGCTCCGAGTCGCTCTTCAAGGAGGCCATGGAGTCGCTCAAGCGCAACAAGGTGGGCCTCAAGGGCATCCTCTTCACGCCCATCGAGACGGGCTCGCACAACTCGTGGAACGTGGCCATGCGCCAGCAGCTCGACATCTACGCCTCGCTCGTCATCTGCAAGTCGCTGCCCGGCTACCCCACGCGCCACAAGGACGTCGACTTTGCCATCATCCGCGAGAACACCGAGGGCGAGTACTCGGGTCTCGAGCACTCCTCCTACCCGGGTGTCGTGGAGTCGCTCAAGGTCTCGACGCGCGCCAAGGCCGAGCGCATCTCGCGCTTCGCCTTCGACTTTGCGCTCAAGAACGGTCGCAAGAAGGTGACGTGCGTGCACAAGGCCAACATCATGAAGCTCGGCGACGGCCTCTTCCTCAACACCTTCCGCCGTGTCGCCGAGGAGTACAAGTCGAGCGGCATCGAGTCGAACGACATGATCGTCGACAACACCTCGATGCAGCTCGTGTCGCGCCCGCAGCAGTTCGACGTGATGGTCATGCCCAACCTGTACGGCAACATCGTGTCGAACATTGGCGCTGCGCTCGTCGGTGGTCCCGGAACGGTGCCCGGCTGCAACATCGGCCGCGAGTTTGCGCTGTACGAGCCCGGCTGCCGTCACGTCGCCAAGGACATCATGGGCACCAACGCCGCCAACCCGGCCGCCATGATCCTGAGCGCCACCATGATGCTGCGTCACCTCGGCCTCGACACGCAGGCCAACCAGATCGCCGAGTCGGTCTACAAGGTCATCCAGGACGGCAAGGTGCGCACCGCCGACATGGGCGGCAAGTCCAAGACCCACGAGTTCACCCAGGCCGTGCTCTCCAACCTCTGATTCTGTCTAGATGCGCACGTCAGAACCAACGGGGAATCTCGAGTCTTTCAGACGCATCCCCAAAATCATACCGACGTCGATCTTGGGCGGGCGCTTGTCCGCACTGGACCGACAATGTACATCACATCTTTTTTACGACCGAGCCACACTTTATGCAAGCATGCCCGATTCCCAGCCAACGTAAGGAGCGAGAAAAAGTGAGTTGAGAGCAGAGGGCGATGCTATGCGGGTGCGGTCGCCAGTGCGCGGATGGAGGCGGTGGGGCGGGAGAAGGTTGGGTGCGGCAGGCAGTGCGGGAGGGGTGCGCGGAAACAACTCGGTTCGGCGTAGGCGTCGGATGGTGTGTTGCTTGTCGACGGCTCAAGCCGACTGTCGGGTGCGCAAGTGCGCGGCCCACTCGGCTCCGATGCGTCTGCGTGTTCTTCGAGGGGAAGCGCCTTGCCTAGCGTCCGGGATCGGTGGTGGGATCGCTTCGATTGACTTGATCTACGAGCGGGTCGTTCTTGTTGCAGAAGATCACGCTGCTGCCACGTCAATTCCACATGAGCCTGGCGTTCGGAATCGCCGAAGGGAGCTTGCTTTGTAGGAACGCTTGATGAACTCCTTCTCCTCTTGGTTCGCGGCTGATCCGAGCTGCGTCGCGCCCTGTTTGTGGATGAGCTGCATGTGTCAAGCGCCTCATCATGCTCGCGCGACGCTCCTCTTGGGCTCAGCCGCGCAGACGATCGAGTTGTCACTGCCATCCTTCTGTTGGAGAGATCGAGACCGGTGTCAAGAAGGCGAATTAGAAGGGCGAGGGTGGATAGTAGAAAGGGTTTCTGCTGCTCGGGCCGTGCGAGAGCTCGGAGCATCTCCTTGTTCAATCGTCGAGAAACGGCGGCTGCTACCGCTTCCCCGCAGCCTGGATGTTGGCAGTCGAGGCGAGTGCAGGAGCCCAACCACTGCCTGAATCTTCGACAGCCTTGCTACTGTACGCGCAAAAAAATGACAGGTCACCGCATCCCTCGACCTTCGTCCACTCTGGAAAGCAGCAAAAGTAGCCGCTCCCACTTCTTTCGCCAGCCAAGCTCGCACGACCACAATCCTCAGCATGTCCTTGCAGGGACGCAACCATCCCTGCTTCAATGTTCCCGTTGGGTCAGACTCGAGCGAGCCAGGAACCGACCTCCACTTCAGCCCGCCGTTGCCGAGCCTGCTGAGCCTGCTGAGCCTGCTGAGCCTGCTGAGCCTTCTGAGCCTGCTTCTCGGCGATTTTTTTTCTCTCCCAACTTGGGCTGGCTTCAGGGTCCGGCCGGCAATGAATTCGACGCCTGGCTGGAAGACGGCCGAAGCGGCGCGAAGACTTGTGCGAGGCTGCATCCCGGCCATCTGATCCTCATCTGGCTATGCTTCTCGCCACCATCTCTGGTCAACGACGAGCTGCATACAAGGAAGCTCAGGGTGCCATGAGCCGCAGCCACAAGTGCTCACCATGTCCGACGTGGCTTCCGCTTCCGATGCCTCCTATCGACACCGCCTGAGCCTCGCGCTGCACGCATCGCGCATCCTAACCGGCGCGCTCGACGACGAGCTGGGTATTCAGAAGGGCACAAAGACCACGAAACTCGGCGCTAGGCACAGGGAAGAGTACCAGGCGGTGCTGCATGCCACTCTCGCCGAGCGCGTGCGCAGCGCCATCGTGGCTTGGACTGAGCTCGAGGCCTTCCCGCTGCACCCAGACCCGGAAACGGCGACGGGAGATCTGGCGCTCCACCTCCTCTCGCACATCCACGCATGCTTGGTTGAGAAAAAGCGCGATGCTGCATCCAGAGTTGCTGTTGAGGATGATCAGCGTCGAGGTATCAAGTCAAAGGGCGTCCAGCCCAAGGAAGACGTCGGTCTCGGCGTCAAGGACGTCAAGCTCGTCACTACGCTCCAGTCGCTCGTATCAAGATGGGCGTTGAGCTCACGCATCAAAGCGTACGATCGAGCACTCTTCTCACTGTCTCCCAACAGCAAAGCCCAGATAAAGGCGCCTCCGCTCTCTTCGCAGAACCGATTCGAAGAGATCGACGACGAGCATGATGCGTCCAAGCGCCACGCCGCCGTACTCGGCTTCGAGACGGCACGCACAGATCTCGCCATCGAGATAGACGCCTTGATCGCCATATTGAACGACGTCGCAACTCCACACTCCACCGGCGGCCCTTCGTCGGCGCTGACTGACGTGGTCACGGTGGTGCTGCGCGTCGGCATCGTAGACTACCTCTCTTCCCTCCTGCGCCTGGGCTTCGGGCCGTTGCCTCCGACACTGCCAGATGCAACACCGCAGCCGCGCTCTGCATCTGTCAAGGACGCCATTCAGAAACGAGCCGCAGCGGCAACCAACCAGCTGCTGCGATTCTTGTCGACGCACTCGGCCATGTCGGCTCTCTCGTCGGTCATCTCGCATTCCGACGCCAAGCTAGGCGTGCCCTCTTTCGTCAAGGCCATCTCGTCGCGCCTGCTGAGTGCACAGCTGCTCAGGCCCGACGGCGTGCGCTCGCTCTTGATCATCACGTTCGGCACCGGCGATCTGACAGAGGCGGCCGAGCTCAATGCCGCCGATGCTCAGAGCACCACTCCGCATACAGGCACCCAGGAGCCCGGCTCCAACTCGCTCAAGCGCTTCGAGCAGTGCGCCCGGCTGCTTCTCACACCTCCGCACGGCATGCCCGTCGATGTGTACATGCCCATCATCCTGCCCAATCTACTCGACGTTCTCGCACCGCACCCGAATGCTTCCGTCAACCTCACGCCGCCGCCGCAAGAGCAGATGCGCGCCGCGGGCTTTGTCCTCACGCGCATCTCGGAACGCCATCCCGCGCTCTTTGCCAGTGCGCTGCAGGATCGCATCTATACACACTTCAGCCCGGCGCTTCCGGGCACCGCCGCAGCATCTGCGTCTGGTGGCACTGCAGACGCACAGGCCGAGTCGGTGGTCGTCACGTCGTCAGCCGAGTTGGAGCGTGCCGTGGCGACGCTCTCCAGCTTTCTGCTGTTTTCAGAACCGTCGCCGACGTTTTTCACCACGCTCTTCGATCCGGTCCTCCCGCAGCTTCTGACGCTCTACCACTTCCTGTGCACGCCGACGAGCGGGGCGGGTAAGGGCAAGGTGCGGTCCGTCGAGTCCGGCGGGCACAGAGACAATTTCAAGGTGGAAGTTGGTAACTTCTTGAAGACCTGGCTCCGGCTGGTGGATGCGCAACACGGAGCGGGCGCGCTCGTGCGTGCTATTCAGGCCGCCGAGGTCGGCATCGGCAGCCAGTCGCCAGACGCCCTCCAGGGTCGCAGCAGCGAAGACGCATCGCTGTTCTGGAGCGAGGAGACCGATGGCATCGCCATCCGATACGGACGAGCGCCCGAATCGGGCGAGCACGACTTGTCCGCTATGTGGAAGGATCTCAGCCTGGCGGCGCTGGCCAAGCAGATCAGCGCCGGCAGCAATGACGAGGTCGACTTGTCCAAGATCGCGCCGGACCTCGCGACCAAGCTGGGTCTGCATTTGGATCCGTGCGTAATGGCGCGCCTGCTCAAGACCGCAGAGCGCAAAGACCTGGCGAGGTTGACGCTGCCTTTGATCTTGAATATCTACATGGCGCAAAAGGCGGCGGCGCGAGCACGCATTGCTACGGCGGCGGGACCGCACTCCGAGACGCGCTCGGTGCTGTACCTGCAAATCATCCTGCAGCTCTTCGATGCGTTTGGCGCTGATCTGCTCCAGGGCGACACCCAGGCCACACTGGCGTTTATCGATTTTGCCCTGTCCAGCCCCAGCCAGCGCTCGATGACAGGCCAGTCCACCGCAGGATCGGCCAACACGGCAGAGACCAAGGCCGCAGCGGAAGAGTCGATGCCGTTCATCTCGGCAAAGCCACAGCAAGCACAGTCCGGCGTTGCGTCGCTGTTCAATGTGGCGGCGGAAGCTTCTGCTCGAGAGTCGTCCGCAGCGCAAGAAGACAAGACGCAGATGGCCGAAGACGAAGACGAGGCGGACGAGGACGAGGAGGAGCTCGTGACCACCGCGCTCAGCCTGCTGCTCTCGCTCCTGGAGGCCAACACGGCGGTGTCGACCGAGACGCAACCCATGCTCGTCGTGATTCTCGACAAGATCGATGCGCTGCTCGACAGTGGTTCGGACGAGGTGCGTGCGCTTGCCAAGGAGGCCAAGCTGGTTCTTCTCGCGAGACGCAACTCTGTGCGTGGCAGTGGACCATCCCTTGGGCCATCGCAAGCCAAACCGACGAGCGAGACTTCGGCCAAAGCGCTCGAATACGTCCAGGCGCAGGAGACCTACCAAGAGGCACTTAGGCTTTTGCAGGATCCGATCCTGCCTGTTCGCGCACACGGGCTGGTGCTGCTGCGGCGTCTCGTGTCGGACGACGCCAAGCAGGGCGGGCAGGCGGTGGCGCGCGTCGATCCGGCGCTGGTGCCTGCGATTCTCGACATCTTCCTGCACGCCGTGCAGGACGAAGAGTCGTACCTCTACCTCAATGCGGTGCAGGGGCTGTCGGCGCTTGCATCGAGCGGGGGTGGGCAGACGATCGCGCGGCTGGTGGGCATCTACATCGGGCGCGACGATGGCTTGGCCTCGCAGCGTCTGCCTGCACGCGAGGTGGAGAAGCGTCTGCGCGTCGGCGAGGCGCTGCTGCAGGTGGTCCAGCGATGCGCCGACGCTCTGCCCGCGCATGTGGATGCAGTCGTACCACCTCTACTAGCCAAACTGAGCGATCGAGCCCTGCCCAACGTCCTGCGCTCGTCCTTCATCTCGATCCTCGGCACTGTTGTCGAGGCCGCACCGCTGAGCATGGCAACCAAGGGATACGCGGCGCAGATGGCACAGATCTGCATCGACATTGTCGTGTTCGAGCTCGTCCATCGCCCCGCACCCTCCCAGCGTGGATCCGTCAAGCTCAACGTGCAGGGCAGGAAGGTCAGCGATGTAGATGACGATGAACAGGCTGAAAGGCGGGAGGTGGAGCAGCGGAAGCTGGATAGTGCCACGGTGGTGGACGCCAAGGTGGCGCACTTGAGGCGAGCTGCGATGCTGCTGCTGACGCTGCTCGTGCGCGGAACGAGCATCCAGCTCGAGACGGCCAACGAGGCTGATGGCCCTGCGCAGCTGGTGGAAAGGCTTTCCGCGCTGCGGCTGCCTGGTGGTGGAAGTTTGCCGTCGGTCGACCGTGGCGAACCGCAACCGGGCAGCGCGCACAAGGCCAGGCTGGGTGCGAGGGACCTGCTGTTTCCGGTCGGGCTGGCGACGCGTCTGCGCGAGGTGGCGGCCTACGCGGCTGCCAACGATACCGACATGGTTGTGCGMACGCACGCACACGACTGCGTCCAACTCGTCGATGCGCTTCAGCTCGACCTCGTCCACGCCGACCTCGTGCGCAATCGCTAGACGCCAGAAAAGAAAGAGGACTCAATTAGACATTCCCATGGTCAAAGTCTGCACAAATACAATGTAACGAAAGCAAAAGCCGGGCTACAGCTAGAGTTTGGGCTTGGTGATGCGAGCTGTGTCTAGGCGGTTTTGGCTCGGGGTGGGATCGAGCGGAGGCGCGAGAGGGAAGTCGGGTCTTTCGTCGTGCGGCTGTTGGAGCTCATCGTTGGTGCGCTGTGGATCGGGCGCCTTGAGGAACTGCATGCGCGGTTTGACCCTGAACTTCTTTACAGCCAGAGGGCTATTGAATGCGAGCGTGATGAGCTGGGCCTGCGTTGGTTGGCCGGGGCTATTGAGTGAGAACAGCGGTCTCTCCCCATACGCAATGGCCGCTGCCAGGATGAGGATGTCGGAAGTGAGGCCACGGATGGGATTGCGTTCGTCCCAGAACGTGTGTCTGCGCACGCGGTTGTTGTCGAGCCACAGGATGTCGCGGCAAGTATGCCAGTCCGAGATGGGCGACACCTCGTTTTCAGGCATGTATCGGAGTGCCTCTGGCTCGGGACTCGGTGGCAGATGCAACGAATGTCGCAGCGGTCGTGGAGGGTTGTGGTACAGGAACGAAACAAGCGGTAGCGAAAAGAGGCTATCCACCTCTTGCGGGTTGAGATGCGGCTGGATCGAGTGGTCGGTGAGCAGCATGACGAACGGCGTCACCACCAGCTCGTTGGCCGATAAAAACGGCGGCAGCTCGCAAAGCTTGACCGCTTTGGTCGGATCGATGGGCAGCCCCGTCTCCTCGAACGCCTCTCTGCGGGCGGTGAACTCGAGATCTCGATCTGTGGGCTCGAACCGTCCGCCCGGAATCGCGGTATCGCCACCATGCGATCTTAGCCTTGCAGAGCGCTTGGACAGAATCACATACAGCTCTCCGTTACGGCCTGCGAACAGCGCAAGGAGCACCGCCGCTCGTCGATACGCAGGTATCGCTGCGGGACACGGCTCCGAGCCGGGCTTGGCGCGGTAGTCGCACAGGTTCTGCAGCGCATGCACCGAATGCGAGGTGAGATTGGCGAGCACTTGGCGCGGCACCTGTGCCAAGGGTGAGGTCGATGCGGAGGTCGACGGCGTATTCGACTTGTCCGCGCCAAAGATGATGTTGTACAGCGCCGCTTTGACCGTCATGGCCAACAGCGAGCACGCAATGTGGCGCGCGAACGGTCCAGGTTGTGGTGCCTCTGTCCAAGGTGGGGGGTTCTACTTGTGTGCTGGGATGATGCAACGACGGTCTTGGTGTGCGAAGTGCGCGAGCTGGAGAGACAAAGCACTTGTGGGTGTGAGGAGGTGGGCAGGCGGAGGTGGTTGGTGGGGTAACCGTGCGAGGAGCCGGCTGTCCGCCCGACTTTCGATTCCAGCAGCAAAACTGCGCCGCCGTAGCCGGTTGTTTGCCGATCCGGGTTTGGAGCCTCTCGAGCGCCGGGGCCAATTTGTTTGACTTGCAGATCTGACATCTCTGAACAAATTCCCCTCCACAACTCTTTCGGAGATGCATCGCGCACGGCCAGTCTGTGGGCTGCCTCACTCCCACCATCGCGACATCATCCTTTGCCATCCCTTTTGCTGCAGCCTTGCGCCGCCTCGATAGCAGCGCCATGACCGAATCGCCTGCATCGTCGTCGCTCCAGACGCGGCTGACCACCACCTTCCCTCCAGCCGCGCTGCTCTCGCGAGAAGACCTCCAGGCGCTTGCTGCCGACGACTTCCACCCCCCGCCAGCCTCGTCTTCCCAGACCAGCGCCGACGCCATCTCGCCAGACCAGGCGTTCTTTGAGGCGTTCTTCCACAGCCTGCCTCAGACACAGGCGCTGTACCGTGCACACGCCGACCTTCTGCGCGCCAACGAGGCCAAGGCGCAACGCAACCTCGAACGCCAGGCGCCGCTGCACGAGCTGCGCAACGAGACGCTCGAGCTGTTCGAGCGCGCCAAGAAGCTCGAATCCGAGTGGGCGCAGCGCGAGGCACAGCTCTCCGAGGCGCACAAGCGCTTCAATCCGTCGGCGCTGCACTTCAACCTCACGCAGTCGGCGAGCAAGCTCAATGACCGCTCCGAGGAGCTCGCCAATGCCTTTGTCGAGGGCCTGCCGTATCCGACCGACGAATCGGGCACCGCACCAGAGGGTGTGCTTGACGATGCGGCGTTCGTGAGGAGGTACAAGCAGCAGAGGCTGTTGTTCCACAAGCGCAAGCTCGTTGCGGATCGGTGGGCGAGAAACCAGGTGCACTGGTCCGACTAATTGCGCCGACTTTCACCTCATCCTGCCTGGGACTTGCACCATCTCGGCCACATTGTACTTGTACCACACAGTCACCCTGCATCTGCAATCATGTTCTGCACGACTGCCGTCATTTGCGCTTCGCATTGGTACAACGCGGCGTGATCGGGCATGTTCGCGGCCAGGAGGTGGGTGGACTTGGGCGCACTTCATCTCGGACGCTTTTTTTTCTTTCATGGCGAATCAGGCGTGAGATGGGAGCGCTTCCGCAATCAACTCTGCGGGCGATGAGCTTGTGCCTATCAGATTAAGATCTGCGTTGCGGCGCATGCGCATATCATTGTTTAGGGGACGAAAACATTCCGAGACACCGCTGGGGGCGGTTCATGTTGCATGCGGAACGCGGATCTGGCGGCCTTGGCCCCGAGGGGCGCCATGGGTGAACAATGCCCACGCGCATGTCGCAGCCTCTCGCAATGCTCCGAGCTTCAAGCCCACCTTGAATCGAAGATCCGCCTGCCTGGTACCCAAGATATAAAAGCAAGCTGCTCGTTTGATTGACGGCGCCCTTCTGTCCGCATCCCTTGTCACGCGAAGCTACGGAGGAACTCGGTCATGAAGCTCGCACTGCTCAGTCTCTTGTCGCTTCTACTGCTGGGCGTATCTGCACAAGCGGCACCACTGCCTGTGCCATCTGTGCGTGCGCCCCGACTTCGGCTGACCAAGCGCGTGCCCGGTGCGACGAGTTCGACGCTCGAGGCAGCCGAGAAAGTGCTCTCCGCCATCCGCGAAAAGGGCCACCCGGAGAAGGCTGTCGAGGAGAGCGACTGGAAGCGACCGGTGATTCTGTCCATCGGCGTGGCAGGGTTGATGCAAACGGCCGGATGGAACTACGTTGCTGCCAAGTCGTTCAGCGACAATCGCAAGAAGTTCAACGATGCCAAGCGTAAAGCTGCCGAGTTGAAGGACAAGCCGCTGCCGAAGGTGGGCGATACGCTGTGCACCTTCGAGACGTACCGTACGCAGGACGAGGTAGAGAATCGCACGCCGAGCAAAGCTCAGGCGCCGTGCTTTCAAATCGCCACCGATGCTACAAGCGCGTCGCCAAACGTAGCCCCACCAACGACAGAAGATGTGGGCAAGCAAGCTCGTGCTCGGTCCGGTAAAACGGGGGGTTTGACGCGGCGTGGGCTGTCGCCCAACACGGTGACGCTTGGCGAGATGGTCAAAGACACCTCGACCAGCCTCGAGCATGTGCCATTCCTCTCGCATCCGGCGAGCTCTTCATCCAGCCGCCTGACCGAGCTGACGCGTCTTCATCGGCCCAACCTAGGCACGCTTGAAGAGCACGCGCGTCTCCTCTCGCCCGCCTCGCGCCATCTATCGCCTTCCAACAGCCTGGTTCGTCAACGCCTCGCTTCGCTACCGGGTTTTCCCGTGCTAACCCCCGTCGAGTCGCCCAAATCCGACCAAGGCGACCGTCTGTTGCGCGACTTTTCCTGGAAAAGCAGCCTCGATTCCAACAGTGTCGACGAGGCCACCTCCAAGCTCGCATCGCACAGATGGGGGTGGATCAAAAAGGCTAGAACCGCCCCAACCGAAGACCTCGTGTTCGCACTCACCATCCTCAACTCGATCGGCAGCATCCCAAGCCTCACACTCACCCTCATCAACGCCTACTACTACAGGGGCAATCCCAAAGTCGACTAAACCCGCCAATCTCCTGTCTTTTTTTCCATGCGTTTTGTACTGCATTGTTCTCGTGCCTTTTGTACAGATTTTTGGTTTGGTGTGCATCTAGTTGGCAAAGGCCTGGAGACCGGTGATGCCCTTGCCGAGGATGAGCGTGTGGATGATGTGCGAGCCCTCGTAGGTGTTGACGGTCTGCAGGTTCTGGACGTGGCGACCGCAGTGGTACTCGTCCGAGGTGGCGTTGCCACCAAAGATGTCGAGGAGGCTCCTCGAGTGCTGCAACGCCTTGCCGCAGTTGTTCCTCTTGGCGAGCGATACCATCTCGGGGCTCCAGGCGCCCTGGTCCTTCATGCGACCGAGCTGCAGACTGCAGAGCAGACCGAGCGCAGCTTCGGTCGAGGCGTCGGCGAGCTTCTGCTGGATGAGCTGGAAGCCGGCGATGGGGCGGCCGAACTGCGAACGGTCGAGCGCGTACTGACGGGCCTCCTCGATGCAGGCCTCGAGCGCGCCCATGGCGCCCCACGAGATGCCGTAGCGCGCCGAGTTGAGGCACTCGAACGGCGAGCCGAGACCGGGACGCGCGTGCGGGAGCAACGACTCGTCGCGCTTCACCTTGACGTCCTCCATGAAGATGGAGCCGGTGACCGAGGCACGCAGCTGAAGCTTGTTTTTGATGGCGGGCGCCGAGAGGCCCTTGGTGCCCTTTTCGACGATGAAGCCGCGGATCTTGTTGTCCCACTTGCACTTTGCCCAGATGACGAATACGTCTGCGTGGGGCGAGTTGGAGATCCAGGTCTTGCTGCCGTTGAGGATGATGTGGCCGTCGCCGGTGTCTGTGGCGGTGGTCTCCATGGAGCTGGGGTCGGAGCCGTGGTTGGGCTCGGTGAGACCGAAGCAGCCGACGAGCTCACCCTTGGCAAGTCGCGGCAGATACTTCTCCTTCTGCGCCTCGGTTCCGAACTGGTTGATGGGGCCCATGACGAGCGAGCTCTGGACGGACATGATGGAGCGGTAGCCCGAGTCGACGCGCTCGACCTCCCTGGCGATGAGGCCGTACGAGACGCTGTTGACGCCTGCACAGCCGTAGCCGTCGATGGTAGCGCCGAGCAAGCCGAGCTCGCCGAGCGAAGGGAGGATGGTGGGATCCCAAGACTCGTTGCGGTACATCTCGGTGACCTTGGGCTTGAGCGTCTCCTGGCAGAAATCGTGTGCGGTCTGGGCGATGGCCTTTTCGTCCTCGGAGAGCTGGGACTCGAACATGGCCATGGGGTCTTCCCAGTTGAACTTGCTAAACTTGGTCATCTTGTACTGCTCGGGCGCCGTGTCGGGCGTGGTTCCGTAGGTGCGCGACGACGATGGGAGCGACGAAGACGACGAGGACGAGGCGGCGGTGGCTACAGCCGCGGCGTGCGAGCCGGTGGCTGCAGCGCGGCGCAGAGCGGGGAGAGCGTTGCGAAGCATCGTTGTGTGTTGGGTGGGACGGGGATGAGGATTGTTCGGAAGGAACGGTGGTGGGACGAGAAGACGAGAGTTGAGAATATATCGGATCTGCAGCAGCTCGAGCGAGCGTTGGCAGGCAGATGCTTGCTTTGCGGGGAGCCGGGATTCGATTCGTGGGCAGACTGGAAGTGTGGCGTGGCGAGCAGTCGGTCAGGCTGCAGTCCTACCTCGCCGTGCAGCATCAGCAGGCTTTCTTGGTTTCGGCCAAACGAGCGTGGTGGCCACGCTTTGCCGGTCCACCGATGAGATGCACTTTGAGCCGGACGTCGCCCAAAGCCGCGCAAATTACCCAATTTGGCCGCACCCGCGCCTGGCGCGCTTCTGGCGTCGGCCATCCGCCCCGATTTGGCAGCATCTTGCATCGGAGCTTTCGCAGCTCACGACCGATCCCCGCTCTTGTCCCCGCACCGACGCATCTCGACACCGCCTTTGCCTCCCTGGCCACTGACGTCCTGTCTGCCTCTTGAGCGCAATATAAGCAGCATACACGGCACAGCAGAACGTGTGCTAGTAGCACAGCGGCGCCGATCTAGAGACAAGCAGTCCGTAGGGAGTGGCTTGGGAGGTGTCGGCCGCATAATGTTAGGCCGATGTAACTTGTCGATGGCGACGTTTATTTCCGCATGTTTGCGGCCTTTGTGGCGAGATTGGCTGCGGGGTTAACTTCGGACGCAGCCGAAACGTCCGAACACCTGCCGGCGCGCTTACGCTTTCGAAAGAAACAAAAAAAAAAAAAAAGACAGCATAAATTTGTGGGCGCAAATTAACGACCAAAAATACAGGCGAAGCAGATGCATACGAAAACAGCTCCCGATTACCCCGCCGATTGCCGACAGCAGGCAAAGCATCGGGCCCATCCATCATCTCGAGGGCCGCACCGGAGGGCCGCCAGTCAGGCCGCCGCCGGACCCGCCCCACTCGGCAGCGGCAATCCTGCCCACCAATCGATACACTGGAATCGACCAGACGCACACGACGAGCAGCGCACACACTTGCAGCTGCGTCATCTCTCGCGTGCCAGGCGGCTCGATGCTGTCTACGTCCCAGTCCAGCCTCCCGCCAGGCAGCTTGGGCCGGTGCAGCGTATCGTACCGGTGCTTGTGCCACGCGCGTAAGCTGAGCGCATGGCTACGCATCAGCCAGACGTGCGAAGATAGAGGAAGTAGGATCAGGGACACGAGTGCCTCCAGTGCTCCCGATCGCGAGCCGGCGCTGCTCGTGGTCGCGAAAGGCCATTCGGATCGCGAGATCGCGCGGTAGTGCAGTGCGACCGCAGCCAAGCTCGGCAGCAACGGGCTCAGTGGCACATTGTCGAGAACGACGACAAGCACCTGCACGATTGCCGTCAAGGCGAGCGCGCGCAGGCCCAGCACGCGAGCGCGGACGGCGTGCGTCTCGATGTAGTGCGAGAGCGAGTGCAGGCCCAGCGCCAGGCACACCAGCCCCACTGCACCTGCGCCTACTACGAAGGAGGCGGTGAGCAGGCTCAGGATCATGGCCAGCTGAGCATGGTTCGTGTGAGCGCCGGTGGAAAGCCTTGCGGAGAAGCCTTGCGCAGGGTGGAACTTACGAGTGGAGGAACGCGCGACTTCCGACATCCGAGTCTGCAGCCACCTTTCGAGATTTTTTTCGGCGAGAAAGCCTCTCTGCGCGTGGCAAGCGAAAGAGAAAGCCAAACCCTGACCCCGCCTTCGACTTCTTACACTCACACACGCACAACATGCCGCCAGCAGCGACAGGCGCATCGTCCAGCGCAACCTCATCCACAATGGCATCCTCCAAGGCATCCACCTCGGCTGTAGAGGAGATCGCCAAGAGCGCATCAGAACCACCCAAGCACACCTCCTTCTCGTCCATCGGCATCTCGCCCATGCTAATCCGCAGTCTCGCATCGCTGCAGATCAAGGTGCCCACCCCGATTCAGAGCCTCACCATCCCATCAGTACTCGAGGGACGCGACCTCGTCGGTGGCGCTCAGACCGGTTCCGGCAAGACGCTCTGCTTTGCGCTGCCCATCCTCAACCGACTCATCAAGGACATGGTCGGCGGCTTCGCTGTCATCCTCACACCCACACGAGAGCTCGGCGTTCAGCTGCATGAGCAATTCGTCGCAGTGGGCGAGGGCGCACGCATGGGTCTTCGCTGCGCGCTCGTGCTCGGTGGCATGGACATGATGAAGCAAGCATCCGAGCTCGCCAGCATGCGACCGCATGTCATCGTGGCCACGCCCGGTCGTCTCGTCGACCATCTGCGCAGCGGAGGTGGCGAGGAGTGGGGACTCCGACGCTGCCGATTCCTCGTGCTCGACGAAGCAGACCGACTGCTCACAGACACGTTCAAGCCCGAGCTCGACTACCTCTACTCGGTGCTGCCGTCGCCAAAGACGCTGCAGACGTTGCTCTTCACCGCAACGCTCACGCCAGAGGTGGAGGAGTTTGCCAAAAGCAAACGGCCCGAGGGTAAGCTGGCGCCGATGGTGTGCAAGATCGAGATGGACACCAAGACACCCGAGACGCTCGAGCAGCGGTACGTGTTTGTGCCGTCGCACATCCGCGAGCCGTACCTGTACCACATTATGCGCCACCCGCCCATCAAGCCGTCCTCGGAGCGCGTGCGCAAGCTCAAGGCGAAGCGCGAGGCCGAGCGTGAACGACGCGCCGAGAACGACCGCAAGAAGGGCAAGCGTCCGCGCGCCCACCACGGCTCGGACTCGGAAGACAGCGACGACGAGGGCGCAGCACTCTTTCTCCCGGCCACCATCATCTTCACCGCACGCTGCAAGACCGCCGCCACGCTATCGGGCATGCTGAGCGAGTTGGGCATCCCCAATGTGTCGCTGCACTCGCATCTGCGCCAGTCGGAACGCAGCGACAACCTGCAGGCCTTCCGTGCGCAGCGCGTGCCCGTGCTCATCGCCACCGACGTAGGCTCGCGCGGTCTCGACATTCCCGACGTCGAGATGGTCGTCAACTGGGATCTGCCCTCGGCATGGCAGGACTACGTGCACCGCGTGGGTCGTACGGCGAGAAATGGCAAGCGCGGCTTTGCCATCTCGTTCATCACCGAGCGCGATATCGACGTGGTGCACTCGATCGAGGCCAAGATCAACACCAAGCTCACCGAGCTCGAGGGCATCGCAGACGAAGACAAGATCCTCGAGAAGCTCAACACCGTCGCAACAGCAAAGCGCGTAGCCACCATGGCCATGCACGACGCAAAATTCGGCGAGCGCCAGCAGCGCAACTACGAAAAGAAGCTCGCCAAACAAAAGGCAGACAAGCGCGCTGCCAAGGCCGCGCGCAAAGACAACTCCAGCGCTTGATCCCATTATCACTCCATATGTATTTGTACGCAACCATACCAGCAATCGCATCATCGAAGCCACCTGGTCCAGCGTACTGTGTGCAGCAAATGTGGTGGGTCGGCTCAAAGGTACGGTGAAGTAGGCTAGAAAAAATCAAAAAAAAGAAGCGTCCGGACAGCCGGAATCGAACCGGCGACCTATGGTGCTTTTCCGTTAATGCCGGATTAGGGTTTCCAATTACAAACCATCGCTACTTCCAACTGAGCTATGTCCGGCTTTATGCACATGCAGCTACGAGTTGCAATTATATACAAGCTGCATTCTCAGCCACTGCGGCTTACTGTTTCGGGGCTCGCAACGCATGGCCTTGACGGCGCAAAGATACCGCCGGCACCCATCGCTCGTCATGCCAGTGGTAGCGAAGCGAGGTGTGCATTGCGAGCTTGATTGCACAGCCGAAAGGGCGCGGCTGTGACGGATCCAACGGAAAGCGAGGCCGTGCAGACTGGGAGTCACGCCAAACAAAAGGAGGGTTGCATGACGCGCGTGTGCATCAGTCGCGCCGTCGAGTCATCTTTGTATCGTCGGCTCCCTCGTGTCTCGCTTGCCGCTACATTCCCCACGCCTCTCCCACAACCGGCAACAGAGTCACATCGAGCAGCACGCTGCTTCGTCAAGACGTGACTGTCCTTCGGGATCACGATGGCTTTGGCGGCGCAGCATCGGCATCTCATTCAACGCCGAGTCGCCTATGTCCGTCTTTCGTCTTTCGTCGCTACCTCCGTCCTGACTGACAGATTTTGAGATGCGATGCCGTCTTCGCTCGACGCTTGTGACCACGATCATGCTGTCCGACGCTCTTCTGTGGCTGTGTTGATAGGCATGCTACGGGATGCGAGGAGGGTTGGATCGGCAAAGATAAGAGGCGGCGAAGACCAAGGAGCCGAAGCGAGGTGGCACGAGGTGGCGATGCGAGAGGGGCTGGGTCGAGCTCCGCGGGAAGCACGACGATCGTCGACGCACGCGCGGGAGCAGCTGTCACAGCATGCCGGTGGACAGCTTGGACCCTGCGTCGCCGTGGTCGCCACGTCCACGGGCCACCACCAAAATTGCAATCTCGGCTGAGTTGGCGGCGTGTGCCTGAGCGGGAGTGGGATTTTTCTGTCTCCGCCAACCGGTCAAGCCACACGCACCCCTCACGTTGCGGGATCACGATGATCAGAGTGGTCTTGGCAGTATGCGAAGCCCAGCTGTGCTATCGCCATGCGCAGCCAAGAGTGCGTGTACTTGCGCGCCTAACAATGTCGGCACGCGATCAGGGTCTCGCCAGGGATGGTGATGGGTACGGCGTGCGTAGTATCCCACCGGACCTCGGCAAAGCTTTCTTTCAGGCGACGTTCTCGAAGGCTGTTCGGGGGCTATGGCGAGGAGTGGAAGCGAGGAGAGCGAGGGACGGACTCGGTGAAGGAAGGCGTGAGAGCACGGCGGAGTGGGTGTACCTGCAAACCGCAGCGCCAGGTCCGCGGTAATTCGCTCGCGCTACGCGACGGCTGCGCATAAGGCCCATGTGGGCGTGGTGCATTGACAGCACCGGCCTCAGCCATGTCCGTCTGATGCGACGGATGGTGACTCGTGCCCGACTCGCTCATGACGTGCAGTTGTCCGTGACTCCATCCCGCGGAAAAGGGTCTCAGGCTGTGCTTGTCCGCTAGTGGCTGTCGATATCGCACGCTCCTCCCCGTGCCTGCTGGAATGCCATACTCAGCCAGTCGCGATCATCCGCGCGTCTACACTGGTCTCACAGCATGATCCTATGAGCGCTCAGTCGATCATCACCCGCTGCGCCACTTGCCATCAACACCTATAAAACCTGGCCCTCCTCATGGTCGTCCTCTCGCCCTTTTCCCCTCAACTCACAGTTTCCACATAAAGTCTCCAACACTTTCAAACTGACTACCACCGCACGCACAAGCTCTTCCAGCGCCACGACTTTTATGCACCCGCTTTTCAGCTCATCCTCCACCCCCAAAACCACAATGTTCAAGCTCTTCCGCAAGACCAAGACCACCACCGCCGCTTCGGTCATGGAGCACGCCAACGGTTCCGAGACGACGCTCGTCAGCACGGCAGCCCCCAAGCGCAAGACGCGACGCGAGTACGAGCCGTACCAGGCTGAGTTCTCCGGTCTCTCTTCCCTCGGCGGCATGCCTTCGCTCGGTGGACACATGTTCATGGAGCCCCCCTCGCCCACCAAGTCGAGCCGCAAGGCTCAGCTCAACATGGTTCCTGCGCAGCCGTTCGAGCGATCCCCGCGCGCAAGCGTTGTTCAAGCACGCCTAGAGACCGTCCAGGGTATGTTCCAGCCCGCTCGTCCTCGCTCCTGAGCAGACGAGCACCAAATCATCTTGAAGAAAAAACCATCAATGGCAAGCAGGCACGCGCGCTTTGGTGGGAGGGAATCAAGGTACAGTGAAGACGACCACCTTGATTTCCGCTGTTCTTCAGTTTCTCGACGAGTGGTGCGGAATGACTGACGATTGTTTGGTGGGTTGGGGACTCCATGCACTTTTTTTTAACAGGACGTGGCTCTATGGACACTCTCACTCCTACTGCATCGACGAGCTCGACGAGCTCGGAATCGACCCAGCGCAAGCTCAAGAAGCAGCATAAGACGTTCTTCAACAACGCGTTTGGCAACACCTGAGCAACCAAGCTGCTTTGGTCTCAGCCCCCTGTTTATTGAAGTTTTATGGTCTCACCCTCACCGCCCGCGCGCGTCGGCCATCGTGCTGCCGACCGCGTCACCACTGCAGTTCATGCTCCGATGTGATCAGCTCATCGCCACGCTTACGCTAGCGACCTCGTCTCACATTGTCAAGAGCAGCACCTCGTGCCAGAACTGCGCCGACACATCAGCGAACAATCTCCAGCTGCGAACATCCCGCCTGGCCCATAACGCATGTTGTCCCCCCCTGATCCTGGTTCTGTCTTCCATCATGGCCATCCGCCACTTTTCTCAGATGTATTCTCCTCTTGTTGTGCGTCTGATGGAAATCCACAGAATCTGGTCCATTCTCGCTTTGCTTGCGATTGTACTTTTAGAGGCTGATGGATTAAAGGGCTGAATCGACCATGTCGACATCGTCGTCGCGCAGCGCCGGTTGTACAGGCGGAGTCGTGGGTGGCGACGAAGCGATGTATGCTGATGTTGGACTCTCGTTGACTTGCTCGACCGGACGATCTGCGCTTGAATCCTCGAACTTCACCATTGGAACCGTGGCGAGCGCCGACACGGACGCATCCTCGTCCATGTGTGCGTCGTGCTGGTCCGTGATGGTGGTATCCGCCTCCGTGGCGTCAGGCTCGTGCTCTGGGTGCGGAGAGCTTGCGGCCGAGTTGCGCGCGAGTGCGGCGGCGTGCTTCTTCTTTGCGGCTGCATAGCGTTCTTTTGCTGCATGGTTGCGCTTCTCCCTCTCCTCGGCCTGCTTGGCAGCGGCAGCCTGGGCTCTCGCCTCGTCCTGCATGTCGTACTGCCACATCTCGGCCAGATGCTCCTCGAACCGCGCCGCTAGGGGCTTCCACTTCGCCACCCCCTCTGACTCTTCCATCTTCTCCCATCCTGGACCCGCTGATGATGCATTCTCCAGTGCGGCTTCGATGTCCGCGGGGGGCGGGAACTTGAATCCGTGCTCGCCAGTGATGAGCCGCGCGCGTGCACCGCCGTAGCACGAGACAAAGGGAAAGTAGCCGAGCGCGCCGTCGTCAAATACGTTTTCGCGCGCGCGGATGTTGATCACTGGCTCGGCGGGCTCGGGTTTCTTGGGATCCTGCTTGGCCGCGCGTCCGGTGGGCTTGAGGGTCGCAGGCCTGAGGTTGGAGAATCCCTTGACGCGGAGAGGCCGGAAGTCGAAGAGGTCGCGAAAAGCGATGCCCTGCGGGACGCCGTTGACGACAAAGCCGATCTTGGAGCCGGCGATGCGCGGTACGGGACGCAGCGAGGGGGTTGCAGGCCCGGACGGTTTGTCCTTGGCAGCCGTGGTCTTGCGGTTCTTGACCTTGGCCGAACCACTCGCTCCACCGGACGCACCAGCACCGTTGACCGCAGCCGCCGCGGAGGCACCATTGACAGCCTCCGAGGAGGCGGAATTGGTGGGGTCGAGGGGTTCAAACACGCCCGTGCCCTGGATACCCTGGTGTGCTTCTTCGATGCTGTTGCCTTTGCGACTGCGTTCCATGAGCTGATCCATCTCGCGCGTGCGCGGATACTCGAGGCTCTCAAAGTAGAGCTGGCCCTTGTACCGGATGGGGATGCGTTCGCGGCGGATGTTGGCCGGGTCATTCTCGTCCTGAGGCGGTGCCGGCTGGGGCAGCTTGATATACATGCCGACCACATCGCCCGCCTTGAAGGGCTGGCCGTACGGCAGAGGCCTGGAGAGCGTGACCTTGTCGCCGGTCTTGTCGCGGAAGCCGTACGAGTAGCCGTCGAAGCCGACGGGCGCGTTGAGCGGCGCTTCGCGGCGTGCCCAGCCGAGACGGACGTGCGAGCCATCCTTCATGGGCGCAGGCAGCGGACCAGGGGCGCCGACGCCCGGAGCGAGGTGCTCCGGTGGCAGGATCTCGATTTCAGCATACCACTCTCCCTGGCGCACGCCGATGTTGGTGCGTGCGCCGCGGAAGCCCTTGTCGGTCGAGACAATGTCGGCAGCAGCCGAGATCTTTGTGAAAGGGGAGCGATCGGACCAGCACCAGTGCACGGTGGCGGGCAGCGTCTCGAGCGTCTTGAAGAGCGTGTGCGGCAGGTGCTGGCTGGCGGGACCTGCGGCAGTATAGCGCCATCCGTTGCGATTGACGGCAAAGTTGACTGTGTTGTACAAGGTGGAAGAGCCGACGGTGGGAGCGAGGTGCGGCGCGGGGGCAAAGTCCTCGGCATCGTTCTTGCGCAGAGCAGGACCGCGATAGCCCTGGGGCAAGGTGTGATTCGACTGATTGGATGCGGTCGGGGTGGAAGCGGTGCCGTCCGGTGTGGAGCGTCCCTCTTCGTCCGATGGGCTGGAGCGTCCAGAGGGTGGAAGCGAAGGCGTTCTGGAGGCTGGCTGTGCTGGTGGCCGGCCCAAAAGATGAGGCGCGGTGCGAGCGATGTAGACCTTTTGTGCCTCGGAGGTGGAAGCGGGCGCCGGTGTGGACGAGGCGGAGCGCTCGGGGAAAGGGGACGAGGATGGCGGGGGCGGCGAGGAAGGATGCGGAGCTGGCGACGAGGGCTCGCTGGGTATGGGGTACGAGTCGGCGTTGTGCTGGGTCAGATGGTCGTACTTGCGCTTATGAGGTGCACCGGGCGCGTCGAGGTGTTGAGGCGCATTGCCGCTGCCGCCAGCGCCGTCCGCTTGAGGAAGATCAGGCGGCAGCGGTGGAGTAGGCGCCCGTGGGCTGTCTATGTCCATGGCATGAGCGCGGGCCGTGGCAAAGGATGCGATGGATGTGAAAGCAAGGTGGGTGTGTGCTGTCCGCTTCTCCACCTCTTCTTCCAGGTAAGTTAGTCCAACAGCCGCGGACAGACGCTCCACGTGACGGCCAGCTCCGCGCTCTGCTGCCTCACTTTTTGGGTTGTCAGCTGGAGAAAAGCGCGTCGCATCGCGCATTATTGGCGACCCGGTGCGAAATTTCGGGCGCTGTTGTGCGCTTTCAACTTTTGGGCTGTGGGCGAAGCGCGGAGAGTGTTACTTTCGCAGCAGCAGAGACCAACACCACCTTTCGCTCTTACCCACCATCCATCATTCATCTGATCACACACTTCTTACAACATGGACGCACAACGCTTGCCGCCTCCCGAAACACCACGTCGACAGCTGCTCAAACGCATTCACCGCAGGAGCTCCATCCTCCCTTCCGCCGATCCATCGGTCCACCTCGCCCCCTCGACCTCCGCATCCACCTCCACCTCCCGCTCCAACTCCCGACGCGCATCGCTCAACACAGCAGGCACCTCGCCTCTACTCAACAGCGCAGCACTCGAACGCCACGACGAGGCAGACGAGGATCATGACCAAGCGGATAGCACCCATGACGCCAGGCCCGCAACTGCCATTCCTGACCATGACCAGGGCGACATTTACATCGACGCCAGCCACTACGGCGTGCACACCGACATGCAAGACCACAAAGATGCAGACGAGAACGGCGAGGAGGCAGCATGGGCGCAGGTGGATGAGCTCATGGACACGGTCCAGCTCAAGAACCAGCGCATCCTTCAGCTCGAAAAGGAGCTAGCCCAGTGTCAACGCGACCTGCAAGCCGAGAAGGATCGCATCAAGCCATCCTCGAAGGCAGGCAATGCCAACGCTGGACAAGAAAAGGGACTCACACGTGCGGCGGCGGTCAAGCTCGAACGCGAGTTCCTCTCGCAGGAGATGATCCTCAAGGGTCTGCAGCGCGATAACGAGGACAAGACGCTCGAAGTCGAGGCGCTCCGACGCAAGCTCAAGCTCATGTCCGACTTCCTCTCGCGCCAGTATGGCCCCGACGACTGGGAAGCAGTGGTTCAGGCATCTTCTGGACTTGCCGCTGCAACCAGCTCTGGCGCCAAGGAGTCCACGGTGGCTGCGAGTCCCGACAAGGAGAGCCTGAGCGCAGTAGCTCGGTTGCTCGGCGCTGCGAACGCGGCAAGTCCACGCGGTGCAAATCGTGCCATCTTCACTCCGCTTCTCGGCAGCGACGCCATGGCCAATCCTTTCTCGCCCATGGCTGCAAGCCCAACAAAGACGGGCGCGGCCATCAACAACGACGACGAGCTCATCCCCACCATTGCGCGGCTGCACACACCCGCCTCGAGCCCCAGCAAGATGTTCGTCTCCTCGTTCGCCCGGCCTCGCACCTCGCTCGACAACGCCAACGACGAGCTGGCCAACGAAACGACGGAACAGGTTCGGCAAGAAGAGATTTCCTCGCCGCACCCGAACCTGGAAGCCACGGCATGTGCGAACCTGAGTGTGAAGAACACTGCTGGACCGAATGAACTACCAGCTGGAATCGATCGCAACATGCTGCTCGCTTCGATCGAGAGCGTGCGTCTGCTCATCCAGGGCTTCGAGCGCAAGAACGCAATGCGCAGGGCAGAGCTGGAAGCTACGATCGACAATGCGCTCCAGGCCGAGCGCAGAGCCGAACGGCTGCAGGCCGAGGCAGCAGCGCTCACCACTCCTACTCCCGCAGTCATCTAGACCTCGCGTGCTTGCATTCCATATATCCTCACGTGCCTACTCGCTATCTGCTGTCGATGCTGTTGACAATTCATACCCCGTGCCGTTGCTGTGCTTAGCCCTGTTCCTTTGCCAGGTGCGTGGTCGCCGCGAGTCAACGCTTCCAAGGTGCACCTTCCTAACTAAACGGGAATATATATACAATAGAAGCCCTAACCAATATCTAAGGCAAGATGGCCGAGTGGTCTAAGGCGTAGCATTAAGGAAGATATCCTGAGTACTCAGGAAGTGACCTGCTATCTTCGGGCGTGGGTTCGAATCCCACTCTTGTCACCATTCTATTTTTGTCGCTTTTTGTCGTCATTACCCAGCAACCTCCTTATTCGCTCTTTGGCCTGTTTAGACCATGAGCAGGATGCAAAGTGAAGCGAAAATTGTGCTTGGAGCAAGCGGTAATGGTCGGGAGAATGAGGTGGGCACACTGTAGGGAGGGGAGCGGCAATATCGCGATGGAGCGGCCCCTACGACAAGACAAGGTGCAAGAGGGTGAATGCTGATATGATTCGGATACAAGTACATGGAGAGAGCGACGGGGCTCGGTCGGAGCGGGGAAGAGGCTGTGTGGCCGGTTGGGTCAAGGGATGGCGAGCAAGGGGGATACGAGCAAGACAGATTTAGTCGCGGTTGGTTTGGACGAGCCTCCTATCTTCCTCCTGCTGTTCCTTGATCCTTCTCTTCGTGAGCATGTCGCCGATGACGGAACGGTAGTAGGTGCCATCGAAACCCTCTGCTCCCATCCTCTGATACTCGGGCAGACCGAATTTGCCCTTCCTCGATACACCGCCTTCGCTGGCTGGTCCTGCAAACACGTAGGGTCGCAACTGAACGCTCGCCAAACAGGAATAGTCAGCCTCTGTGGTATACTTTACGGAATCACCTCGAGGGTGTGGATCGTACCTTTGTTTGTGCAAGGCCGGGGGGTACGACGTAGTTGGGCAGACGAGCTTCGTCGATGCGCTTGGTCTTGAGGTGCCAGTATCGCTCGTTGCCGTTCTTGTCGTACAGCTGGTTGCCCTGCGGATCGGCAGTAGCAATGCGCTTGCGACGCATGATGTTGCCCGTGCGCGTGCCCTTGTAAAAGTCGCGATTCGCCTTCTTGGAGTTGAGCGGAAGTCGGCTCGCCTTGGAGCAGGCGACCTGGGTTGGCTTGAACATGGTGCCGCGTTAGAAGCTCGAAGAAATCTGCGATCGGGTTGGTGTGCGAGCGTGTAGTTGCGGGCCCGGCGTGGCAGATCAATATGCTTAGCAGGCAGGTCAGCTGCGACGTGTTTGTCGGATCGAGTCACTGTGAGACCGAGTGTCAATGTCTGTGTCGAGAGATGGTGGTGTCGGCGGCAGCAAGAAGAAGTGGCCCAAAGACAAAAAAAGTGCCAAGTCGAGTCGGCGCGCCTCGGAGCCGGTCAGCAGGGCCCTTGCATCAGGTCGACTTGTTCTATTTGTTAGACCGAAAGCTTCACTTCTGTCGATGATTTGACCGCCACCTCTGCAAACGTGCGTCATGTGGCGGCGAAGCGCCTGATCGGGCCGACTTGCACGCAGTGGCCACACAGGATGGGGCGCATCGGCAACGACTCTTTGAATTTTTTTTGGAAGCGAAGAAACACGACCCACAATTTCGAAAATTTTCTCAGGGAGAGCGGCGCGCCTGGCACGAGCCAAGTGTGGGAGGCGCTGCTGCTGCGTGTGCGCCAGAAGTCGCAGTGGCACTCGCTCAGCCGCCAACAACTGTCAAAAATTTCGCACTTGCACAAATCGATCTGCCTGGTCGGCAACGCTCGAACCACAGCCAAGCAGCCCAGCCTGCTCAGCCCGCCTTTCGATTGACTGCTCAGCAGGCACAGCTGCAATTCCAACCACTTCACTCGGCAGCAGAGGGCCAACCACCACCTCCTTCTCCCCCACCGTCTTATCCTGCAGCTGCGACATCTCGTCTTCCACTGCACACTCCCCCCTTCTCGACGACTTGACAAGCCACTCCTTTTCCTTGAACGGACAAGCAGGCTTGCCCCATCGACGTCGACTGCACCGCGGATTTATTGAGGTTACTTCTGCGTCGTTTCCTCCTCCGTGAACCCATCCACGACTCCTTTAAGGCGCACTTTTTTGCTTTGCTGCGCATCCCTTCGCATCGTCTGCATTCCATCCTAGTCGTCTAGCTTCGCCACCATGCCTCCCGTCTCTGCTTCCAAGGCCAAACGTCAGGCGTAAGTCTCCATTCCTGCCGCCTTGCCGGCCGTTCCCAGCTATGACCATGAATAGCAGTACTGACCCCAGCTCTCACTTCCTCCATCCAACAGCGAAAAGGCCGCCAAGGCCGCTGCCAAGGGCGAAAAGTCGTCCAAGTCCTCCTCCAAGTCCGGCACCACCAACGGCACCTCGGAGACGCCCATGACCAACGTCTCGGCCAACACCTCGGTCGAGGAGCTCAACATGAAGAAGCTCGCCATCGCCACTGAGCGTAACGCCTCGGGTGTCCTCACCTCGGACAAGCAGAGCCGCGACATCCACATCGACAACTTCACCATGTCCTTCCACGGCCGTCTGCTCATCGACACCGCCACCATCAACCTCAACTACGGCCAGCGCTACGGTCTCCTCGGCGACAACGGCTCCGGAAAGACCACCTTCCTCGCCGCACTCGCCGGCCGCGACGTCGAGATCCCCGAGCACATTGACATCCACCTCGTCTCCGGTGAGGCCGAGCCCTCCGAGGTGAACGCCGTCGACTACATTGTCGCCTCCGCCAAGGAGAAGGTGGCCAAGCTCGAAAAAGAGATCGAGGACCTCTCGGTCGCCGACGAGATCGACGAGGTCACGCTCGAGCTCAAGTACGAGGAGCTCGAGGAGCTCGACCCCAGCACCTTTGAGACCAAGGCCGGCATGATCCTCCACGGTCTCGGATTCTCGCCCGAGATGATGAAGAAGCCCACCAAGGACATGTCTGGTGGTTGGAGGATGCGCGTGACGCTCGCCAAGGCGCTCTTCATCAAGCCCCATCTGCTGCTGCTCGACGAGCCCACCAACCATCTCGACCTCGAAGCCGTCGTGTGGCTCGAGGCGTACCTCTCCACCTACAACCACATCCTCGTGCTCACGTCGCATTCGGCCGACTTTATGGACTCGGTGTGCACCAACATCCTCGACCTCACGCCGCAGAAGAAGTTCCTGACGTACGGTGGTAACTACTCGACCTACGTGCGCACCAAGGAGGAGAACGAGACGAACCAGATGAAGGCGTACGCCAAGCAGCAGGAGGAGATCGCGCACATCAAGAAGTTCATCGCCTCGGCGGGTACGTACGCCAACCTGGTGAAGCAGGCCAAGTCGAAGCAGAAGATCATCGACAAGATGGAGGCGGCGGGCCTGATCGAGGCCGTGTGGCAGCCCAAGCCGCTGCGCTTCAACTTTGAGGACGTGCGCAAGATGCCGCCGCCCATCATTGCGTTCAGCGACGTCGCCTTCTCGTACAGCGGCAAGAAGGAGGACTTCCTCTACAAGGACCTCAGCTTCGGCATCGACATGGACTCGCGCGTGGCCATTGTGGGCCAGAACGGCACGGGCAAGTCGACGCTGCTCAACCTCATCACGGGCGCGCTCAACCCGGTCGAGGGCACGGTGCAGCGCCACGCGGGTCTGAAGCTGGGCAAGTACTCGCAGCACTCTGCGGACCAGCTGCCGTACGACAAGTCGCCGCTGGAGTACATGGAGAGCAAGTACAAGGACAAGTTCCCCGAAAAGGAGATCCAGTTCTGGCGTGCGCAGCTCGGCCGATTCGGTCTCTCGGGCGCGCACCAGACGTCGCCGATCCGCACGCTCTCGGACGGACTGCGCAACCGCGTGGTGTTCTCGCAGCTGGCCATGGAGCAGCCGCACATCCTGCTGCTCGACGAGCCGACGAACCATCTCGACATGGGCTCCATCGATGCGCTCGCCCAGGCGATCAAGGAGTTCGAGGGCGGCGTGGTGATCGTGTCGCACGACTTTAGGCTCATCAGCCAGGTGGCGCAGGACCTGTGGGAGGTCAAGGACCGCAAGATCGTCAACCTCTCCACGCAGGACGTCTCGATCCAGGACTACAAGAAGAAGCTCGCAAAGAACTCGGCCGAGGCCATCGAGCGTGCCAAGCTCTTTGCCAAGGGTAAGGCGTAATCGTCTTTCTTTGCTTTCTCCCCCCAAAAGGTCGTCTGTTTAGCATGTTCATGTGTAGCTATGTGACCCCCTCCCCTTTCCCGAGTGCTGTTCAGTTTTGTTGGTTTCGGATTTCACTTTGTAATCTGCGTTGCTCTTCATTGCTGCTGCTGTGTGTGAACTCGGAGACAAAGATATGAGAGACAGGAATTCTATCTTTGGCCGATGCATTCTGGGCCGAGGATGGCCATGTCTACCCAGCGTTCGACGAGGTCGCATACGCCTGGGTAGCCTACGGCTGGTGGCGAGTGTTGTGGATGGGCCGAGTTGGATGGTGGAGGCGATGCGCCGGACCACTTGAAGTCCCTGTAGTCGAAGAGGCGATTTTCGGAGCCAAAGGCGATAAAGTGGGCAAAGAGCGAGTTGAAGTGGCCCTCGCAGCAGAGGTGGACGAGGTGGTGGAACTGTGCGTGGTAGATGTGCGCAAAGACGCGGAGGAGCTGCTTGTAGATGTGCTTGCACGTGGTGAGGAAGGTGGGCGGAAAATCGCGCGACGCCTTGGTCGGGAAGGTGGCTTCGTCCGACAGCAGGCCTCCGACCCAGGTCATGACGTAGTCGATGTACTGTGGAGCGGGCAGTTTGACCTGCTTGCGGTTCTGGTCGATCCAGGTGTAGTCGAGACCGACGCCTGCGGACATGGTGGGGTTGTTGGCGACGGTGCAGAACTCGGTGAGCACGCCGTAGAACTGGTTGAGGTTGTTGAAAAAGTCGAACAGGTTGACCGCCACCCACTCCTTGGGATCGACGTACTTGGGCACCGACGAGATGGTCTTGAGCGAGCCCTTGACGAGCGATGCGCCCACGAACGGCTGGCACAGGTAGAGCGGCTTGGTGCTGCCGCCGAGTGCGAGCGCGGATGCCGACGAGGGCGACGTGGGCGAGCGCGGATAGCCGGGATTGGAGAGCGAGGAGGGATCAAAGGTGGGCATGTTGGGATGGGTGGGCGACTTTTTGGGGCGCGATGACCGGCCCATGGATCGGCCTAACGAGTTGAAGAACGACATGGTGCGCGCACGATGCGGCTCGAGCCCGAGCTGGCGCTGTGTGGTGGAGACGCGACGAGAGAGCCAGGTGGGATCAAGACGAGGAGAGCTTGCTGTATTTGTGTGTGTGTGTGTGTGTGTGCGGTGTGCGTGGTGGCTAGATGGCGGGCGGCGAGGTAGGTGTGGGTGGTGAGGAATGAAGCATGTGCGCAACGGCTACAAACGAGTGCAGCGCGGCCAAAAGTGTTAGTTGCAGTCGCGCGTCTGAACCGCTCGGTGAGGCCGACTCGGCATAGAAAAAGAGCGCTGCGCTGGCTGCCTGCCTGGCTGGCTGGCTGGCTGTGTGTGCTGTCACCATCCCAATCGCAGTTTGGCACATCGGCTGCAACCTCGGCCCGATCGATTCAGCCCAACCACGCGCCTCCGGTTAAATTGGCCGAGTGCTCCACATGCAGTTCTGCGGGTGTTGGGTTCGGCTCGGGTTGCTTGCGACGCCCCGTGACGACGCTGTCATACGACGAGCCGACTCAGCCTTTCTCACGGCAACAAAGCAGATACTGCAATCCACCTCGGACTGCTCTCTTCCCTTACCGCCACTACGATCGCCCATCATGATCACCGTCATCACCGAGGATGACCGCACCTTCCCCATCGACGTGGACGCCTCCATCGAGATCGAAAACTTACTCGCGCTTCTCGAGGACGACTCGTCGATCCCCGTAGATCAACAGCAGCTTCTCCACCGAGGCAAGCCGCTCGACGATCCAAAAGCTACACTCGCCAGCTGCGGCGTCCAGAACGATGACCTGCTCATCCTGCGCGATCGACGCAATGTCGCTTCCGCATCGGCTTCGACGTCGGCCAACGCTGGCTCACGCGCGCTCTCGGAAGAGCAGGCGGCAGAACAGATCCGCCAGCAGATCCTGTCCAACCCGCAGAGCCTCGCCCAGCTGCGCGCCAACAACCCGCAGCTCGCCGACGCCGCCCTCAACTCACCCTCGCGCTTCCTCGAGCTCGTTCGAAGCGCCACCCAGCGCGGCGGCGGCGGCGGCGGCGACTACGACTCTGGCCTCCAGGACATCACCGACGAGTTTGACATTGACGCACAGCGACGCATCGAGGAGAACATCCGCCAGCAGCGCGTCATGGAGAATCTCGAGCATGCCATGGAGTACTCGCCCGAGTCGTTTGGCCGCGTCACCATGCTCTACGTCGACTGCAAGGTCAACGGCACCGACGTCAAGGCGTTTGTCGACTCGGGCGCGCAGGCCACCATCATGTCGCCCGAGTGCGCCGAACGATGCGGCATCATGCGGCTGCTCGACACGCGCTTTGCCGGCATCGCACGCGGCGTGGGCACCGCCAAGATCCTCGGCCGCGTCCACTCGGCGCAGCTCCAGCTCGGCTCCACCCTCTTTCTCCCCTGCGCATTCACCATCATGGAGGGCAAGGGCGTAGAGATGCTGCTCGGCCTCGACATGCTCAAGCGCTACCAGGCCAACATCGACCTCGCCAAGAACGCGCTTGTGATCAACGACCAGACCATCCGCTTCTTGGACGAGCACGAGCTGCCGGCCGAGGCAAGTGCAGAGTACGAGATCGGCCAAGACGGCAAGCCCAAGCCCGTCAGTTCAGGAACCACGAGCGAGGGCGTGGCGAGTGCAAATGCAAATGCGGCAGCAGCAAAGTTCCCCGGTTCCGGTCAGTCCGTGGGCTCGGGCTCGAGCGCTGCTGCAGAGGGTCGGCGCATGCACGAACATGGATGGAGCTTCAGCCATCCGCCCCAGCAAGCTTCGGCGTCAGCAACACAACAGCAACGCAGCGCACCACAGGCGCCACCGCAGCAACGAGCGCAGGCGTGGCCACAAGCATCGCTCACCGCGCTCACCGATCTGGGCGCTTCGCCCCAACAGGCGCTCGAGCTGCTCAATGCCGCCAACGGCAATGTCGAAGTCGCCGCCAGCCTGCTCTTCCAGCAATGACCCCCAGCGCCGCAGTAGCAATCGCAGCAACCAACACACATCGAAACAGTTCGAAGCGTGTGTATGTGCGATAGAAAAGGTGTTGTTCATGATTACGTCAAGGTCTGCTGCTGAGGTTGAGTGGTGGATGTGCATGTCTACTTTGACGGCTGGTCCTGGTCCTGGCCGGCGCCCGGCTTCATGCCGCCGGTGAAGAAGCCCCAGGTGTTGAGTTTCATTTCGCGGATCTGTCGTTCCTGTTCTTCCTTGGCCTGCTTGCGCAGCGCCTCGCCGTTTTCGGCCCAGTACTTCTGGTCCTCGAGGTACGCCTGGAGGTATCGGTCGTGTTCGAGCTCGTAGATGGTCTTGTCCGCCGGCAGGCCTGCGTTGGCGCCGCGCGAGACGCCGCCAAACACGGCGCCGAGCTTGCCCAGCCGCTGGGCGCGTGCGCGGTTGTCGGCCAGCTCCTGCTCGCGGATCTGCGCCGCACGTCGTGCGTGCTCTGACGCAATGTGCGTGCCCGCATACGCCTTGATCGTATTGCGCACGTCGTCAATCGCGTAGATCCCAATCGCCTCAAAGAACGGTACGAGCCCCACCAGCTCGCGGTCGGCACGATCGCCCTTCCACGGCTTGATCAGGATGCCGTTCTCCGGATGCAGGTGGAACGAGTCCGGATTGGTGTCGACCACAACCACCTTGCTCAGGTCGCGGTTGAGATGCGAGAGGTCCTTGACGAGCTTGCCGTCCACCGTGCGGCACGACTCGCGGAAGAGCGTGTAGGCGACAAAGCGGCGGTCCGGATCGAGCTTCTCGATGATCGGTCCCGCCGTGAAGAAGGGCTGCGTGGTGAAGAGCACAATCTCGTAGAACTGCGACAGGTAGCCCAGGAAAAAGTCGAGGCCCGGTCGCTTGGCTGTGCGCCAGCCGTGCTCGCGCGACCACTCCGAGTGCACCAGCAGATCGTCCAGGTCGATCACCATCGTATACGGCCTCGAGTAGGGGAACGGCAGCGGGTCGGGCAGCAGCTGGTCAAACACGGGCTTGTTAAAGTCCTCGTACATGGCGGCGGTGCGAAGCTGGATGCGGCCAAAGAACGAGTCGGCGTTGGGTGCGTCCTTGAAGCGCTCTGCCTCCGCCTCGTTGTCCCACGGCCGGCCAAGGTTGTAGGCGACCAGACTGGCGCCGGCGAGCACGAGACCGCCGAACAGGCGCACCGTTTGCTGCCGACGGCGTTCGATGGACGACATGGAGCGTGCGCCCGTCTTGGCCTTGGCACCCGTGCTGCCGGACTTGCCCGCCTTGTCATCCGTCTGCTCGATTAGCTGTGATGCCACTGGCATGGCCGACGTGTCGAGGTCAAAGATCGACGAGTCACGGCGCGTGTCGACTTCCGGCTCTGGCGTAGGCTGCTCTGCGGACGGTGCGTCGGAGGTTTTGGACTGTGCTGCGGACGAAGAAGAAGAGGGTTTGGATTTGGRCGACGACGACGACGACGACTTCTTGGGCGGCGGGGTGGCGAGGAATCGGACGCTGCTGGGAGCGACAATGGCTTTCGGGAGGGCGGCGTGAGCAGGTGCGAGCTGCGAGCGTGCAGCAGCACGCATGGCGTATCTGGCAGCCACGTTGAATGCCATCGCGAAAAGAGTGGTCTGGTGGTGGAGGCTGGAGATGAAGGCTCAGCCCGCGACTCGATGACGGCGAAATTCTCGGCGAGTGCCGGCAGCAACGAATCTCGCGCCTCAGCTTCATCCGCTGCCTAATCAGAGGGGAAAAAAAGTGCGATCCCAAGAAGAAATGGCCCTCAAAAAGCCTAGAAAAAAAGCGAGAAAAGTCGGTCCCTCACACTAATTTACTTTCGGCAGATCCGGACGCTTGGATCCCTGAAAGTGCTGCTTTTGCGCCTGCCTCGCCATCAACATTCGAGACCTGTCAATCCCCTCATCATCAATCTCGAGCACCGTGGGAACCATGGCGGCCAGCACAGCAGCAGCCTACATCCCGCCGTCCTTCGGCCAACCAGGCGTAAGTATCTCGTATCGACCCAAGCGGCTCACCAGTGCACCATCCGACCATGCCTCGTTGCCCACCAGCCCCGTCGTCACGGTCGCGGTGCCGCCGGCGTCGATCCACCACATCTTTGCGCACCGACAGTGGCGCGCAGGCATGCTGATGAGCGATGCGCTCGTCTCTTCCGCCTTCCGCATCGAGGCGCGCAACGTGCTCGAGCTCGGCGCGGGCACGGGCCTCCCGTCGATCACCGCGGCCCAGCTGCACACGGCCAAGCTGGTGGTGGCGAGCGACTACGACGAGCCGACGCTCATGCGCGAGCTCAAGCACAACGTCGCCGCCAACATGGCCGCCTCGCCGCCCGACGTGCGCCGCAAGATCAAGGTGGCCGGCCACATATGGGGCAAGAACACCGACGACCTACTGGACTGTCTTGCCGCGAGCGAGAAGTTCGACTCGGTGCTGCTGGCGGATTGCCTGTGGGATCCGCTAAGCCATGCGGACCTGCTCAAGACGGTGGTGGCCGTGCTGGCGCGCACGCCCGACGCGCGCGTCAATGTCATCGCCGGCTTGCATACGGGCAGGGAGAAGGTGACTTCGTTCATCCGGCGTGCTGCGCGCGCCGGGCTGGTGCTGGCCGATGTCGAGGCGCCGCAAGCGTGGCCTGCGCTGTCCGAGGATGCAGAGACCGAAGAGGACCCCGATGCGAGCCGACCGGGGAATGAGGCGCTGGCGCTGGCGAGGGAGCGCATCCTCGAGCTCAAGGTGTGCGGCAACACGCCCATCCAGCACGGCGAGGCCGAGGCGGAGGCGCGCATCGACGACGAGCCGCGCCTCACGGGCGAGCGCCGGCCGTTTCGCATCGAGGGCTACGGAGAGACCACCGAGGGCGACGTCAAGCTGCGCAATCGCTGGCTTACCGTGTGGAGCCTCGCGTGGGCGGCACCGTGAACGACTGCCAGAGCTATGCCATGCTGACACCGCGCGCCCTGGGTGTTTGCCTTTCTGATGTCCCTGCGGCTCACAGCGCGCCTTTCTCATGCGCTCCTGCGTCGGCGCGATGCGTTGTGGTCTGCGGCCCCACCTCGCCACCCCCCCTCGACTCGCCCGCGGCTTCACCACCACACAGCGCGTCTTTGCGCCGACCAATGCTGTGACTGCCAAGGTGCTGGGTGATACACGCGTGCTGGCGACATACGAGGGCCCGCTTTCGGCCACATTTCGGCGTCTCAAGCTGTTCTCGCTCGGCTCGCTTGCGCTGGCGAGCGTGCTGACGCCCGTGCTGTTGCTTGCGCCGGGCGAGATCTCGATGGCGGGCCGCGTGGGCCTGTGCATCACTGCGCTCGCCACGTCGGGCGTATCGACGGCGCTCATCGCCTGGATCGGAACACCGTACGTCGGCACGATGCGGCTGCTGGCAACGCCGCAGCATCAGCACGTCATGGAGCTCAACACGCTCGATTGGAGGTTGCGCAAACAGACGACGCTCGTGTACGAACCGGCCTTCCTCCGTCCCACTTCGCGCCCCTTCGCCGCCTGGGAACTCACGAACAGTGCGCCTGCACCGCGCGATGTGCCTGCAACAGAGACTACAACCAAGGTCGCAGAGACCATCGACGACAAGACGGGCACATCCAAGGGCACTTGGGCTGTCACCTACGCGCCTGCCGCCGACGACGGTGGCGCGAGTGCCAAAGTGGTCGTAAAGGGTAAGCCGACGCGCTACTTTAATGTGCACGAGGAGCTGCTAGGTCAAGACTGGCAAGTTTTAGGCTAGATCCTCACGCCGCAATCCACACTTTCACGACAGATTGGTGAGAATGTGGGATTGGTGGGATTGCGATTTAGAGATGGATGGCGGATGGGTTCAAGTAAGGCTCTTGCCCATGAACCTTCTCTTTGTGAAGGCGATCCACCACTTGCTGGGGGTACCATCCGCAAAAACCTTTTCCACGAGACGGGCGGCGGTTTCCTGTCGAAGCTGGGTGAGGTAACCCCTGAGTTGATCCGCCTCTGCCCTACCCGCAGGAGGGGCGTAGAGGCTGTTGAGCGGGAAGTTGGCATCGCCGGGAAGGGCGAAGCTATCCACCGCGTAGGTGGCAAGTTGTTTGTTGGCCTCGTTTGTGGACCAGGGCACTTTGGACGCGGCGATCTTGGTGAGACAGTCGGAGATGAAGAGGATGAGGTAGATGAGGACGCGGTCGGCGGGGCCCTTGATTTCAAAGTTGCGGAAGAGCGAATTGGCGCGGAAGAGGTCGATGCTTTCGTCGATGATGTCTGGGCGCGAAGGGTCGATGGGAGGTGGAGCGGGTCCGCGCGTGCGAGAACGGATGGGAAGAAGTGACATCGACCCAATCACGCGCACTTCCGGCTCCTCGTTGTACGACGAATGGTACGCCTGCAACACCACCAGCCAAAACGCAATCCGTCAAAAGCCAATTCTGAATGTATATGTGCGCAGATGTGAACTTACTGGCATGTTTGAAAAAAGTTGGTGATGCTACGATGGTTGAAGGTCGACGAGAGATGGCTCGATCGTGACAACTCCACTTTGAGTCGCAGCCTCAGCCGCAGCTCCCAAAGCTGTGCCCATCTCGCGTGTGGATTTGGAGCGCATGGCCCCGGCGCGCTGCTCCAATTCTCCAGTTTGTCAGATCTGCAAATCCCGACCCTCCCTTCCCCCTGCCCCGCACGTGATGTGCTCCCTCCCTCCCACCTCCATCCTTGCTTCTCCACCACCAAACCGCTTTGCTTCAACAATGACGACGCACGTGGTAGCCGATATCCACATCTCGACATCCGCCTCCTCGGCACCTCTTCCCACATCCCCACTTCCACTCGACAATGCTACGCACTTGACGCCTTCCACTCAACTCCGCGTCCCCCTGCACGCAGACGGACATGCTTTCAACAATCTCGCAGACTCGATCGACTCGACACGCGCACACCTCAACGCAATCCTCACTACCTGGAAGGACTGGGCCGGAAAGGAAGTCTCCCCCGCAGGCGCATCCCAACCTACCGACGACCAAGAAGAAGATGAAGACGAAGAAGACGAGGAGTGAACTCTAACCACCATCACACTTGCTCTACACCGGCCCGACATCACCGGAATATACCCCTCCCCGCACCGCCTGTACCACTAACGTCCTCGCTCAGCCTGCTCAATGCATCGCGCTTTCATCGCCAAACAGACATTGCTCGACACTGATAACATTGCATACAAGTACAAACCCTGACAAGAGGCGCGCCGCGGTGTGGAGTGGCCGCCATGACTACGAGACCGGGGCAGCATCGGGCGCCTCGGTAGCAGCAGTCTCGGTCTGGCCATCCAGCGCCGGATCAATGACTTCAGCTGCGGCTGGGGCTGGGGCTGCATCAGTTGCCGCCGCCGGCGCTGCCGCCTCCGTGGCTCCCTCGACGGCGGCCACAGCAGCCTTGTCAGTCGCCTGCGCGGCGGCGGTGCTGCTCTCGGCCTGTGCCTGTGCCGGCTGCTGCTGCTGCTGCTGCTGCTGCGACTTGTCATCGAGGTTGGTGCGCGAGTCCTCGCCCTCGTCGTCGATCTCCTTCTTGGTGCGACGCGTGCGGATGGTGCGGATGATCTTGTCGAGCGTCTCCTGCCACTGGCCCTGCCAGGCGTCGGGGAGGTAGCGCGACTTGATCTGCTCAAACTGCTGCTTGAGCGTGTCGCTCGGCCACTGCCACGTCTCGAACGACAGGTCGGCCCAGCGCACCGTGTCCTGCGTAAACGTGTCTTGGAAGTTGAGGCGCTGCAGCAGGATCAGGTCGTCCTCGCCGGGGATCCAGACGCTGTTGTCGAGCTCGGCGCGCGTGGGGTGGCGGTTGTTGCCGCGCACGGCGTGCTGCGACGCCTCGGCCTCGTCGCCTTCGCCGGTGGTGCCGTAGTCGCGGCGCGGGCTGGTGCCGGAGCGGTCGACGCGCGAGCGGATGTTGGAAAAGAGGTTCGAGTAGACCTTGTAGGAGCGCTTGTTGCCCATCATGGTGGCGATGGCCTTCCACGAGATGACCTCGCCCGGATGCTCCTTCTTGTACTGCTCGAGCGCGGCGAGCACCGCCTTGTCCTCCTCGCCCGTCCAGGTGGGGCCCTCGGCCATCTCGTCCTTGACCTGGAGCTTGACGAAGCGCGAGAGCACGTCCTGGTTGAGGCGGCCGAGGCGCTTTGCGACGCTGGCGGCGTCCTCGCGCAGCTCGCCCATGCGGCGACGGATCTCGTAGTCTTCGGCGAGCGTGTAGCGGCCCTGCCTGCGGAACTGCGACTTGTTGGTGCGGACGTGGAGGCGGACGGCGATGTTGGGCCTGCCGTCGAGGCGACCGGCGAGGTCCTTCCAGAGCTCGGTGTACATCTTTTCCCAGCCGCGGTCGCGGTAGTTGTAGAGGAGCTCCTGGAAGTCGTCCTCCGAGAGGTTTTTCAGCTTCATGAATTCGGCGATGCCGTTCTTGATGGTGTCCTGCTCCTCCTTTGTGAATCGGCCCTTCTTGTACTTGAGGCCGATGGTCCTCTCGAGCTTGGCGAGCATGTCGGACGAGTAGACGCGCTCGACGAGGAGCTCGCGCGGAGGTAGACCTCGGAGCTCCTCCAGCGCTGCCTCCTCGGACATCTTGGGGCGGCGACCGCGACGCTCTCCGTTTTCGCCCGCCTCGCGCTTGGTCTTTTTGGCGGCCGAGGGGGTGGAGCCGTCCTTCTTGGGGCGACCGCGCTTGCGCTTGCCCGGCTGTTCGGCCGTGGGGGCGGCAGGGGCGGCGGGCGCGGCGGTAGCGTCGGCAGGAGCAGCAGTGGCAGCAGCGGCGGCTGGGGCGGCGGGGGCTTGGGCTGGGGCAGCGTCGGCGACGGCGAGACTCTCGACCACCTGGGCCGAGGTGTCGGCGGAGCCATCGAGAGAAGGGTCGATGGGGAGGCGATTGGCCGAGGCGACGGCGGAGACGGCCTGAGCGGCCGAGGCGGCGGCTACGGTGGCAGCGTCCTTCTCTGCCTGCTCGCGTTCGCGACGTTCGCGTTCCTTGCGCTCCTTCTTCTCGCGCTTGCGATCCTTACGAGCGGCTTCGGCTTCAGGGCCGGTGCCGTCGAGCTCCTCGGCGACGGCGTCAGCATCTGCGTCGTCAGCAGCGGCAGCGGCAGCATCGTTGTCCTTGGCCTTGGTGAGCTTGTCTGCGGTGGGTGCCGCGGTGGCCGATTCGGCTGCGGCCGCGGCGACGGGGTTGGGTGAGAGAGCCATGGTTTTGTGGACGATGTCGAGTGTAGGAAGGGTGGGTGAGAGTATCTGCAACGCGAGAAGCGCTACGTGACGCGAAGGGGTGTTAGTGGAGAAATGGCGTCGGGGTCGAGTGTTGGATGGAGGGAGCGAGCAGGACCGACGTTGGCGTTGTGAGGTCGAGGGAAGAAGGGGGGGAAAAAAGGACGGAAAAGGGGGGCGATCCTTAAATTGATTTCAGGTCGGGGGGGTTGGGCGCGCGCGAGGCATTTGTGAGATTGGGCGAGTCTAGCAGCAGGGCAGCGCCCGGAGTTTTCGAGGAGAGTGGCTCTGCTGTGGGGGAATTTTGGAAATGCGGGAACGAGCGAGCCAAGTGAAAAGTTTGCAATCGCGCGCCGAAATTGATGCAGATGTAACAGCCGGGTCGAGGCACGGGAGCAGTGTGATGTGCTGCGGATTTGTGGGTGGCTTGGCGCGGTGCGTTGTCAGCTGGCCATCGATCGAACACGGTTCATCTGCGTGCAGCGGCTGGCACGGACCGCATTTCGGTTGTTAGGCTGAGTCGCGATGCCACCATGGCCTGAGTCACAGTCACAATCACCGTCACAATCACAATTTCAAGCACCCTCCCAGTGACAATTTCAAGGGCGTGTTAGCACGCTACAACTGCCGCCGCCGAATGTGCGTCCAAGCGCGGGTTGAAATGCGGCTTGGGCCCAGCGGCAGGTGAGGGGTCTCGGAAATGAGATGAGCTGGCTTGGCAAGCTGCATGCAGACGGGCAGACGGGCAGACGGAAAGCGAGGTTGGCTGGCTGGCTGGCTGGGCGGCTTCCCGCTCCTCATCGGCCGTTGCTCATCGGTTGCGGATGCAGGATGCAGGGCCTTGCCGTTCCCTGTCAATTGACGGGCAAGCAGACCGACAGGGGGCGGTGGAAGCGATCAGAGACCGACGTCGGATGCCTCTCTCTCCCTCTCTCTCTCTCTCTCTCTCTGCGCTGCGCTTTGCTGCACCACCCTTCTTGCCGATGGAAGCGGTGGATGCTTGGAATGCACGCAGAAGAGCGACGATGCAATCCATCATCATCATCATCGTGCGGCTGCTGCTACTTGGGGAGCGTGCTTCTCTGCAACCACTCGGAGTTGGGCGATTTGGCGGCCAAATTTCCCAATTTTCGACACACGGAGCGGGGGCGGCAACGCAAGGGGGCCCGGGCCAAGGCGATGCGGTGCGGTGCATTTCAGGGCCAAATCTGCCAGACGGCCACTCACAATCGGAGCTGGCTCGTGAGGCGGCTGGTGAGGCGATTGAGCCTCCACCCGGAACCAGATCTGACAGCCCAACACTTTGTGCTCTCGCATCGACCACTGATGACCTCGTCGTCATCTCTCTCCATCTCCATCTTGTCACGACCCGCTCCCTTTTGGCGCCGAGAACGTCCATCGCTTCGCAATTATCCTCGGCATACAGCATAGCATAATCCAGGCCGCGCCACATCCGCAACTGCTCTTGCGCGACCACCATCAAAAGCATCTCTCCGCACGTTTTTCTTGCACGCGTCTGCGCTCAGTCGTCTCGGTGCAATTGCTGCTGCTGCTGCTGCTGCTGCTGCTGCTGCTGCTGCGGACGACAACAACAACGACAACGACAAATCGCGCGGCTCAGCTCTTGTATTCCGCAACGACCGCTCCGCACTTGACTCCGCACCACCATCATGTCGCGCACCGCAGACTCCTCACCCAGAGGCTCCAACTCGCCCTCGCCGTATCCATATCCGCATACCAACCCCCTACATGACGCTGACGCTGCCGCTGCCGTAGCCGCCTCTCCTCCCACCGCCGGTCCTTCCATGCGCCGCACCATCGTCGACACACTCATGCACGACCGTTCCGACTCGCCCGCCAGCTTCTCCGCACCCCGCGCTCCCCCTTCCCCCTCCAGCACCTCCCAGTCCGACGACGGCAATCCGCAGCAAGACTTCGCCGACCTCGCCTCCATCGACGATGCCGACTCGCGCACAAACTCCAACGCTCGCGCCTTTGACCCCGCCGCCGTACGCCTCTCGCGCAGAGGCACCTTGATACCCGCCTCCCCCACCTCCTCCAACGGCACCTGGATCCTCCAAGACGCCCCGCTCAACCACGCCTCCAACCTCCCGCACGAGATCCTCCTCCACATCTTCAAGTACCTCGTCCTCTATCCGCCCGACCTCCTCTCCTGCCTCCTCGTCTGCAAGTCGTGGTGCCTCAACGGCGTCGAGCTCCTCTGGCACCGCCCGGCGCTCTACAAGATCTCGTCGCTCTTCAAGCTCGTCGGCGTCATCCGCAAGCCCGAACAGCTCTTCCCCTACGCCGACTTTGTGCGCAGGCTCAACTTTACGCTGCTCGCAAACCAGCTCGAGGACCAGCTCTTCCTCATGATGGCCGCCTGCACCCGCCTCGAGAGGCTCACGCTCGCAGGCTGCTCCAACATCACCGACGCCACCCTCGTCAAGGTCTTCCAGTGCACCCCGCACCTCGTCGCCATCGACCTCACCGACGTCGCCGACATCACCGACGCAACGCTGCTCACCCTCGCCGCCAACTGCCCCAAGGCCCAGGGCGTCAACCTCACCGGCTGCAAAAACATCACCTCCCACGGCGTCGCACAGCTCGCCACCGCATGCCGCCTCCTCCGCCGCGTCAAGCTGTGCGGCTGCGACAACATCGACGACGAGGCGCTCCTGGCGCTCACCCACCACTGCCCCGCGCTGCTCGAGGTGGATCTCATCCACTGCCCCAAGGTCTCGGACCGCTCCATGCGCGAGGTGTGGATGCGCAGCTTCCAGATGCGCGAGCTCAGGCTCTCCCACTGCACCGAGCTCACCGACAACGCCTTCCCGTCCGCGCGCGGCACCACCGGCGTGCCCATGCTCGGCACCTCGCACTCGGCAGGCTCGCGCTCCGCCATGGTTGCCTCGGCCTATGCTCCCGATTCGGCGCCCACCAGCCGCGGTGTTTCACCCGGTGCGGATGGCAGGCGCGGCGACGCCGGCCTCACGCGCACGCTCACCGCGCCTTCCATGTCAATCGCGGGCGACCTGGCGCACGGCCGGCTCTTTGACCATCTGCGCATCCTCGACCTCACCAGCTGCCTCTCCATCTCGGACGACGCCGTGGAGGGCATCGTGGCCAACGTGCCGCGCCTGAAGAACCTCGCGCTCACCAAGTGCACGCGCCTTACCGACGAGGCGCTGTACAGCATTGCGAAGCTGGGCAAGAATCTGCACTACCTGCATCTGGGACACGTCTCCAACATCACCGACCGGGCGGTGACGCATTTGGCGCGCAGCTGTACGCGGCTGCGCTACATTGATGTGGCGTGCTGTCCGAATCTGACGGATCTGTCGGTGACGGAGATTGCGAACAACATGCCCAAGCTGCGACGCATCGGACTGGTCAAGGTGATCAATCTGACGGACCAGGCGATCTATGGGCTGGTGGACCGCTACAACTCGCTGGAGCGCATCCACCTGAGCTACTGCGAAAACGTGTCGGTGCCGGCGATCTTTTGCGTGCTGCAGCGGCTGAATCGTCTGACGCACTTGTCTCTCACTGGGGTCCCCGCATTTCGGCGGGCCGAGTTGCAGGCCATGTGTCGTCCACCGCCCAAGGATTTCAACGAGCATCAGAGGCAGGCGTTCTGCGTGTACTCGGGTAAAGGTGTGCATGATCTGCGCAAGTTTCTGCAGCATGTCTATTCGGACGAACAGCTGGCTGCCGAGTTTGGCCAGTTGGAACCGCGCGCTAGGAATGCGCTCACGGGGTTGACGCTCGAAAGTGCCGCGGGGCAGGATGCGAGGCTGGGACAGTTGAGGGTGGGCGCTCAGCCAGAAGCGAGGAGGGTACAGCTTTCGCCGGCCGAGCAGCTGTACTATGAACAGCACCGCGAGCTGGCGCGGTATGCGAATGCGCGTCGGGCAACCGAAGATGCAACGCTCCTTAATAGGCCTCGGTCCACGCAGCATCAGAGCGCGTTGGTGGATGCGCAACACGAACGCAACCCGGGTCTGCCACTCGTTGCGCCGCAGCGCGATGTACAGCTACCAGACGTACAGACGTCTCTTCCGGACGAGCCCATGGACACCGAAGCGCTGCGAGCCCGACGAGCCGCCCATTTCGGCAACTKAACCCCCCCCCCCCCCCTYTCGCMCTYCCTGCAATCYTTAYTCTTTTTCACATCCACACGTTCTGTTTCYCCCGCTATKTTTTGGTGTTGGGCGGTGAGGCATTGCGGAATTGCAGATGACTAGAGCTGAAGTGGTTCGTGTTCGGGGATGGTCTGAGTGGCGTCCCTATGCGCTGCTTCTTGGTGGGCCGGTTCTTGAGAGCCTAGACTTGTCGAGCTAGCCACACTTGCGCCCCTGCTGCGAGTCTTGTCTGGCTCCTCGGCAGCCGAGCCAATGACATAGCGCAGGATATCGGACAAACAAACGATGCCCACCAACCTTCCCCTCGACTTCCTCACGGGATCTCCCTTTTCCAGACGTTCTTCGAGCTGGCGTCGTGGGTCGTTGAGAAACTCGGCACGTTCCTGTTGGTCGCGCGACTTTTGTTCGGCGAGCAGATCTTCGACGTAGCTATCGAGTTCTTCGAGCGGCGCGGTTTTGTCGGCAAAGTCGTCGCGCTTGAGCAGCACAGGTTCGGGTTCGAGCACCAGCAGACGATGCACGCGGCGTTTGCGCAGAAGCGCAAAGACCGATGCCAACGAATCGTCCGGTGAACACGTCCATACTCCACCGAAGTCGGGCGGACGTCGTTCGAGAGCTTGGCGGATGGTCAGGTCGAGAGACGTGTATGCGCCCGTGCGCACGAGCGTGATCACATCCACAGTCTCGTATAGGTCCACCACATTGCCTTCTTCGTCCAGGATGGGGACGGCAGAGATTCCGCGCTCGGAAAACATGTGCACCACATCAAACACCGTCGTGTCGAGCGTGGCCGTTGCAATCGGCGCGTACAAGTTCGCAGCCTCGTCTATCGCTGCTGCGAGCGGAACGGATGTGCCGCTGATGCTGCCGGTACGGTTGGCCGCCGAATCGGACGAAGCGTCGATCTGGCTGGACGGCTCTGCCTCGCCATCTGCATGCCCTTCACTCCTACCCGTCGCACTTGGGTCCGACTTGATGATGCCCGGTTCGCTAGCGTCCGAGCCCCTGTGGCTGGGTGCGGCACTTGCCGTCGCCCTCGCCGCGCGGTAGTGCTGGCAGTAAGTCCCAATACCACACTGCCTAAGACTCCGCCAGAGCGATGCGGTCTCCCTGCAGTTCATGGCGATGAACTTGAGCACGCGATACTGGGTGAGCACCGACACGACGGTCTCCATGCCCGTCTGCTCGTCATAATCAAGCAGCGGCAGACGGCGCGCATGCGTCTTGATGAGCAGCTGGCACGCGTCAAAGAGCGGCCTTAGCGGATGCACGCTGAGCAGCGGCGGCGGCGGCACGTTGAGCGCCTGCTCGATATCGCGCAGCCGCTCCAGCCGGAACTTCTCCACATCCTGCGCCGCCGAGTCGTAGCTCGAGTGGTGGTAGTAGTACTGGATGAGATGGATGATATCGTTGACCGTAAGCATGCCTGCGAATCCAGACAGCTGCTGTGCCCCTCCCTGCGTTTTGGGCGACACTCTCCCCTCTGCATCCTGCTGTTGCTGCTGTTGGGATGTTGGATCTGTGGATGGCGGTGCGTCGGAGTGCGATGGATTGGCGAGCTGTTCCGGAGGCGTAGACTGCCAGAGCGGCGCGGATACGACGCCCGCCTGCCACATGACTTCGAGTGCCGGCTTGACCACCAGCTTGGTGTCGAGCACGATCAGGCGGAAGCTCACGGGGAGCACGTCGTAGCTGCTGCGGCCGCGCAGAAAGTCGCGGATGGAGCGCAGCGCGAGGATGTGCTTGTCCTTTGGACGGCCGCTACGTTCGCGCTCGCGGCGTGTGCGGGCGCTCGGTGCGGCGCGCGAGCTGCCCTGCGAGGTGGATGCGCCAGGGATGTCGACATGGCTCGAGGTGGCCGCCGAGCTACCGCTCGCAGCGCGCGAGCGTGGCACGTCCATGGCAGCGGCGATACAACGCCTGTTCGAGCGAGGCGGGTGCCGGTGTGAAGCTGTGTGGAGCCAAAGATTGTGACCAGCCGTGTGTGCGTGTTTGCGAGCGAGTGTGATGATGGGATGGTGCGGGGAAGGACGGATGATGGAGGTCGTATCTACGGTATGGACTGAGAGTAGTCAATCGACTGCCCGTGCGTTGTTGGCTGCTGCTGCTGCTGCAGTGCCGCTCTGCTGCTGCTTTCGCTCAGTCTGCATTTGCACGCACCAGCCCAGCCGATGCGGAGGCGCCATCAATTCAAATGTGAGATCTATACGAGTCACAATTTGATCCCAAAAATTCGCCGCTGCCGGCCACTTTCACGGCCTTTCAAGTGGCTGAGCCACGTGCAATGAGGTCACCTTCTCCCCAACCACGCCATCCTTTTGCCCCGCCATCCTTTGTCTTATCGCAGCAGCAGCAGCACGCAGCACAGCTTCGACACATGTCAACCCAGCCGACTCCGACGCAATGACCGCCGTTGCGCACCTCGGCTACGGCGTGGCTCTCACGCCCCGGGACATGCGACAAGCTCGCCGACCTCGCCAACCCTCGCTTGCAGCCTGCCATGGCGTATATGACGAAGAGCGCCTGCATCCAAAGCTGTGCACGTTCTAGACCGCGAGTGCGAGCTTGCGAGAAGTTGAGATTGCCTACGCTGTGGCGATATATACCTTGCGCACTATGAGCGGAGGGGTCGGGTTGTTCCTCCGCAGCCATCATGTCGCCAACATCCTCTACAGACACTTCCGGGACGAACAACACGGGCGCGAGCACCCCATCTTCCACCATGTACGACGCTGTGGCAGGCACGGCGCAGCGCATCTATCCTGTTGCCTCGAATGTGGTCGGTGAGATGACGGGCTTTGCTGCACTTTCGGAATCCGACCCAGCGGCGCCCTCGCAACCAACGCAGTCTGCACAACCAACCGAATCGAACGAATCGAACGAATTGCCCATACGCAACTCGAGCGCATCCGATGGTGCGAATGAGCGCATGGCGCGCGATGACCACGACGAGGAGCACCAGCGTGGACCGTCCGAGTCGTCGCGCGTCGACCAGCCACAGCACAAGATCGGCACCGAATCCGGCATCCCCACCACTGCTGGCGCCGGCACTACACTCTCTCCGGACCAAGACGTCGCTCCTGCAGCGGACAAGGCCAAGCAAAAGCGCAAGAACGCAGCCGTGGGCGTAGACTACTCGGACCAGCCATGTCCCACCGCAGACGCTCGCCGTTCCCAAGCCTCCAGCTCGCCAGCCGAGGGCAAGACCCAGTTCGTAGACCGCCAGGAACAACTGCATGGCTCCGAACAAGGCTCGCATCGCTCAGAACAAAGCTCGCGCCACCAAGATCAAGGGCAACAGCAACAGCAAGATCAAGATCAAGCGCAGGATCAGGAACAAGAGCAGGAGCAGGGGCAGGCGGAGCAGGGGCAGGCGGAGCAGGGGCAGGCGGAGCAGAGTTCAGCAGGGTGGAAGAATAAGCTCAAGGCCAACACCAAGCTCGCCGTGGGTAAGATCACGCACAACCAGACCAAGATCGACGACGCCCGCGCAATGAAGGCCGACGCCACTCCAGCTGCAGTGTAGAGTGAACCAGACAGAATACCACCCCTCGATTGCGATAAGATGCTGTTGCATTGGTCATGGTCGTGAGCAGAAAAGTGTCGTGCGGGATGGCTGAGTAGTCTCGTGCGAAACATCGTAAATGTGGGGGGTGGAGGTCACCACGCCCGCGTTATCCGCATGTCATGCATTGCATCAATCCTTCCTGCTTCCTGGCGGCTGTGTTCGCCGGGTTGTTCTGCTACCATCATCACCCTTTTGCCATCATCACCCTTTTGCCATCATGACCAACTTGGAGCCGGTGGGTATAACGCTCGAGCCCGTATTTCGCGTTACATGCCCCGTTGAACCCGCGCACACGGTGGGTGACTCGGGCGAAGGCGTGCGCAAGATCGTCCCCATCGCTCCCGGTGGCACCATCACCTCGCCCATCGCAGCTCTCGACGGGGCAGTGGGCATGCATGGCGGAAGCGACTACTTTCGCACCGACCAGTTTGGCAAAACTCGCCTCGACGCAAGGTACTTTTTCAAACTCAAATCCGGTCGTAAGTCTTCCCCCCTCACCCCCTTTTCTTTGCAAGAGAGTAAACGACTGACACCTGGGAAGGGAGAATAGACAATCTGTACTTTCAATCGTCGGGCGTGCGGTTTGTGCCAAGCTCGTATCCGGACCAGACGGCTGTGCAGAGAATCATGCAGGGCGAATCGGTCGATCCGAGCCAGTACTACTTCCGGCTCAAGCTCATTCTGGAATGCGACGATCCCGATCCGCAGGTGCAGGATCTGGTGTGCAAAGTGGTGATTGCCTCGGCGGTTCGTACCACCGACACCGTCATGTACCAAGCTTACGTTGTAAACTAGCCCAAAGCAAAGGCGACAATATCATTGCGCGTTGTGCGACTACTCTAGACTTCCGGGCATCTTGGTGCCGAGTGTGCGCCTGGCTCCACCGCGTCGTTTGGCAGGCGAAGAAACTTCGCTCATCTCGACCGGTTCGGGTTCAACACTGCTGAGCCGAGTAGACCTACGAACGCCACTCCGTGCCGTAGGAACCCTTTTGGAGCTCTTTGAGGGTTTGGCGTCGAGATCGCCCGCCTCACTGATGGTATAGATCGTACTTGCCGGCGCACCGTCCGCCTGACTACCCGCAACGCTCTCGAGCTCGGCAGTGGCTGCACGCGTGCGGCGCGCAATCGGCACTGCAGCTTCATCCTCACGCTCGTGCTGCTCCAGGTTCGACAGCGTGAGCGGCTTGCGGTTCGCTGCACTCGTCGAGCGCGTCGTCCGCTTGCCCGCCAGCGCGGTCTCGGTACAACTCTTACTCAGCTTTGCTGGTGAGGTGTCGAGCTGCACGCCGGTGCGCGAGCGCGTCATGCGCGACTTGCTCGGCGTAGCCTCCTTGCGCGTACGTCGCTTCGCGGGCGGTTGCGCCTCAACCTCCTCCTCGACAGCCTCGTTCCATCCCCGTCGTCCAGGCACCAGACGTCCAATGCTGACATCTGCCTTGGACCCACTGCGCTGCACAAACGTCTCGTCCGCTCCATCCTCGCTCTGCTCGACACCATCCGCATCCGCCTCCGAGTCCGACTCGATCTCGACGGCGTCCCGACCCAAGCGGCTCTTCTTGCCGTGCTGCGAGACGAGCGCCAAAGCGCCCCCGAGCTTACTGCGCGCGGGCACGGTGGGCGAGCTGCGTGCGCTCACTGCGAACGGCGACGTACTGGCCGGTTGGAAGCCGCGCGGACTGCCCTGGTGCGGCGAGCGCGATCCCGACGCCACCGAGCCCGCCGTACCGCCGCCCATCGCACCACGCGGCAGCTTGGGCAGGCCCGAAAATGGACTGCTCGACGTCAGACTCGGCTGGTTTCGCCACGGCGACGCCGGCTGCACGGTTTGTGCGGGCGAGGCGACTTTGTCCGTGTCGCCCGGTCGCGCAACAAGCACGGCAGACCCATCGAGCTCGGTCTCGTCGTCCATCGCCTCGTCGGTAGAAGCGGCGTCCGCCGAGTCGCCGCCGCTCCTCGTGCCGCTCAGCGCGTTCTTGGCGAGGAAGCCGAGCATCGCAGCCGGGTGCGGCGACGCCGAGCTGCGACCCGGCGTGCCGTTGACCGAGGCGCCGCTTGGAGACGCCGCATTGAGCGCAGCGCCGCGGCTGGGCGTATTGGGTGCCGAGGGCGAGGCGGATGCGCGCACCACCGCCGAGAGGATGGCCGCCTGCGTCGACGGCGTGTGCTGCGCCGACCTCCTCGCAGCCGGCGAAGCGGTGAGCGGCGTCGGCACCGTCGCGGTGCGGATCGACACATCGTCAAGCGCGTCGTGCTTGAGCTTGGCCCCGAGCCCGTCTGCGGAAGGGCTGGGCTGCTCTTGCTTGGCCGCGCCGGCGCCGGTGCCGCTAATCTCGACCGACTCTTCGATGCGCAGCAGCTCCTTCTGCACCTCGGGCAGGATCTCGCGTGCTCCAGCGATCATGCGCTTGCGCTGCTCCATCATCTTGCTGCGCTGCTGCGCGTCCTTTGCGCCCGAGTGGCCCTGGCTGACATCAGGACCGAGCCTACGGTCGAGCCCCACAGCGTCCATGTATCGGCCCTGGCTGATGTATCGGATGATGAGCACGTCAGCGGCGGCATAACTCCACGTGGCAGTCATGGCGGGCGGCGGCGCAAGCACAAAGCTCTCGAGCGTCACCTCCTCCTCCGCATCCAGGCTGCACGCGAGCAGGTTGCGGATGGCGGCGGGGCGCGGCGGCGCAAAGCAGAGCTCGAGCACCTTGAAGATGAGGCGCGCGCGGATGGCGACCCTGTGCGCCTCGTCGTCGAGGATGGCCGAGGTGAGCGCGCGGATCTCGGCAAAGGCGCGACTGGGACCACTGACCAAGCAGAGCGCCTGGATGTGCATCTCCACCTCCTGAAGAAAAGGCTCGGAGCCAGGCGCGGACGAGGAGGGCTGGTTCGAAGTGCGCAGGAAGCGGAGGAGGAGCTTGGCACGCGCCACCTCGGTGCGCGAGTCTGCGTCCGGAGCGAGGAAGAGCGTGCGCACGATCTTGGGGATGAAGTCGGCGATGGCGAGGAAAGGGATGGCGCGATCGTACTCGTCGTTGTCGAGCAGCCAGTAGCCATTCATGGCGTCGGTGAACTGGGGCAGCACGACGTATGTATCGGCAAAGCGGTCTGCTGCGCCTTGGTTCTGGCCGTGCGTTTGGGAAAATGCGTCGAGATCGAGGAGGAGGTAGTAGACGAGCGAGAGCTGCTTGAGGTAGTCGAGCGAGGTGGCATTGAAGATGGCGCGCAGAAGGGCGGCGAGCTGGTCGTCGGAGCGCGGCGGGTAGAGCGCGGGATCGACGGAAGCAAAGGAGAGCAGCTCGTCGAAGAAGAGCTTGTGGCCGTGGATCAGCGTCCGGCGTCGCGCGATCGAGTCGACGCGCTCGTGCGACCAGATGTCGTGCACCGCGGCTGCCGAGGTGAATACGGGCAGAACGTCGGCGGCGAGCGCGGCGGTCTCTTCGTCGAGACCAGCGGCGAGCTGCGCAGCTGGCGCAGCTGGCGCGGGTGATGCGTCTGGCACCGACATGGTTGCGTGTCGGATGTCAGCCTCGACTGGTGCGGTGATGGCGAGAAGGAGAGAGGTTGTGTGGAGAATTTTCGGCTTCTCGTCGCTCACGAATGACAGAGAGAGAGAGCAACACGTCGGAATGGAAATCTGAGGAGATGTTGCAAGATCGGGCGAGTGAGGATGCCCGATGGAGGGAGGCCATGCACGAACCGCTTTTGGTTGAGAGAAAGTGGAAGCCGAAGCGGATTCTCCCCAGACAGCGCCGCGTCGGATGTCAATGAATCCAAGCTTGGATCCTCGCCTCATCATCACCACCTCTCTCATTGCCCTTTCCATCCAGTGCAACGCTAGACGCAACACCGACTCACCCGATCGCTCTCCACCTCGCCTGGCTGCATTCCTGCACGCAGTCGGTGCTGCGTGTTGCGCGCCGCCCAGCTCTTGTCTGATCCCACCCATCCAAGACGCAGCCTGCCTCTGACCGCCATGGAACCAGCTCCAGTGTTTCGTACGCCTCGCAAGAGGGTAGCCTACTACTACGACCATGATGTGGGCAACTTCAGCTACGGCCTCGGCCATCCCATGAAGCCGCACCGCATGCGCATGACGCACAACCTCGTCACCAACTACGGCCTGCACAAGAAGATGGACATCCTGCGTCCCAAGCGCGCCACGCGCGACCAGATGACACGCTTCCACACCGACGAGTACGTCGACTTTCTCCACCGCGTCACGCCCGAGACCGTGCATGAGCTCACCAACGAGGGCACGCGCTACCTCATCGGCGAGGACTGTCCTGCCTTTGACGGCCTCTACGAGTTCTGCTCCATCTCGGCGGGCGGCTCGCTCGCGGCGGCCACGCGCCTCAACTCGGGCGAGTCGGACGTGGCCATCAACTGGGCCGGCGGACTGCATCACGCCAAGAAGCGCGAGGCGAGCGGCTTCTGCTACGTCAACGACATTGTGCTCGCCATCCTCGAGCTGCTGCGCGTCCATCTGCGCGTGCTGTACATCGACATCGACATCCACCACGGCGACGGCGTCGAAGAGGCCTTCTACACCACCGACCGCGTCATGACCGCCTCGTTCCACAAGTTTGGCGACTTCTTCCCCGGCACCGGCGACGTGCGCGACGTGGGCATGAAGCGCGGCAAAAACTACTGCGTCAACGTGCCGCTGCGCGACGGCATCGGCGACACCGAGTTCGGCAACATCTTCCGGCCCGTCATCTCGCACATCATGGACTGGTACCGTCCGGGCGCCGTGGTGCTGCAGTGCGGCGCCGACTCGCTCGCGGGCGACAAGCTGGGCTGCTTCAACCTCTCGATGCGCGGCCATGCGGACTGCGTCGCGTTCATGCAGACGTTCGACGTTCCGCTCATCACGCTCGGCGGAGGAGGATATACGGTGCGCAACGTCGCACGCACCTGGACGTACGAGACCGGCCTGCTCGTCGGACAGCGGCTCGACGAAGACCTGCCGTTCAACGACTACATCCAGTACTTTGGACCCGAGTACAAGCTCGAGGTGCCGCCGACGTCGATGGACAACCTCAACACGCGCGAGTATCTCGACAATCTGCGCACCAAGGTGATCGACAATCTGCGCCAGCTGCCGTCGGCGCCCGGTGTGCAGATGCAGGAGGTGCCGCGCACCACGCTCAATCCTGCGGATGTCGAGGTGTCGGATGACGAAGACTCGGATCTGGACGAGCGCATCTCGCAGCGTCTGCGCGATGCACACGTGCAGAACTGGGACGACGAGCTGTCGGACGACGAAGACGCGCACGGCATTTCGGCGTGGGAGGCCGCCACGAGTCGGCGCTCGTCGACGGTCTCCAACGGGCGCAGGAAACCGGGCATCATGGATCCCATCAAGCCGTTCGAGCACGACCTGGGCCTCAAGTACGTTGCGCAGAACGGCGCAGGTACCGCCAAGGGCAAGGGTAGGACCAAGCGCACCTTCTTCGCAGCGAGGGCGGCCAAACCCGTGCTGGCGGATCTGCATCTGGACGAAGATGACGCGGATAGCGACGATGATGATGACCATCGTGGGCAGGCGTTGAGGCAGAGCACGCGTAGTGTGCGCTCGCGGCTGCTGGCCAACGATGCGCCCGTCGTGCGAGACGCAACGCCCTTGAGCGACGACATGGGCTCACCCGCTCTCTCCACCGCCGCTCCCTCCGTCCGAGGCCGCCGATGATGCCCCACTCACATCCAGCTCTTGTATTTGTACCCGTGCTCTTTTCACTCTTTTTCGTCTCACGGTTTTCCGCCCTTTTTCATACGTGTGTGCACGGAGAGAGACTCTGATTGTTATACAGAAGCGCGGGCGTGGCAGTCAGAAGGACTTGTCTAGGCTTCGGCAGATGCGCCGAGGCGGAACGATGCGGCATGCTGGTCGAATGCCTGTTGAAGTGCGCTGTACTCGCGCAGCAACGGATGCGATGCATTGGCGCTCCTGAGCTTGTCCATCCACTCGCCGCTTGTGGCCTGCTCGACATGTGCCGCGACCGTCGCCTTGTTCGCCAGTGCCTCGGCATGGTTGGCATCGAGCTTGAGTGCTGCATCGAGCATCTTGTTTGCGCCTGCGAAATCGGCGTTTGCCGCGAGCGCCGTAGCCTTTCCCACGAGCGAAGGCACTGCATTCACCGTGTCTGCAGCTGCGGGGTTCTGGGCCAACTCGTCATAAACATAAAAAGCCTGCTGGGTGCTTCTGCCGCCCTTTGCCAGACCGATCCATGCCTCGATGAGCTGAATGAGCAGCGAGTCGTCCGCCCACTTGCGTGCAGCGAGATACTCTGCCTCTGCCAAATCGAGCCGGTGGATGGCCAGCAGCATGTGCACACCAAGCGCCACACACTCGAGCTCGCTACTCGACGCACTTCCTACACCGAGCGTGTTGAGCGCCTCCTCCGCATCGCCATCGAGGAAGAGCGCAGTGGCGGCGGCACATCGAATCACCTCCCCCTTGGACTCGCCAACGACGGCGTGGTCGAGCAGCTCGGTGAGCGCGATGATCTCGCGCGAGGTGCCGTCCGCATCGTCCTGCGCATGCGCCTGCACGAAGCGCGCCAGCGCCTCCACAGCGGCCACGTGCGGCTCGGAAGAGTTCATCGACTTGAGAAGCGCAAGCGCCGATGCCGGGTCGGCCGGAGAGCGCGCAAGGTGCGATCGCGCAGCATAGAGCAGCGTCGAGACGGTGGTGGGGTCCGAAGAGCGCGCGTTGGACGACGACGAGAGCGCCAGATCGATGCAGCCCTGGTAGGCGGCCTGGTAGAAGAGCGATTGCACCTGAAACAGTGTCGACTCCATGATGCGAGAGGATGAGCGCGAGGTGGACGAGAGGTGGTCGATAGAGAGGGTGCGAAGAATGACGGTGTTGCTCACGCCAGCGCCTGTGTGAGGAGAGGAAGCGCACGGATCTGCTGGAAGCCGCTCGGCCTCGACACGTCGACTTTTTTTGCTTGATATTGTGAGAACTGCGGTTGTAACAAACGATAACTCTGTTGACTTGAATGTGAGATCGTTAACCCGGTCGACCTCCACAATGCTGCTGACTGCGTATGCAATGGACCCGGAGCAGACGAACTTGCTCACCTGCAGCGGCCATCACCACGACCATGGCGAGCCAGACCGCCAGCACCAGCGCCCCGACCGACGCTCAGTCCGAAATGACGCTCGCCAGTCATATCGCGCGCTCTGCCGCCGAGACAGCAGGCGCCTCTGGCATGCGGCTCGTCTACTCGACGCGCCCGCACTGGCCGTTCGCACCCGCCTCGAGCGCACCCGATGGCACGGCGCCGGCGAGCATCGACATTGCGGTGCTCGACTCTTCTTTCAACCCGCCGTCTCGTGCCCATCTCGCGCTGCTGCTGTCGGAGCCAATCCTGGCACGGCCCAAACGGAGCTACGACGGTCACCTGCTGCTCTTCTCGACGCAGAACGCCGACAAGGGCGCAGGCAAGCCGGGCGACGCGAGCCTCGAGCAGCGAGTGGAGATGATGACGCTCATGGCGCGCGATGTGGAGCGCATCCAGTCCGCCGCGGGTCGCACCGCCAATGTGGCGGTAGGGCTGGTGGATAAACCGCTGATCTTTGCCAAGTCCACGCTCACCCGCGAGCTGTTACGGCAACACCAGCCAGACCGCGACATGGCACCGACGAGACTGCACTGGGTGGTCGGGTTCGATACGCTCTACCGCGTCTTCCAGCCAAAGTACTACGAATCGCTCCACCAGATGCACGAGCAGTGCCAGAGGTTCTTTGACCACGAGCGGACTACGTTTGTATGTGCGCGGCGCGACCCAGCGTCGTACCCCCAGCTTGCGTCCAAGGATGCAGAGGGCGAGGCGAGAAGCGAGGAGGACAAGCTGCTGGCATCGAGCGACGTGGCAAAATGGGTCGAGCAGCAGTCGATCGGCATGCTCGACCTCGAGTCGGACCAGGCCAAGCTCAGCTCGACCAGCATCCGCACACTGCTCAAGGACACCAGCATCAACGATGCAGATAAGAAGCGACGCTTGGCTCAACTCGTACCGCCAGCGCTTGTCGAGTACCTTGTCGAGTCTCGCATCTATCAAGACCATCAGCCGTAACCGATCAAGAGCAAAGCTTGATGCTGTGAGCCCGATTGGTAAATGTTAGACTTTGTTTGCAGCGCGACGCGTCTTCTCGGGCGGCTGCTCTGCTCTGCTGCTCCACTTTCTTCGCAGCTGAGCTTCGAATGGCGTAAATTGGCAGCGCGCGCTGAGCCGCTCAAAGTGCGGACCTCCTTATCCCGCTTCCCTTCTTCCCCTGCGCAGCCCACATCTGCGGCTCAGTGGCCACCTCCATCTTGCTTGCTTCCGTCGTACATACTCGCCTGCCTTGGATGAGGCAGCCCACGCCTTTGCTCTGCAAAGTCTCGACACCAGCCCAGCTGCGAACACGATGATCGCTGCCTTTGCGCAGCCGCACGCACCTCCATCTTACCGACCGCAGCCCTACAACACCGCCACGGCAGGAAGAGCTGATATGGATCGACCGCATATGGATCAAACCCAGGGATCTGGATCCGAGCCTTGGTCGCCGTCGGGCTCAGCGTCGGCCTCGGACACGCCTACGCTTCCGATGCAGGTCTTCTCGTCGCCGAGCGAGAGCATCTACCCGGCGTCGACCAAGGCGGCGATCGAAGCGACTCGCGCGCGCTTCTTTGCGCGCCAAGCCTCTGGTTCGCGGTCCGCACCGCGCTCTCGACCCACCCCGACTGGCTCGGCATCGCTCTCTGCGTCGTCGCAGCCACGACGCGGTGCCAAGGACCACATGCTGTCGAGCGGGGCATCGTCGTCGTATCGCCAATCGTTCTTTGAGCGGTGTCAGCGCGCGATGAACCAGACGCGCACTGCGCAGCGCAGTGCCCAAGTGCGCGCCTTCCGCACGGGCATCGACGGTGCCACGCCCGGCTTGTATTCCGACGAAATGGATCAGGACGACGACTCGGCCCCCTCCTCTCCACCCTATCATAGCGATGCCGAGGCGAGGGAAGAGGATGACGAGTTGACACGCGCACGCATCCTCGCCGAATACGCACGGCTCAAACGCATCTACGAGCTCAAGGGACATCTGGAGATCGGCTGGATCGATCCGGATCAGCTCGAGTGGCTCGAACACGAGACGCGCGAAGACGAACTCGTCGATCCACTCGAGCGCGCCGACGACGAACAGCTCCAACAGCTCTGGATCGAGTCCCAGCAGCAGCAACAGGCATATGCGACCGACGAAGCTATGCACGACGACGATGGCTTCGACGACCCGGCGTTCGAACAGGCTCTCGCTCAACTACCCTACTGAAAAATCCCGCACGCAATGATACCCGCTCCGCATTCACCCCACACACACACACGCGCGCGCGCGCTCAGTGGTTGAGACAAAAAAGACTACACTGTATTCTTGAGATCGACACAAGTGAGGTCATCCTGACCTGGACGTGGACGACTGTTTTTCGGGAAGGAGGATGCTGCTTATGCCTGGACGGCAGTGTCGGCGATGGCGTCGGGGAGCTTGCCGCCGCGGGTGGCGGCGATGGTGTCGATGATGTTGGCGATGCTCGTGTGCCACTGCACCAGACGCGCCTCGAGCTGCTGCCACTGCGGCTTTCCAAACTGGCGGTGCGTGCTCTTGTACACGCGGAACGCCTCGTTGACCTGGCTCAGCTTGCCGGACACCAGACCGGCGCGGATGACATCGATGACCCACACCTCCACCTCGTCCGCACCCACCTCGAGCGTCTTGGCAATGTCGGCGTACGCCACATCCGACGACACCGACAGCGCACACAGATCCGCCAAGTCGAGCAGACGCATCTTGTGCACCAGCTGGTCGTGGTCGAGTCCCAGTCGTGCCAGCTCGGCGCCGTTGGCCTTGTTCCACGCCGCAAAGTCCTTGGCATTGCCGCCGACAAAGATCTTGAGCAGCTCGAATACGGGCGTGCCGTTGAGGGCCAGCACCGCCTTGATCTGCATGAGCTCCTCGAACTCGTACAGCTTGGGCAGACGCAGCGCCGCAGCCACGGTGCGCTCGGCAGCCTGCTTGGTGTCGGCACCGCCGGCGCTGTTGCTGATGAAGCGCAGGTGGAGCAGCAGGAACTGATACGCCTTGTTGGTCTGGCCGTGCTCCTTCTCGGCGCCCTCGAGCGCCTTGGCCACCGACTCGAGGCACGCCGCCTTGTCGGCCTCGGACACCTCCCACTGCGACAGCCACTGCGGCAGCGCGGTGAGCGACGAGGTGAGGTAGTCCAGATCGTCGTTGGCAGCCGCGAGCGCCAGCAGCGCGTTGAAGATGCCCAGACGCTGCGCCGACGTCGCAGGCAGGCTGTTGAACAGGTTGGACAGGATGCGATACCTCACGTTGTTCTTGTCCGCCGCGCCCTCCTTGCCGACGGCGCCGACGAGCGTGCTGAGCAGCTGTGCGGACTGCGCCGCATCGTCGCCGAACGTCGAGGTGATGAGCGAGGCGAGCAGGTTGTACACACCCTCCAGCTCGCGGTCGGTGCCCTCGCCAAGCGACCTGACTTCCGAAACCAGCTGCTGGACGGTCTGCTTCTTCTTGCCCGCGTCGGACGACGACACGGCCGCACCCTCGGCGGCGTCGGCGGCGGCGGCGGGTGCAGCCGGCTCAGCCTCGAGCGCGAGCTGCTGGAAGCGCTGGATAAAGTCGTTGCGCGAAGCCTCGGCCTGCGAGCGCGAGAGGAACGCCGAGACCTCGACGATCTGCTCCTCGAACGTGCCTTCGGCGAGAACGGTGACAAGGTCAGCCGACATGTTGGTGGTTGTTGGGTTGGGTGCGGTGAATCGACGATGGACAGTGCTCCAGGTCGGACTGGACGAAGTGGTCGTTCGTGCTGATCTCTGCGAGAATCCCTACGACGTGCTGGGCGAGAACAGGGTGAAGATGTGCAGTGTCGGACCAGGTATGGAGATGAGCGACGACTGCGAGGATGGTGGAGGGGACAGCGTAGTAGAGACCGTTGATGGCGAAGACCAAGCAAAATTGCGACCGGCCTCGCAGCCCACACCTCAAACACGGCTCCGCAGCCTGCAGCGGTGCGAGCCAGACGCGCCCAACCGCTTCCTACCCACCCGCAGCGAAAAGCCTTTTTTTTCGCAGCGCTGCAGCCAGGAAGCAACGCGCCTTTTGCCAGAGTGTCGGCGGCGGCCCTTTGAAGGCAAAGAAAATTGAACTCTCTGGCTGGAATGGAGTGCGGTTCTTCCACCCGGCCGAGACAATCATCGTGCAGGGTTCAAGCGCCCACTTGCAGCTGAGGGGCTCTCAGGCCACCGCTACAGCCATCCCGCCGCTTCGTCGGGGCTTGGCTACTCCACACCAGACCAACGCAGCCGCAACCTCGACCATGTCGTCGCTGTGGATCATCAACAAGGCCGGAGGGCTGATCTTTCAGTCGGAGCACTTTGTGCATCCCAACGCCGCATCCATGCCCAACGGCGGCCGGCTCTCGTCGAACGAATACCTGGTGCTGGCGGGCACCCTGCACGGCATCCACGCCATCACGGCCAAGCTCAACCCGGTGCCCAACCGCGCATGCTCGGGCATCGAGTCGCTCGACTCGGACCACTTTACCGTGCGCGTCATGCTCACACCCACAGGTAAGTCTGGACTCTTCGCGAATTCGAGACAATGTGCTGATTGCCTTTCACTTTGGTAGGCACAAAGTTCGTCCTGGTCACGTCGCCGGCGCATCCGAATCCGGCAGGCGTGCTGCAGCGCTGCTACGAGGCGTATGCCGATCACGTTATGAAGAATCCCTTCTATACACCGGAAATGCCTGTCCGCGTAGAGACGTTCGACAAGGCCGTCGAGGCGCTCGTCAAGGCCTGATCTCCCCCCCCCCCCCTCCGCAACGATACCCAGCTTCAGCCCGCCTCGACACGCAAACGCAATGTACTAGTATCCTCTCACTTGCAAGCATGTTGTCTATTCCTTGAGCAGCGTACATGGGCGGAGCAACTTCTTCAGCGCCGCGGGTTTGCGGTTCGGCGCGATAGCCAGACATGTCGGCACGTTCTCCGGCTGTTCGATCCACAGGAAGTGGCGTGGGAACTCGTCTGCATCCTCGGATGCTGGGCCGCGCGTCTTCTCCCACTCTGCACGCGCGGCGGTGAGCTTTTCCGAGAGCTGCGGCAGCGTCATCTTGGCCTTGCCCTCGGCGGGCGTTTGGAGCGTCACCTTGTGCATCGACTCGAGGTTGGCGCTCGAGACGTACTCGCGCGTCGCCGCCGAGTCAAGCGACGTCTGGATCGCCGCGATGGCTGCATGCGCCGACTGCGCCATCCACGGCCCCTTGGGCCACCCGAACGACGTCGACGATGCACCGTCCACGATGAGCTGCATCACCAGCGGCACCGGTGCGAGCGCCGAGGCGGGCGCGGAAGACGACATGGCTCGCAAGCGTGGGCAATGAGATCGAGCGAGTCTCCAAGAATGGGTAGAGATCATGCGCAGTGCAGGCCAGAGCGGAAGCGGAAGCGGAAGTGCGCCTCGGCGGTGCCGATGGATGAATGACGAGGCCAAGTACGGTGTTGGTGCGAAGAACGCAAACGCGCGCGCGAAGAGGTGTGGGAGAAGCAGAGCCTAAAAAAGTGGCGGCAGCCTCCACTTGCGTCGGAGAGCTTCCGAGGCGACTTTTGGAAGCTCACTTTTGCTACGCTACCTCTCTTCCTCCTGGCTCCATTGCCAGAGCGCTCATCTCCTATGGTCCTGCGGTGCCGTGGCTGGCGCATAGGCCCTATCGGTGCCGCTCGCCAATGCACACGGCCTCACTCGACGCGGGCAGTCCGTACCGCCGTCCTGCAAGCTGAGCATCGCGCTCCACCGATCCTCGACTCGGGCGCCATCGCCTCGCGCACGTCTATCCGCACACTCGCCTCGAGCTCCCGCACATCGTCGCGGCCAAACGATACGATCTACGCGCTGGCGACTGGAGCTGGCCGTGCCGGCGTAGCCATCATCCGAATCTCGGGTGCAGCGGTCGCGCACATCTACCACTCGCTGTGTCTCACCTCGCGTCTGCAGCCGTACGTGCGGCTTCCGCCGGCGCACAAGCTGGTGGTGCGCAACGTGCACCATCCGCACACGCGCGAGCTGCTCGATGCGGGCGCGGGCGCGATCCTGTTCCCTGCCGGCGCGAGCTATACCGGCGAGACCTCGCTCGAGCTTCACATCCACGGCGGCGTCGCCACGGTGAGCGATGTGCTGGATGCGCTTGGCTCGATCCGCACCGAGGCGAGGGTGAGGCCGGCCGAGGCGGGCGAGTTTACGCGGCGGGCATTTGAGCATGGGAGGCTGGATCTGGCGCGTGCAGAGGCGCTGCATGCGCTCGTGCAGGCGGAAACGTCGATGCAGCGCAGAGTGGCCGTGCAGGGCACAGCGGGGTTCCAGGCCAAGAGGTACGAGGCCATGCGTGCGCAGCTGCTCCAGGCCATGGCCATGACAGAGGCGCTCATCGATTTCAGCGACGAAGACGGCGTGGAAGACGGCACGTGGATGGCGGCCGTAGGCTCCGTCGAGCAGATGGCGCAACTGCTACGCGGTGAACTCGGCGTGGACAGCGCGCAGGCTTGGCGCGGGGCGACGGGGACGCGTCATGTCGGCGAGATCGTAAGCGACGGTGTGCGGCTGGCGATCTATGGTCCGCCGAACGCGGGCAAGAGCTCGCTGCTCAACCGGCTGGCCGACCGCGACGCAGCGATCGTGAGCGACGTCCCCGGCACCACGCGCGACGTGCTCCAGGTGCACCTCGACCTCGGCGGGTACAAGGTGATCGTCTACGATACGGCCGGTCTGCGCACGCGCGCGTGCGACGAGATTGAGCGCATCGGCATAGCGCGTGCGCGCGACGCTGTCCAATCCGCCGACCTCTCGCTCCTCGTCATCCCTGCCGACTCCACCTCCAACCCACCCCTCCTCCGCCCGCACTCGTATACCGCGCACGATGCCGATCTCGTCTTTATCAACAAGACCGACCTCCATCCCGAGTGCGCTCGAGTCTCCGGCGCAACAACGTGGAAGGGCAGCGTCAAGACCGGCGCGGGTCTCGCCGAGCTCATGGCCGGCCTGGCGCAGCTGATCCAGACCAAGTATGCAGTGAGCACCACCGAGGCGCCGCTCATCACCCACACCCGCCACCGCTTCCTCCTGCTCGAGTGCCTCGACCACATCAACCGCTTCCTCGACCTGGCAAGAGCGCGCGATCCGGACCTCGTGCTTGCGGCCGAAGAGCTGCGCTACGCCGCCAAGAGCCTCGGCAAGATCACGGGCAACCATCTGAGCGCCGACGAGATCCTCGGCTCCATCTTCTCCACCTTCTGCATCGGCAAGTAGAAGTGTGCAATTGCAAAGTGTGATGGTACAAGATGGCGCTACGCGTCGGAGGTGGGCGGGAGTGAAGCATGTGCGAGTGGAGACGGGCGTAGCGTCGGGGTGCGGTCGCTGCCTGGCGCGCGAAGTGATGCCGCTGGTGTAGGTGTGGCAGTATCGGTGTCGGATGGCTCCGCGCCGCGTGGTTGCGCAGGGGTGGTGTCGCCGGGCGTGCGATCGGTGGGCACAAACTGCGTGTACAAGAACGTCGCCTCGCCCACCATGCTTCTGCACAGCTGCAGCAGGTGTTCGAGCGACGCCACGATCTCCTCCAACAGAGCATGCTCGGCCAAGATAAAGAAGACTGCAAAGTCGACATTGCGTTTGCGCGTCCCAGCCGAGGCGGGCGAGTCGGTGCCCGACACTGCGCTCCTCTTGTGCTCTTTCGGCGTGATCGCACCGCTCTTCGACCCAAACGCGGGACTGGCTGATTGGATCGAGTGCAGGCCGTGCTTTCGATGTCGCCTCCTTACGCTCGCCAGGATTGCCTCGTGATTCAGACTGTCCAGCGCATGGAAGGCGTCGGGCACGCCTTGCGGACGCACGGGCTCCTGCTCCTCGAGCATCGTGCGCAGCTGTTCCGCCACTGCCTCGGTGAGCTCCTCGAGCGCCAACCGCGGGCTCGGCAGATACTGCGGCAGCGGCGCATGCGTCTGCAACGCCTGCCCCGTAGTCCACAGCACCAACAACACCGATGCGATCAGACTCTGCCTTAGCTCCAGCACATTCACCACCGCCTGCTGGCGTACCGACCTCAACCCATGCTCCCTACACCGCCGTAGACCCATGAGCAGCTCGAGGATCATCTGTAAGTGGTCGAGCAGCTCGGACAGCACGCGCGTGCGCTTCGGCTGGAGGCTCACCTCGATCTTCATGATATCCACCAGCCCCCTTGCCTGTCCCACGCGCCGCTCGATGCCCACCTCGAGCCTCTCGAACGCGGCGTTGGACTTGTGGCTCGACGTCAGCCCGCCCGAGAGCATCTGCCTCGACAGACTGAGGTACAGCGACTGGAGCTGCGACGTGATCGACGACACCCTCCGCACCAGCTCCAGCCGCGCATGAATCGGCCACACAAACAGATTCACCACCAGCGCCGCAATGATCCCGAAAAAGATCATGTAGCCGCGATTCCACGCGACGTGCACCACGCTTTCGCCGCTCTCCTCGGTGGGCAGCAGCGCCACGATGGGCAGCGTGAGACCCATGACGATGCCCACGCCCTGGAGCTGCGTAAACAGCATCACGTACGACGGCGGTAGCGTGGCGAGCGTGAGCAGGAAGGCGAGGGCATAGTTGTTGCCGCGACTCACCTCGTTGATCACCAGGCCCAGTAGACTGCCCGAGACGGTGCCGAGGATGCGGAAGAAGCTAGTGCGGATGCTTGCGCCCGTGGATGTCTCGAGGCAGAAAAGATACGAGATGGCCATCCACTGACCGCGCTGTTGCAGCCACCACTGCTTCGCCTCGCCCGGCGCCAGCCACGACGGCAGCGTGAGCAGTACAAAGCCGCCGGCCAACTTGATGCCGAACTTGATGTGGCGGCTGTGTCGCAGCGCTCGGATGTGTCTGGACAGTGCAATGCGCCACCTCGTCGCGCGGCGCGTGCGCAACACACTGTGCATCGCCCGAAGCTTGGTGCTGCACCACGAGCGGATGGACGTGATGCCATTGCTCACGCGCGACGGCGTGCGATCCAGCCGCGGCGCATCGCCCAGCACAAACGTCTCGGCATCGTCGTTGAAGTAGTCGAGCTGCTCCGACTCGGCTCGCAGCTCAGGCGACGCAGGCTCGTCTTCGTGCAGCAGCGCATCCACACGTTCGTCCATGAAGACCATGTCGTCGCGAACACCGAGCTCGCTGTGGCCGAGCCAGTACTGCCACTTGGCCGCCGACATGCGCAGCCTCCTATGCGGGCTGCTCTTCCATGCAGCCGCCAGCGCCAGCCCCCCGGTCAGGCACGCGTCGACGAGCAGCCCGACCTCGAGCAGAGACACCATGAGGAACGAGATCTGATACGCCTCGGTGCGGAACATGTCGGCGAGAACCTTGGGCTGGCCCACGCCCGGCGTCGCTTGGTGCGAGTCTGGCGGGTTGACGCCCAGACCCGAGCCGACGGGCATGCCGACCTTTGGATGCGCTTGCGATGTGGACGTGGCGTTGAGTTCGGCGCGCGACTCTCGAACAGCATCGTTGAGGGCCGCCTTGAACGTGCGGATGGATGCGCGCAGCCTCTGCTTCTGCTGAGCCAAGGCGAGGTGCGGATCACCCCCACCCGCAGCCGCGTCCTCCTTCTCGTTGCGTCCACTCGATGGCTGCACACCGTCTGCCGCGCTCGAGCCGGTACACTTGCGCACTGTCCAATGCAGGCACGCCAGCGCTGCCGAAACCTCGACGCTAAACGTACGAATCGAGTGCTTGAAATCAAATGCTGCCTTTGTCTCCTCCACCGGTGTGCTGACCCCAGGCTGCTCCGCCAATCCCGATCCGATCTCTGCAGCCTCCACGGTCTCTGCTTGTTGCTTGGCCTCGCCAAGACATGCGAGGCTGCACGAGAACCATGCACGGATATCCCTCAGGATGGGCAGAAACACGTGCAGCTGCTCGACCCCCACGCGTGCAAACCCGACCTCGTAGCGTGCCGCATCAAAGTTGGCCTCGAGGCGCGTCTGCAGTGATCCGAGCTGCTCCTTGAGCTGTTTAAAGCTCTCCGCGGGCGCATCCTGGGCGGTAATCCCCTGTGGCCCGAGCGTCTTGTTCGGCTTGAGGCTTGCCGAGAACTCCTGAATCGCTTTGGCCATGAGCCTATCGGTACCCTGGAACAGCTGGCAGAGCTGATCGATCGACGTGCGTCGAGCCGTGCGTGGAAAGATGAGGCAGTTGCAAGAGATGCCCACGACCATGGCGACGAGTGCGGGATAGAAGCTGTCCAAAAAGATGCGAGCCGTTGCCACATTATACTGCTTCGTGAGTTCCCATACCGTGCTGAAGAGCAGCGCACGACAAGGACCCCTGAGACGCGGTGCATAGCTCGAAAGCACACCCGAAACAAACGACAGAAAGATCAGGGTGCAAACACCGATCGCTCTGGACTGCTTGGAGCTGTAGGCGGCAGCGCCGGCGCCGTCGATCGAGATGGCGCCACAAATCGCACCGAACGCAATGCCCGTTCCTGCCGCCACAAAGACGAGGGTGATGATGGATCGCTCCAAGAACGCGCCGGTTGCAAGTGGGGAGGGAAAGAAGAAGAGGAAAAAGTGGATGTAGGCAAAGAAAGGGTCTGCAGAGATCCACGTCTTGAGCCGACGCTCAAGCACAAACGGGCTGATGAGCAGCGCACCCGCCACGGGCGGCGCGAGAAGCTTGATGCGCGGCCATATCCGCTCCCACCGCTTCCGAATGCGAGTGACACCACGAGAGCCTCGTTGAGCTTTGGCGTTGTCGAGAGTGGCGCTCGAGTCGCTCATGGGCAACACGGGTCGTCTAGATGGCAGCGGGTCTGGATATAGTGCGCGGTGTCATGTTGTGAGAAACGCGCATGCGCTTGCCAAGCTGGCGCCTAGAGCCGTCGGAGTCGTCCAGTCGGATGAACGGTCCTCCTAGTGCGGTTCAAGGATGGCAGTGTTCGACGTGGTATGGAGCAGGGAGTGGATGGATGCCCAGAGACAATGTGTTTGGTGGGACACGGGAAGAAGGGCATGCTGAGCTCCGGCAAGCTGCCAAAAAATGAAATCGCGCTTAGCCGAAAATTGCCGAAATCAGCGCCCAAAGTGGAGGCGACTTTTTTTGGAGTGTGAGATCGTTTTACGTCGGTCGCCCCTCCGCTAGGCTGCCGGACTTTGGCGTCCCCGGCACGACCGCATGGCCGAAGCTTCCGGATAAGTTAAGGCCAGCCTGTCGTTGCGAGCATCATCATGAGCATCATCATGAATCGTGAATGCGATGGCGCTGGATCTGGACAGTGCATGTACTGAAGCTGTAGCATGCACGAGTCTATGTTCTTGCTCACGGCGCAGGCCAGGGCGACGAGCAATGCCGCGGTTACGGCGTCTATTGCCATGCTCAGATCAGGCGTCCATGTGAGATTCGAATCCTGCCTCGTCGAGGAAGCACGGGCTCTGAGTATTTGCAGCGCTGGCTGGGCTGGATCTGCCCGAGGTGGGAAAGAAAGATGGCGGGTGGTTGCGGGTGCATGGGGAGGATGCGCAATGCAAGGCGAGTGCATTGACAGCCCCAACTCCGGCCGTTCCTGTCGGCGTTGCAAGATGCCATCGTCTCCTCCAACGGGATGCTGCGGCCTGGACGTCGGAATCCGGACTCCCGCAGCAAAGCCTTCGAGGCCGAAGCGTCGTCGTAGCGATCCCCAGCCGAAGCGAGCTTGGATCGCATGTGGGCTTCGATAGGATCGGCTGGCATCGGTTGTCAGTGTGGATCGGATGATCCGCGGTGTGAGCCTCTTGGCCTGGTGATGGAGTCGAGTGAGAGCCGCAAGAAAGGCGAGGCGGGCAGCGAGCGAGGATCGGCAGGCACACGCGAAATCAGGCGAGGTGCATGTGATTATACGAAGAGGGACCCTGGGACCATGAGGCTCCGAGGCAGGCAAGGCAGGCAAGGCAGGCGAGGCAGCCGATCGCGGGCGTGCACATTGGAGCTCCGACGCGCTGTCACATCGGCAGCCGAGCCGACCAAAAATGTCCAAGTTGGCCGCCGCCTTGCGTGCGTAGCGAGCGAATCTAAGCCTTCTTTGTCGCCCGACCAAACAAGGCAGGACGGGCAAAGTGCATGAATTTGCGGCTTGGAGTGCGTGTTTGCAACTCGCCAAAACTCGGTTCCGCGGACGTGGCGAGCTTGACTCGCTTGACTCGTCCATGGGGGTCGAGCTGCTACCCAACGGGCAAGTTGGCTCGACGATGGGGAGAAAGCGAGACACGTCAATGCGCACACTGCATGCAAGCGAGAGCGAGGTTAGCGGCGACAGTGACGTTTCCGAGGCTTCTTCCGATGGATTCCTTCCACACTTGCAACGCGTAGCCGACCAGCTGGTGCACGAGGTCCCATGCATCACGATCGTCGACAGGTACCACCAAACAGTTCGGTGTGGGGGGGAGAACGATCAATGTGGTCAGAGTGCTGCGGATGCGCGCGATCGAGGTGGTTCGGGCTGGATGCCAAGCGAGGCTGCTACTTGGGCCAAGCCGATTTGACGCACATCCGTCCCCTGGCAGCCCCGGCACAGCAGAGCACAGCAGAGCACAGCAGAGCACAGCATGACACGGCATGGCATGGCATTGCAGCACGCAGCACCACTCAGCATCACCTTGGCGCGTCCAGCTTGCACGGCCCTTGCTGAAACCGGACGCCCAATGCGACGCATAAAGTCGTCGGGAAAAAAAGGCCCGGGTTCGCCGTTCATTTCTTTTCATTTTTATTTGTTCTTTGATACTTTTTACCGAAGCTGGCTGGGGCTGGTTTGTAAGCGAGCGTGTTGGTCTCGCCTAGCTCGCTTGTCAGTCTTTGCTCGCCTGGCGATGGTGTGTGGTGTGCAAGTGCACCAACAACATGGGCTTTGCGCTCGATGCAAAACGAAACGCTCGGGCGGCTGGGCGGCTGCGCAGGGTTGTGCTGGAGCGTGCGGTTGTTGGAGCGGGTAGAGGCGCGCGCGTGATTGATTCATATGGCGGTGCCGACGAGCCAAATTGCGCTTTTTCGGTGCGCGTCCGACACTCCCCGCCCGCAACGCAAAGGCGCTCTCTCCGCAAGCCCAACTGGAGCTGTGGCCATTTCATGCGGCTCCTGTGATTGTCACGTCCATGCCTTATATTTTTTTCCACACAGTCACACGGCTGCATGCGTGGGAAGCCAGATGCACACTGCATTGCGCTCAGACAGGCGCATCACCTTGCCTTCCCATGAATGCGGCCCGGCTGCATCTAGACCCGCAGCAGATGATCGAATTCCACAGCTGCGTTGACACGGAATCCGTCGATTGAGATCTTCGCCTAGTCTCGCCCACGGGAGCAGCAGCAGCAGCAGCACCGCCCAACGTTGCAAACGTCGGCGTCGCGATCGTGTTTGTCCAGGCCTACCCTCGTAGCGAAGGCGCACCACTGCACGTCACGGATATGAGCTTGCACTAGCCGCGGGCAGCACGCTCGGCATCGCGGCTCCATTCACCACAAGGCGTGCTCATGGGGAGCTCGACCGTGTCGATCAGGATCTTCGGCTGAGCTCCCGCCCGTCCTGCGCTCTCTCTGTCTCTCACTCTCACTCCCGAGTCAAAGAAACGCCACTTTGGCGCTGGTCTCAAATGCTGTCTGTCACATGGAATCCAGGCCGTCATATTGAACTCTCCATTCTCTCTCTGCAGCGTCACAGTGACAGCTGCGAGCGAGCTGCGAGTAAGAACGGCGATCTCGACTTGCGGCTCGACGCGGAGATGCAGCGTGCTGTACGTCTGTGCGTGCTGCAGATGGCCGTGGCATGGCGTGGCATGGCGTCGAGTCGAGTCGACTCGCCGGCGCACAGAGTGACACGATGCAGTTCGAGAGCCCGCTGCTCCTCATCGCCTCCCGCGCCTATCCCGGCCTGTCTCGAATCGACCCGCCTCGCCTTGCTTCGCCTCGCCTCGCATGGGTTGCAATGCATCCGCCCGCTCACTGCATCGGCGCACCATTCTGCGCTGCCGCACTCTCCCTCGTCGCCGTCCGCAAAAACTTGTTCCTTTGGACCCTGTTCTTTGAGCTCCCCCTCCCCCACAGCGCCGTCGTGCCACTGCGCTCTCTCACTCTCTCCTTCCTTGTGTGTCCTAAATGACTCTGCCGTTTGGCTCCCCTTTCATCCTTCTCACCTCCGCAATCACCACCACCTCGTCGTCGCCGCCGTCGAGTTCCGGTCCCTCCGTCTTGATATCCCCGTGGGTACGAGCCTGCCGTTCAACCGTCGGTCTCCACCACCGCGTACCACACTCTCGTGCCCCCCTCCTCATCAAGCCCGGCAGCATCTCATATACCCTACCCTCGGGCTCAGCCGCTCTGCTTTCTCATTCAAGCCTGCACCTCCACTCGCCTCACCTGCAGCAAAATCACCGTCCTCCTTGGCATCTTCCCACCCCACTTCTTCATACTCTGCTCCGCTCTGCAGCTGCTGCTGCTGCTGCTGCTGCTACTGCCGCCGCTGCCGCCACTGCTGACTAGCCGGCAACTACATACCTTGTCCCGCTTTCGCGCAGCCCCAAAGCACCCTGTCCATCTCCGCCTTACATCCGTCCACTCACGGCGCAGCTTCCAAAACAAGATTTGGCTTTCCGCCACCGCAACATCGTCCGGTTGCACAACTTCTCATCCGTCACAGTCACATCCGCCACTCGACTTTGTCACGCTTCCCCAACTCGCACATCCGTGCACGAGCCTCATCAACCTCCCAACTCATCAATCAAGCACCTAATCCAAAAGTGTGCCCAGCAGCTGCTCCCCATCGTCGGATGCCAGCCTCCCTCCAACACTTCCGTCGTTGACTGGAGATAAGACGTCTTGTCCACCTTCCTTCTCCATCCCTCCCCGTCCCCGTCCCCCGTCCTCGTCTCTGTCCTCTTTCTCGACCTTTTCGACCCTTGCATTCCCTTCGACCCTTACATTCCCTTGCGTTCCTTTTCGGCTTCCAGCCCCGTCCAAGCTCAAGCTCTTCCTAGCTTGCAAACAAGATACCCCTCGGCTCCACATCGTCAGCGGACGCACTCGACCGGATGAATCGCAGGCCCTTGGCGCCCGCCCCAACCTCCGTTCAAAATGTAGCTCAAGCAACCCTCCGCTCTCACTCCCGAGCTGCTCATGGAGGCTCGGGCACCTACACAGAGATGCGCGCTCAGATTCGCAAGGAGCGCGAGCAACAGCGCCACGTCGGCGCCGGCCCCAACCCCGCCACCACCCACGCTGGCAGAGACGTCGACCAACACGCTCGCAAGTCGAGCTCGGCCTCGGCCAATACCTCCGTCCAGCTGTCCGCCAGCATTTCGGATCAAAAGATCACTCAGTACTCCAGCGATCCTACCACCGACGACCAAGCCGCCGAAAGGAAGTCCTACCTCCGTGTCATGGCCCCTTCGAGCTTCGCCATGAGCTCCGACAACATCTCCAACATGTCGAACGCCTCGAGCCAGATCTCGTCCTCCTCCTCTCAAGGTGTCGTAAGGAAGCGCAGCCAGACTTTGTCCACACAGCAGCAGCAGTCGCAGCAGCAGCCACAGCAGCCCGTCCAAACGCAGCCTCATGTCCAGTCCCATCAGCCACAATCCCAAATGCACCAGCTCCAGCACCAATTCCAGCATCAGCTCCAGCTTCAGCATCAGCAGCCACTTCGCCACGACACACGCTACACCTTCCAAGAAGATCTCCTGCCTCGCATCAGTTCGCCACTCCTCGAGGAAGAGCAACAGGTAAGTATTCGCAGTTACGGCCCAACATCGTCTTGATGTTCGGACCCAGCCTTGCATCTAGTGCGATACAAAACCAAAGCAATCCGGATGGCTCTCTTACACCCTCGTCTCTCTTGTCGCCACAGATCGGTATCGACGCCCTGCAGGACGCCTTCCAGGCCAAGTACTACGAGCTTGCCGCCAAGTGCAAGGGTTGGGAGAAGTACTCGGCGAAGCTCAAGGCTCACCTCGGCGCTCTCGAGGCCGAGAACCGGCTCATCAAGGAGCAAAACTCTCAACTCGAGGCCGAAAATGCCGAACTCCGTGCTGTGGTGCTTCAAGAAGCAAAGACGAGGACCAGGCTTGAGGGGCGTATGAACACGCTCGAGGACTGTCTCTCCCAGCGAAGCTTGTCCGGCGGAAATCTCAACGCCCAGTATCGCGCCGTCGACGTCGTCGACTACGATCATCTCTCGGTGCCATCGGCGCCTTCCTCGGCAGAGAGGAACACCGAGGCCGCACCGGCGCCTCGTCACACGCCCTACTGCTCCTCCAACCTCCAGTTCGAGGACCGCTCCGAGCTTCGTCCATCCGCCTCCACCCACCCCAATGCCTTCTCCATGGTTCAGACAGTCACAACGACGCAGCATCTGGAGCCCGATCTCGGCGCGCAGATTGCCGCATCCAACCGCGACTTCTCGCTCGAGGCCGCGAGGAGCAGCATGGACACCACTCGTTCCATCGCTGGTTCGCAGAGCCCGATGCCAGAGCACGTTGCTGGCGCAGGCGCCTTTGACGGGCCTGCCAGAGTCGCTGCAGAGGGTCGAAGCTCTCGACTTGGCACTCGCTCCGACGTGCCCGAGAAGCGCCCCGCGCATCAGCGATCCGGCACCGTCGGTGCTTTGGGCATGGTCGGCCCGCGCGCTGGCACCGTCCTGGGCGACTACCGAGGCACTCACGCCTTGACGTCGCAGGCGCTGGCTCACCAAGATGCCGCCGAGTCGATCGCACGTCCTGCGTCGGCTCAGCGTTTCCACGGCACCTACCTCGAAAGCAACATCGCCACCACGGCCGCGAGCATCGTGGCCAGCACCGGCGTGACCAAGGCAGCGCTGCAGAGCAAGCGTCGCAGCACCGTCTCGGGCGACCGTGCTTCGAGCCTCAGCCTGGCGCAGATCGTAAAGGGCGCCCTCACCGCCTCGGGCGTCGTGGCTAGATCCTCGTCCACCACCTTGAGCCGCCAATCAAGCCCGAACGACAAGCCCCAGTCCAGCAGCGACTACCTCCAAGAGTGCGTCGAGAAGCGACGCGAGGCCATGCGGTCCTCGTTCAATGCGCAGCAAAAGACCATGACGCCGATCGGCTGCCAGACGGTGCCCTCGCGGCCCGCGTCTCGTGCCGCCTCTCGCCTCAGCACCCAGTCGGGCACTCGCACGCGCAGCCGGGCTGGAAGCGTGCACGACGCCATTCCCGTTGCAGTCGAGGACATCTTCTGCAACCAAAAGACGGTCAAGGCGCACTCGAACGAGACCTCGCCCGAGTTGCTCACCGAGCAGCTCGCTGCGGCCGGCCTGAACGTCCATGCCGACATCACCGCCGCTTCGCAGCGACTGATGGCTGCGACGGAGGGCCAATCGGTGCGACTGATGGCACGCGAAGAGCTGAGCACCGCGTCGAGCCCTAGCTCGCTCGTCTCGGCCTCGCCCGCACTCGAGGCGGAAGAGGGCATCTCGTTTGAGCGCAAGCTGTACATGCGCTTCCAGCAGGAGCTCAACGGCGAGGAGTTCCAGAAGTTCGAGCGGTGCATCCAGCGCTACGACTTTTTGGACATTCCGCTCGAGGGCAGCAAGGGCCTCATCACGCGCGTCAAGCGGCTCTTGCTCGTCTCGGATCCCGACCTGCGTTCGAAGCCGGACAAGCTCAAGGTGCGCCAGCAGCTCGCGCGCGACTTTGAGAAGATGGCCAAGAACTTCAGCCAGGCTCAGAGCACGCAGCCTTGAAGACGCCGCTGCCTCCATGTTGTCGAGAGACGTCGCCATGTCGACTGTCCTCGGCGCCCCCAAAAGCGTCGCGTTCCAGAGCGACAACAAGCGGTGTCTCGCCGCTTTATGAACCACTGTATCTCGATCGACTCCTGTTGTGTATCCCATGCCCACCTTGACCCTCGCCTTTCCCTTTCCTTCCGCGGGCCCACACGTCGCTCGACAAACTCTGCTTTGGGAGCGGCGTCGACGGGTGCCCGGGACCGCTTTCGTCCGCAACCACTCTGTCCTTTGCACGCCGCTCGTTCTCACGTTGCTCTCTCTTCTTACCCTCGATGCTGTCGTCTAGCAGCATTGCCTATCGTCGCATGTGTAATCCCGACGAATCCATGATATGAACGCGTTGCAGGCTGTGCGAGGCTGTGCGAGGCGACGGTGGGTTGGTGATTGCATGCGTGCGTGCGATGTAGTACATGGTGGTTGGTCAGGCTTCCTTTCTGCGCTTCTTCTCGCGCACGTCTGGGGGTGACTTTGTGGAAGACGACTTGCGCTTGTGCTTTTCGGAGGCTGACTTTGCGGACGAGTCGATGGAGGGCGGTTCAGCCTTGACGATCTGTGGGGTTTCGAGTGCGGAGAGGTCTGGTTGGTCGTGGTCTGTGTCGGAGTTGTCCTGGTCCTGCCAACGCACGCGTCTTGGCGGGGTGGGAGCGGGGGATTCGGCGGCCTGGGTGGTTGGACGGGCGGATGGAGTTGCGAGACCGAGTTGGTTTGGGAGCAGGCTCTTTTTGAGGTAGGAGCGGTCGAGTGTGGGTGGGGGGCCTTTGAAGGGGTCTGGGAGGAGCGAGCCGTGGAGGGAGAGCATGTGGTTGGCCACTGTGAGGCTGATGACGGTGAAAGCGAGGGTGCCCTTTTGGCCTCCAAGGCGAGATCCGTCTGATTTGCTCTGCCAGTATCCAAGGCCGTGATCATTCGACCCAGCCTCTGCATCGTTGAGCACAAACTCCCAATCCTCCTCGGGCAGATGGGATGCAGGGATCGAGGCGTTGAACAAGCCATAGAGCAGGAGGGATACGTGGGATGGGGAGGAGAGACAGATGGTTCCCTCGAGCATCTGACCGATCTTGGGTCTCCAAACGACGCATTCGAACCCCACGGCTGCGGTGGCGAAAGCCGAGTCGGCAGAGAAGAGTGCGGTGTCCTGGAGGAAGCGCGTGGGCGAGTGGGTGATGAGCACGCCCGAGAGCTGCGGTACATGGCGCATGACGAGCGTATCCATAAGGTCGGAGAATGCGGCATACGGATCGTTGGACCACACGGGTGGGATGGGAAGGTTGAGCACGGGATACATGGTCTCAAATGCCGAGGTTACGGTGCGAGACCCGGAGGCAGTGCTCGATGCCGACGCCGCACCATCCTCCACGACGGTCAGAGGAAGCGTGGACGAGGAGGATGACGACTTGCGACTCTTTTTGGACTCGGAGCCGGACTTGGACTCGCGTCGCTTGGACTTGTCCTTGGTCTTGGTCTTGCCGTCTTTCGACATGATGCCGAGTGGGAGGGGGTATGCTGCGATCGTGCTGGATGTTGTGCGATGAGGATGGAGAGGGTGGAAATGGCAATGTTGGATTTGATGCGCAATGGCAGGTTGGACTGCTGCACCCTTCTTCGCTCGCCTTTTTTCCAGGAATTTTTTTTCCTGCTGGGCTGCAACCGCCTCCACTGCAGGCTCGGAAGTCGGAGCCACAGCATCGGGGAAAGGAGGATCGGGCATGTGGAGAAGCGACTCAATCAAATCGATCCGACCAGCCATGCACGCAACTGAGCGCGGATGGAAATTCTTCGCGTCGGCTTTGGCGCAGAGATACAGGCGTGTGGAATATCTTTCATTCCGCTCGATCACCTCGATTTCCACCCGCACAGCCATTCGTTTGCGCAAGCGTGACAAAACTTTTGAATGCAACCTCTGCAATTTCGCCTGCGGGCGGGCTCGGTGTTGAACTCACGTCACCGCCCGCTCACAACATCTGTCACTCTTGGCCGCTCGCCCGCTGTGCAGTGATGCATGGGTTCATTTTTTTTTCTGAGACGGCTGCGTCAAGTCCGAAGCCGCCCTTTGTGCTTGCGAGGCTTGCCACTCTGTGTCTGCAATTCTTCTTTCCCTCCCTCTCCCCATCACATATCGACATTCACCCCTCTTCCCCACACGCACACATATTCTTCCGCACAAAATGTCTGCCGAGAACCAGGAGATCCCTCAGTTCAAGCTCGTGCTTGTCGGTGACGGTGGTACGGGCAAGACGACCTTCGTTAAGCGTCACTTGACGGGCGAGTTCGAGAAGAAGTACATCGCCACGCTCGGTGTCGAGGTACACCCTCTTCAGTTCCACACCAACTTTGGTACGATTTGCTTCAACGTTTGGGACACTGCGGGCCAGGAGAAGTTCGGCGGTCTGCGCGATGGCTACTACATCCAGGGACAGTGTGGTATCATCATGTTTGACGTGACGTCGCGCATCACGTACAAGAACGTGCCCAACTGGCACCGCGACCTGGAGCGCGTGTGCGAGAACATCCCCATCGTGCTGTGCGGCAACAAGGTCGACGTCAAGGAGCGCAAGGTCAAGACCGGCGCCGTCACCTTCCACCGAAAGAAGAACCTCCAGTACTTCGAGATCTCGGCCAAGTCCAACTACAACTTCGAAAAGCCCTTCCTCTGGCTCGCGCGCAAGCTCGTGGGCAACCCCACGCTCGAGTTCGCTGCCGCCCCGGCACTCGCCCCGCCCGAGGTCCAGGTCGACGAGCAGCTCATGGCCCAGTACAACGCCGAACTCCAGGCCGCCGCCGCTGCTCCCCTGCCCGACGAGGACGATGGCGACCTCTAAGCGCGCGCGCACCCTCTTTCCCGCACCGTTGCCCGCACTGCTTGCTGCCAATGCTTAGTCGTGTAGTGGATCAATCGTGCGCACACTTCCCCCTTTTGCATTCCTCTTCCCCTGCCATAATACCTGCATCGTGCCCAAGCCTGTCTTCCACGGCGTGTGTGTGTGACTTTGTCGGCGTGTGTCTTTCTGCATCCGCTCAACTACCGGGCCAGCTCGACATTCTGAAGCGGAGTGATTTTCGAGGATGGACAGTGTTAGGCCGCTGCGGTGGGGGCTTGGGAACGAGGGTGTCTCGTGCGTGAAGTGAGCTGGGAATTTTGGGGTTGTCGCCGGGGGTTGTGGCGCGGTCTGTGCACTTTTTCTTCTCAGGACAAGGCCAGGCGTAAGGGGGAAGATCGCGCGCTGATCGGGTTGGCTTGCGAAAGGCCGGCGCGTCGAGGCTGCGCACGGGGCAACCAAGGTGCAACCTCCCTGGCTGCTCGAATCAAGTGATGCGCCTGACGAAAGACTCTCGGATACACCTCACTTTTGTCACCGATGCAAGACTCAGCTTGGCTAAGTCATGTGTGGATTCGAGCGATGTGGTGATTTCATATGGCGGAGGTGGGGGGGGGATGCGTGGATGGGCAGATCAGTCGATCCTTTTCTTGCGAGCCGGGGTGTACCGCCGAGGCCATACATGTGTGCTGCCGATGCAAGGCTTGCCAGATCGGCATGGGATGCAGACGCGGCCAAGCCAAGCTGGGGCTCGGTGTCGAGGATGCGGGATCGATTTCCAAGCTGGGCCTCCTTGCGTGTGTCGCGGCGGCGGGAAGGGCAAGGCAGGGAGCAACAGGCCGCGTTGTCGTGTGCGTGCGTGTGCGTGTGCGTGTGCGTGTGTGTGTTGATTCTCTCTGCTTCCACGTCCGACACTGCTGGTTGGGGGCAGAGGCGCGTTGGAGGGGAAAAAAGGCCAACACGGATGGGCCGAATTGCACGATTAGCACCGAGTTCAATGGGGCATTTCAAAGCGTGAGATTCGCTAAGGTGGGCGGAATTCAAAATGTGCGATGGGGGAGAGGGGGGTCAAGCGCACGACTGAGCAGAGGCGCGCGTGTGTGTGTGTGTGTCTGAATCTGCAACTCGGTGCGCTGGCCATCCGCTCGCTCGCCAACTGACGCCGCCCCCCCGTCCGCATCCGCATTCGCGTCTCGCTCGAAAAGCCCAACTCTCTCTCAATTCACAGGCACATGCGCCCAGTAAGCGCGCGCGCTCTTGCCTCGCTCGCCCGCTCGGCCTGCGCACCGCCTCGCCTCTCGGTCTGCTCTCCTCGAGACGGTGTGTTCGCCCGCGTCTGGAGGGCGGAAGGCGCTGGAGCGTGCCCACCCGCAACTCACGCCTTCCTTCCGCCTCCGTTATCGTCCCTCACTTCCACCAACCCGCTCTCACCACCTCGTGTCACTTTGATCATCATCATCACCACCATCATCCGCATCCACCTGTTCACTTCAGGGTAAGTCCATCCCCTCCCTAACCCTTGCCCAATGCATGCCCGTCCATCCACATCACCAACGCCGTCGCCACCACGCACGCACGCACACATACATACGCGCCCGCCACTCGACGCGCCCCCCAACCCAATCGCGTATCCATCGTCCCACCCGTCGACGCCACCATGCCGACCCAATCTTTCAGCATGCACATTCGTACCATCGATCTGCATCACTCGCACACCTCCCGGCTAGGCAAGAGCGCAGTCGCCATCCATGCACGTCACATCGTCTTGGCAAACTCAGCATCCACGCGCGTCTTGACACTTTACCCATAAGGCCGTTCAGCATCAATCGACATGTGCGGTACAACGACACCGGCCACACATGCACACATGCATGCTTCAACACCCTGCCCAAAGAGTTTCACGAAACAATGATCGTCGTCATCGTCTATCTCATCGGCCTCTCGCCACCACCAAGCTGTTCAAAACAGTGGCCTTGAGCGTCCTTCCCCGCGCAGCAGGGTCACTCTAGTGCCAGGCGAGCCGCATCTGCCACTCTTGCGGCAATAAGGTCAACACCAAAAGCGCCAGCGTCTCAACAGCCTCTGGCTCCGACACCCCTTTGTGCATAATACCCGCCTTGGACGGGCATTGCACTTCGACTACTGCGATCGATCGCGTGATGAAAACCCCTGCTGACTTGCCCCTTCGCGCCTCACAGCCTCTTCAACCTTTGATCATCCTAGAACTTTTTTTTCTTTTCGACAACCTACTTCACAATGCCGGAATCGCGTGAGGACTCTGTCTACCTCGCCAAGCTCGCCGAGCAGGCTGAGCGCTACGAGGGTAAGTACCTTACCAGCCACAATTCGAAGAGAAGGTGAAGATGGGACCGCGCAAACTGACCTCTCCACCTCGTTTATTGCACGCACGCAGAGATGGTCGAGAACATGAAGCGCGTCGCTTCGTCCGACCAGGAGCTTACCGTCGAGGAGCGCAACCTTCTCTCGGTCGCTTACAAGAACGTCATTGGCGCCCGCCGTGCCTCGTGGCGCATCGTCTCCTCCATCGAGCAGAAGGAGGAGTCCAAGGGCAACGAGACGCAGGTCTCCATGATCAAGACCTACCGCGAGAAGATCGAGGCCGAGCTCGCCCAGATCTGCGAGGACATCCTCGACGTTCTCGACAAGCACCTCATCCCCTCGGCCGCCTCGGGCGAGTCCAAGGTCTTCTACCACAAGATGTACGTGTCGCATTCTCCCCCTTTCGCCCAGAATGCCAGAGAGCAGAGCTGACCCCTTTTTTTTAATTCGCTTCACACAGGAAGGGTGACTACCACCGATACCTCGCCGAGTTCGCCACTGGCGACAAGCGCAAGGACTCTGCCGACAAGTCGCTCGAGGCCTACAAGGCCGCCTCGGACGTTGCCGTCACCGAGCTGCCCCCCACGCACCCCATCCGCCTGGGTCTGGCGCTCAACTTCTCGGTGTTCTACTACGAGATCCTCAACAGCCCCGACCGCGCCTGCCACCTCGCCAAGCAGGCATTCGACGACGCCATCGCCGAGCTCGACACGCTCTCGGAGGAGAGCTACAAGGACTCGACGCTCATCATGCAGCTCCTGCGCGACAACCTCACCCTCTGGACCTCGGACATGCAAGATTCCGAGAAGCCCACCGAGGCCGCTGCCGCCGACGCCCCGGCTGCCGAGGCCAAGGGCGAGGAGGCTGCCTAAATGGGTCGAGCTCCCCGCAAGTTGAAAGTTAAAAGGCTCGGCTCCCATCCCTCGCTCCTCCTCCTCATCCCTCTTCCTCTCTCTCTCGCGCTTTCCCTTTTTTGTTTCCCTTCTTGTTTTTCCCCCTCCCCTCCCCACGTCATTTGGAGGCCGTCGCTTTCGTCTCGCATCCCCGACGTCGTTTGTCTTCGTTTGCTTGATCGGCTGATGCGCGCGGTCGCACATTGGCTGGTCGTGCATGGCGACGCGCGGCGGGGGGAAAGGGATTGTGCTGTACCTGTAGTCCAGGTCATGTTACCGAATATCTTCCATTCGACGTCGTGCTATATCCAGAAGATGTTTTTTTCCACAGTCGTGCGCGGCTCAAGTGAGAAGGAGTGCGCTGCATAGGATGAGTGAAAGAGCGTTTGGTGTGGCGGTGAGGGGAGGTGGAGAGGGGAGGTGGAGAGGGGAGGTGGAGAGGGGAGCCCTTTGTGAGGGGGTTGGAGTGGCCGTGTTGGATGGGCGGTGCAGGTTGGGAGGCGCGCGCGCGCACGGCCGAAATTGGGCGTCCGGCGGACTTTGGACCCCGCCCCCCCTTTGTCTTGTCCACCGTTCGAGGAAGCTTGCTTTCACTGCGCAATCGTCGTTCTCTCTCGGCCTCAGTAAGCGTCCATCACTGTCGCTTTGGAATAGCCCGCGCAATCGTCCCGCAAGCCTACCTGCCGGGTCCTGCTCTCACGGCCGTCATATCTGGCACAACCTAATACTGCCTCGGTGTCAGTCCTGCTCGCCATCGTCGCTTTCTTCACTGTCCGACCTTCCCGCAAGCCTAGCTCTCTGGTCCTGACCTCACGGCCGTAACAGCCTGCACAACCTCCTGCTCCCTCGGTTTCGATCCTGTTCTCCATCGAGCAGCCCTTCACCACCGTCGCTTCCCTTCACCGCTCCCTCGCAAGCGTCGCTTCTGTCACGGGACGATTGCCTCCCGAGCCTATTCGACGGTCCTGTTAAGAGCTCGGCCTCCGCTCATCTACTTCCCAGTCGAGCCTGATCGCACCGCCATCAATTTCTTCACAACGCAGGCCTCCCTCGAGCCTGATCTCACCCCTGTCGCTTCTCTTGCAAACCGCTCCCGCTCGCCTACTGTGCCGGGATCACGTTCGTCGTTGAGCCTTTCCTCAACGCCTGACACAACCTCCTACTCCCTCGGTCTCGATCGCGCCAGCCGGAGCCGTTCTTCACCACCGTCGCGCCTTTCGCTGCGCTAATCTCACCTGAGCCTACTCCTTGGTACTGCCCATCGTCGAGTCCTTTCTCTCGCCCGTCGCGTAGTAAACAGCCTGCACAGCTGTCTCGCTCGCATACTCTCAGGCCCTGCTCTCAAGACCGTCGCTTCTTTCGAACAGTTCGCCCCGCTCGCCTGCTCCCTTTCGAGCCTGCTCTCATACGCACCGCCTCCGCGACGCGTCCGTAAAGCATCGCTCGCAGCAGCGCACAACAGCATCGAAGTCCAGCACCACTTTTATCCGCCTGCGACGGCGCAAAGTAACGCAGGATGAACTCCAACTCGTCGTCGTCCATGCGCGGGCTCACGCAGTACATCGCCGACCTGCGAGCATGCCGTGTGCGCGAGCTCGAAGAGAGAAGGATCAACAAGGAGATGGCGCACATCCGCGCCAAGTTCAAGGAGGGCCAGCTCGACGGCTACCAAAAGAAGAAGTACCTTTCCAAGATCGTCTTCACCTACATCCTCGGCTACCAGGTCGATATCGGTCACATGGAGGCCGTCAACCTCATCGCCAGCACAAAGTACTCGGAGAAGCAGATCGGATACCTCGCCATCACGCTGCTCATGCACGAAAACTCGGACATCGTACGCCTCGTGGTCAACTCGATCCGCAAGGACCTCGACGAGATCAGCGAGGTGAACAACTGCCTCGCCCTCCACGCCATCGCCAACATCGGCGGCAAGGAGATGGCCGAGGCGCTCGCCGGCGACGTCCATCGGCTGCTCATCTCGCCCACCTCGCGCAGCTTTGTCAAGAAGAAGGCGGCGCTCACGCTGCTGCGCCTCTACCGCAAGCATCCCGACGTCATCCCCGCAGACGAGTGGGCGCTGCGCATCATCGCCATCATGGACGACGACGACCTCGGCGTCGCGCTCGCCGTCACCAGCCTCGTCATGGCCATGGCCCAGGACCATCCGCACGCCTTTGCCACGTCGTACAACAAGGCGGTGCTGCGCATGCATAGGATCGTAGTCGAAAACGACTTTACCGCCGAGTACGTCTACTACAAGGTGCCCATCCCCTGGCTCCAGGTCAAACTGCTCCGTCTGCTCCAATACTACCCGAGCACCGAAGACCCGACGCTGCGGCGCACGCTCGAGACGGTGCTCGACACCATCATCAACAACTCGCAAGAAAGCCCCAAGAACGTGCAGCACAACAATGCGCAGAACGCCATCCTGTTCGAAGCGATCAATCTGGCCATCCAGCTCGACACCGAGTCGGCCGTCGTGGCCAAGGCGGCCGTGCTGCTGGGCCGCTTCATCCTCTCGCGCGAGACCAACGTGCGCTACCTGGGCCTCGACACCATGGCGCACCTGGCGGCGTGTGCCGAGAGCCTGGAGCCCATCAAGATGCATCAGAACACCATCATCCTCTCGCTGCGCGACAAGGACATCTCGGTGCGCCGCCGCGGCGTGGATCTGCTGTACAGCATGTGCGACGTGACCAACGCACGGGTGATCGTGTCGGAGCTGCTCAAGTACATGCAGATCGCCGACTATGCGCTGCGCGAGGAGATGGTGCTCAAGATCGCCATCCTCACCGAAAAGTTTGCCACCGAGTATGCGTGGTACGTGGACACGATCCTGCAGCTCATCAGCTCCGCGGGCGACCACGTGAGCGACGAGGTGTGGTACCGCGTGATCCAGATCGTGGTGAACAACGAGGACGTGCAGGAGTATGCGGCGACCAAGGTGCTCGAGCATCTCAAGTCGACCACCTGCCACGAAAACATGATCAAGGTGGGCGGCTACATCCTGGGCGAGTTTGGCCATCTCATCGCCAACGATCCGGGCGCGAGTCCCATCGAGCAGTTCCACACGCTGCATTCGCGCTCGCACCTGTGTTCGCAGTCGACGCGTGCGCTGCTGCTCTCGACGTACGTCAAGTGGCTCAACCTCTTCCCCGAGATCCGCGAGCAGATCCTGTACGTGCTCAACCGCTACCGCCACGTGCTGGATGCCGAGCTGCAGCAGCGTGCGTGCGAGTACGTTGCGCTCGCAGAGATGCCCGACGACGAGCTGCTGCAGGCCGTGTGCGACGAGATGCCGCCGTTTGCGCAAAAGTCGTCGCTGCTGCTCAGCAGGCTGCACAAGAAGCACACCGACACCGAGGACAAGCGCACCTGGATCATCGGCGGCAAGGACTCCAACCGCGGCCGCGAAGAGGCGCGCCTCGAGAGCCTCAAAAAGGGCAAGGCCAACGGCGGCGCCATGCCCACCGGTGGCAATCTCGGCTCGGTCATCCGCGCCGGCCATCCCTCCGAGGCGGTCACCGCCGACTCGATGCGCAGCGGCGCAGCCGACGATGCCGACAATGTGCTTGCCGGACTCGAGGGGCTCGATATGAACGCCCCCTCGTCCGCGCTCGAGGATGCGGGGCTGCTGTCCGAGCAGCCTCTGATCGGGGATGAAGCGTCGCCGGCGGCGTCCAAGGTGTCGACGCCCGCGACGCCTGCGACTCCAGTCAACGCAGCGACGTTCAGCGCCGGGAGCGACAAGTACTTTCAGCGGCTGTGCTTTGCGGCCGAGGGCGTGCTGTACGAAGATAGCCAGATGCAGATCGGGCTCAAGAGCGAGTACCACGCGCACCAAGGCCGGCTGGCGCTGTACTTTGGCAACAAGATCGGCGTCAACTTTAGCGCGTTTAGCGTTTCGGTGCGTAGTGGCGATGCAGGGCTGTCGGTGAGCGTTCCCAAGATCCCGACCAACGTGTTGGGGGCGATGACGCAGGCGCAGACGGTGGTGTTGGTCGAGTGCCACGACCTGTTTACGCAGCCGCCGGTGCTGGAGGTGTCGTACCTGGCAGGTTCGCTGCACGAGATCCGGCTGCGACTGCCCGTGCTGGTGAGCAAGTTCATCGAGCCCGTCCAGCTGGGCGCCACGGACTTCTTCGAGCGATGGCGCCAGATCGGCGGACCGCCGCGCGAGGCACAGAAGATCTTTGGATTCAGGCTCTCGAGTGCGGGCGAGGTGGACGTGACCCGACAGCGCAGGATCATCGAGGGCGCACGGTTGCAGCATCTGGACGGTGTTGATCCGAACCCGACCAACTCGGTCGCTGCGGGCGTGCTGCATATGGCCAGGGCGGGGAAGGTCGGATGTCTGCTTAGGCTCGAGCCGAACCGAGACGCGAAGCTCGCACGGCTCACGGTGAGGACGACCAACGACCTGGCGTCGGCGGAGCTGCTCAGGATCTTGCTGGCGGTGCTGGGCACCGATGAGCCCAAGCTCTGATCGAAATGGGAGGGCTCGAGTACGCAATGTGTGGGGTGATGTCGTGTGATCCAGCGACTGTGAGAGCAGACTTAACACGGAGCGTTTTTTTTTGGAGTGGCACACGACATTCTGGCCCGCGCGGCTTCGAGTGGCGTCAGAACCGGTGGGGAAGGGCGAGAAGTGGAGAGAGAGAGAGTGACATCGCCATCTCATCCTCTTCCATCCTCATCCTCATCACTACTTTCCTTTACACGGCGATTCAAAGTATCGTCAAACCCCCTTGAAGCGGAGTCGCAGAGTCAACGAGTAGTGTAAGTCCATCCGTTTCTGCCTTCGTCAACCTACAATTGGCTGACAGTGGTGGTGGTTTTAGAGCGTAGTTGGGTAGTTGAGAATGTCTCGTCGACCTGGATGTTACGTGTGTGGCCAGCGTAAGTGTCCTCCTCTCCTCCCTCTCTCTCGTTCATTGGACCTCGGCTGACACCTTTGCAACAGTGGGGCATCTTGCTGAGAACTGTTCGTTCAGCGAGCGTCGATGCTTCAACTGTCTCGAGCCCGGACACGAGTCGTCTGCATGCGAGGCTCCGCGCACGGCGGACGCCAAGCAGTGCTATGGCTGTGGAGGCAAGGGTCACATTCGTGCCGACTGCCCCACCCCCGCCTCCGGTGCCGCCAAGGCGTGCTACACCTGTGGAGAGCAGGGCCACCGGGCTCGTGACTGCCCCCAAAACCCCAAACCCGTCGAGGCCAAGGAGGCAAAGCCCGTGACGTGCAGAAACTGCGGCCAACCAAACCAGTACGTTACCCTACAATCAGCACCGAGGAAAAGCGAGAGAGAGCTGACAATGAGGCGGAGAATAGCTTCGCAAAGGATTGCAAGGCCCCCGCTGCACCCGGCACTGCCCAGCCCAAGCCAAAGAAGGTCAAGGTCAAGTCGTGCTACACCTGCAACCAGCCCGGTCACGTAAGTGCCCCACATCACCCCCCCAAAACCTCCACACTGCGACAGAAGAGCTGACGAAAAGAGTGGGGTTGCAGATCGCAAAGGAGTGCCCGCAGCAGCCCATGGCCGAGGCTCCCGGCTCCAACGCCGCCGCCGCCCTCACCGCCTAGATCTCGCGTGGGCCAAAACAGCAGCAGCCACTCTGCAATGCCAAATGCGGTCCTGGGCCGATGAAAAAACAAAATCCAATGGTTGGCGTGTGTGCAGAGCTGTGTGTGTCTAGGGCTACATTGAGTTGGGGGCGGTACAAAAGCTACGTGGGTATACATCCCGCAGGAAGAAGCAAGCCAGGACTCGTCAAAAGACGGAGGCGAGGTGGGTGGGGGCGAATCCGGTCCAGGCGTGTTTGGGGCGGCCGAGGCCGTGGAGGCGGTGTCGCTGCGGAGAGGGCGGCTGGACCACGAGCGTGGGTGGGCTCGAGTTGGCGTCTCCCACCGCCGCAAGAGCGGTCGGCGAGCTGCCCGGTGTCGAGCAGGCTGCACTGGAAGCAGCGAGCGAGGCGGTGGTGAGTGCGGGCGACGGCATGTCGTACGCGAACGCGTCGCGCGGCGCCGAGTCGTAGGCGGCGCCAAAGGGGAAGCCGCCAAAGGCGTGCGGTGCGAACGACGAGTGGACGGGCGTGACGGGTGCGCTGTGGCTCGAGTGCGGGAGGAAGTGGAGCTCCGAAGGCGTGAGTGTGGCTACGAGGGCCTCGCGCTCGCGTCGGCGTGCGAGCCGCTTGCGCTTCTCCTGCGACATGCGCGCGCGGCCCTTCTTCTTGAGCCCGTCGTCGGCGGTGCTGAAGCACGACTCTGCCGGCGAAACGGGCGACGACAGCGCAGGCGACAGAGGCGCCGTCAAGCACCCGCGTCCTCCAGCTGCCGTGGGGATGTCTGTCGAGATGCGCAGCCCGCGGCTGAGGCTCGGCTCTTCGAGAACGTCGAGTGCCGCCTTGACCGCCGTCTGTGCCGCGTGCATCTCGAGCGGCAGCGGCGAGACGTCCGCAAAGCCCATATCAGCGACAGGGCTGGGAGCCCAGGCAGAGTTGGGCGAGGGCAGCGCCACGGGCGAGGTGGGGTCGTGCTCGTCGAGCGCCGCAAGCGGCACATCGAGCAGCAGCGAGAGCACGTTGAGCTCCACCTCGGCCTCGCTCGTGGGGACCGACTTGGTGATCATGCGGCGTGCCCAGATGGACGATGCGCCCGACGACGGCGCGGGCAGCGGCGCAAACGACGCGAACGACATGGCGTTCTAATGCTGGCGTGTGCTGAGAGTGTATGCGGGTGTTGGGGGGGGCAAAGACTGGAGGATGCTGTTCGAGGATCCGTCGAGACAGTCTGCGAGGATGTTGCTGTATGCTGCTTGGAATGTGAGATGGATGCGGCGTGTGGGATATGCAGATAGAAAGACGCGACGGCGGGCAAAGAATGTGTAGAGACGATCTTGAGACTGAGCAGGTCAAAGCAGAGCAGAGCAGAGCAGGTTCAAAAGGAAAGTGAGGCAGTGGCAAGCAGGGGTTGGGAAGGGGAAAGGGGAAGGGGGATGGAGAGCGAGTGTCTAGGGTGTAGGAAAGGTGGTCGTTGAGGGGAGTGGAGAGGTTGGGAGAGAGAAGGTGGTTTGGGTTGGGGGATGGATGGTACTCGTGGATACATATACTCAGCTCGCGTCGAAGGCATGCTGAGCCCGCGCAGTGATGGGGGACGATCTAAGCGAGCGGGGGCAGCTGACGTCTGTGCGTGGCGCGCCATGAGCGATTCGAGGCCGGGATGAGGCTGCACGCCCGTCGCTCGAGCATGCATGAGCTTGCGGTACGAGCTCCGAGACCGACTGCTGGAGCGGTGGATGGAGGGAGGGGGTTGTTTGCCCAGGCCGTCCCGATGGTCGCTCGTACCGAGCCAGACGGCGGGGGAGGGGGGTGGGGGGCTGCTTGGCATTGGCTGTAGCAGCTGTCAAAGTAGCAAAGCAGCGAAAAGGGCAGCACCGCGGTCCGAATCGCAGGTGCGCCATGCACAGCTCACCGAAGGCGGCGATGCGTGGCAGAACGGCAGAGGGAGGCAGGCGCTCATGCATGCCAAACGTCTCGGACTCTCGGACGTGGAGTGCATCGGAGACATTGAGTGTGCCTTGAGTGCCTCTGGCTGCCTGGCGGCGTGCTGGCTGGGCTGGCTCCAAGCTGTCTCACCCTGCAACACACCTTGCAGCAGCCGCCTCTTTCGTGCCTCCATCCGATCCCCCAGGCAGCTGGTGATCTTTGAGTGTAACCGAGCAGGCTTTGGCGGGTGTGATCTCAAGCTGGGCCGTTTTCTGACTGCTTTGACTCGAGCGTCACCGCGCGAGGAAAGAAAGCGTGTCGGAGGGGAGGGCGAGCTTCGGGGGTGGATGCGGTTCGGTGCGCTGCATGGCGGGTCGGCTATTGCGCCTCGTGCCTGTCGCAGACGCGTGCGCATGCCAGCAGCAGCAGCACTCGCCTCCCCCAGCTGCGCGTGCCTGCACGGTGCTCGGACGAGCCGCGCACACCCGCTTGCCTCTGCTCGTGCGCCCGCCTTTCTTCTTTTTTCGTCGCGCCTCAAATGTGACGTTCGGTGTTGGTCTCAGTCGAGCTTGCTCCTCCAACACCTCTTGGAGCTCTCTCTCTCGTGGCGCGAGGCGGCGCGCTTCGGCATTTTCGCTGCATCTCGGTCTGGCTTCAAGTGGGTAGCAAACCGGCTCTTGCACTTTGACGCCTGACAAAGGCACGGCCTCCATCTCGCTTAACCCGCCTCGGGCCAGCGATGGTGAGGATCGTGTCGATGCTGACTCGAGGCTGTTTTGAGTGAATGTAGTGCTGTCAATTGCACGGGCTGCACCTCGGACGTCTTATCGAAGCCTCGCCGACTGCATCCAACCCGGCTTGCCGCTACTCGAACGTAGCATCCTCTGCATTTTTCGACGCTGTTGCCAAAAAATGAATGCGAGAAAAAGAGGCTTCGAAAATGGCAAAACGGCAACATCGGGGTGAGGGAGGAGGGAGCATCGGGGAGTGCGGCGGATATGCACGCAGCGACGTGCCTTCCATTGCCAGCCAGGGGCCGTGGTGCAGAACAAATACTCGCTGCGTCCCAACCCCTGGCTGTGCATGTAACCGAGCCCTCATCTCGTCCTCCGCGCCCAACATGTCGATCTCGCCAAGCATTATCTGGGCTTCCAGAACCGGGGGAGACATGCAAAGGTGTACACGTCAATGCTCCAGTCAGGGGGTTGGACTTGAGCCGCCTTTGACCGCCGTGCGCATCTGTGGCTCGACGTGCCTGCTGATAGCATCCTGCAGCTCGCGTCCGCCGCTCCCCAATCGATGCATGACAGGCAATTACATAATCACCGACACTCCACTTTTCGGGCCCTTTCGATGCTCATCGGATTCGTTCCGATACACAACCATCCAGCTCGCCAAAACACACTGCTACAATGCTGAACCGAGCGATTCGCATTCCTGCCGCAGGCCTTCGAGGTGCTCGGAGCTTCAGTGCGTCTGCACGCACAGCCAAGGTGTACGAGAATGTGGATGCGGCCACGTTCAACGCGCGTGTGCTGAAACCCTCCGGTGCAGAGGCAGAGGTGCCCGTGCTCGTCGACTTTTTTGCGACTTGGTGCCAGCCCTGCAAACTCCTCTCCCCAGCCCTCAAGAAAGTAGCTACTCAGAAAGAGCTCGCGGGCAAGCAAGTTGATCTGGTAACCATCGATGTCGACCAACACCAAGATATCGCCCAACAGTTCAAAGTAAGTTGCATAACCCCCACATGGAGCAAGAAACGAAATGGCTAACATGGTGTTCTGCAGGTCTCGGCTATGCCTACCGTCATTGCAATGAAGAACGGTAAAGTAAGTCCAAACTCCACCCCTCACATAGAGAAAGAAGAGATTGTACTGACAAGGTGGGTTTACAGGTGCTCGACGGATTCGTGGGCATGCTGCCCGAGAAGAAAGTCATCGAGTTCGTCCAGAAGCTCAACTAGACGTCCAGAAGGAATTGCAAAATGCGGTGCGAAAACACAAAAGACTAGAAAACAAAAACAAGTGTGCGAGTATGGGGAGGTCGATCCTACGAGGCGAGGTACGGGCTGATGCTCATGGCCTCTACCTGCGAGACGAACGACGAGCTGTTGGCATCGTCATCCTCGTCGTCATTGCCAGCGCGTGCACGCGAGCCCGGGATCTCGACACCTCCGCCGCGCTCGTTGCGACGCACATCGTCAGCGTCATCATCGTCTTCCTCCTCGGACGAGTCGGCGCCGTCCTCGTCCGGCGCCACCTCGGCCCACTCGCGGTAGAGCGGCTCGATGAACGACGCCGACGACTCGAGCTTGTACGGGTCGAACGGGAAGAACGACTCGAGCACCGACGCCGTCGTCACCCCCGCTGCAGCTCGCTTCGTCTCCTTCTGCGGCGAAGACACGCCCTCGGGTCGTGGCGTACCGCGCTCGCTGCCGTCCTGGCTCATCGGTGTCGCCGACCCCGACGATTCCAGCTGCAGCCGGTTGAGCGACGTCGATCGCGACACCGGATTGCTCCGGTTGCTACGAACCGATCGGTGGTTCGCCTCGATGATCGAGTAGCAGTAGAGAAAGCCCGTGTGCTGTGCGATGCGCGCAAACTGCTTCACCACGTTCGCCGAGCAGTACTTGAGCGGGTTGAGGCGCGACGTGACCGCGCGCTGCAGCGACGTCAACCCATCGCACCACGACTCGGCACCCAGCTGCGCCAGACTGCCCACGCTGCTGTGCATGCCACCCCCGATCTCGTCGGCGTCGTGGTAGTCCATGTCGCCCGCGACGCCATCCTGCTCGTCGTGGCTGATCTTGAGGTCGCGCCAGCGGAAGCAGAAGATGTAGAACGCCGCCTGCACCACCGAGTAGAACACGGCATGCGCACTCGCCCCCGGCGCCGCCGCACCCGCCTCGGTATCGCTGCGGCTGCTCTCGTCGATGTGCGCATCCATGAAGGCGCACAGGTTGTACAGCACCACGCGTGTCGTCGCCCCGTCTACGTACGACGCGCGACTGACGAAACTCGCCACATACCCCGCCGCCGCCGACCGGATCACCGCCGGCTCCTCCTTGTCGTGAAGCGCCACGCGCCGGCTGTACAGACTCTTTTCGAGCAGCACGCCGAGGAAAAAGTCGGAAAACTCGGGATCGAGCGAGTTGAACCAGAAGAGCAGGAACTGCACGTGGCGCGAGCGGAACGTCGGCAGGATGTTGCGCGCAAAGATGGAGAGCATCGTATGGAACAGATTGCGCCGGTTCGTGTCGGCGTCCATGGGACTCGCGCTCGTAGCGAGGAAGCCGAGGCTGTTTGCACCCGCGACGTACTGCGCATCCAGCTTGCGCAGATGCTCAAAGAGCGCAATCATGATCGCGTCGAGCTTGGCCACCGACTCGCGGATGCGCCGCATGGAGCGCTGCAGATCCTCCTGCGTGCGCTTCTGCTCGTCCGTGGCGATGCCCTGGTCGTAGTTCTCGTCGGAAAGGTCCGAGAGGTTGTCGGCAAAGTCGCCGTCGTCGCTATCGTCGTCGTCGTCGTCGGAGCTCTCGCCGTCCTCAATGTCGTCGAGCGCCTGCTCGAAGGGGTCTTCAAAGTCGAGACCGAGCTCCTCGGCCTCGTCGTCGTCGAACTCGTCGAGCTCCACCTGGATCTCGACGTCGAGCTGGATGGCGCGGTCCACGACGGCGCCGAGGATCGCCTCTGACAGTTCGGCGCAGTACTCGCTGACGTGCAGGATGTTGCGCACATACACCAGCTGGTCGGAGCGATGCACCATCTTGTGCGGCATGAACTGCACCAGCAGCGGACCCAGCACGCCGGGGAGCGTGGGTACGACGCTGAGCAGCGAGCGGATGAGCACGTGCACGCGCTCGTACACCTGCTTGCGCTTGAGCGTCGAGGCGGAGCGCTTGCCGGACTCGTCGGAAAACTGGTACGGCAGCCACTCGAGGCGGTACGAGAGCGCCTTGGTCGCCTTGGTGAGGATGACGGACAGCCACTCGCTGCGTGCGCTCACGAGGCTGCAGACGAACTTGATCCACATCTGCGCAAACGCATCGTCCATCGAGGTCCACGGCAGCGCAAAGATGCTCTCGACGAGCTTGGTGTGCGAGCGGTCCAGGTCCGACACCACGTGCGAGAGCGCGGCGAGCAGCGAGCGCAGCGACGACACCGAGGCGCCCGATCGGCCGGTGGACGGCTCGGCGAACTGCACGAGCAGTTCGATGTACGGGCCCGTGTTGCCCTTTTCCTTTTCGGAGAGCGCGTTGATGACGAAGCTGAGGTACATGCCCTGGTAGCTGGTGGAGGAGGAGCTCATCGAGGTGATGGCCGCCATGCTGCCTGGTGGCGGCGCCTTTTTAGAGAGGCTGGAGCGCAGCGGCTTGAGCGGCGTGACGGGCGAGGGGGAGGACGAATCGGAGTCGTCCGAGGGCGGACTCCTTCGCTTGGAGGGCGAACGCTCGGCATCTGCGCCGTACAGGCTGGAGTGGGAGGGCCTCTTCATGCTGGATTTGGATTTGGAGGCGGAGGAGCTGCTGCTGCCGGTAGAGCGAGGGTGTGCCGGTGCGACAGACGGCATCACAACAGCGCCTCGGCGATGTGGCGAGGGTGCGAGGCGGATTCAAAGGAAAGTCTGGTTGCTGGTGACTTGGCGATGCTTGATCTGGTGAGAGGGTGGTGCAGCGGAGCTCGGTGGCGGTTGCTGAGACCAGTGTGCACGGCCGGCAAGGAACACTCTAGGAGCTGTGGACCATCGTGTCGCGGGGGGAACGTAGGCCAGGCGGGCTGCTGGGAGGACGACTTGACGGTCTAGCTGGTATCGGTTGTCGCCGTCGCCGGTGGTGGTGGGGGGCGGCCAACTCCATCGAGCGTCGGCGTCGAGCATCGAAAAGCGCGACTGAGCGGGCGCGCCAATGCGAAATTTGTCGTATCGTTCATTTTGGTTCGGTTTGCGCCGCCGTGCGCTGTACCGAAAAAAGTGCGGGCCAGGCGCCCTATCTCTCTGCACCTCTCGAAGGTGGAATTCCTGGCTCGCACGACCCGCGGCCATGCGCCATCCCGCCCACGACCACTCGAAAAAAAAAAGAAAAAGAAAGTGGCGTGCATGCGAGTGGAGCTGAATTTCCTCCGCATTTTTTTTTTTTTTCCCGCTCGGTTATTCCTGCCGTGCCGTAGTGACTAAGCATCACCTAAATCGAGAAGGGTCTGCCCTTCACCTTTTTTTTTTGTGGTTGGCCGAAAGCGAATTTTTCGCTGCCCGGAAAGTTGGCCCAGCAGAAGCGGAAGAGGACAGCTCGCTCGAACCCTGAGACTGTTGGAAGAACTGAGGTACCGCAACGCTGCCTCCGCTTACGTCCCGGCCATCACCCTCTGCTCCATACCTGACCTCGTAAGTCAGGCTACCCCACGTCACCATGGTCAAAGTCAAGAAGCGCGCGTCCAAGCGTGTCAAGATCGCGCAGAGGGAGAAGATCAAGAAGAAGGTCAAGGAGCACCGCCGCAAGACCAACCGTGACGAGCGCAGGAGCACGCAATGGAAGAGCAAAGCTCGCAAGGATCCGGGCATCCCTAACTCGTTCCCGTACAAGGAGCAGCTGCTCAACGAGATCGAGACCAAGCGCCGACTTCAGGAGGAGGAGAAGCTCGCACGCAAGGCGGAGAAGCTCGCCGAGCGCAGCGGCGAGCAGAACGCCGACGACCAGCAGGATGGCTCCGACGCCGAGGCCGCCGAGGACAGCGACGAGATGGTGGACGAGGACGCCCTGGACGACATGCCGCTCACAGCCCCGCTCTACCGTGGCACGCTGCAGGAGCTGCTCGCCTCGGACGAGATCAAGACCATCGTGCTGGCGCTTGATGCGCGCGATCCTCAGAGCTTCCGCAGCCCATGGCTCGAGGCGGCCGTTGCCAAGCAAAAGGGAAAGAAGCTCGCGCTCGCACTCAGCCGTGCCGACATGGTGCCTCTCGAGACCGTCGCTGCGTGGACCGCCTACCTCTCCAGCTCCACCGGTCTGCCCGTCTTCCCCATCTGCGCTCCCTCGGATGCGCTGCCCGAGAACACGGGCGCCGAGGCTCTCGTCGAGAAGCTCGCGCTCAAGGGCGTCAAGAAGGGAGATGTCGCCGTTGTCGGTCTGGCGCATTCGGGACGCAGCACAGTGGCCGATGCGATCCTCAACGCCATCGGCGTTCCCGAGGACGAAGATGTGGAGGACGAGGACAACGAGACGAGCGACTGGCCGGCCGTGCTCGACACGCCTGCGCTGATCCCGCTCAAGAGCTCAGAGGCTGCCGAAGATTCGGACGCGGAGGAGGAGGAAGACGATGAAGAGGAGGAGGAGGAGGAGGAGGACGACGAGCACAAGTTCATGGCACGCATGGAGCTCAAGTCGATGCAGACGCTCATGCGCAACCAGGGCCACGTGCAGAGGATCAAGGAACCGCTGCCGCTGACGTGGTCGTTGATGTCGCGCGTGTCGCATCCGGAGGATCTGATGCTCATCTACAACGTGCCGGCGTACGGCTCGTTCCAGGTGGAGCGAGCCTCGCTGGCGGACGAGGAAGTCGACGCCGAGGAGGCCGAGAAGATCCAAGCTGCGGCGCGGCGCCAGAAGGTGCACGCCGACACGCAGGAGTTCCTGATCGCGCTGGCGCGTGCGACGGGCCGTATGAAGAAGCGCAACATCCCCGACGAGATCGGTGCGTCGCGTGTGCTGCTGCGCGACTGGTCGCATCAGATGCTCGGCTACTACACCCAGGCACCCAAGCTGGGCGACAAGGTGCTCAAGGCGTCCGAAGAGACCAAGCAGCGCGTGGCGTCCACGATGCCTCTGGTGCTGCCGAGGAAAGAGTGGAGGAAGAAGTTCCAGGCACGCGAGCTGCGACTCAAGCCCATCTCGGCGGTGCTTGGCCGCGAGGCGCTGGTGCTTCAGGAGGTCGAGATGCTGCCGCCTCCGCCCGAGGAGGACAGCGAGGAGGACGAGGAAGAGATCGACGAGGCGCTGCTCGAGGCAGGCGACGAGAGCTTTGATGACGAGGAGAAGGATGAGGAAGAGGAGGAGGACGACGACGAAGACGACGAGGCAGAGGCAGAGCAGCCACCGCAGAAGCTCAAGTCGATCCTCAAGAAGAACGGCGGCGGCAGCAAGAAGCGCAGCGGCGAGAGCGCCGGCGACGACGAGGCGGACGACGACGAGGAGGAGCAGCAGCTCTCGCGCAAGGAGCGTCGAGTGCACAACAAGAAGGCACGCGTCGTCGTCCCCTCCAAATCCAAGCCGACGCCTAAGCGCTCCTCGTCGGCCAAGGGCTCCTCTGCCAAGGCAGCCGTGGGTGCGGCCAAGGCGGCTGCCGCTGCTACGGGCCCTGCGCCCGGTGAAAAGTACGACTTTGGCGCCTTCTTCTAACGCGCACACACACTTTGTCTCTCCCATGTATCTCGTGCTCGTATCAATGTACTGTATACCTTTGCATCTTACAACTCTGCTTCTGCGTCTCTGCTTCGAGGGCTTGATGTCGGGTGTCTGCCGTGGAAGTGGCGATGAGGCGTGTGATTCAGAGGCGAATGCCAAGGCGGAAAATTCCGACAATCCCCTCCCATCCACCAGCGGAGAGCGGAGCTGCCGATGTGGCAATGCAAATGCATTTTTAAAGCACAGACCGCTGAGGGGCCACGCATGTCGGTCGGTCGAGTCCATTCAAGCGTGGAAGTGCAGTTTGCCTTTGCGACTCTATCAATCACCTCGTCATCATCCTCGCCGACTGCTGGTCTAACGTCGTGGGAAGATCGACGGACCGAGCGCCAGCCATGCCGTTGTCCGATGCGCGGCTCGTCGGGCTTGCCGGCGCTGCACGGGTGATGCGCGACTCAGCATCGTCTGCGTCTCCCACGCCCTCCCCGATCCTCGGCACGCCCGAGGTGGACGGCGACAAGTGCAAGCTCATGGGGCCGTTTGCGCTCTTCGTCCAGGCCATCATGGGCATCCTCGTCATCGGGTCGCTCGTCTACAAACGCCAGCGCGAGAAGCCCAAGCGCAGGTGGAAGATCTGGGCGCTGGACATCTCCAAGCAGATGCTCGGCCAGCTCTTCGTCCACATCCTCAACGTCGTCCTCTCCGACTTTGTCGCTAGCGGAGGAGGAGAGAACCCGTGCTCGCTCTACTTTCTCAACATCCTCGTCGACACCACCCTCGGCGTCTTCTTCATCTACATTGCGCTCAAGTACGTCACCTGGTTCCTCACAGAGCGGCTTGGCCTCGAGGGTTTCGTCTCGGGTCAGTATGCTCCGCCGCCACTGCCCGCGCCTCTGTCGTCTGCATCGGCGCGTGCATCGACCACCGTCTCGGACAGCGGCAGCAGTGCAGGCCCAGCAGCACGCCGCTCCTTGGCAAGAGCCAAGCCCAGGCTAGAGTACTGGCTCAAGCAGCTCGCGTCGTACCTCTTCGTGCTGTTCTTGATGAAGATGGCCGTGCTCGTCGTATTGGCCATCTTTCCGTTCCTCTTCGACGTTGGCTCGTGGATCCTCGGCTTCTTTGGCAGCCACAAGGATGCTCAGGTGCTCTTCTCCATGGCCCTCTTCCCGCTCGCCATGAACGTGCTCCAGTTCTGGCTCATCGACTCGCTCCTCAGACACAACCCCTACACCTCGGCGTACTCCAAGATCAACCCGGACGACGAAGCATTCCTCAACACCTCGGACCGCATCTCGCAGGACTCGCACTTCTCGGAATCCGCATTCGAGCACTCGGCACAGCCACACCACGCAATCGGCCAGGACAGCGACGACGACGACGACGACGACGACGCACAGGCGTCAGCAAAGTCGAGAAGGCGCCCATCGCCGCAGCGTACAGCCACGGCCGATGCCGATCGGCCGTACGACTTGCGGCCGAACAGACCCATAGACGAGATGCGCCGCCAGGCGAGCTTGACGCTCTCGGACCCGGATGCGGACGCAGACGACAACATGTCCGCAAGCATACACCAGGCCATGTCGTCCAGCAAGGCGTCGCTCCAGCGGCCCGAGTCACACCATCTCAAACAGGTCAGCGACGAACGCAATAGGTAGCAACTCCCACGGCTCGAAATCGATCATGCGCATGCGATAGCGCCGATGTAGCAAGGGCGAGGGAGTGTCGTTGGAATTGCAAGCCGGGAAGGAATGAGAAAGAAACAAAGGAGGGAGAAGAGGGACAGGCTCATTGTACACGGCGAAAACGGCGACAGACTTGGGGTCAAAGAGGCAGGAGGGGCGAATGAGAGTGAATGGGAAGTTGGAGCTGTTTCTGGTCTATTGAGGTTGGTAGGCGGGGCCGTTGGGTGCCGAGCTAGCGTGTGCGAGTGGCGGCATTTCGATGGACACCTGGACGCCATTATCTGGAGCGGTGGCAGCCCTTTGTGGCATGCCGGGAACATTTTCTTCCGGAATGGGCTTTGCGTAGTGTGGCACGCTCGAGATGGACGAGAGCGTGCCCTTGCGACCGCGACCACGATGTTGGCTGTACGCGGGTTCTCTTGCCGAACCGGCGGTTCCGGGTCTCTTGATGTACGACAGTGCGCGCACGTGTCCTGAATACGACCCATCGCTGGTGGTGGTGGTAGTCGGCTTGGCGTAGCTGCTGGTGGTCGAGTTGGCGACCGAGTAGCCGACGCGCGAGCAGCTAGGGCTATGCACAGCCTCCTGTTCGCCAATCAGCATCTGCAATCCTACAACGATCTGGATCGCAATGCTTGTCATGTGCACCGCAGGTAAGCTGGCTGCCCAGCCGAGTAGCATGATGAGTTCGATCAGGTTGCATGTCTCGACGCCCGCCATGTAGTGCACGTTGTTGACGAAGAGCATCTTGGCAATGCGCGTGAGGCCGCCGGGACCACTCGAGGTCTTGTACAGCCTCAGACTGCATGCTACCAGCAGCGTCGTTTCGAACAGCGTGTTGTACAGCAGGAACCAGAATGTAGAGCTCTGCCAAAAGTGGATGCGAAGCGCACCGTTACCCTCCGGCCCTGCATGCACTTGCGCGGCAGGGGCACAGGTTCTAGCGACTGTCAGGGCGTCCGCCTTGACTACGCGCCAGTTGGTCCACATCGAAATGGCCAATTGCACGACCAAACCGCCCGAGATGAGGTAGGTCGCCTTCTGGGATGTGCGAAAGATGATGCGCGCTCGCCATCCGATCACGCAGAACACCAGCGTCGAGCAGAGAAAGTAGAACGTCGACGAGGTCCATGCCCACGAGCGACACGCAAAGTCCGTCGTCGCCGCAAACGTGTCGCTCACTAAAATGTCCAAGATCACCGCGATCAGTGCGAGGTACTTGATCACCATGAAAAAGATCTCGGCAACGTTGGGGCGACCTCGACGGACGATGCGCAGCAACATGCGGAGCTCGGCTGGGTACGTGCGGACGATTTCGGCGACGAGCAAGGTTTGCGCGATGAGCACGGGCAGATTCCACGTCATGGACTCCTGCGAGAAGCGCATGAGGGCAATCACCTGGCTCCCGTGCGGTTGGCTGCCCAACACCGCCGGCAAATACTCGCTCCCATCGTGTCGATGCATCCTGAGCCCCGTTCAGTGGCTAAAAGGAGAGAAGTGTCGAGAGTTGCCGATGGATTCGGTTGAAGAGAGGCGGGGGCTTTCGACCTGCGAATGGATCCAACAGAGGTATGCTGATGGACAGGGTGATGGTACGCTCGCACAGCGAAGCGGGGAGTAGAGCGTCGGGCGGGACAGCGGCGGGTTCGAGACGTCGATAAGCCCAAAGCGAGTCGCTGGATCCACTCGCCTATTTATGCTGCTGCGCGCACTTCATCTGCCTGCTCTGGGGTGGGGTTCGGCATCTCTGCCGACCGCTACGTCGGAAACGACCTCTAGCGACGCAATCACTGCTTCGGGACCCAAACTGCCGCGCCGTGTCTATACTTCACACGCCTCACTACGGCAAGACGCCTGCCAAACGCTGCTGGAGACTGTCGAGCTCGTGTGTAGCTTATCTTCATGCCTTCGGGGGCAAGCTCGAGCGTAAACTTCATGTCTGGCTCGATCAAGACGAGCAGCGCACGGGTCCCGCACGCCAAATGAAGCTCCCGCCAAATTCGCAAGTGGGAGAGAGATGCCGTCGGCGACCGGAAGCGTAGCCACCGAGTGGTGCACCTAGCAGCACAAGGGTCGGTATCCTGACACACCTGGGAGTCGTTGCCAGCATCGAAGCTGGTAGCCGTTGGGACGTGGCGTGCATCCATTCCCAGGAACGCCGTGTGTGCGCCAAGCATGCTATCGCGTGGCGCGCATTCTGCAGCTTCCGGGGGTTCCTGCTCATGTAGATGGTGGACCGGCGACATTGTTCGCATCGGCAGGATCGAGGCGGGTTGAAGAGGCATTTGACACCGGAGGAGCAGGAGCCGATGGGAGCGTTTGGTGGGGTTGTGGCTTATGAAGCAGGGTTTCGAGGGCAGCACGGCTGCTTCCATCGCTCTTGCCCGTGTGCGTCGGTGTCAATCCACTCCTTCCTCTCCGCGCGCGAGAGCAGAAGCACTGGAAAAGGCCGTCTCTTTCGTGGCGTGCTTTCGAGGATAGATTGGGCGACAACCACTGTCTGGACGCCGTCGGCTGAGGCCGTGGCGCATGCGTGGTGGTGGCACATGCGCATTGATGAAGCGTGACGCTGTGGCCTCGACAAGCCCCACACAGGTGTGGCGATTGGGCTTCATGTGCAGGCCGCCCCACCACCTCGTTTTGCAAAAGGTCTCATCCCGGCCATCGCGGTCTGTGCACCGAGAGCACCGCAAGGTGGGGTCGACTTATAAAGGTGCAAATGCAGCGTTTGGGCAGTGCTCAAGCCCCCTCCCTTCTTGCTTCCTTCAGTGCTCCTTCTGACAACCCTGCAGGCAGGAACCACGCACTCTCCTCTCTTCACCAAGACAAACCGTTGGTGCATCGTTCGATCATGTGGCGTTTGGGACAATTCGTGGTGGTGGCAGCTATCGCTGCATGCCTCGTGCATCTTTCCTCGGCTGTAAGTTTTCTTCCTCTACAAAGTGTGCGAGTGTAGGGCTGACGACTTGTTGTTGACCGGGATGGGGATGGATAGGCTGCGACACCCAGGCTGCGACGCGCGGTGGTGGGCGATACCAACGACGAGCGGCCGCTGTTGCGTCGGTGGTTTATCGACTGGGGCGGATCGCTTGGTCGTCTGCCCTCGCGCGACGACATGATCACGCCCGTCGATCCGGCCAACTTCGAGGCCCACCGTGCCGCCACCGAGTCGGCATGGGAAGCGTATCGCCGACGTCTGGCGCGCGAACAGGCCGAATACTGGAACGTCATCTTTGGCGGTCACACTCCTCCCTAAATCCCCTTCCTCGCAGCGCAGCTTTCGCTCTTGTAGCCTCTTCTGTTCCACAGTCTGAAACTTTCGCACTTTCTTGTACGTTTTGCACGTTGGGCTTTGGGGTGGAATTGAACAGCTACGGGATGACGAGTACGATTTGGTCGTCGGAGGCGACTTGGTACCAGTCAAGGCTGCGCGAGAGGTCGTCGATCTCGAGCACGATCTTGTCTGCTCCTTGCGGTGCGTTGGGGGGTGAGAGGAGCGCCCACACTTGGTCCACTTGGTCGGCACGCACGCGCACGGCCGCCGCGAGCTTGGTCTTGGCGATGCGCAGTGGCGTTGTGGCGAGCAGGCGCACAGCGGCGGATGCGTGCGGCTGGGCCACGTGCGGCTGGCACTGCGCCGGCGCCGACGGCGAGGCAATCACCATGACCGAGAGCATATTGGAGCGCAGCGTGGTGGTACTCTCCCTTGCGGGTCTGGCTGGGATGTCGGTATCCGCATCGAACTGCTGTGCGAGCTGTGCGAACCGCGGAAATCGCGCAACATTGTCCGGGGTCGAAAGCACAAGTGTGGCAGATTGGCCAGGGTGGGCAGGGGCACCCTCGATGATCGATGCGTCGCCCTGGCGGAATCGGGTGTAGACGAACAGCTCGGCGTCTTTGCGCTCCTTGGGCGTGATCGGCGTCTTGTCCAGCACTGCGAGGCTGCCCAGCCGCGCAATGGCGACCGCGCGAAAGTCGCGATACTCGTACCTCGCCAGCAAGCCCACATTGGCCGAGGCGGTCTCGTCCATGTCAAAGATGTGCAGCGCCTCGAGCTGGCCGTTCGCGAGCCAGGACGGGATGTTCTCGAGCGACGTCCATGTGTCGAGCTGGTTGCCGCGCAGGAAAAGTTCCTTGAGCTTGGGCAGCTTTGCTGAGGTCGACGCTGGTGCGATACTGGCGACGCGGTTACGGTTCAGATTCAGACTCTCCAGACACGGCAACTGTGCCAAAGCAGAGGCAATATCGGCCCACGAAGCAAGCTCGTTCTCTTCGAGGCTGAGCGAGGTCAAGGCTGGTAGCAAGGCCGACTGCGCACCGGCACTTGGCGAGACCAAGGTGGTGATGCCGTTGCCGCCGAGCTGGAGGTGCTTGAGCCCCGTGAGTGCCGGAGCGAGTTTGAGGATGTCGTCCCACTGGATGAACGTGGCGTCGAGCCTGAGATCGTGGATATGACCGAGTCGGTCCGCCCAGCTCGGAGGCAGTGGCTGAGGCGGTGGCTGCAGGCAATTACAGTGCAGTAGCAGCGTCTGCAAGTGATCTAGCTCCCCTGTTATGAGCGACACCTCCTCCCAGTCCGGTAGCAAGGAGCGCGACAGATCCAGCCAGCGCAGATTGGGGCAAGTCGAGCGAATCACACCCTGCGGAAAGCCCTTGTCTGGATCGAACGCGCGCGCGACACTGTACTGCTCCTCAGCCGTCTGCTCCTCGACACTCGAGCCAGACTGCCACCCGCCCAGACCGACGTCTCTGAGCCTGTCGAGCCTCGCGGCGCGGCGCGAGATGCGGTCGAGATTAGGCGTCTCGATCTCTATATCCGCGATGGTCTTGCGCGAGTACGACTGCTGTGCGTGCTCTTGTACTGGCAGCTCTGGCGGGGCGTACTTGTTGCGCAGCGCTTCGACAAAGCTGCATCCGCTGCAGAGTTTGGATGCGGTAGGACGGATGAATGAGCCGCTTCCTGGGATGCGCACGGTGAAGTAGCGCGTGCCACCGCTCGTACCGTCATGCTTGCCGCGGCTGGAGTCATCCCATTCGACCCCGAGCCATTCGCCGCTAGAGGGCGGCACGGGCCCCACGTAGCGAATTGTGCCGCGGTGCGAGCCGAGCGAGATGCGCTTGCCCACCACCAGATGCATCGGTAGTAGAGAAAAGAGGTGAGTGTTGGTGTGTTGGGTTGCAGGCCCGGCGCGAAGGGTGGAAATTCCTCCACCATTCGGCTGGACTCGGATCTCGGGATTTTTCGCGATGGGGGGTTATCGCTATGCATTGCTGGAAATCGCCCGGCCGATGGCGCACCGAAGCGGCAGATGGGGGTGGAAGGAAGGGGGATCGTCTGGATGTACCCAGTTCATCTCATGCAGGACGGGTGTAGCGCTGCGATGGATGAGCGCGGCTGCAGTCGGCGCAGAATACTTCATTTGCGGCCCACCTGCATGGTTGCGGTACAACCCCCCTGAATGCTGCAAAGCAGCGGTTGCTCTTTGAGAAATGAAGCACAGTGCAAGCCATGCTCGACTGTAGAGCTGCGCTGAGTCGATTGCTCATGCCCGAACGTGTGTGTGCAAAAAGTTCTTCTGCAACGAGACTGGGCCTGTGAGGTAGGATATAAAAGTTCGCCTCGCACCGTCTTCACCCTTTTTGCCTTTCCTCATCCATCTCTGGGCACTTTCTGTATTCTTCTCCAACGTCGGGCTGGTCCCCACTCAACACTCTTTTTCAACACTTCACAGCCTTGACGGCTCTCTTACTTCAAAATGCGTGCAACTCCTGCTCTCGCATTCCTTGCGGCGTTCCTGGCTTCGTCGGCGGTCGAGGTGCTTGCTGCTCCCCAGGCTGGTCTTGGGCTCGCTGCTGTCGACCGTAATGGCGGCTACAAGCACGATGCGGCTATTCAGAAGCGCATTCTAAAGAGGCAGGCTGAGCCCGACTGCGCCGCGGAAAGCTACCCTGGCTCGGCCCCGAAGCCGGTCAACGCTGCTTCTAGCAAGCACCACAGCAGCGGTCACCATGGCGCCAACAGCCATGTCGTCAAGCACCACAGCAGCGGTCATCAAGGCGTCAAGCACACCAGCGGACACCACAACGCTACCGGCAACAAGGCTCCTAATGCGGTGCCGGTAGGATCGGTCATTGCTCCGCCTGGCTCGGCTCCTGAGGGATACAGCCCTGCTCCTGGTTCTGGCTCGCAGCCCCAGGGCTACGGTCCCGCTCCTGTCAACCAGCCTTCCAGCCAGGGCAACAAGCCCTCGAATCAGGGAAGCCAGCCTTCAAGCCAAGGCAACCAGCCTTCAAGCCAAGGCAGCCAGCCTTCGAACCAGGGCAGCCAGCCTGCGCAAGGTGGTGCCGGTGCGGGCTCTACTCCTGAAGGCTACGGCCCCGCTCCTGGCTCCAAGCCGGATGCGGGCGCTGGCAGTTCGCCCGCCCAAGGCGCTGCCGGTGCACCCGACAAGGACGGCGGCGTTCACTGCAGGGGCGTTCTGGGCAGCACGACGCTCCCGTCCAACGGCCCTGTCAAGCACGAGTGGTTTGACCCTGGGCTTGTGCATCACGGCCCGGGCACGTAATTCGGCGGCCCGACCGGATTCTGGGAAGGCGGAGCGTGCATGCTCGACTCCCTCCCCCACGCGAACCTTCCCTCCGTCGCCATGGATCAGACGTTCTTCCAGGATGGTCTTGCGTGCGGCACCTGCGTGGAGATCGCCCCCACGAGCGCATCGCTCTTTAGCAACGCTGCGCAGTGGAACGTCGAGCAGCCCAAGCGTGGCACCCTCCCCGCGGGTAAAAAGACGATTGCGATTGTCAGTGATCTATGCCCCGGCGTAAACCAGTGCTGGTCGGGACTGGATATGCACCTGGATGCGTGGAACAGCGTCACGAGCAACGCTAATGGCAGCAAGCTGCCGATCAACTGGAAGTTCGTCAACTGCAAAGAAGCTTTCGCCTCGTCGGGAAGCGGAGGTAGCTCGCTGCAGGTGCACTGGAGAGAGGGGGCCAACCCCGGCTTCTTCCAGGTCCAGATTCGTGGTGCCCACGAGGCGGTGGTTAGGGTCGAGATGAAGATCCAGGGCGAGACGTGGAAGGTGGCGACGCATGTGGACAACAACTGGTGGAAGTGGGACGGTGTCGCCCAGGAGGCCGGTACAAAGTCGGTCGTATTCAGAATCGTGGATTGGCAGGCTCAGACCATCACGACCGAGGTGCCCACCAAGATCGGTACGGATGTGTTTGTGCAGGCCAACTTTGACCGTGTCGAGTCGTCCAACTAGAGCGCGCCTCACCTTTGGGCCTGCGCAATATCAAACCCTCGACCCCGCTTTTTTCTCTCACCGAACGCAAACTTGTGCGTGTGTGTTGTAGCTTCCAATGAGTCGACGAGGTGGATAAGGGCAAGTCGGGGTGGTCTGACGGGTAGGTGCACGATGAGTTGTGCTTCTGCTCGGCGGCGGATGCGCGGGCTGTCAGGCAACGCTGTGTGGAAGCGGAGTTGCGAGGCATCGCTTGTTCTAGCCTTGCATGCCCTCCTTGGCCTGAAACGCCACCTCGCAACCAAACCCCGCAGCGAACCCATACCATTCGATCTCGCTCGTTGACGGGGGGGCAATAGCACTTTTGTGAGGGAGGGTGGCCAAGATCACGCGGTCGCATGCTTTAAAGCGATTGCCGAACGGGGATCACGCTTTCGGACCGAAGCCAAAACGCATGCCCAAAAGGGAGCGAAACTGGGTGGTGGCGGGGAGCTTGGCGCGGCTCGCGTATGAAGCGTCGGGACTGCCCAGACCCGCCGAGTAGCGAGCTCATACTCATACCCACCGGGGAGCGGGCAAAGGTGCGAAGCCTGTTTCTCTTGGCACAGCGAGGTGGGGGTGCGCGCAAGAGGCAAAAAGCACGCGGTCACGCTCGCTTATCCGCGAATCTCTTCCAAAAGTCACAACCGGCTTCCAGATGTGGACCCTGTCGGAGCGACCCGCTTCTTTTCCGCGGGCGAGTGTTACGGTTGGGTTCTAACAGTGTGCAGCGACGTGCAAGGGGTTGGAAAAGGGTCCACGCTCGCCGGGGGCTTTCGATCTGGAAGATTGCATGGCGCCGATGCGGGGTGATGTCATCCTGCGATCGACGCTCTCCATCTCGGCAGCTCCATCTCGAGATCCGCTCGACCATATACCCATACCAGCAAGTGCATTCCAGTGTACAGCATGTGTCATATATTGAGAGCTGCTTTCGGCGATTGCACCATCGAGACGACAGCGATGGGTATGGAGCGTCGATTCGAAACTGATTCGAGACAGCGTGCAACACTGCTGAGCGATCTCGAGAGCAGTCCGAGCATGCACCGAACCAACGCAACGGGGGTATTGACCCTGAAAAAAAAGGAAGCGCATGCTATTCTAGGCTCTCGACTCGTCCACTCGGCTGTTCTCCAGAGGCGAAAGAGCGATCATGACGGGGTGATTCGAAGATGCTGGAAAGGATCGGCCGGGTAAGCACGAGTGTGCATCGGGTAAGCGTCGAGACGGCACCGGCCAAGTTTGAAAGCTCCGAATGGCGAGCATCACCACCACCGAAGATCGACGGTGCTCGGATCGGAGCGCTCGAGGTGATTTTTTTTTGGCATGGCCATCCATGCTGGTAGCAAAGCTGCAGGCTGATTTGCGGATGCAGCGGCGGATTTTTTTTCTTGGCTGTCGGAGGATTTTTTTGGCACTTGCTGCTGCTGCCAGGAGCGCGAATTTCGAAAAGCAATCACGCTGGGCTACCCTAGCCACCCAGACTTTTTTTGGAAGCGCGCAGATCCGCAAGGTGAAACCTCACCTGCATGTTGCGATTGACAGCGACTTGCGCGACACTTTGCTCGGTCCAACGCGGCCCTGCCAGCCTTGAGGGCAGAATCGCAATCTTACATGACGGTGCAGCGCAGCGCGGCGCGTCCCCCCATTGTCCCCGGGCCGAAGCAAGATGCGCGAACCCTTGCCACCCCCGTCGCCAGAATAAGCGAGTCCCCCTCCCAGCTCGGTACAGTAGGGCGTTGGAGTGGGCTTTTCCAACAAAAAAGTCAGGCCGCATGTGGTGCCCGAACCTTTTTTACGAGGATCAAGGGGCGTCAGAATTGTTGCCTTTTTGGCGCGGCGCGTGCAAAGAGTTCAGCGAGGATCCAAGCGGGACAGTCGTGGATTGCGATATTTCGGACGCGTCGAGCTTTTTGGCCAAGAAGCCGCCTCGTTTTTTGGAACAGACGGCATTCCGGGGCTTGGCTGCGCTCGCTTGCGTTGGGGAGGTTGGCCGTGAAGGCGACCGATTTGCGTCTCCGCCCCTCTCCGCCCTCGCTCTCCCGCCTTCCCGGCCTTCTCACGGGCAGTCCGCTTTTGCTCTCCAAGCCCTCAGCTCTCAGCTCTCAGCTCTCAGCTCTCAGCTCTCAGCTCTCAGCCCTCGGATGGCAGCCGTTGATGATGATGCGCGATCGGAAGCTTCCCGTGGCCAGAGTGCCGTCCGTGCTTTGGATTGTCGCTGTGGATTGGGATTGGGATTTGGGAGGAGGAATTTTCTGGATGACTGTGGGTGGGCTAGACGGCACTTTGGCCGCATTCCATGCAGCAGCAGCAGCTGTGGTCCAACGCTCAAACTGGGTGCGGGCGCCTCAAAGCTGGGTTCGCGATCGTGGGCTCGCTTGGCGGATTTGGATGGCATGGAATGGCGCCAGATTCCAACGCAACGCAGCAGCAGCGCACCGCAGCCCAACGCAACGCTTTCGGACCACCTGGGCCGCAGCTCCGGCGTCGTACAGCTGCTGCCCGCCCATTCCCCCCTCCTTCTTTCCTCCACCACCATCCTCTCTCTCCTTTGCTTCCGCGGCTTCCATCTGCTTTGTCTGCTTCGCCATCACCAACCGTCTTTACTTCCTTGCCAAGCCCGCTCTCTACCATTCACTCTTCAAGGACGTACAGCCAGCCAATACCCGCCGCGCACCTCGTGTCGCTCCCAATACCCTTTCCAGCACAAGCTCACAAGCTCACACGCACACCCTCGACATCCGCTACCTTCGCCAACGTCTGGAGGCTCCCGACGACATGCTTCTATCAACCTAAGCACATCTGCACCGCGCCAATCCAAACCTTGTTCTTTTGCTCAATATTCACCCCCCAACCCGCCGCAAGCTTCTCGCCAACCAGCCTCAAAATATCGCACACTCCACTTCAGCCACTATAACCATGCACCAATTCGAGCACTCGGCGGCTGCACACGCTTCCTCCTCACGAACGCCTGCCATGCCCAGGATATCCACCGCGGTGGCCTTTCCGCCCTCATCCACCAGCTCGCCTGACACGCTCGCATCGCCCGCTACTTCCACTCCCCGCGCCACATCGCCGGACAACAATCCCAGCGAGTTGATGCCCATGCCAGCCGGAATGGCCGGTCTCGCGCTTCAGGTCCAATCCGCCGTCTCGCGCAACGTCACAGGCCCGCTCGTCCAGGTGCTCACCGACGCACAAGAGGCTTCGGCGCTCCATTGCGCACAACACGACGCCATCCGCACTCACTCTGCAGAAGCAAGCGCTTCCAGCTCCAGCTCCGGATCCGCATCCAGCTCCAGCTCGCGTATCGCTCCCATGCCACGCCAATCCTCCGCAGGCTCCAAATACGTCTCGGCGCTCAGCTCGCCAGATCTCGTGCCTTGCCATGTCGCGGCACAATCCTCCGCTGAGGCGCTCATGGGCACCGATGCGCAAGCAACAGACGATCCGCTCGCCTCCCCCTCGCCCATCGTCGCACCACTCCTCCAACAGCGCGATAGCGGCAGCAGCGACGGCAGCGGTAGCGGCAGCGCCAGCGGCACAGAAGCTTCTCTAGCGCAGTCCGACATCTGCCGCACGCCATCCACTTCAACAACAGGCTCCAGCCATGCAGGCAGCCTCGACACCGCCATCAGCTCCGTCCCCTCCGGCACCGAGTTCGAGTCCAACTACAAGTCCCACGTCGAGGAGCAATCAGCAGACACCCTCCGCGTCAACGTCGCCGCGTACGACCCCACCACCGCGCCCAGCCAGGCATCGCCCATCTCGCTCAGCTCCGAGGCCGACAACGCCCTGCTCGACTACTCGCCCCTCGCACACGACGCTTCCGCCGACGCCAGCCTCGTCGAGGCAAAATTCGCCACCGCAAAAGTCCGCCGCTACGCCGCCCTCCTCGAGCTCATCGACACCGAGCGCAACTATGCAGACGACCTCGCCACCCTCGTCCTCGTCTTCTTCGACAACCTCTGCATGATGCCCTTCTTCAACGACCAGCCCGCGCGTCAGGCGCTCGTCATGCGCAACTCCGAAGACCTCCTCCGCACCCATCAAAAGCTCTCGGCAAAGCTCGACGCCATCCTCGTCGACCTCGGCCTGCGCAAGTCCGGTCAGCGTCACGCCGACGACCAAAAGACCGAGCTCGAAAAGGCGTTGAGCCCACAGGCGGACGAGGCGGTCGTCCGCGCCGCAAAGCTCTTCAACCACATGATGCCGTCCCTCCAGTCCTACAAGGCTTTCTGCTCCAGGCACGGCGAGGCGCTCGCCCTCATCCGCGAGGCAGAGAAGCGCCATGCCGACTGGGACGCCTTCGAGAGGCACTGCGCCGATATCCTCCGCCTCACACAGCGCGCCCACAAGCACAACTCCTCCCGCCCACCCTCGGGCGCGACCACGCCCAGCGTCTGGGCCACCAACAGCCCGGCGTCGTACTTTGTCCCCGTCGCCTCGTCGTCCGCAACGCCCTCACCCAACCTCGCGTCCGGCTCCACCTCGACCCTCACCGCCACCACCGCATCGGGCTCCAACCCGGGCAGCGCCGCCGTCACGCCCGGCACGGCGCCCAGCGTCATGCGCCAAAATTCGTCGCGCCTCCTCTTTCGCGATTTCCTCATCAAGCCCATCCAGCGCCTGTGCTTATACCCGCTCGTTCTGCAGACGCTCCAAAAGCACAGCTCCGCCACGGGCGACTCGGTGGATGAGCTGGCCCTCGCCATCTCGCTCATGCGCGAGGTCGCAGATCAGGTCGACGAGGCCGGCAAGCGTCGCGAGTCCGAGCTCCGCGCCGACCTCATCTCGTCGCGCATCGAGCCCAACCAGGGCGTCACGCTCTCCTTCCTCAAGTCTCTCGGCGACTGCCAGCTCTCGGGCACGCTCGACGTCTTGCACCACCACCGCGTGCTCAATCCGCTCACCGCGCCGCTCCGCTTCAAGTACTTTGGCGTGTTTGTGTATCACAGCTTCCTCCTCATGGTCAAGGTGCGCAAAAACTCCACCTACGAATCGCGCCACTGGTTCCCGCTCTGGGCCGCGCGCCTCTCCAACGTCGAGGACGAGCAGAACCTCATCCCCAACTCGTTCCGCCTCTCGGTGCGCGATCACCACTTTGAGCTCGCCGCCTCCAACGCAAAGGAGCGTCAGCTCTGGATCGACATGCTCTCGCTCGCCATCTCGCGCGCCACCTTCTCGCCCCCCGGTTCCGAGGCCGCCTTCCCGTGCAGCCTCTTCTTTGGCGATGCCCAAGATGGCGAGTCGCTCGAGGCGTCCGAAGCGCCCACGCCCAACGCCAGCCGCCCCGCCGAATTCCAGGGCTACTTTGAGACCGCAAAGGCAGGCACCGTCGACCCGCTCATGGAGTTTTTGGCCATGCATGCCGCCGGAGCCGCACAGGCCACGGGCACCAACAACCGCGGCCAGCGCGCCTCCTCGTCCGGTCCGTGGATGCCCACCGAGATCCTGCTGCGCCACGCCTCGTCCAACTCGCGAGCCATCGTGGACCGCGGCATGGTGCTGTCGGATGCCGTCATCTCGGCGAGGATCGCTCGTGATGGAGGCGCGCTTTCGACCTTGTATGCAGCTTCGGGGTCTGGCATCGGCTCGGCCGTCGGATCGTCGCTCGGTCTCAGTCGCCTTTCGGCCAAGGACACGGCGACGGTCAAGATCCAGCGCCGCAAGAGCTGTGCCGGTCTGCTCGAGAATGCCGATGCCGAGGATGATTCCAATAACTTGGTGTTTACCGCGACGCTCGTGCAGCCTGGCTCGCGATCGCGCTCGTCGACCAGGGGTCAGTTGGATGCAGTCTCGGAGCGCGAGGGTTGGAAGTCGTCGCTGCTCAAAAAGGCCAACCGCGTGCGACCGACGAGCATCTTTGCCCCTACGGGGCTCAGCGTCAACACGGAGGGATTGGCGAGCCCGGTGTGGGGCCCTGGGTCGGTGTCGACGCCTAGTTCGCCCATCACGGCTGGACGCGATTTGCTGGTGCACGAGTTTGGAAGCTTTGGGATCACGGGTTCGGTGCCGTTGAGTCCGACCACGCCGACGTCGCATGTGGCGGGTGTTGGTGGGGCCGAGCTGGCGTCGCACTCGCTCACGTCGTCGCCGAACTCGGGGTGCAACTCGGCGGCCAATTCGACGGCGAATCTGCGCGCCCAGGGCTATGCGATGCCGACGCGCTCGCGCACGAGTCTGTACAGCATGAAGGACTCGCTGACCATGACGTTTGGCAAGCGCGTGCGCACGCGCTCTGTCCAGGGGGGTATGGGGGAGGCAGATCCGATGCACGAGTTCGGCGTGGGATCGGCGCTGTCGTCGGCGGCGGCGTCGCCCATGGCGAGCAACGTGAGTCTGCCGCATGGCGGGGTGGTGGATAGCAATTCGAGAAGGCCGTCGGCAGACGAGCTGTATCGAGGCCAGAAGGCGCGCTCGCGCACCAACTCGATCTCGTCGGTCACAGGGTCGATCCGCCGAGTTTTTACCGGTGCATCCCTGGCCACGCTCAGCCACAAGCGGGGACAGAGCGAGGCAGTTAAGGTCGGTGGGTCGGTGCAGGCTGAAAGACAGCTGGCGGGGACGGTGGTGGAGGAGGAAGCGCCCAAAGCGGGAGGCACGCTGCGCAGGTCCAGGACAATGCTCGATTATTCCAGGAGCTGGTTCCGCGGCTCAGCGACTAGTGTCGTTGAGCGTGTGAATGCGCAGGCTGTTGCACCTGCTGCATCACCGGAGCAGGAACACAAGCCACGCAGCCTGGGTAATGAGGGCGTTAGGAGGGCCTCGGATACCCAGATGGGCACGGTCAACGCGCAGCCGAGGGGTGCAAGACAGTCGTCGAAAGTGTATAACAAGTTGAAGTTCTTGCACAACAACAAGCTCAGCCCCATGCAGTAGGTCGAACTGCCCCCCGCGCAAGCTAGTAGCACAGCCCCAGCCGACAGTAGTATGCATAAGCACAAGCCGGGTAGCTAGCACCGTAGGCCGTCGCAATCGCAGTCGCAATGCATGCTTTTGTTCTCCAGTCGCGTCCGCCAGTAGGCCATGTAAGCAAACACACATGTGCGTTCCAGCCAGAGTGGCGGATCCCCGTCGTCGTGCGGATGTCTGCCGCTGTAGGCATGGTGGCTGTGAGGCGGTCTAGTATGTGCGCGATCACAAAATCAGCCCCATCGGCGGACTAAACAGCCCCACCCCGACGCGCCAGGTTGCACGCACAGCAAGCAGTCGCATTCGCAATTTTTGCTTCTGTTCTCGGCCCCTTCCGCCAATAGAACGCAAAGTAAGTAATAGCGGTCGCAGTCGCCATGCATACTTTTGCTGTTCAGTCGCGCTCGGGCAGAGTCAAGGATCATCGTCGTCCAGCAGCACGCACAGCACGCACAGTACGCAAGCGCAATTGCAACGCATGCTTTGATGGTTCAGACGCATGCACCAGTAGGTGCAACGGCCGCAGAAGCCAATCAGCACGCACAGCCGCATGCACCAGTAGCACGCTCAGCCACATGCACCAATGAACACGCACAGGAAGCTATCGCCATACATGCTTTTGTTCCTCAGCGGCGTGCTACAGAGCCAAGGATCGCCGTGCAGAGCGTGTGCAACGCTCCAAGGCTTGGACGCGACAAACATGCTCAGATCCATGCACCAGTAGGCCAAAACAGCAAGCAGATGCGTGATTCAGCCAGAGCCGCGATCCTCCGTCGGCGTGTGGATGCGCGGCGCTGTAGAAATGACGGCTGTGAGGTGTTCTAGGGCACAACCACCAATCAGACTCATGCCTGGCATGCGCTCTGGGGTGTAGAGTGCGCATCGCATGCTTGCTTACTGGGAAATGTGGGCCATTTGGAATAGGAATGCCCGTGGCGAGTGTGCGAGTGCAACGGCGGGAGTCTTGGTTCGCAGTTTCGACTCGCGCCGCGTAGAGGGTTGCGCTGTGAAGAATCGCCATCGTCGACTCGAGGTTGAACACAACCTATGCCCGCCAGACCGCACAGCGCTCTGGACACGATATCGTGCTCGACACCATGCGTGCATTCCGTCGTTCAGATTCGCCATCTTGTAGACTCACGACCGTGACCGTGGCAGAGGCGTCGGCAGAAGTTCTTGTTTGGGCACGATAAAGAGATCAACGCCCAGCTTGAAACACCCGTTTGGGGAGGATGGTGAGCGGTGCGCATAGGATCGCTTGCGTTGGGAAGAGTGGCTGTCGGGCTGAAGGGGTGGCCTGGGGAGTGTATGCGAGTATACCTGCGGTCAATGCATGCATTCGTCGTCGCTCACAGTCCCGATCAAGTGTGGCAGATGTCCGCGCGCTGCGAAAGGCCGTCGTCCAGAGTACGTGCATGCGACAAGCCCAAGGCCAGCAAGAGCAGTCCATGCGACGCATCCTTCGGTCCATGGTCTATATTCGCGCCGTGTAGCTGGTCTACATGCCCAAATCGAAAGTCATGCCTGGCTTGGCGCGCTGGGAAAAGTAAGGTGTAGAATGTGCGTAGCAAGGCATGCTTGTATTGCGAAAAAAGTGGCCGCCATCTGGCAGAGTAAAAGGATGAAACCCCTTCCCCCTTGCAGAAAGTTGTTGGACCCGGACAAGCTCAGCTGCGTTTACCAACCCACCCGACAGTCCTACACGGCGCAACTGGTGCAGATGTGGTTCAATTCCTCGCACCGGGCTTGTTCGAATGCATGCGATCTTGGTTTGGAGAGGCTTGAAGAGCAATGCTCTGTGAAAGAACTACCGTGCTCTAGGGCGTATGGCGTGCGGCTGCCAAACCAGCGATCCGACTGAGTGCTTGAGCACATAGTCAATCGAATTGGCACAGCCGACCGTGGAGCTACAAGCAGCTCAAGGCAGGTAGGAGTAGCTCAGCGCACCAGGCTTAGTACAACGCACATATTGGCCGTTCGGATCAGCACAACAGGCGTGCTTCAGCTCATGCATTCGATCGCTCCCAGTCTCGATGCGCATCTTGCACAAGTTGCTGATTTGGAAGGTGGACATGTGGATCGGCTCGGCGCACAAGGCTTCCTTCAAGACATGCGCTTGCTGGTCAAACCAGCGCACCCGGGCTGTTGCGGCCGCTCACAGTCCCGACTCACGACTGTGGCAGAGAGATGCGCTGGTTCAGTGTGTGTGACGCGACAAGCTTTGGAATGCAAGCTCATCGTGGCTCGGAGCTGGAACAGGCTGTGTGAGCGTGGCAGTCAAGTTTCTCGCGAGTCGAAGCCGAGGCGTAGCTCGGAAGGATAGAGTAGGGTCTCGTAGTGAACGTCGCGTGAAGCGCAACAGAGTGTTTATGATCACCGCTTCTGTTGCTGTGGCTCGTCTCGATCAGCCAGCGTCTGGCCTTGCATCACTGGTGCCTCCTTCTGGCGGCACCATGGCAGCCACGTCCAACAGCGCCAAAGTGGAGCCCGACGGAATTACGTCAGCACGCCAAATGCGCTCGGCCCCCAAACAGGGTCCATGCTCGGCTCTTCGAGTCGAGGAATTCCTGGGCATCTTGCACACCACCTTCATCGTCTCTGCCAACACCACTTTATCTTTCAGACAAGCAACGCTCGAGCAGGCGCCCGCTGCAAGGCTGAAAAGCTTCCGTGCCATGTCGCACTTTCGACCACGGGCGCGGGGATGGACGTCGTTTCTGCGGCGGCCGCTGGTGGTGCGTGCCGCGCGCACATCAGCCGCGACGCTGCAGGTGGTGTGTGCGATCCACCTGATCAACGAGCACGTGTTCGAGATCCGCAACTCGACGGGCGCATCGATGCTACCCACCCTCGCGATGGAGGGCGACTTCCTCCTCCAGCTCCGTCTGCCCTTGTCGTCGTTCCTCACCTCGCTCACCTCGGCCTTTGGCGCGAGCTCGGACGATACGGTTAGACATCCATACCACGGCAGGGAAAGGATAGGCGGCGCGATGTTTTCGAAGAACGATCAGGCGCAGGGAACCGGGTTGAGGGTGGGCGACTTGGTGGTGGCACTGTCGCCGTTTGATCCGACCAGGACAGTGTGCAAGCGGGTCATTGGGTTGCCGGGCGATACGGTGTGTTTGGATCCGAGGATGAGGCCGTTGCCGATGCACGCTTGGCGTGGGCGTGGGGCACACAAACCACAGCCGAAGGATGAAGGGCTGGGTGGGAAACACGTGCGTTTCGAAGACATTCTTTCGGGCGGCGACTCCTCGCCCACCACGACGAGCGCAGATGCAGAAAAGGAGCTGGGAAGCAAGATGGTGAAATACGAAGAGCTGCTTTCGAGCCTGGGCGTGCCGACGCAACCGGCTCGGGGCGAGGTGGACGTGTTTGCAAGTATGGACACCGACGCCGCGCCGACGCAGGCGGATACGGTGGCGCATAATACGGCGGCGCTGGAGGATCTGGAGCATTCGTACGTGCGCGCGCGCGGCGACGTGCAGTACGTCACCGTACCCCTCGGCCACGTGTGGCTGGCGGGAGACAATCTGGCCAACTCGACGGACAGCAGACACTACGGACCCGTCCCGCTCGGCATGGTGCGCGGCAAAGTCGTTGCGCGCGTCTACCCCAACCCGCGCTGGCTCGGCAACAATCTCAGCTCCATAGACTAAGAGCCCCAATTCCCAAACCAACCTTTGCGAGGAATGCGGGTGCGAAATTGAAGTGTGGGTATCGAGGTATGCAGTGTAGTGTACAAGAGTGGGGGAGTTAGGACCAGCCACATGATCGGCGGAGGGAGGCGGACCACGAGTGACGCTGCCAGTCGAGGATGATGGGCACCATGTCTGCAATGCCGAACTGGGGCCAGAACTTGTCGACAAAGTGAAGGTGGGTGTGCTGGGTGCATTGCCAGAGCATAAAGTCGCTCAGCCTCGACACGCCCGATGTGCGCACGAGGATGTCGAGCGGAGGCGAATGTGCCAGCTGCATCGCCTCGCCCAGCTCCTCGGGCGACACGTGCAGATCCACCTCGTCCAGCACCTCCTCCAACTGCAACTCCTCCTCCGAGGCCAGGCGTGACTTTTGGGCCACGGCGACTTTTTCGAGCGCACGCAGTTTGCGGTCGAGCACGCAGCGTGCTGCACCCGTGATCTCGTCTCTGCTTGCATAGGGCATGCAGATGTTGAGCGTCGCCTTGGTATTGTTGCGCGTCATATGCTCGACCTTCTCCACTGCCTCGCGTACGTCGTCGGGCAGAAGCGCCTTGCGGCCTGCGATGCGTACGCGCACCGAGTAGCGTGCAATCAGCTCGCCGTGCCCCGCGAGCTCGATCAGGCGCGTCTTGGCGATCTGCATGAGCGCATTCACCTCGCTCTCGCTGCGCTTGAAATTGTCGATGGCGAAAGCATAGACAGTGACCGTGTCGAGCCCGCGCAGGTTGAGACACACCTCGAGCACCGACTTGAGCGTGGCGAAGCCGGTAAGGTGACCGTGCTGGATGGTGTGTTGGGACGTGCGTGCCCAGCGACGGTTGCCGTCCATGACGAATGCAATGTGGCGCGGGATGGGGCCGAGCGAGAGCGTGTGCAGTAGCAGCTGCTGCGGCGTGGGGATGGGAAGCAGCGACAGGAGCGAGAGCGGCGAAAGCGCCGCCTGCTTGAGCATGTCGCGCTTGGAGGGTGGAGCGGTGCGTGTGGAAGAAGCCGAGGTGGCGGTGGAAGCTTGGACGTCGACGGACATCGTGGATATGATGCGTGCACACCGCGATGCCCTCGAGATGGTGGTACCGTGCTTGGTCGGTGGTGGTGGAAGCGCACAGAGAGGACAGAGCGCCAGGGTCTAAGTTAAGCCCCCGCAGCGCTGAATCTTCTCAAGCTTGGCTTCCGACTTCCGACACTCGCCAACCCAAATTTCGACGCTCGACACCTCCAAATCCAAAAAAAAAAATCGCATCGGGATGGGATCGGCGCACGGCTTTGGGAGAACATGGCGCGGTCGAGCCACCGCGCCTTTGCCCATCGGCGTCCTCGTCATCGCCTTGATCCACGCCCACCATCGCCCCCCTTTCATCACGCGAGCGCGTTCGCACACCACCATGGATACGGACCCTTTCGCGGTGTGGGACGATCCCCAACCGGCATCATTATCATCATCATCCACACAGCCGACGGCTAAAGCTCAAGGGGCAGCAAACGCAGCAGACGACGCGCGCATCTCGCTCGAGTTTGAGCAAGAAGATCCCGGATGGGGTGTCGCTTCGGCATCGACGTCGAGGGCGACTAGTCCCGAAAAGTCGCGCAAACCAGCAACCCAACGATCGAGGTCGCAGGCGAGCATCTCCCCAATGGCGACCGCAGTGCCGGACACTGCATCGGAGGTGCCGACGCTCGTAGAGGCCGCGCAGCCTTCGAATCAAGCAGACTCAGCAGAGGAGCCGAAACCTCAGCGAGCATTGAGGGCAGAAGATGCAGAAGCAGCTTCGAGCGCTGCCGGACATGAAAGCGAAGAAGACAAGGATGTGTTCGAGGATACAGAGGACACCCTGGCCACACCACAAGACCCACACCCGGCGCAACCAGCGCAACCAACGCAGACAGAACCGGTGCACGAAAATTTTGACGTGGAGGACTCGGCTGGAGGCGAGGAGAAGGGCGATGAGGACGACGACGGATTCGACGACTTTGGCGAAGCTGCGGGATCAGGAGGTGGAGCAGCGGAGCACGACGATTTCGGCGACTTCGACGACTTTGAAACGGGCGACGCACCGGATGATGACGCTTTCGGCGACGACGGCTTCGACGACCAAGACTTTGACGAAGCAGCAGACGCTTCTGTCCCAGCACCCTTGCCGTTGCAGGCTGCTGCGCCGACGCGCACATGGACGCCGCTCGACGTCACGCCTACATCGAATCGGCTCGATCTTGCTGCGGGCGTATCTGCGCTATTGCCGCTGTCTTGCGCAGCGGAGAAGGAGCTGACGAGCACGGCGTTGCGGCAGGTGGAAGGTGCGGCGCAGGTGCTGGTGAGCGGCGGCTCGCGCGAGATGTGGACGGAGCTGTCGTCGGTGCCCTCGGTCAAGCCGATCGACTGGGTGCGCAGCAAGACTCGACGCGACTACCTCATCTCGATGGGCGTGCCCGTGAATCTGGACGAGATCCACTCCTCGTACGATTCGCAATCGGGCCGGTCAGGACAGCTTCCACCGCTGCAGCTCAAGTACGACTCGGGACGTGGCGGCGAAGGATTGCAGAGGAGTTCGAGTCTCAAGCTCGCGGGGAGTGCGGCTGGATCGGCTGTGGCGCAACGCTCGGCGTCTACATCCAACAGTCCGCGCGATGGCAGCTCGCCGGCTCTTGGTACGAGCACGAATCGAGAACGTATGGCCGAGCGACGTCGGGAGGAATTGGGACTGGGTCCAGCGCCGCAGGTGGATCTGCGTCGTGCCGAGGAGCTGGTGAAGAAGAGCGAGGATCAGCTCACGCTGCTGTCGTTGCCGGCACTGCAGGCGATGGTGCGCGAACTCAACACGCTCACCACGTCGACGTCGAGCCTGCTCACGCACCACCTCACGCTGCGCGAGAGCTTCCAGGCGGATTCGGAGATGTACAATGCCATGATCAAGGAGCTCGTCACGGGCGCCGCCACGCGCTTTAGCGGTGCAGGTGCAGGCACCGGCTCGGGCGGCAGGGGCGATATGAGGAGATCCACCACCATGGGTGTAGCTTCGTCCGGCGCCGCAAAGACCAGGGTCAACAGTTTGCCCCCGCCCGGTGCGAATGGAAGGTCTAGTCCCTCGCTCTCGCTCAGAGGCGGTGCGGGGTCAGCCGCCAGTCCCCGACGTTAGGGTGAAGAGGTGCAGGCAATATTAAGCTCTTCATCCCAGCTTGACTCTGACCAGCCGTGTGGCGTGGGTGAGAGAGAGTCAATGCCATGTGCACCACCAACGGCAGGCGTGGTCTCTGGTGTGTGGGGTGCATGGCGTCAACCAATGGATGGACCAACCCCAACCGCGACATGACCATACCCGCGGGTCGGGTCGGGTCGGGGCTGGGCTGAAGCTGGGCCGACGGAACCAAAGCGGCAGGGCAGCGATGTCGGGTGTGTTTTGTTTTGACAGCTTTGTGAGAGGCATGAAATTTCGTCTCGAAAATTGCTTCCAACGAAGAAAAGCAAGTCGCACCAACCCCGCATGTTTCACACGAAACCCCTCTGCCAACCCCCTGCTTTTTTGGAGGCGGAATTGTGTGATGCGCTGTCATTTTTGGCCACCACACTGCCTAAAATCGCCTAAAATTAAAACGCGGCAAAGGGAAGAAAATTGCCGCGTGTTTACAGCGCTGGCAGAATCTACACCACCGCGTCCAATCGCAAAACACCCCCCGCTCACCACGGCCAGCCTGTTGGAAAGTCTGTAGACAGGCCTGTGTTGAAGAGAGAGAGACGATCGTGCGGCGTGCCAATCTCCCAACTCCGACCCGAAAATCTGCATCTCCCCCATCCCAACGATGATCGTCGGCTGCCAGTCTGTGCCTAGGTGTGCACACAGAGCTTCCCCGCCCAGTGCGATGGCAGCAGCTCGGCTATAGGCTCGCTTCCAACCTTGCAGATGGTCTACTGTACTGCTGGCTGCATCTCATCCGCTTGCCCCCCCCCCCCCCCCTCCCTGAAGGACCCTCCCTGAGTTGGTTCCTCCTCCGAGTGTCTCTGAATGAGGATGGCGTGTTTGGCCCCGCAACCTTCCCTCTTTCCGTCCTACCTCCATCCATCCCTCCCCCGTCCACGCGGAAAGTCTGAAATATACCCCTGTCAACCCGTGGACCCTCCCCTACGCTATACCTTCCCTTCGCCTAAAACCTCAGCCAAGAGCGAAATGCCCACTGCTACTCGAGCAAGGCCAACGGCGCCCTCGGCGAAGCGCAGACCGTCGGGCGCGGCTAGAAGCGAATCCGGATACTCGCGTCGATCGTCGCTGGGATCGTTCAAGACCGCGGCGGGCGCGTCGGACTACAACCAAGCCATCTCGGCGTCCGAGCAAGACGACGACAACAATGACGACGAAGACGAGCTGGCATCGGACGAAGATGCGACCATGATTCGCAACCACCACACTACACGCGACCTCGAGGACGACGACGAGACCGAGACCGTCTCGCACCACGAGCCGGCGTCCAAGGGACTCGTGGCGCCCAATGCAGAAGATTCGTCGAGCATCGACTCGCAAGAGTCGCCGGCCATCTTCAACCACAATGCCACCAGCGATAGCGAGACGATCAACAAGTCGCCCCCCACCTCGCACGATGACGCGGTCGACCAGCGCAGTCCGCTCGACAAATCCAAGCCCGCCAGACAGCTGCTCACCCCCGACAGGGCGCTGACACCCAAGGGTAAGGATCGCAAGAATGTGCGTGCCAGCCATGCGAGCCATCTGACGCTGCCCTACCAGCGATCCGAAGCCGGCGATATGGATGCGTCTAGGAGGCTTAGCAAGATGACCATTCAAAGTTACGGCAGAAGAGCCCCTTCGCGCGCAGAGAGCTTTGTCGATGACATCCCCGACATGAGCATGCGCGACGCGCGATACCGTTCCGTATCCGAACGCGGCGGCGGTTCGAGGGCGAGCAGGCTGGCCCCGCCAGCATCGGTGCTCGAGTTTGGAGGAGCATCGGCGCGATCTTCGTTCCAGTCGCAGCGCGGACCGGGCTCGCGATACGCGAGCAGCTACATTGAGCCGCACTCGCTGCGCTCGCCCTCGAAGCGCGACTTCGGGTCGCCCGCAGGCATCCATCACCGCGATTCGGACCGACTCAGCATCAGCTCGCGTCGCACCGCAAGGAAGCCGGCATCGGTGGTGTCCAAGATGCTCGATGCCGACACGCAGGTGTACCCGGGCACGCGCATCCGCAAGTACATCGAACCGCAGCTCAACGAGGCCATGCGCCGCGTCATGAAGCAGTTTTCCGGTCACGGCCTCCACGACCACCGATGCGACGGTTACCCCATCGCCGTCTTTGTCGGCGCCACCGCCATCGATACCGGCAGCATCATTCAGCCCCACGTCTCGGGCGCAGTGTCCATGTACTTTGGCCCAGGACATCCCAAGAACATGGCAACCCTGCTCCCCGGCGAGGATAGAGTGCCCAGCCACATTCCCAACCCCAAGGCGCCCACGCCCGCATCGCTGTCGCGCCGCGCCGAGTTGCGCTCGGCCATCACGGCGCTGCATACGATCTATGAGATGTACCGCGGGCGCGCGTGCGCCCACGTGTGCATCGACTCGGCCTACGTCGCCAAGGCGTGGGGAACCTGGATCCCCACCTGGGAACTGCGCGGCTGGCCGGGCGAGGACGACCAGGAGGCCGGCGATGAGGAGAGGTGGGAGGAGGAGTACTACGAGCGCAGGAGGAACCAGCGCAGGGTGTACGACCGTTATGGCGCCAGGTACGAAGATCGCAGGGATGGATATGCCAGCGATGGTGGAAGGTTCCGTCGTGATGCGCCGCGACGACGATATGACGACGACTGGCTCGCCAGCGATCCGTATGCCGACCGCGACCGCAGCAGGAGGCGTGGCGGTGGACAGCGAAGGTCAAGGGCCGCGCACGATTACTCGTCCGACGAAGACGAGTACGACCGCAGGGACAGGAGGAGGTACGACGAGCGCGACGATCGACGCAGGAGACCCATGCGCCGCGCGCCCGGCCGTCGTCTGGTCGACGAGGACCTCCTGCGCGAGCTCGCCGATATCCGGTACGAGTTTGCGCGTGCCGAGCGCGGCCGCCACGGCTCGGCGCATCTGTACCTCATCGACCGCAGCAACAACCCCGCCGACCGCATGGCGCGCGCGGTGGCCAAGTCGGACGGCAACCTGCTCCGCCAGGAGCTCGAGGCGCTGCATGTGGACGATGCGGCGTTTTCGGACGACGAGCTGCTCGACCCCGAAGAGGAGGAGTGGGAGGAGACCAGGAGCCGCTTTTCGAGCACGTCCAACACCAAGGGCCGCATGAGCAGCCGCAACAGCTCCAGGGGCAGCATCATCTCCAACGCCACAGGCAGGCTGCGCGCCAGTGCCTCCATGCCCTCCGGCCGGCTCAGGGAGGGCGCCAGAAGACAGCTCGATACGTTTGCAGAGGAGGATGAGGACGAGATGGACGATGCGCGTTCGGTGCGCTCGGCAAGGTCCGCCAAGTCGGCCAAGTCGGCGAGGTCCAAAAAGTCGACGCGCGCCGAGCGCGAGCGCGACGAATACCTCGCGAGGCAGGAGAGGATGGATGTCGAAGCGCTCGCGGCCCAGCGTCGGTCGGTGGCGGGCAAACGATCCGCGTCGCGTGCGAGCCATCTTGCGCCGCCTGCTTCCGAGCGCGGTGGTGGGTCGCGACGCTCGATGGAGTCCAGGGCCGGCCGAATGTCGACCGACATGCTCTCGCCCGAGGCGGCGTCGAGGCGCGGCTCGATGGACACGCGTCGTGTGTCGGCGGTGCGATCGCAGCCCGACATCCGCGGCAGCGGGCGTGTGTCGGTTCGCGGAGCGTTGGCGTCAGCAGCCATGCGTGAAGACGACGAGTACTACCGATCGTCAATGCAGGTGCACAGGGATGTATCGGGTGGACCGAGACATCCGAGCCACATGGAGTATCCCGAGATGGACGACCTCGTGCCGCCCGCACGCGCGTGGGATGGCGCCTCGATGCGCTCGCGCTCCAGCGTAGACTCGCGCAGAGGAGGACTCTTTTCGCGCAAGCAGGAGTCGCCCAAGCCGGAACGAAAGTTCGGCATGTTCTCCAACAGGTCCACGCCCTCGCTGCGTGCTCCGGCACCCGAGGATCCCGACTACGAGTGGAAGGCCAAGCGCAAGGCGGGCAGGAAGCAGAGAGACTGGAACGCCACCACCGCCGACGACGTCGCTCAGAGGTCGCAGTGGGATGCAGACGAGCGCGGAAAGAAGCCTGGCTTCTTTGGCAGGATGTTCGGACGCAAGTAAGTAAAATGGAGTGCTTTGTATAGGTAATGGACTCTGTTGGATCATGGACGAGTGGACTGTGGCCGCGCGAGTGATGAGAGGACGGATGATTGAGCGCGTGCGACGAGCAGATCCGCGGTGGCAAAGCGGCGATGGGTGGTCCAGCGACGAGAATTGCGTCAGTCCCGATGAGGTTCATCTTCGAGTCGGCGCGCAAAAGAGTGCTGGTGGAGCGTCTCGAGTCGGACACATACGAAGGCGCGCGCGACCCTCTCTGGCATCCTTGCCTTCTTCCCTACTGCACCCTGGGCTTTCTGCTTTCTGCTTTCTGCTTTTGCTTTTGCTGCTGCTTGGACAACAACTTGATCCAGTGCCGTGTGGGCGTCTCTATCGGCACTGCTTGGTGCAGCGTCGACACGCGGCCCGCCGCCACGGCGTTCACATTCGCCTCAAATGGGCATACGGCACTTCGTGGAGTCAATGTGTCGACTCAGCGATCGAGCAGTTGCTATTGGCCTGGTGAGCATCTCTGTCCGCAGTGATGCCGCAATGCCAAGCGATGTGCTTATCCGGAAAGCATTGCCATCCAATCGGCAGCATGGAATCTCAACGGCACTCTCATGGCGTTTGCAACGGGCAGGATGCTGGTACACGGCAAAAGGCGGCACGCGCTTGTATGCGATCGAATTGCGAATGAGATGCGACGCTAGCGTTCGGCGACTGTGCGAGTGAGAGCGAAGCCAAATGAGGAGATGACGGAGACGTGGGCACACCTTCCAGCGCAGTGTGGCGTCGGCCAAGTGGCTCCAACGCCAGATGCGGGCGTAAATTTACATGGAGCACCGCGCTGGACAGAGTCACAGGCCCTTCGACATCTCGTATGAAAGAATCTCCTTGCGATCGCACACCGCGCACTAGGCATTGACGAACGTAAAAGCGCCCACCTATTTTGGCGTGCAGTAGAGTACACTAACCAGCGATGCCGAGGGTGAAGATGCGAAAGTCGTCAGCGCCTCGCCAGTCGAACGCGACGACAGTAGCATCGCCGGTTCCGTCCGGCACAAGCGCATGTGGGGCAGCGGGCGCGACTTCGTGTGCTCCACAGCTGCGCGCGTCCAGATCGGCAGGAGGCAGCGTGAGCAACGGCCCGCACAGATACTCCAGCTCTTGACCCAGGCTATCCGCGCGAACCGACGTCCCTGCCCCAGGATAGCTGCCCGCCTCCGAAGAGACGCTCGAGTGGCCGCTTTCGGTCTCGACGTGCACTCGAGAGTATGCAAGGTCCGATACGGGCACCAGCTCCAGTTCGGTCTGCGCCGACAAACGAAATCCTACAGAAACGGGAAGCTTGAATGATACCTTGCGCGATTCGATCCGGCTCGCAAGGAATGCTACACACGTAACACCCACGTGCAATACAAGCTGCTCGTCGCGTCTCCCGCCCTGCGAGCCGCTTGGACGCTCGGAGAAGCTCGATTGCAAGCCCGCGGGCTTGAGGTGGTTCAGCGGCATCGCCCCCGTCGAGCTGGCGCGCTCGACGCCCAGCACGCGCGCCCAGCCCGACACCGCATTGGGCGTGTTGGACCACTGCATCACCGCCAGCGGCACACTCGATTCGGCCGCCACAAGCGGCAGCGCCAACACGTGAGTAAAGTTGGCCTTGGACGCGATCGCCATTTTGGCAGACACTAGTTCGGCATCCGGACACGACTGCGAGCGCTTCGTCTGCTGCGCACGCCGGTCTCGGCGCTGCATAGGTCCAGGATCGGTTAGTTGGTACTTTTTGCCGATTGGGTGCGGATAGTCATCATCGGACGAGTCGGAGCCACTGCCGCTGCTGTCGGCCGTCTGGATCGCATCGTGGTACTGCGCGTTCTGGTCAGAGAGGTGGATACGCGAAAGGCGTTTTTCGAATGAAGCGTTCTGGTTCACAGGCGCGAGCGGAAGCGCCTTGTTCACGTCAGCATGGCCCAAGCTCGAGGTGCTCGAAGTGGGCTTCCTGAGTGAAATGCCCGTGGGGGACAGCCTTGATGCCGACTCTTGGCGGTAAGGGCCTGCAGACGCGGGATCCTCGATGTTGGCCTCCCGTTGAACTCGAACGAGGATTCGCGCCTCGATGGTGGAGAATCCGATCCAGTGATGCTTGTTCGAACGCTTGTCCAGGATCGCTTCGCGGATCCTCTGCTCCACCGATCCCTGGCGGGTGTGGCCGATGGTGCTGAGAGCTTGAGCGTCTGCGCGCGTGGAGCCTTCACTCGGAACGTGGAGCAGTCTCGCGCCATCAGCATTGACTTGCGTCTCGGGCCTTTGAGCCTGCAGTGACAGCTGCGGTGGTGGTAGCCCGTCAGAGCCATCGGCTGCCGCTGTGAGCTGCGCGAGAGGCGTGAGGTCAAAGTCGCGCACCTCTGAATCTCGCAGCCGAATCAGAGCAGCTCGGCGGCCAAAACTGAGCAGCAAGCACAGATCGGCCTTGCGCCAGGAAGCGGGCGCTGCGCTACCTCTTGGTACTCTTGCCGGCCCCACGCCATGAATCCCCGGCGCAGCGCCGGCAGAGTAGCTCAATTCTCGCTGCGGCCCTTTCTTGGACGTGAGCAGAGGCCCGTGAGGAGATGCAACCCTGAGTTTGGTTGGGCCTTTGCCTGGCAGAAGAGCAGCTGGTGATGTGGGATTGAGCGGATCGTCGGAGACCGCGGCGGGTGCGAATGCCACCGCTTTGATTGGGAAAGGTGCATAGAGTTCCTTGACAAACGACCATGCCCTTGAAGTGCCAGTGGTGGGCAGTGGAGCTTCGTACACCAGGACGCTCCTGGCGTAGGTGATGGCCAAGTACCATGTGCCGGCTCCTTTGGTGTCGGCGGTTGCTTCGTGGACGGAGAAGAAGAGAGCTCCCTGCGAGCCTGTGTCGCGTTCTTTGGCTTTGTGGCCAGCCTGTCGGCCGATGGAGGAAGCGGTGTCTGCAAAGCTGGAGCTGGAAGCATTGGAGCTGGGTGAGACCGAGGCGGCGTGCGAGGGTTGCTGGATGGGCACTGAGCCCATGGCCAAGGAGAGAGCAGCTGCGTGTGCTGCGTCTGCCTGGCGGCTTTCGGCGGGAGATAGGGGTGGGCGACCATGCCGAGTGGGACCAGCGCTTGCCTGGCGGTCAGTGTAGGAGGCTTGCTGCTGGTGCGCGTCGAGCGACGACCTTGTCGAGGAGGAGCCCGACATCCTCTCACGTGCAGAATCAGCGTGGGCATTTGGCAGAGGCATTGGATCGATGGTATCTCCAAACGATGCACTGGAGCCAGCGCGACTGTGTTGGCTGGATTTGGCGGTGTTGCGCACCTTTTGCCTGGAGAAAGTCTTTTTGAGAATGGTGCCGAGGCCGTCTCGTTTGAGGGGTAGTGATTCGGCTGGCGTGTCGAGGTGGATGGGAGTGTTGGCGTGGGGAGTGTCGAGCGCGTAGATGAGAAGCTGCCTGATGGCCTGGAGGTGCCACATGCGGACAAGCCCTGTGCCTGCCGGGGGCACGGCGCGGCCCGAACCTCCGCCGGTGGCTGGACCGAAGTTGGCGGCGGCGATGCTCTCGTCACCGACGGGCAAGGCGTGTGCGGAGTGAGTGGAGCTGGACGAGGTGGATGCGGTGACACCGGCAGCGGCGACGCTTTCGAGAACGGAGCCAGCATGTGCGCTGAGTTGCATCAGAGACGAGGAGAGGAATCCATCCTTGGCCGAGGATGGACAGGTGAGTGCGAGCAGGACGCCTGAAGGCGGGGCGCTCGGGCGCGGATTGGCGTTTCGTGTGGTGGCGCCGCGATCGTCGGAGGCCAAGAGACACATCTGGTAGACGGCCAAGCCGGACCAGATGTGAGTGCAGCGGATGGCGTCGTTGGCTGTTTGCGAAGGAAGGGATTGGGATGGGTAAAACTCGACGGCAAAAAGGCCGAGGTGGGTGCCGAGGAGAAGCACTTGGCGGGGTGAAGAGTGGCTCGGGGATGGCAAGCTGACGAGGATGGAGCACAGCGGTTTGGCTGGCAGGTGCGGGATGAAGCGGGAGCCAAAGTGGTGGAGATGGAGAGGAGGAGCGTGCGTGGCATGGCCTGAGGCCTGAGGTTGGGTTGTGCTGTGCGAAGAGGCTTCATCGTTGATAGCGTCGGGCCCGTCGACCCAAGCGCCCCAGCTCTTTTTCCTGCGGTTTGGGAGCTCGTCGCTGATTCTTTCTGGATGATTGTGCGCAGAGAGTTGCTGATCGACGTCGGCGTAGTGACGTTCGAGCGCACGCTTTTCGAGCCAGGTGCCCCATCGAGGAAAGCGGGAGCCGAAAGCTCGCGGTGGTGAAGGTACATTTGCAACGGCAGGATCGGTCGACAGGCCAGGATTTGCAGGGCTGTGAGGATTGAGCTGGAAGTAATCGTGGGAGGCGTGATGTGTGGCTATTGCGGGCGGAGTTGGTGGGAACTGATGCGAGTCGTATCGAGGGGGGAGCTCGTGGCTGGAGGCTGATAGCGGTTGGGGCGGGAGCAGCGGAGAGACGAGTTGGTCGTCTGACCGAGACTGTGGGTCGGTCATGGGCGAAGGAGCCGATTGACCAGGCTGTGCGGAGGGCGAATTGTGAGGATGCATGGTTGTTCAGGCGGCGCGGGGCGTAGGATGCGTGGATAGCATTTTGAGGGTTGGTGCCGCTCGGTGCGTCGATGCGCTACGACAGACGTGCGTGCTGGCGAGTGGAGAGCATTTGTGTGTCCAACCGCGCTGCGAATGGGATGGTGGTGGTGGTGGTGAGCAGGAAGGCCAGCAGCGGGGGTCCGCGAGAGAGAGAGAGGAGAAGGGTGTCCGTGCGTCCAAAAGCGCTGCCCTGCATTTCACACCAAAAAATCCACGCCTCGGAATTCTCAGCACAAAGGGCGGCGAAAAAGTGACACTACTTTGGCGCTCCTCCACTCGAGGAAGGCTGTGATGGTGTGACGAGTTGCAGACAAGAGTACAAATACAAGGTTGCGAAGACGTGAGACTCAAAAGTTGAGACGCATGTGGAGCGCATCTTCTCCGTCGGCGTAGTAGCCCTTTTCGACGCCGTGCACCTCGAAGCCCAGCGTATCGCGGTAAAGGCCGATTGCGGCGCGGTTGGTCTGTCGCACATGGAGCGAGACAAACTTGGCGCCAAAGACGTCGCGCATGGCCTCCTCTGTGGTGGCATTCGAGGGAGAGTGGTTAGACGGGTGTGATGCGAATTTGGGATGATGGTGGGGCACAACTCACGACTCTGCTTCATGAGCTTGTTTGCGAGGCCGAGACGGCGGTAGGAGCGGAGGACGCTGATGCTGGTGACGTGACCGTGCGGGATGCCGTCGGCGGGCTCCTCCTCCATCTTGCCGAGGATGTATCCGACGACCCTGTGCTTCTCGTCTTCGGCGACGTACGAGAGCTGGGGCCATGTGAGCGCATGGTAGAGGTAGTATCGGAGCGTGTAGTTTTCGGGCAGGTTGTGCAGGTTGCAGTTCTGCATGCCCAGCAGGTCGTCGATCTGCGAAGTGGTAGAGCATCGAGGTCAGATTTATCTGAGCAGTGAACTGGTGACTCGTTGCTGTGTCTGCTTACCGTCGCTTCCCTGATGTTCATGATTGCGGGATGGTGATGGTGGAAAGGCACAACGGCTCGTCGGACAGTCGCAGTAGCCGACGGCAGCTTCTTCCAGCTCCGAAGCGAGTCACGTGCGGCGAAAAATCGGGAGATTTTGTCAAGATGTTGGGGATCTCACATCGTGTGAAATTCGGTGTTGTTGGACATTTTGTTGGAATTTCCCCCTTTGTGCCGTGGTGGGTTGGGGCCGACGTCAGACCCCTGACGTGTGTGTGTGTGTGTCTGAGAGAGGCAGAGAGTGGGCGGTGGCTTGCGAAATACGACACTCTCTCCCAGCCAAGACGCGGCGGAGGTCCCGGCGCATCAATCGCGCACCCATCTTCCACTCAGCACCAGCAGCCGGCGCCCACCACCAACACACACTCTCTCTCTCTCATTCACTTGCCCACCTCATCTCGTCCATCATCCGCCCAGTCGACGCTCGGACCCCCCCCCCCCCCCCCCCCCCCCCCTTCTGGCCTTAAAACAGCCGCACCCGCCTCACCCACGCCCATCACACCACCACAGCATACACATCTTTCTCACCCGTCTACACGCTCCACCCACACACACGCATGTTTCGCAAGCACGACAAGGACTCCTCCTCCACCACCTCCAAGGGATCCAAGAAGCAATCCAAACCAAAGCCAGCCATGACCGACGCAGCGAAATCAGGACGCCCCGGCAACCTCGACGCTTCCCAACAAGAGGCGCTCGACACCTTCCGCACAACCATCCAGCACAAGGGCCTCTTCAACCCGGAGCGTCACGACGATGCCTGCCTCTGCCGATTCCTCCGCGCACGCAAGTGGGACCAAGCCGCCACCGAGGCCATGTTCACCGAGGCCGAAAAGTGGAGATCCGAATTCAACGTGGAGCAGCTCTACCACAACTTTGAGTATCCCGAAAAGGCGCAGGTAGACCAGTACTACCCGCAATACTACCACAAGACCGACAACGACGGTCGCCCCATCTACATCGAGCAGCTCGGCAAACTCGACCTCAAGGCGCTCTACCAGGTCACCACCCCAGAACGCCAGATCCAGAAACTCGTCGTCGAGTACGAAAAGTTCCAGCGCGAGCGTCTCCCCGTCTGCTCCGCCCATCGCGGCGAGCTCGTCGAAACCTCGTGCACCATCATGGACCTCAAGAACGTCGGCATCTCCGCCTTCTGGAAGGTATCCACCTACGTACAGCAGGCCTCCAACATCGGCCAGCACTACTACCCAGAGACCATGGGCAAGTTCTACATCATCAACGCTCCTTACATCTTCACCACCGTATGGTCCGTCATCAAGGGCTGGCTCGACCCCGTCACCGTCGAAAAAATCAAGATCCTCGGTCACAAGTACCAGGACGAACTCCTCCAGCAGATCCCCGCCGAAAACCTCCCCGAGGCGCTCGGCGGGAAGTGCAACTGCCCGGGTGGATGCTCCCTCTCCGACGCCGGTCCCTGGAACACCGAAGAGGGCCGTCAGATCATCGAAAAGGTGCGCGAGGAGGAGAAGCAAAAGAGGGAGCACCACGAACGCACCGCCTCGGCTGCCGCTCCTGCCGCCGATGCCAACGCTGCGCCTGCTGCGCCTGCCGCTGCTCCTGCCGCACAAAACGGCTCGGCTCCCGCCGCCTGATCCATCCCAACCCCCCACCTTGCTTGCTCGTACATACTTTTGTGTCTCTTTTCGCCCCTCCTTTCGTGAACTGCACACTGGCTTTGAAATAGAGTCGATCCTCAAACATCACTCTGCGTGTCTCGCCTGCCTCAACCCAAGTCTTGTCCCTTGCTCCGAGATCAGAGCCACGCTGAACGGGTGAGCATGAATTCCCGGCCTCGTGCCAAGTCATTTGAGCGTTAATATTGCATATATTTTCTTAGCGCGATATGCAAGGCTCCATAGCTCAGTTGGTTAGAGCGTAGCACTGTTAATGCTGAGGTCGGCGGTTCGAGCCCGCCTGGGGTCGCTTTCCTTTTTTTTTTTTTCTTTTCGCAAAAAAACCCATACCCCAGCACGGGCGCACCAGTCACCTTTGGCCTTCATCTAAAACCAGAGATGGCGGCGCATGACACTGCACGCCATTCATCGCCGCTGTCAGCCCAGCCTCAATCCGCATCCACAAACCTTTGGTCTGAAATAAGAACAATTGCGAGATTAAACACAGAAGAAAAATGCTACTTTGGCTCGTCCGCTTGGTCGGCTGAGCTGCTGTGCGCCTGCTCCGTCGCTGGCTGCGACTCGCCGGGGCTGTCTTGACCAAAAGGGCTTAAGATGGGCGAAGCGTTCGAGTCGGACCGATTGCTGTTGCTCTGTGACGACGACCGAGTGGGCAACGGTCTTGCCTGGCCCGCGTTGCTCTGCAGTCGTTCTAGCGGGCTGTCCTCTGCCCTGAGCAGGTGCGGATCAATCGCTGCCGTCGAAACCAAATGCGCAGGCCGTGCCAGACTCCCAGCACCAACCGACTGCATTTCCGGAGCTCCGAGCTCCTCTGCCTCCATCACGGCCGAGCCACTACTGCTTTGAGACGATCCCACAGCGCTGGGTGTCTCGCTCTGCCGCGTAGGACCCGACCTGAGGTACTGTTGCCTCTGATTCGCGCGTGCCGCTCGTCGATCCCCCGTCTCGGTCCAGATCAATCCGCTCGTAAACTCGTCCACCGATCTATCCCTTGCCAACCCCCTCGGTTCAGCCATACCGCCGAGTGGTTGCGGTGGGACAATCTGGATCGAGTCGCGGTTGCGTGGCGAATGCGGCAGGTACGATTCTCTCCGCGACGACGCAAACGAGTGCGAAGAAGGTGATCGCAGATACGAGCGCTTCAAAGTCATTGTAGACGACGAACTTGACATCACCGATGTACCGCCAAATTGCGGTTCGTAGCCGCCCGGTGTGGAGAGCACAACCGAGTCCAACGGTCGGATCGAGGGAGACGGCATCTCGCTGGTCGAAGTCGAAACAAATCCATCCTGCGGCGATGTGGATATCGACGAGGCAAGGTGATCACTCGATCCATCGCGCCGATACGATGGTGCAGCGATGGTGGGCAGCGTAGCGACGACCACGCCGCCGCGGTACGCCGTGGGTGGCTGGCTGATGGGTGGAAGCTGCTCGGCCCGATGCATGCAGTGCCACAACTTGCAGTAGACCTTGTACGACACAATGATGAGCGCGATACCGCCAAAGATGGCGCCCACCGCAATGGCAGCCGTATTGGGCTGCGACATGGTAGCGAGCGCAATAGTGTAGACCCGAGTTGAAGCTCCAAATTATCAAAGCGAGAGCTGGTTGCAGATGGAAGCTGCCATGCTGAATCGGATGATGCTGACGATGTCGATGACTTGGAGGCGAGAGGTGGCTAGGCGAGTGCTGATGGCCGCCGTCGGAGCTAGGCGTGTGTCAAGGGGTCGCCGTGCGCGTTTGGATGTTTCGGGGATCTAGAAAGCTTGCAGAGAGGCCACGACTTGGGATGCGAAGAGCGTCTGGATGCGAATGCGAGAAAGGTAGTGCAGATAGAGGCGCTGAAGGGTTAAGCAACGAGAAGAAAAGGATGGTGGAGGCTCGAGGGCAAGATGGTACCGAGCTGATCGGAGGACCTGAACGGACCGTCGGAGTTGCAAAGGGCGGCGGTAAGAAACAACCGGCTACGGCGTCCGTCTGCCAGAGTTGACCGATAAGCTTACGAGGCGGCGAAAGGGGGAGTGGTGAGGCAGAAGGTGGGAGCTCAAAGCAGCGCCGTAACGTTCTTCGCGCCGATCGAAGCCAAGACGCTCGGAAGTGCTTCTCGCAAGGGTAACTGGATGGGCTCAGCCTGGGATGGGGGAGTGCGAATAGACGGAATCGGAACGACGGGATCGACAAGGACATTTCAGGTGTCCACGGACACACGGGAGGCCAAGGTGTGCCAAGGGTGCAGGTGCAAGCGCTCATCGGCAGGGGGGGCAAACTGACACACAGGTGCCAAGCGCAGCCCACACTAGCATGGCGTGGCATGGCATGGCGACTGGAGCATCAGCCAACGCCCGTTTCTTTGGGTGCAGCTCACGATGGCGGGCGGGCGGGCGAGGGAGCGAGCGAGCAAGTTGCGTGCCAGGAACCTGGCATGCCGTGGCTCGTCGAATGTGTGGGACGAGTGGGCGGGGGGCTGTCTGCGCGGCATCGCCTTGCATCGCATTGCACTGCATCGCAGCCGCCCCTCTGCTTTGGCCAAACGGACCCAAGTGACAAACACAAACGGATGCGCTCTTCCATCGAAAAGGGCTGCCTACGAAATCTCGGCAACGCGCGGCGGGCGGGATTGCGAGCACATGCTCGCTCGCTCGCTCCATCGCAAGGATCGTCACTGCACAGATGCCAGAGCACTGACATCATGGTCCGCCTCGCTTGGTGCGGAATTCCAGCCTTTTGGCGAAATTGTCCAAAATGTCCCGCTTCCGGCACACCGCCTCCGAAGCTCATTTCTCCAGCCAATTCTGGGATTGGCCGGCAAAACATTGCGCGAGCGAGTTCAGGGTGCAGCCAGCTGTAGATCGATGTCAACCCGTCGAGATGTCATCGCCGATCTTTCAACCGTTGAGTCGCCCCGATGGTGATCCCTGGAAGAAAGTTGTGTGAGGAAGGTTTTGGGCTGGACCCTGAGAAGCCATCGTCCTGCTGTCCGAGATGGCCAACTCTGCCTTCCACACCGCTCGCAACCAAGCGCGGCATGTCCGTATCCACCGACTTCCTGCCAAGTCGCGACCTGCGCCAACTGAAGGCGCTCGACTTGGCCTCGCCCGAATGCCTAGACGATGTGACCGCCAATCTCGACAGTCTCGCCACCGTGCTCGGCGCCAGCGGTGGCCAGATTCTTCACGCTCCCCCACAACCTACGCACAACGACACGCAAGCTCACGATGACTTGCAGTCTTCCGTCGAGGATCCACCGCAAGAGACGGATGCATTCGAACAGCGTTACATCACCCGCTGGCTCACCCGACTCGTCTCCGAGTTTGCTATGACCAGCGCCGATTCGCAAGAAATGCAGGACAGGTGCGAACTTCTCTCACAACAATGTGCCGAGCTGCTTGCCCTAGCAGCGGGCAAGATGGCTGCGGGTGCTTCGATTCAGGACCACATCTTTCAACTCTCTGATGGCGAGCTCACCGTCAAGCTCCGAGACGGTGCACTTGTACACGACTCGCTAGGCACACATACGTGGGGGGCTGCCCCCATCCTTTCGCAGCTCCTTCTCCCCATCGACGCAGATCCTCAGCGCGACCTCGACGTTCTCGAGCTCGGGGCAGGCACCGGTCTGGTCGGACTCTCACTTGCGCGATGGTCGCGGCAACACCGTCGCGATGCAGGCACTCGCGTGGTGTGCACAGATCACCATCCTACCGTGCTCGAGAACCTGGCGCACAATATCCAGCTCAACCGCTGGCCAGAGAGCGTCGCTCAAGCATCGCAAGCCCGGGTTGATGTTACAGCCCGCTGTCTGGACTGGCAGAGCGTGCACCAAGCTCGCAGTGGCCAAGCTAGCTCGGCGTATCAACTGTTGACATCGCAGACCGTGCCGAGCCATCTAGTCGCTTCCGCGCAATCCGACTGGGCGCGAGACCTTGACATTGGCACCTGTCAGCGTAGCTTTGACTTGATCGTCGCAGCAGACTGCATCTACGATCCCGTCCATCCTCTGTGGATCCGCTCGGTGGCCGAGTCGCTTCTGAAGCCTGCCGACCCCTCGAGCGGCGTTCAGCCATTGCTCCACATCATGGTGCCGCTGCGCCCCACGCACCAGGCCGAGATGCAGGCAGTGTATGAGGCCTTTGCAGCGGACCGTCCAGGCGACCGCGGTCTGCGTCTCGCCATCCAGGCCCAGAGCGACTACCAGGGCTACGAGAACTTTGGCGCCTGGAACTCGGTCGTCCGTGCAGCCGGCCCGGTCCAACAGAGCCAGCCAGAAGGTGGACTGGCTCGAACCTATCGCTGGTTCATCATCGGCTGGCAATCGGCGAGCATATAGTTGATCGGCACTCCCAATCGGTGATACAGAATACTGCGCAAGGATCCACACCGAAACACCAGCGATCTTGAAGCCTCAGAGGCGGCCGAACCCGATTCGAAGCCTCGACTGAATTGGATTTGAAATGAGCCTTGAAGTCACGTTCTTGCGGGTCGGTGGGTCCGTGCTGGACAGCCGCAAGGTTTCGCCGACTTTTTTAGCGTTTCGCACTTTCGAGCTCGTGCAGGTTGGGCCGATGTGCCCGCGTGAGCAAACGAGCCTCTCGCCTGGTCGAACCTTGGCTGCTCAAACCATGCATCCAGGCTCAGCTTGCGCTCAGCTGGCTCTCGGCTGCGTTCGTCGGGTGCACGCGCTCACCCTCATTGTTGCGTCTCGGCTTCTCGCCCGCCGTCGAGAGGCTTGCCCTCCCGGATGACCCGTGCGGCTTGCAGTGCAGTGCTGGGCTGGGCTGGGCTGGGCTGGGTTGAGTACAAACGCTGCACTGCACCTCGATTGGGTGGGCACCTCATCTCGCCGAGGTGGTGCGCCCAATTCCAAGCGTCCCGAGCCGCTACACCCCCCTTCGCTCCCACCACCACCGCTCCTCTGCACTCTGCGCCCCTGTTGGTTATCAACAAAAAGGTACGTTGCCTCTGTCTCTGCCACTGCTGTCCTGTGCCCTCGCTCGCGCTGGCGTGCATCAATCGATCTCCTCTGCCCACCTGCGCCACCCTCCACCGCCAACGCAACCATCCCAGTTGCCTTCTGGCTTGCCTCCGCCATTGGCTGCGTCTGGCTCGGGTAGAGCCGCCCTCGTCGCCGTCCGTTTGCCCTCCTCGACACCGTCCAGCCGCCGCCCACCGGCTCCTCGCGGCATCTCCTGCCTCTGTATTGCTCCGACTGTGTGCGCCTGCCATCTGCCCCTGCCCTCTCCCTCCCTCCCTCCCTCCCTCCCTCCTAGGTGGGCCGCGTCTCAGGTCACCATCGCTGCCTGCTGCACGAACCCGCCTGGTGGCTGCCGGCCAGGCCACCTTTTTCGAAACTTCATTTTGCAAGTTTTCAAACGCTCCCTCTCTGCTTGATTGCCCTTGCCTCGCACTTTGGCCCTCGCCGCGCTCCTCGCCGCTGGACAAAGCACCACTTTGGCGCCGCTCGCACTCTGCCTCAGTACTACATCACATCTTTTCGCCTTGCTCCTCCCCCATTTTCCCCCTTTACAGTCACACGCAGCAGCATCCGCGACCCACCGAGCACTTCATCCGCAACTCTTCTGCGAAGGTAAGTCGACTCGCCTTGTCCCCCTTGTGCTCTCCCTCCCGTATGGCCCCCGTCCCCTGCTGCTGCTGCTTCTGCTGCTGCTCCTGCTGCTGCTGCCGTGCTTGCGGTTGCCACTGCGTCAGTTGCTTTGCGTATCCGTTGCCGTTCGAGCCTCTGTGAGCGAGGCCCAGCTGCCATCCTGCCTGCCTGCCTCTTGTTTCCGTCGTCGGCCGCTCGTCCTGTCGTGCGCTGCTCCTCACCATCCTTGGCAGCTGCCACACACCGGGCGGCTGTTCCTGCGCCATGTCGCATCTTCGAGTTCGGCTGCGATTGTGCGTCGACACGAGCTCGTGACAGCCTGTCCGTCCTCTATCGTCGGCGTGCACATCCAACTCAGGCGATACGCTCTCGTGTCATTCGTCGCGCCCTCGCCCGCCTGCCCGCCGCCTACCTCCGACACGCACACACACGTGGTGGTACAGAGCTGCACGTCGAATGCACAAGCTCTTCGTCCCGTCGCGCTTTGTTCGCCGTAGCTTCGACGGGAGGCGCAACAGCAACCATTCGTCTCGACGCCACCGGCCGGATGGATGGATGGATGGCTGCCCCGCTCGACGGCTCAGTCGCGCGCGCGTGTGCCCCTCGATCGCGGCTCAGTCGCCAACGCGAGTGGCGTCGATCGGGTACGCTGCGGTCTAACACACTCCGCATGTGCCGATCGCGCTGGCCGGGGCGCACGATTTTGATCCGGCCTTTCCAAGCCAACCCGGCGCGTTGTTTTTTTTCCACGGGCGGCCAGGCTGCGCTGATGCGACGCGTCGGCCAGTGCGTCGCTCACTCGCTCGCTCCATCCATCCATCCGCGTCGCCGCACGCGCCTGATAGGCACGCCCCCACTTCATCGCGCGTCGCATCCATCCATTCCTCCTCCACCTTTGCCTCTACTTCCGGGTCTCTCACCACCGACCCCTTCCCCGCCTTCATCTTTGCCTCGGTCGACGCAGTCATTGACCCGTCACCACCTCGCTGTCTCCACCCCTCTTCGACTCACTGGCAGGCCTCACCGTCGCCACCTGATTCGTTCCTTCGCTCGTGCTGTCGTCGTTCGAGTTCACTCCAGACGCGCGTAAGTATCCCTCCGCGCGCGTTCGGGCGTGGTGACGGCGCGCCTCGCTCGAACATCGGCGTCCCTGACACCTTTTGCTACTGCCCCTGCGCGTCCCGTCACCGCGTCGTCGTCGGCGTCCGTCGCGCTTCCGCGTCGCGATCTGCAGTTGCGACTTGAAGTGGTCCGCGAGACGCCACGCGACGAGTCCATCGTCCTGACGAGCCGACCCTTCCATGGCCTCGCAGCACCTCGTCTCGCCGCAAGAAGCGGCTGCACAAGCTCAGGCGCGAAGGATGCAATCTTCTGACACTCACCACAATCATCACCATCACCCTCACGCAGGCTCCGACGACGCTCAAGGTAGCCAGTACTTCAACCCAGCAGCTATGGTACGTTGCCCGCGCGTCAGAGCTCCCACTCGTTGCATCCCTGCAAAAACACTGGCTGACTTTGTCTCGCTCCCTTCGACGACCTCCTTACTAGCACTCACGAAACCTCGGTATGGACAACGGTAACGCCCCGTCTCACTACGGAGGCATGCAGCTTCCTCCCCTCGGCGCCGGCCAAAGCAACGGCGGCCACGGAAACATGGGCCACCACGCCTACGGCTCCCACTTTGGCGGCCAAGGTCACGCCATGCCTTCCCAGCTCTCGTATCCCCAGCACTCGCCCAACCCTTCCCATGCCCACATCTCCGGCGGCCAGAACGCCGGTCCCATGTCGATGTACGGATACGGCGTCCACCACTCGTCGCCCCAGCAGCACTACTCGCATGTGCCCGGCCAGGCTGCTCACGGAGGCATGGGTGGCATGGTCGGCGGCGCCGGCTCCAACCCCATGATGGGTGCGCCCGGCGGCGGCTCTTCGGGCAACGACTTCAACCACGGCTTTGGTCAGCAGTCGCACTACCACCAGTACTTCCAGCCCCAGAACCTCCAGAGCATCTCCCCCAGCCAGGCAGGTGCACCCCCTGCGGCGTCCAACGCCGCCTCGGCTCCTGCCCCCAACGCGGCCGGCTCCGCTGCTGCCAAGGGCTCCGCCAAGGCCGCCAAGGGTGCAAAGGCTCCCAAGGCCCCCAAGGCCCCCAAGGCTGACAAGAAGAGTGCTGCCGCCGCCGCGCCCCCTGCCAAGGCAGCCCCCGAGCCCAAGGGCAAGGCCTCCAAGAAGGGCGCGAGTGCCGACGCTCCCAAGGCCAAGTCCAAGGCCCATCCCTATGCGCAGCCCGAAGCCGCCGCCGACACCAAGCCCGCCAAGAAGCAGAAGAAGGAGGACCCGCCGAAACCGTCGGCGCTCAAGTCGCGCCTAAAGCCGCCCAAGCAGGCGCCGTCGGCTTGGCAGATCTTCTTCACCGAGGAGCTCCAGAAGATCAAGGCTCAAAGTCCCGACGAACGCCTCAACGTCGCGCACGTCGCCAAAGATGCAGGTCAGCGATACGCCGCGCTTCCCGAGTCCAAGAAGCAAGAGTTCCACCGCCGCAGCCTCGAGGCCAAGGAGCAGTGGGAGCAGGAGATGGCCGACTGGAAGGCCAAGCTGACGCCCGAGGACATTCGCCAGGAGAACCTCTACCGATCCGCCCAGCGCAAGGCCGGCAAGTCGAGGAAAGGCAACCTCAAGGACCCTAATGCTCCCAAGAAGCCCCTGTCCGCCTACTTCCTCTTCCTCCGCGCCATCCGTGCCGATCCCAACATGACGCAGGCGGTCTTTGAAGGCGAGCAGGAGACGACCAAGCAGAGCGTGCTCGCCGCCGCCAAGTGGCGCAGCCTCAGCGAGACAGAGAAGCAGCCTTACTTGGATCGCGCCGAGGCCGACAAGGCACGCTACGAGCGACTCCGCCGTGAGTACGAGAGCAGCAACGGCCTCGAGTCGTAAGCGCCCGCCCCTTGAACGCCTCTCTGCATGCGCCGGCAAGCTACTCCACGTGTGCTGGTGACCTCTCAGGCTCGATCCAAGGAGGCCCTACACCTGCCCAGGTCGGACGTCTTTTGCCTCCTATACCACTCGCTCGTCTCGTCCATTCCGTGTCCTTTGTAAATCCCCCGTTCGCCAGGCCTGCGGACTTGCTTCCCCTGTCGCCTCGTCGTCCTCGTGTCAAGTCCATCCCCGAACCCCCTCAGCAGGCCTGCTGGCTCGATAGCCCTCCGTCCCGGTCTTGCCTCGTGTATTCTCACTTCACTTGGCGACTCTGCCAGCAGCTGATCTGAATGTATTTTTCTGTGATTCCATGATTTGCATCTGGCGACGCGCGTGATTCTGAACGAAGGAACCGAGGATGACGATGCGGAGGATGGCCTGTCTTGCATGAAGGCCAGGGATGTGAGCCGCTTTTTAAGAGATGGTCGTCGGCAGTCATTGGGCAAAGCGAATGACCATGATGGAGGTGTTGTCGGTGCTGAATTCGCTGAGAGCGTGCTGGACGAGCTTTTCGGCGGCTTGCTGTGGATCTTGGATGTCGCGGATCCTGTCGACTGCTTCCTGGTCCTCTGCCACGTCCCAAAGCTAGTGAATGAGGGAATGTCAGCAACGAGCGATTGGCAGTTTGTGGGAACGGTCGGTACTTACGCCATCGCATGCAATGATGAGGAAGCTGTCTTCGCTACCGAGCACGGTCTCGGTAGTGTAGGGCGAGCCGACGACAAACTCTTTCATATTGGAGTCTCCGAGCGACCGTGTGACGGCAAGCACTCCGTTGACGCGGTTGTTCATCACGAAGCCTCCGGCGTCCGTGATGCGCTTCGCCTCTTGAGCGTCCGAGCCCTTGTGGTCGTACGTGAGACGAACGGCCTGGCCATTCCGACTGTGGAACGTCAAAGGAGTGTCAGCAACGTGAGCGTGTACAGCGAGTGAACGATGTTTTTGCACTTACCAGAGCACGGCCCGAGTGTCACCGACATTGGCAGTGTACAGCACCCTCCTGGCTGCTTGGCTCGGCTGGGCCTTGTCGGCGTGATCACTGGATTCGAAGCGCTTCGAGATCTTGCCCCACAGACCAGTGCCGGACTGGGCTCGCTCGGTCGTACCTTCGGCAGCGGGAGCCGTGTCTTCTGAAGATGCCTGGTCACCTTTTGAGCCGGCGTCGTCTTCGACTCGCAAAAACGCCACGGCAGCAGTGCAGCCGCTCGAGGTGCCCGTTTGCGCAGCAAGGTTCGCGAGCTCCTTGTCGACCGAATGGAATGTGGAATTGAGCAGATCAGGCACGGGCTTTTCCGGGCTGCTGCTGATGTTTGCCAGAAGTTGCTGTGGCAGACAAACGTGAAAAGGGTCAGCAGCGTTTTCGGTTGGGCCGTCGGGGCGAATCGGTGCCGCATCCAAGGACTCACCTGATGAAAGTTCCGTCCGCACCATTCTGCCGAATCTTTTCCCGCATGTCCATCGAATATACCAAAGAAGCCTTGGCCCGGAACATCGCCAAAGTCATAGACAAAGGCATGTGCATCTTCCATCGCCCTTCGGAATCGTGAGTTGGGATCCTCGGCAAAGCCTATGCGGAAAGCGGGGCCCGAGGGCACTTCCGGCTTGGAAGCGCCACTGCCATCGCTCGAGCCTTGGGACCGGAATGAGTTCGGATGTTGGTTGAGCACCTTTTAAGAAAGGATCGTGGAGCGGTCCGTGTGACAGGAGCGACAAGTTTAGTGGTCGAACGGAATGAGGCTGGTACCGTTGCTGCAGGCGATACTTACACCATGGGTATGCATGCCCTCTGCCACGGTCACTGGTGCAGACTCGGCATCGACCTGCCTCCTGTCATACGAATGCGAGTCGTGAGTGAGTACGAGTTCAAGCGATCGAAAGATTCGGTAGGAGCACGACTTACTTTTTGCGTGCGGCCATGGCTGCTGGCGACTGGCCTGTAGAGCTGCGAGCGGACGTGCTGGTGGGGCCCGAAGCGGAGAAGCAGCGGTGTGGGTGATGGTGATGGTGGAGGTGGGGACGATGGCCGAGTGCGTTGGCGCAGTTGCGGAATTTTCCTCGTGAATCAAACAGCCTCGCCGGCGCACGTCACGCTCGTGTTGCGCTGACTGTGCTCGACAGGTCGCGGTGTGGAGGTCGATATCTGAAAAAGCAAAAGCGTGTGACGTGCATGGCCGTGCGCGACACCGTTCCAGCCGCACACTGGTCCAACACACGCGACCGCAACACAACACACACCTGCGCCCTCCTGCCGCCTTCCCCGCTCTGATCGACACTGCATCCTCGTGCCAAGTCAGAGCCTCACCCTGTGTCTTGCTGTCGCTGTTTCTCGCTGGCACGAGTCCATCCACTTTCGTCATGATGCTTCGGATGCGTTCATGACCTTCACGTTTCATCACAGATGATGCGTGCTTGTAGTATGACTCCAGCCATGAAAACTACAAATGAGATATGAACGCTTGAAATCTTGACACCTCATGACCATAAAATCACAATGAAAATCCCCGTTCTGAAGAAACACGAGCTGGTGAATCATGAATGTCAGCCAGGTCAGGTGGGCTGGCTGCTGCCAGGCTCATGTCGGACAGCCAGCTAGCCACCTTGTCGCGGAGATTTGTCCGTCATTCAAATGCATCACTTACGATATTACAGATCGTGTAGGACGATCATTTTTCGTGATTTCTGTCTCGCTAATGGGCCTGTTCCGTCAATGGGCCACTCGCGTGATCCATATGACGCTCACAGTCAATCCTCGCTGCAAGCCCACCACAAAGCGAACGAACTTATGTGTGCAGGACTGACTAGGCCTTGCTTTTGAGCGTGCAAGCGTCCATCGTCTATGATAAGATTCGTGTTTTATTTTTATGGCGCGACTCGCGACCCATGTTAATGAACTTAATTGTGGAATTTCATTATAACATCGATCTTTGAGCCACCGATGACCCGACACTCGAGCCCTAGGTGTTTCATGATTATTTCTCAAATCACAGTTCTTTCTGAATTCCGTGAGACATGAATGATGTTGTCGTCGCAACTCTCTGTCACTAAAATCAAGTTAAGTCAACCAGTGTGTACTGAGTAGATTTGGGAATCCATGATTTCTCCGAGGTGATTCGCTTTGATGATTCTCAGATGATTCTCAAGCCGTGACCAAAGGTAGCGAAGATGAGGTGCGTATTAAAATCGATACCAAGTACGGCGCTCAATAAACAACGACACAAAAACAAAGGTAAGTTAGCGGCAAATCAAATCCTAACAAATGGGGTGGGTGGCGACGAGCAGCCACCCATCAGCCACCCCGGGTGGCTGTTTGGGATCAGCCGCCCCACAGCCACCCACACACACTTGGGTGGCTGATGGGTGGCTGCTCCCGAGAAGCCACCCCGGATGGCTGCTGGGTGGCTGCTAATTACCAGCCACCCGGGGTGGCTGCTGGGTGGCTGCTCCTCGCCAGCTCGCGTTTTCTTAGGATATGAATTACGACCCAAGCGGGCAAACAGACATTTCCTACCATAGCGATGCCGGCAACATGAGCTCCGGCTCGCCCAAGGGAAGCGACAACAACTCAGACGGCATTGGCGACTCTGACGGTAGTGACGACTCTGACCTCGAACATCGACGCCGCGAGGTGCAGGTGATCAGGGGGTTTGACACTCAACTATTCCTTGGTTGTCACGCACTGTGTGTAGGCAATTGAGTTCACGGCATTTGTCGGGCATGATTGATAACTTAACTTAACTAACTTATCTTAAATTGAAGAGAAAGGCACAGCAAAAAATTGACCCAACTGACTTAACTTACGAGCCGCACTCATGACATCCTTTCTAGCAACCAGACTAAATTTTTCTGTCTGCTGAAGCGCATCATGCCTGCTGCATCTCAACCCGACTGATACCACAGATCTGTTACAAGCGCCATTTGATCGTTGTTTGCACGTGCGCAACTGCATAACTTTTATTAATCATGATTCGCGGTTGGCGACTACACTTTCGGAATAACTTAACTTATAAACTTTCTCGCTTCGGTGTCATTGCGAGCTTGCAAAAGACTCAGATGAGGTCGTAAGTTAGCTTGTCAATCATGGATGTCATGAACGTCTGCGCCTGCGCAGGAGCGGGAACAGAAGCAGCTAGTCAATGTGGGCACGCGTTTGGCTCGCTGAATGATTTCGGGTGCCTTCTGTGACTTGTCTTGAATTTGCCATTCATGTAAATTCACATCCCCGATGTTTCGTGATTAATTATCTGCAAGGCAAGGCAATCATGCAGGTCAAATCATCAGTTGCGCAGTTTCGACACCGACGGCTTAAGTCATGTGCGACACGAATAGCTGCTTGCTTCGGCGTGATCTGGACAAAAGCACGGAACTGAGCAAACCGAAATTCGCAACTCTAAGTTCGTCAAATCGTGATATTCGAGGACGTTCAATTCTCGACATCCTTCCCGGCTATGTAGCCCATAAGCACCCCCGAAGGACTCTGAACTCTAACATCGTAGATTCCTGAAACAAATCTCTTGCGCAGGCATGACTCACATAACTTAATGAATGAACCTATGAGATCCAAGAATTTGAATTGATCATCGTGTAACTTAAATTGACCTGTGAATTGACCTGCGCGATCTGAAGGTTTTTACGACATCAGCCGCCATGTGTGACCGTGATGAAAGCAATGTAGCTTTTTGCAAGCCAACCGCGAAGCCAGCGGAGGTCCTACCGGCTAAACTCCATGGCAAGTCACGGCGTCATATCCAAGATCAAAGCTAAGCGCGTACGCGGTTGTTTTGAGTATGATGTGACGTGGCTTGCGATTAGTCTAGAACATGCAGCGCTCCTTTTGATGATGTTGGCAGCAACACGGAGCCACCCGCAAGCAAGACAGATCAGCTCACAGCATGCTCTGCTCCTAATTTCAACGGTCTGACTTACTGCATGAAGCATGAAGAGCAGCAAGTTCTAGCTCGCAATTCATGCACATTGCGGACATCATACATGTTGCCTTCGTTCAGATGTCAGCTTTGATGTCTCCAGGTGTCGCACCATTGACCCTCACGCCTTGATTGATGTGAGCTGGATTCCCACATCAAACATCGTCATGCGTGAGGATCTAGACACCCCATACGACTTGGTGAAGCTTCGTGCCTAGCATGGCCGCCAGGTGACCAGCAAACGTGACACCCGCAATAGCATAGCGCCACCTTCCCCGAGCCATGGAATTGCGTCCGCGATTCGTGACGACGTGCAGAGTGCAGGTGATCACGCATATGCCAGTGGAGCCCGAATCATGGATCGCGAATCACGCACGAGGTGTAGTCGTGAACGTTCTGTTCCCCGTCTATGAGCCGTACATGCATGGAGGGCAGGACTCATGAGTGTGAAAAAGTGCGAGTTATACGTACGGCGCTAGAAGTCACCAACGAGCCACCACGGGTGACCAAGGAACAAGGCATCAGAACCACGAAGGGAACGGAGCCAACCAGCAAGCCAATCCGGTTGGATCGGTCTAGAAGCCGATGTGTAAGCTCGGGCCGGTTTTGGCCTGCTCCCAAGGCCGCTGAGCATGCAGCCGACCGAAGCGTGTCCAGAGGCCAGTCATGAATCGCCAAGCTAGCTAGGGGTGTGTGCTCGATTGGGTCCTGGTCGGCTTGGGAAGGCTTTCCTCCATGTGCCTTCCTTGTGATCAGAGGAAGCCCGCGAAAGAGCCGATCATGACCACGCATCACGGGTGATGAGTCGGGATGGCTAGGTGGACAAGCCCACCCGAGCCCGATTTCAGCGACCATCAACGTCAGAAAGAGTAAGAAATCTCGGTTGGCTTTTGATCGTGAGGGAAGGGCGATGTCGGAATAAGCCACCTCGAACAGCCGCTACGGCTGTTCTGTTCTCTAAGCTAAGCCCAACCCGCGCGCCAATCATGATGGACTTCTTCTCGAGCTGTCTCCCATTAGCTGTCAACAGACCAATTTTCCTGCACCAAGGCATGAGTCGTGGATGGATGCGTGTCATTCGTGAATCGCGTCGTGCTGGCTGCTCCTGAGCCAGTCCTCAACCGCAGGCACAATTATCGATGGGTGTCAGCCTTCAGCCGCCTTGCTTGGTAGTCTTGGGCGAGCCATTGAGGCGACTCATCATGAGTGGACTCGTGTTGCTCTGGCTGGGGTTGTCTCCTCGAAATCGCTCAGCAATCCTCGAATGATGACTCAAGAGTCGGTGGCTTTAGCTTCTCGCGTAGCTATTGCTTCAGCTATCCAGGTCTATATCCCGAAGACATGCGAACCGACGACAGCAGCTAGGTATCGGGCACACAATCTGGCTGATCATCCAGCCAGCAGCCGTTCAATCGCGAGTGACTGGCTGGTAGCTGGCTGCTACCAAGCTGCTCATCGCCTGCTATCGTTTCCACAGCACGAATGGAGGCGTGCAGCCCGGGCTGGCATGATGCACTTCCCTCCACCACATCTCGTGCGTCTGAAAAGGAGAGACATCTCGAGCAGCCGCCCGTCTCTACTTGATGAATTTTCACTTCACGACACGCATTGGAGCGCGAACATTCACTGTGCTCGTCCTCTCTCCTCGCCAGCGTGAGCTTCAGGAGGGGCCAGCGTCATCACTCACGCGCGCAATTACAGCAACCCCATCAGTCGAAAGCGTGCGTACAAACGTCCTTGCTTCCAAGTGCGCTATTGTTCTGGCTGGTGCGCGCCTACCACGCGATTTGGGCCGCCCAAACGGCGAGTGTATTCCCAAATCCGTTGCGCAGCGGTCCCTCGTCGACGGTATCGATGGCGTCGACGGTGACCATCTTCTCTACGCCGACGGTATTGAGGTTGAGGACCCATACGTTGGCTTGCGAGTCGACGTTCTCGAGCCAGAGGATCCTCTTCTGTGACCGACGATTGGAGACCTGGGCCTGGTTGTAGTTGTCAAAGAACGAGTAGAAGCCGGCGCCGTAGACCAAGATGTTGCTGCTGTTGGCGATGCGCATGCCAAGGCCGCGGTTCTCGTAGGGATCCGACGGATCCGCAAAGGGCGAAGTGGGCGACTGCGCCGACGAAAGATTAAAGTTCGGATCTTTGTACCGCTGAAGCGAGAGCGGCTCTTCTGCGCTGGCGACCGCGCGGCCTGCGCCCTGGAAGTATGCCGTCTCGGTCTGGGCGAGAGAGATAAAGATGTTGCTGGCGTCGACAATGTTGTACTGATACAGCACAGAGTGCTCCGACGCGCCGCCGTACATCCACACGGGACCCTGCTTGGACTCGACAAGGATTCCGCGCCCGGACAGGAGGTTGACCTGGGCGCGCTCGCCGTAGTCGAGATCGTGGTCTGCCGTCCACACCCACATGTTTTCGATGTATGCGCTCGAGTTGGCAGTGAGATGGAGGTTGATGAAGCTCGCACGACACTGCTCGCTCAAAGGCTGCTCTCGCGCGCACTTGTCCGCCTCCAGGTTGGTGCCGGCGAATCCGCCGACCCTGATGTGGCTGTCCCAGACAGCGGCGGAGCCTTGCTGTCCGTCCAGCTCTCGAATGTTCCATTCGACAACGATGGCGCCGGCTGCGGGCCCTCGGGTGGAGAACACCATGTCCGAGATTTCCATGACGCCAGAGTCTCCCGGCGATCCCACGCGGATGACGGGCTGAGGATTTGAGCTGTTTTGGAAAAGCGGCCCACCGCCCATGAGGACGGGCCAGACCTCACCCACCATCCTTGTGCCTGGCGGCAAAGTGACCGTGGATTCGAGGTAGTAGGTGCCGTGGGGCACGTAGACGATCTTGCTACCAGCGCTACTGTTCAAGATCTGCTGGAGCGCCTTCGAGTCGTCGGTGGTGCCGTCTCCTGCACATCCGAATTCCTTGACGTTGACAAAGTCTGAGGCAGCGGCTCCTTGGTATTGCGGCCGACTGCGGCTGAAAAAGGGCTGCAAAGGCTTGCTTGCATCGACAAGCGACGAAGGGCGCCGAATGTTGACGTCCGAGATGGCCTGTGCGTCGTCGAGCTGCTGCTGGCCCTGCACGACTGCGCCCTGAACCCAGCTCTTGATGACCGAAGGCTCTTGCGAGCCATCGAGAAGCACCACCTGCTCGTTTGCACCGCCAGCGCTGACCGCAGCGCGCACATGGTCGATGGCAATGTTGTCGAGAATGACGGTGCCGGAATCGGGGGTGGTGATGTTGAAGGCGGTATCGACGTTGGTGAGGCTCCAGTCGTAGGCCAAAACGGAGGCAGCGCCCTGGTTGCCCGAGGCTGGATTTGGACTCGTGCGCATCTCGTAGCCCAGGGTGCAGTTGGAGATTCGAATGTCGTGGTAGGACCAGCCCCAATTCCATGCCTGCGAGATGGCCGTCTGGCAATTCTCAAACGTAGCGTTGCGGACGGTGAACTGCTGGTTGCCGAGATAGGCGCCGTATTTGCCGCCGCGGAAGGAGAGATCGGCCATGAAGCCACCGCTGCCATTCTCCATAAAGATGCCCTGCTGAGCGTTGCCGTTGGGATCCTGGCGCATCTCGACGTGGACGTTGAAGAGGCTCGTGGCCTGGCTGACCTGGTGGTGGATGCCCGTGCCGGAGGAGGCAGGCATCTGTGTGAGGTCGATTTTGAAGTTGTAGACGGCGCGGAAGAAGTTGTTTTGGTTGATGTACCAATTGGAACCGTCGGGGCCGTAAGGATCCTCATCGATGACGGCTATGCCCTGGAAGGAGGGAGCAGCGAGCAAGGTAGGGCGGTCTGTAGCGCTTCCTACGAGCTGAGTGTAGTAGAAGGAGACGATCGGAGACGAGACGAGATAGGTGCCGGGTGGGAAGTAGACGAGAGCAGGGGAGATGGTGGAGCTGCCGCAGCCTTGACCGCATCGGTTGCCCTGGCTGATAGCCTGGTTGATGGCATCTGTGTCGTCGGTTACTCCACTAGTTCAGCAAGAGAGGGCGTGCGTAGTCAGTGCGCATGCTCGAAAGGGGATTTCGTGTCGGGTTCTGGGAAGCGTCATACTCACTCGCCCTTGGCTCCAAAGTCTCGGACGTTGCGGAAGACCTTGTAGGTGTTTGGGGTGGGATTGTAGGTGGCGGAGCCATTGTGATCGACGAGTTCGAGCCAGAAGGTGGAGTTGGCCTGGGCGGCATTGTTCTGTCTTGAGGAGGAGGAGGGAGGCATGGTGTCGTTGAGCGTGAGCTGCCAGCCGGCTTGGCTGATCTGGTCTCCAAACTGATCCGAGAGGGAGTCCTGGAGGATCCTGGTGAGGTTTGTAGCGTTTTGAAGGTTTGCCCAAGCGACCTGGCTCTGTTGGAGCACTTGTGCGATGCCGTCAAAGAGGTTCTTGCCTGCCTCTGCGATGCCGGTGAGACCGCTAGCTGTGACCTGGAGCACCTTGGGCAGCATGTATTGGGCAGGGCCCAGCTGGTGTTGGTCGAGCAGTTGGAGGGGCGCAGGGTCCAGGTCGAGAAACGCCGACGCGTCTCGCTTGACAGGGTCCACATCCAGAGGGGCCGAGTCGAGCTGGGCGTCTTGGGCGGTGGCGGCTTGATGCTGCTCGAGAAACGACTCTGCGGCTGCCCTGGCGATGGCATCTAGGCTGTGAGGCGAAGGCACCAAAGCGTGCCGCTGTTCAGAAAGAGCCGGCTGGACTTCCACGGTGTTAGCGAGCGTGCAGGCGCAGAGCAAAAGCAAGAGCAGCAGTCGAAACATGATGATGGTGACTGAAGAGGCCGTGAGGCGAGCGCTGGCTCTAGCCGACGGCGTGATGGAAAGCGTGCAGGCAAGTCAAGGTGTGGGCTGCGAGATAGGACGAAAGACTGGTAGTAATGGTGGAGACTCATCAAGGACCAAAAGCCAGCAGGTTGGAGAAGGCGGTTCTTTTCAGGGCAGGGTTCGTTCTGCTCAAGGCTGACCGAGGTCCAGGGTCGATAAGAGACTCAAGCGTATCTTTGTCAGTCTGAGGCAAACTGGGCATGGTCAGCGACTGGATTCCGACGAAGAGGGGTGATGCGGTGTTGCAGCCGGCAGGAAAGTTTGTCTGCATCGAACGACAACAAGCGGTGCAAGCCGATCGAACTCGCGACGGCGTGAGCCAAGGCGCAAGGCTGATCTTGGCGAAGGTCTGCGAGCCGTATGGACGCCGCGATGCCGGCCACCGCGTGACGAGCGGCGTGATGGGAGCGGCGAGTGGGTGGGGTGCCAATCAGCGCAACATGTCACTTTCTTTTTCAGACGGCCGAGCTTGGCGGCACGCGTTCCGGGACTCGACTGCATTTAATATGAGAATCTATTAAGCGCCGAAATGTCACTGATCGCCCAGGGCCGGCGAGCCAAACTAGCTAAAATCGACGTCCCTTTGCTCAGGCACGGTGAAACCGAGCTTACCGGTTCGGAGGCCCTGGAGAAGGTTTCGCAGACAGACGGCCTCCATCTCGGTCTGTGTTTCGAGCGTGAGGGTGCCGACGTGCGGTAGGAGCTCGACCTTGGAGTCCTTGAGCGCCAAAAGCTGCTCGTGGATCTTGGGCTCTGCTTCGAAGACATCGAGGCCGGCGCCGGCGATGACGCCCTGTTCGAGGGCTTGGGCGAGCTCTTGTTCCTTGACGACGGGTCCACGGGCGGTGTTGATGAGGATGGCGGATTTCTTCATCTTGTGAAGCTGTTCTGTGCCGATGAGGCCCTTGGTGGCGGGAGTGAGGGGGCAGTGGAGGGAGACAACGTCGGAGCGCGCGAGCAGTTCGTCGAGCGAGGCGACGTACTCCATGCCACCCTTTGCAGCGTCGGCTTCGAGCTGCTGATCGAGACGGTTGCGGTTGTGGTAGATGACCTTCATGCCAAGCGCGTGCGAAGCCTTGTAGGCGAATGCGCGACCGATGCCGCCAGCGCCGACAATGCCGAGCGTCTTGGCACGCGGATCGTGGGCTTCGAGGAAAGGGAAAGCCGAGTTGAAGCTTCCCTTGTCCATGTGGGCGCGTGCGAGCGGGAAGCGTCTGATGGCGCCGAGGAGGAGATAGAGGGCGACGTCCGAGGTGGCGTCGTCGACGGCGGTGGGGACGTTGGAGGCCTGGATGCGTCGTTGCGAGAGAGCGGCTATATCGAGCTGGTCGTATCCTGCGCCGTTGTGCACAATGTATCGCAAGCTGTTGGGCAGCTGCTCGACGAGCTCTTGGTCGAGGCGACCGGTGATCTTGACGGAGCGTGCTGCGCCAAAGTGACGATAGATGCCCACCACGTCGGCGTACTCTCCGCCCGTCCTGAACTTTTGGATGAGCTCGGACCGCGTCGTTGCGCTCGACTCGATCACTGTAGCGGCGTTGGAGAGCTGGGCGAGCTGCGACTTGGCCAGCTTCACCTCGTCCAGCAGCAGCACCTTTGGCTTCTGCGCCACAACGCGGCTGGTCGAGAGCAGTCGGCTCGACGCCGACGCCTGCAATCGTAGCAGGCGAGGTGCGCCCGTCGTCAGCTGGCCCAACAAAATGTGCATCGCTCGATCCGATCCCAAGCCAATGAGGGTCAAGGTGGTTTGGTGCATGAATCCCCAGCCTCGAGCCCGTGCGCTTCCGGTTCACTTCCGACCCTCTCCACACCTTCGGAAGAGCCGCAGGGTGGAGGCGATTTTCATCTGTCAGCATGACTCGCCCGCCACCACCTTGGTCCGGCTGAGCCGCCCCATCATTTCAAGGGTCTTTCTTTTTCGGCTTTTCAGCGCAAAGTCACGCCGGCGCCTTTTTTCGCGTTTGGCCACGGCACTTGACCGCAGGCAAAATTTGGCGTGGAGACTGTAACTCCACACGCAGCGATTCTTGGAAAGCCGCGGTTGGAATTTTTGTTTTTGCAGCGCGAAATCTTGCACCACCACCACCACTCCCCATCCGACCATTACCATCAAACGTGCGCCTGCTCGTCAGATAGAGGCCTTTCAAGCCACTAGTATCGCTGCTACCTCGTGCTTCATATCGCCACCCTCTACCGCCATCCTGCGCCGCTTCTTCGCCATCAAAGGGCTGCCATGGCCGGCTCGCACTCCCAAACCTAGCACCCGCATCCAACCGTCCACCTCGACGCACCGTGCCAAGTCGCCAGCCCGCAGCCCTCAGCCCATCCCACCCTCGAATACAAATTCTACCAAGATCGCCCACTTCATCCTCATGAAGCGCCAACATCCCACCGCCACCGCCAAGCCTGCCAGTGCCAAGGGCGCAGGCAGCAACTGGAAGGCGCTCAAAAAGACGCTTCAGCCCGAGGCTTCGTCATCCACCTCGACTCCATCCCAACAAGGCCGCCGCAAATCCCTCTCGTATCAATCCAAACCAAAGCGCCCAAGGTTCCATGACGACGTCTCGCCCAACGAATCCGGAGGCAGCAAGTCCTCCAGCCCGGCGCCAACCTCGTTACCCTGGTTTGCCGAGGACATTTCGCCACAGGATCTCGAGCTCGTCCGTCAGAGCGCTTCCGACAAGATATCGCGCAGCGGACAGTGGGAGGGTATCATGGACGTAGACCTCAAAAAGAAGGTCATCCTAGGCGGCCTGCCATCCGACGCCAATCCAGCCAAGAAGGAGCCGGGCAACTACCTCGCCATCGACTGCGAGATGGTCGGTGTCGGCGACAAGGGCTCCGAATCTGTACTCGCGCGCGTCTCCATCGTCAACTTTCACGGCGCCACCATCATGGACCGCTTCGTGCGTCCACAGGAAAAGGTGACCGACTACCGCACCTGGGTCTCGGGCGTTCGTCCCAGGGACCTCAAGGGCGCACCTTCCTTCAGCGAGGTGCAGGGCGAAGTGGCTGCTCTCATCAAGGGCAAGGTGCTCGTCGGGCATGCCATCCAGAACGATCTCAAGGCGCTCTTGCTCTCGCATCCTAAGCCACTCACGCGCGATACCGCCACCTTCCAACCGCTGCGCGACTTGGCAAAGACAAAATACCCAAGTCTCAAGAAGCTCGCCAAGCTGGTGTTGGGCATCGACATCCAGCTCGAGGGCGAGTCGCATTCGTCGGTCGAAGACGCGCGTGCCACCATGGCCGTCTTCCGCAGTCAAAAGTCCAAATGGGACGAGCAGCTGCGTGCAAAGGGCCACGGCGGATTCGGTGGCAGCTCCGTTGCCTCGAGGTTGGGCTCGCGTTCGGCACGGCCCAACAAGGTGTGGAAGGCCCCTGTTGACGGCCAAGCCGTCGACCCCGCTTCGCCTGCACTCGACAAGCGACCCTTCTCCACTGCGGGCGACAACAGTCTCACCGACACCGTGCGTCTCAAACCGCGCATGGCCGCCCAGGCCGACTGGTGGAAGGAGTCCATCTGAACATTCCCCCACGCTTCAACGCAGCAGCATTTCGTCCATCCCCGTTTTACGTAGCTTCTTCATCAATTGTACTTGTAGACCTTTCTCACGCAATCGCCATCCATGCCGCAAGATGCGCGCGTCGCAGGTTCCGGATGTGACGTGGGTTGCAGAGCTCGTACAAGTGGGTCACGACCATGGCGCGGCGCCAAGAGGCGCGGATCGATAGAGCCAATCTGCGTAGCCGAGGTGGTGCAGGTGGCGAGCCGGTTGCCTCCGGGTTGGACAAGACGCGTGGAGAGGTAGGAGGGCAAGTCAAAGGAGCAAGGGCAAGGAGATGATCCTGACCAGGAGGTATCGAGACGGGAGGCTGGTGAGGTCCCGACGTGTCATGCGACGTCCTTCTTTGTGAGGTGAGAGCCGATGAGCTTGGCCATCTCGAACGAGCTGTAGCAAGCAAAGGCGGATGGAATGCAGGGTCAGCCAGAATGTACTCGGGGGTTGCACTCCGATAGTTGCGCTGTTGGAACCTACTCTACGGCTTCCTTGCCAAAGATGTCGGTAAGCTTGGCGTCGCAGAGGATCTGTGTGAGAGAGAAGGGCAAGAGATGTGTCAGGATGCGGGGCAGTTTACGTGCGGCCAGGAAAGGGAAGGGGGGACTCACCTGACGCTTGTTGCTCTCGTTCTGGAGGTTATTTGACTTGATATACGCCCACAGCTGCTTGACTACGGCGTGACGAGGCATCTGGGCGCGGGAAGAGAGGAGCATCAGGAGAAGCAAGCGGTGAGTATACGGCGCGGCAGCAGGAGCGGAATGGGCGGATGAAGTAGGAATCACTTACTTCGTCTCCACCGCAGACGTCTGCGAGCTTTGGAGAGAGGATGAGGGGCCTGTTGAAAGGGTTGTTGGGGTTGGCAGCCCTCTTTTTGCGCGGCTCTTCGTCTTCGTCGTCGTCGTCTGCGGCGGCACGCTTCTTGGTGGCCGCCTTCTTCTTGGGCTTTGGTTCGGCCTTGGCCTTGGATCCGTTGGAAGCGGGCGCCGCTTTGGGTTTGGAGGGCGTCGACTTGGCGGGGGCGGGTTTGGCGGCGGGAGCGGAGGGCGGGGTGGCAGTGTGTCCGCCACGAACGCCGCCGAGGCCTGGGAGAGCCAGGCCTCCGGAAGCGGGTGCGGAGGCGGTGCCGTTGTACGAGTTGGTGGGGGGTTGTGGTGGAGCGGGCATGCCTTTGGAGATGTGGTCGAAGCAGTCACGGATGACTTCGTCGACGGCCTTCTTGCTTGCGCTGAGGTCGAGGCCTGGGGGCAGAGCGGATGGCGGGAGGGAGGCGAGCTGGGCGCGGACCTTTTTGGCCGAGATGGAGCTTAGGTCGGCATTGTTGAGGATCTGGATGATGGCGGGACGGAGGATGGCGACGGTGGCCGGGTCGAGAGGATGTGGCTGCGACATGCTTGCAAGAGCGGACGAGTGCAAGGCTCGGTGTGGGATACAAGTAGTCTAGTGTCGAGTGCGGAAGCGGAAGCGGAAGAGGCCAAGGTGCGGGAGTGTGTCGGAAGAGCGGCTGAGTCTGGGCGAGAGTGGACGAAGTGTGTCGAGCGAGGGTGGGCGCGCTGCGGAGCTGTTAGACGATGCGGGTGCGTGCGGAAAGGAGTGCGGATGAGGTGCGAATCGACGGATGGCGACGACGACGAGGAGGAGGTGGATGCGGGTGGTGACGAAGAAAGCGGACCGAGACTACGGCCTTTCCGCTCCTGGTTGAGAGGCGCAGACAGCAGACGCAATCACAATTGCCAGACGCAGAGAAGCGACCGACCGACCGACAGCCGCTGGCCGATGCAGCCGCCGCCGCCGACGCCTCCAATTAATGAATCAATTGATCTCGGGCAGCAAGCAGCAGTCAGGTGGACCAAGCGCGACGCACAATTCTCGACGCATCACACAGTGAAACCCTGTTGCGGTGCCGGTGCTGTCGCTGCTGCTGTTGCTGCTATTTTGACGCGCCGCACCGCGATTTCGAGTGGATGCTCGCCGACGGACCATCCGAGCAGCGGCAGCAGCAGCGTTGGATGCCAAGCCAGCCAAAATTCGCCGCACCACGCCAGCACAGCACACACTCACGACGCGGCAGAAAGAAGCGACGCGGCTCTTCCGAACGCTGAGACTGCCAAAACACACGCAGCGTCGTGGGATTCCCCACGCCCAGAACTCGACAACCTTGGTGATGAGTAGGTGCTGATTGTACAGCGACGGTGCTTCCGATGCATACCTCCCCCCGCGGTCGTGAAAGCCAGCTTGGGCGAGAAAGTGGCTACGATCGGGGTGCAAGCGCTGCGTCCAGATTTGGATCGGCAACACCGACGCGAGAGCCGGCGCGTCGCAGCCACAAGAGTGGAGGCTAAGCTCCACGCCAAATCCGCGCGAGAGAGGGGCAGGGGACAGCAGCAGCAGCTCTAACACGCTCGTGGTCTGTGCCCGCGTGCTGCATGCCGAGCCAGTCGGATGGCCCGCACTCGCTCTCCTCCTCGCCTTCTCCCCATCGCCCTCACTCCATCTCAATCAACCTCGCTCTCTCCTCTCTCTCTCTCTCTCTGTCGGCAGCCAGTATCGGCTCAGCATACGCTGCAGCGTCGCCTCCTCCGAAATGCAGACGCTCTGATCATCTCTTCCTGCCCAGTCAAGAGTCACCACCATGTCGTTGCCAGAGTCGTCAACGCGCACTGCGCCTCAGCAGCAGCATCCGGGCATCGACAAGCCCCTCCCCGGAGTGGCGCCGTCTGCAGCCATGCGTCCAGACCTCGATCAACGCAAGGACGACCTCAACGGTAGAGCGCAAGACACCGCTCCTCGCATCTACGAACCGCATACCAAACCCAGAGAGCTCTTCCTGCGCGTGCGCGTCCAGTCGATAGAGAGGGCCAAGAAGGACCTCGTCGTCCGCATCGATGCGCTCACCAACCTGCCCCACTTCCGCGCATCCTCCTATCCGGGCGTCACTCGCTCCTACCGCGAGCTCTGCCTCTACGCACTCGCGCTCTCCCTCTCCAGCCCGGCCATTATCGTGCCGGCGCTGCCGCTGCCTTCCACCACGGCCAGCGGCGTCGAAGATACCCGCATCCTGCGTCTCATGCTCGCAAGATGGTTCTCCCGCATCCTCGCAGAACCGAGCCTCCGAGACCATCCCGAGACACGCAACTTGGTCGAGGCCGACTTTGCCTATGCTCCCACGCCACCCGGCACCGGCAGCTCCTCGGCCGCACGCAAACGCTTCGCCAACGCCATGGCGAGCGCCGCTTCGGTCGCCTACGGCGGCGTCGATGCTACAGGCGGCCTCCCCAATGGCGTCCTCGCCACCTCCGCATCCGCAGGCTCGCGCATCTCCAGCAGCGGATTCAGCATCCTCGGCCTCGGCACCAGCTCCAAGGGCCTCAGCACCTCCCGAAGCGTCTACGACGACGACGAGGATCTCGTGGCTGCGCGCGCCGAAGTCACGCGCCTCGAGATGCAATTCGCCGACGCCGCCGAAGCGTCCGAAAAGCTCGCAAACGCACGCCGCTCGCTCAACGTCGCGCTCTCGGATCTGTCGGTCAAGCTGAGCAATCTTGGTGCCGTCGAGGAGATCCGTCCACCGTCTCTGCGTCTCGGCTTGCCCTACGTTCTCAAACGCACCGCCTACACCGCCCGCAGTCTGGGCGAGCTGCAAGATGCGCTGAGCAATACCGAGCTGCTGACGCTGGGCGACGCAGTGGCGTATCAGTCGATCAACGCTCGTGCCGCCAAAGAGACCATGCTTGCGCGCAATGCGCTGGTGGAAGAGCACCACACGGCGCAAAAGGCGACGGTCAACAAGAAGCGCGAGGCGGAACATCTCAAGATGCAGCGCAACCTGCGCGCGGATCGCGTAGACGATGCGCTCGAGGAGCTGCACGAGGCGCAGCGCCACGAACACGCGCTCGCGCAGCATCTCAAACGCATCAGCCACGAGCTGCACGCGAGTCTGCAGAGCCACTCTCGGCATGCGCACCACGATGTGCAGCAGGCGCTCATCGAGCATGCGCGCGGAAGCACCATGTTTGCCAAGCAGATGCTCAAGGAGATGCATGCGCTCAGCGCCGAGTTGGACGCCTCGCGACGAGGTGAGGCGAGCAAAGTGCAGACTCCCACACGACCCACCCACACGCCACGCCAGAGCTCCGTGTCTCGACCGCCATATGCCAGCGTGGATTCGGGATGGAGCACCCCCGCTGACTCGCCTGCACCGCCACGGTCGGAGGTTGCCGAGCCATCGCGGCCATCGCTCGGATCACCGAGGGCCAGTGGTCGTTCTGAATCCATGGCGCCCTCGCTGTCGGCTGAATCCAACGCTTGGTCGCGCGCTCCATCGTTGGATGCGCCATCGATGGCACAGTCCATGCATGCTGCCGCCATCCCACCGTCATCGCCATCACCATCGCAGCGTGCGCCGCCAGTGGCCCAATCCATGTTCCTCGACCGTCCCACGCCCGCGCGCCCCAACCCTTTCGGCACGCTCAACTCCGGCAGCTCCGGTACTGCCAGTGGTCGATCGCGCATCTCGGCCGCTGACGCCGCACGCTCCCTAGCAGGTACCTTCTGACACCCTCCCTCACCTCTTTAGAGCGGCACAAAGAGCATCGGCCAAACCCAGCGCGGAGCACACGCCACCACAGCCGGTCGAGGGAGACTCCCCGGGGCAAAGAGAGATCCGAATCTGCATTTCCAATCTGTTCCATCCGGATGAAAAAATAACAAGAACAAAGAGCTGCATAGAGGTGTTGATCCAGCGAGAGAGAAAAGGCTCCTGGTGGGCATGAGAAGGGTATATCGTATCCTAAAAGTGGCGCGGGTCGAGTGATGTGAGGGGGGCGGCTTAGCTGTACAGAGCTGCACCCATGCGTCGCGCGCCCGAGGTCGGTGTCGTAGGCGAAGCGGGCGGGGGCTGTCGAGCGTCTCCGGACACCTGCCTTCTGTGTCCGCCGAGGTGGGGCGACGCGGGAGCAGGGCCGTGCGACGCGTATCCCTGCGGCGGCGGATGGAGCGGCGGCAGCTGTCTCGACGACGTCGACAGCGGCGAAGGCGGCGGATAGTGCGCGCGTCTCACCGCCGACGGCGTGTGCGACGAGTACGGCGACGACGGCTGCATCGACGGCGACAGCGGGCCCGCGGCGTGCGGATGCGACATCATCCTCGCATGCGTAGGTGTCTGCGACGACGGTGCCGGCAGTGCCTCCTGTCGCGGCGTCGGCGAAAACTGACCGTACACGCTGCCCGCCGGAGCAGGTGCGCCGATCGAAAGCTTGTGCAGCGGCGTCGAAGTCGCGCCCGCCTCGCCGTCGGCGCCTCCACTGCCTCGCGAGGCACGACGCACGTGCGAGCCGCTCTTGCGTCGACTGCTCGAGCTGGGCATCTGCGAATCGTGCCCATAGTCGGAATCCTGCGACTGCTGATCCGACGCCGACGCCGACAGACCCTGCCCGCCATCATCGGCATCCGCCTGCGCCTTGGCTGCCGCCTCCTTGCGCCGCATGAGCAGGTATCGCTGGCGACACTGATGGTACGAGCGCGTTCCCACGGCGCGCGAAATCAGCTCCCACCTCTGCCCATGCTCCTTGATCGCCGCACGCAGCTTGGTGTCCTCCTCGGCGGTCCAACGCACATAGGGCAGCCTCTTCTCGGGGTTCTGGTTGCCGCCAAAGCTCTTGCCCTCGCTGGCGCGCGACGACGAGCCCTGCGAGCCGTTCTTGCGCGAATTGTCCTGGGCGCGCGGCCCGGCGGATCGCGAGCCCGACTTGCGCCTGGGTTCGCCGTCGATCGTCATCTCGTCCTCGCTGCTCAAGCTACCGATCGGACTGACGCCCTCGTAGTCGGCCGACTTGTCGCTCCCCTGCGACGGGTTCTGGCTCGCCGTGGCCTGGTCCGCCAGCAGGTCGAGCGCACTCAGCGCCTGACTGCCGCCTGCGCTGGGCGGGCCGCTGGGGCCATAGTCGTGGTAGGGACGCGGCTGTGCGAACGGATCGGCGCCCTCGGTCTGGGTGCGCACGCGCGGCTGACGCTCGCCCAGGAACGGCGACCCGTACGGCTCAAAGTCGAACGCGGCCGAAGAGACGCGACGGCGCTTGGGGCTCTCGTGCGCCATGCGCAGTGGGCTCGACTGGATCGGGTACGGCGCTGCGCTGTATCCGTACGAGTCGTAGTCGGCACCGCGCTGCGTGTTGACGGCGAGCTGCGGCGGCGGCGGCGGGTATGGCATGGCGCGGTGCGGGGCCTCGCGTGGGTAGTAGCCCGGATCGGCGCTTGCGGGCGGGAAGGGGCCGGTGGGTGCGCGGGAGCGAGTGGGCGAAGGAGCTGCGGCGCCAGGGTTGAGCGTCTCGGCGGCCTGGAGCAGCTCGTCGATGCCGGTGAAGGAAGAGGCCGAGTCGAGACGACGGTGTCGTGCGGACCAGCTGTCGCGTCGGTCGTCGGCGCGCGCGAGCTCGTTGAGCTCTCTGGCGCGCATGCCGGTGCGAGGGGTGTTGGGAATGCTTGCGACCGACTTGGGCGTCTTGGGCGGTCTCTCGGCAGATCGGGACGGAGGCGTGTGTGGCTCGCGCGGGTAGAGAGCGTCGCTGTCGACAGTGGTCATGGGACCTTCGCTTGCCTGGCGCTTGATGGGCGATGCGTGGCCGACGGCAGCGTGCAGCTCGGCAGCAGGCGCGAGGACACCGTTGGAGGTTGCATCGCGAGCTTGAGAAGCCGGCAGCGAGGCCGAGTCGGCGGGCGATGTCGAGGACGAGGCAGCGGCGGCTTGCTCTTTGCGCAGCTCGCGCAGTCGTCGAGCCGCGAGCATGAGATGCTCGGTCTCGGCGTCGCCCATGGTGACAACGCGCTTCTTGCGATTCTTGTCGCGACGGCTGCCGGAGCGGCTCGGGGTGGTGGGTGCGGTGCCGGGCTGGCTCAGATCGCCGGGAGTGGCGACGGTCGCGGCCGAATCTGGGTTGGAGGCGGGCGCGGGCAGTTCGGTGGACTTGATGCCACCGGATACGAGGTAGGGCCTGAGAGCCTTGAGCTCGTTTTCGAGCTTGTACACCTGCGCTTCTGCGTCGCGGACGCGCGCCTTGAGATGCTTCTTGTCGGTGAGCAGCTTGTTCCTCTCACGCAGGAGGGATGCGGCGGGGGAGAGGTCGGTGTCGACTTCGGCGAGGCCGGTGCTTGTGATGCCGAGGCCGGTGGTGCCGGGAGAGGCGGTGACGGCTGCTGCCGCCGCGTCGTGGGAAGACGAGAGGAGGCTGGGGCTGCTGAGGATGCGTTGTGCCGAGTCTGCGTTGGAAGTGGCGACGGCTTCCGACTTGAAGGAGGCGACGCGGTGATGATTTGGCGAGGAGCTGGGAGCGGCAGCCTTGGCCCTGTCTGCAAAGGTGACGAGCGAGGCCGAGTTGGGTGCGGAGCGCCTTTCGTCGAAGCCGCGTGCTTCTGCGCGGGTGAGGAGTGCGCTGAGCATCTTTGCCTGCGCCTTCCAGCCGTCGAGCTCTGCGTCGAGGCGGTCGGTGGTGTTGCGGTGCGCGGCGAGGGCGTGTGCATGAGCCTGCTTCATGGACGAGATGACGGAGAGGGCGGTGAGGCGAGTCGACTTGAGCTGGGACTGGGCGCGATTGCGCGAGTCGGCGAGGGTGGTGCAGCGCTCGGCGAGCCTCTTGACCATGCCTGCGAGCTGGCGCTCCCTGTCGCTGGCGGAGGATTGGGGCAGAGGATCGAGGCCCATGTTGGCGAGGGAGGTGAGCATGGACTCGATGCTGGCGGAGTCTTCGGTGGGGGAAGGAGGCTCTGGGACGTGGTTGTTGGCGGCGTTGGTGCCGTAGACGAGCAGTTCGATTTCGTCCTTGGTGGGACCGACGCCGACGCCGAGCATGGGGAAGGAGAGGTGTCCAAGCTTGAGAGCGTCGTGTTCGTCGTGGTCGTGATCGTCGTGGTCGTCGTCACGGACGGCACGGAGGGATCGAGGGAGGTCTGCAAAGACGGGACCGAGGATGGGCGATGGGGTGAGGGAGCGTGCGGGCGAGCGGGAAGGGGAGGGCGTTGCGCGGGATCGGTAGGAGCCTCTGCCGAGTGGACGTTCTGCGGCAAAGGAGCGGTCGTCGTTGCGGTCGATGCTGGAGCGCCTGCTGGCTCTTCGGTGTGAAGAGGAGAAGGAGTCGTCGGCGGCGGAGGCGGGGGCATTGCGATCGAAGGAGGAGCTGCCGCCGCTGAGACGAGCTGCGGCCCTGCGCGGGGCCATGTTCTCGGAGGCGGTGGTGATGGGGCTAGCATCGGGCAGCTGCTCGTCCTGATGGAGCCTGGAGGAGGATGCTACTGGGTTTGGCGGTGGCCTGAACTCGTTGTGGGAGGTGGGGGGCGTTGGCAGGTCGGCGTTGGCAGCGGGCGGTGGAGTGGAGAGGGGGGCGGGTTGGGATGGAGGCTGCTGGTCTGGCCCACTGGACTGCGCATCGTCGGATTTGGCGACGGCGGCGGAGGCAGCGGAGGCAGCGGCGCCAGCCGAGCCGGCCGAGCCAGCCGCACCATCACGAGCGTCGGGTACTGCGGCGCTCGGACGAGTCATGTTGGGATGATGGCGGCGAGGGCCAAAGTGGCGGTGGTGTTCCGATGGTGTTCCGATGGTGTTCCGATGGTGTGCTCGAGGCGTGTGCCACGGACGAGCCGACGAGGAGAGTGATGGGGTAGCAGCCGAGAAAGGCAAGGCAAGCGACGATGCGGAATGGCGTGTGCGGGTCGACTGGATGGGCTCGAGTGTTGGAGCCAGACGGATGAGCCGATGGTGAGGTGGGAGAGTGACGGAGTGACGAGGCGAAGGAGCGACGAAGCGATTATGGAAGATCCGACGAGACGAGGCAAGGAGAGGGAGAGAGCGAGAGAGCGAGAGATGGAGCGCGAAGGACCCCGACGTATGACGGAAGAGAGGGCGTGGGAATGTGCCAAAAGGACGGCTGCGACTGTGGAGCGCCAGAGAGAGAGTGGACGGATGTCTGCTTTCGGAGGGATGGATGGACGGATGGACGGATGGATTTCGGGAGCCATTGCCGCCGCTCCCAGCAGGCAGGCAGGGATGGATGACTGCGATGCGAGGGCGAAGTGTTGGTCTGCAGGCACCCGCAGCCACTCGAGGAATTGTGCGCATCATTTCAATTGTTGCGAACCAAACACCTCGCTCCTGACCTCTCTCTCTCTCTCGCTCTGCTGATGGACCCGCGTGCCTTTTTTTGTGTAAGTTAAGTTTATGCAATTTCCGTGTTGATTGCCCTGCCTGCTGCGAGCCCTGAGCCGCCGCGCTGAGCACATCCAACTCGGGATTTTCTTTTCTTTTCTTTTCTTTTCATTTTCTGCGCTGAAATCGGCCGCTTTCGGTCAGCGCATCGAGGTGCCGATCTGGTGGGCGCGCAGGGAGAGAGAGAGTGTGTGTGTCGAGTTTGAGTCACACCACATCAGGCACTCTGACAACAGCAGCGCGCGCGGCAGAGAGAGAGAGAGGCGAAAAAGAGCAACACATCGCCTCCTCGCCTGTGACTGCCGATGCACACCGAGTCGAGCGTCGCTGCTCGCGATGCGGTCACCGCCATCGCCGTCCGTTATCTGCCTCTCTGCCTCTGCCCTTGGCAATGCCTCGCTCCTCGCTCCTTGCTCGTCCCGCCATCTCCCCTCTTGTCCAGTCGTATCTCACATTGCCATCGCGAGCGTTCCCCGGGTGGCAAGAAAGCGTGAGTCGAGAATGATGAATTTGTACCGAAGAGGAGCCATGCCACTGCGTCGATGCCACTGCCAACTGCATTCAGCGAGCGAGAGGGGGTTGCATGATTCGGCCATGGCGCCCAAGCAAAGCAAAGCAAGGCACGCGGCCAGCTCGGTTTCAGTGTTTGGCGGGCGAGCGGGCGAGCGAGCGATTCGAGACGCGCCGCGAGCGCTGACGCTTTTTCCTTCAAGATGTGAGATCGTTGGAAAGCCTACTCGACATTTCTTCGCGCTCAATCCCGGCCGGATAGAAATTGACAGAGACGTGTAACATTGTCTCTCTCCTGGCAGAAAGGCACACCCACCCACCCACACCGCGCGCTCGACTCGGGGAGCTTTGCAAGGCCAACAAGGCGCCAGGAAGGCTTGGCTCGCGGGTTGGCTCGAGCCCCATTCGCACAGCATCCACAGCCAGCCAAACCGCTGCATCGACGCACGCTCCTTCCTCTCTCTCTCTCTCTCTCTCGACATCATCGCATCAACCCCCTTCTTCTCAACTCTCACCACAGCCCATCTTGCTGCTGCAGTCGACACCGCTCGCGACAATCTCGATCCGAATCTCGGCGGCCTCGGTGGTGCTAGAGCGCTCTTCGCCCCGCTGCTCAGCAGCTTAACTTCACCATGCCCATGCTTCTCGACATCCAGCGCAAGCTCTTTGCAAAGTCGGAGCGCGTAAAGTCGCTCGACTTTCACCCCACCGAGCCATGGCTCCTCGCAGGCCTCTACTCCGGCTCCGTCAACATCTGGAACTACGAGACCGGCGCCATCGTAAAGACCTTTGAGGTCACAAATGTGCCCGTCCGCTGCGTCAAGTTCATCGCGCGCAAAAACTGGTTCGTCGCCGGCTCCGACGACTTCCAGCTGCGCGCCTTCAACTACAACACCCATGAAAAGGTCATCAGCTTCGAGGCGCATCCAGACTACATCCGCTGCCTCACCGTACACCCTACGGGTCCCTACGTGCTCACCGGCTCCGACGACATGACCATCAAGATGTGGGACTGGGACAAGGGATGGCGCCTCATGCACACCTTTGAAGGCCACACCCACTACATCATGAACCTCTGCTTCAACCCCAAGGACTCCAACACCTTCGCCTCCTCCTCGCTCGACCGCACCGTCAAGGTCTGGACGCTCGGCTCCAGCGTCGCCAACTTTACGCTCGATGCGCACGACAAGGGCGTCAACTACGTCGAGTACTTCCACGGCGGCGAGAAGCCCTACATGCTCACCGTCGGCGACGACCGCACCGTCAAGATCTGGGACTACCTCTCCAAGTCGTGCGTACAGACGCTCACCGGCCACACCTCCAACGTCTCCTTCGCCGTCTTCCACCCCTCGCTGCCGCTCATCATCTCGGGCTCCGAAGACGGCACCGTCAAGCTCTGGCACTCCAACACCTACCGCCTCGAGTCTACGCTCGACTACGGCCTCGAGCGCGTCTGGTGCGTCGCCTACAAGCGCACGGGCAACGACGTCGCCATCGGCTACGACGAGGGCGCCGTCGTCATCAAGCTCGGCAAGGAGGAGCCCAGCGTCAGCATGGACGCCGCCGGCAAGGTGGTGTGGGCGCGCAACTCCGAGGTGCTCAGCGCCAACGTCGGCACCACCGCCGACGACGCCGTGCCCGACGGTCAGCGTCTGCCCGTGTCGGTGCGCGAGATGGGTTCCACCGAGGTGTATCCGCAGCTGCTCCAGCACAGCCCCAACGGCCGCTTCGTCACCGTGTGCGGCGACGGCGAGTACATCATCTACACCGCGCTCGCATGGCGCAACAAGGCCTTTGGCTCCGGTCTCGGCTTTGCCTGGGCGAGCGACAGCAACACCTACGCCGTCCACGAGGGCGGTGCCAAGCTCAAGGTGTTCCGCAACTTCAAGGAGCGCCCCGGTCTGCTCACGCTGGCGTACAACGTCGAGGCGGTGGCGGGCGGTGCGCTGCTCGCGGTGCTCGGCGGCGGCTTTGTGTGCTTCTACGACTGGGAGACGGGTGCGCTGGTGCGCCGCGTCGACGTCGAGGCCAAGGCGATCCACTGGTCCACCACGGGCGAGCTGGTGGCCATCGTGTGCCAGGACTCGTTCTACGTGCTGCGCTTCGACCGCGACGCCTATGCCGCCTTCCTCGACACGGGCGCCGAGGTGGACGACGAAGGCGTCGAGACGGCGTTCGAGGTGGTGACCGAGGTGAGCGAGAGCGTGCGCACCGCCAAGTGGACGGGCGAGTGTCTGCTCTACACCAACTCGACCAACCGGCTGCAGTATCTGGTGGGCGAGCAGACGCACACCATCACGCATTCCGACCACGAGATCTTCCTGCTCGGCTACATCCCGCAGCACGGCCGCGTGTACGTGGTGAACAAGGATCTGGCCATCTTTAGCCATGCGCTGTCGCTGGCGTTGGTCGAGTACCAGACGGCCATCCTGCGCGGCGATCTGGACGCGGCGGCCGAGCTGCTGGAGCAGGTACCGGCGGACCAGCGCAACCGCGTGGCGCGATTCCTCGAGACGCAGGAGCTCAAAGAGCTTGCACTGGAAGTGTCGACGGATGCCGAGCACCGCTTTGACCTTGCCATCTCGCTCGACGACTTTGAGACGGCGCTCGAGATTGCGCGATCGGGGCCGCAGGTGGGCTCCGAGTCGCGCTGGCGCACGATTGGCGACAAGGCGCTTGCGCGCTGGAACGTGGCTCTGGCCAAGGAGTGTTTCGAAAAGGCGCAGGATGTGTCGTCGATGCTGCTGGTGGCCACGTCGACGAACGACCGGGCGATGCTGGCGCGGCTGGCGGAGCTGGCGACGGCCAAGGGCAGTACCAACGTGGCGTTTGCGGCGTTGCTGTCGCTGGGCGATGTGGATGCGTGCATTGATGTGCTGCACAAGGCGGGGCGCACGAGCGAGGCGGCGCTGTTCGCCCGCACCTATGCGCCCAGCCGGGCGGCCGAGGTGGTGCAGACGTGGCGCGACGAGCTCAAGTCGGCCAACCGCCACAAGCAGAACGAGATTGCGGCGAGCATCGCAGACCCGACGCGCGACGAGGCGGCGTTCGAAGAGGGCTGGAAGCAGAGTCTGGAGCGCGAAGCCAAGCTGCGTGCGCAGAGCAAGGTGAATGGCCGGGCGTAGGCGAGCCCATCCGCATGCCCAAATGACAGAGTGTGTTGCATTTGATCTTTGCCTGCTGTGCGTGTTGCATTGGTGAGTGGAGGAGGTGCGGGGGCTGCCGGGGAAAAGATGATCCGCGCGGCGTCGAGGATCCGGATAAAGCGGGAAAAGGATGAGCTCTCGTCTGAAGGGCAACGTGCGGGAATATAAGCTTGCATCTTTCGCTTTGCCTTGGCCACTCTTTTCCACCAACCACGGTATTCCTTTCAGATCTTTACACGATGTCGGAGCAGTTCAAGGCGGGGGAGAGCGGGTTGCTGGTGGTGTTTATGCATCCAGGCGATGAGTCGCTGCCCACTTTCCACGACTGGTACGACACGGAGCACGTGCCACTTCGCATCGAGCGCTTCCCCACCTTCCGCTCGGCGGTCCGATACGCGGTCACCTCTACCACGCTCTCTCACTCTTCGCTGCCGGAGACGACTTGGGGTGCGCTGTATACGATTTCGGACAACTCGGTATTCGCCCACACGAGCTACACCTCTCTGCGCACACAGCGCAGTCCACGCGAAGCCGAGCTTTTCACCAGGCTCGGTGTGGTGGATCGTCGAATCTACCGTCTGGAATACGATTCCGACACCGACCCCTCGCTCAGCCCACCCTCACCTCTGGGACTTGAACCCCAGCTGGCAAAAGATACACCTTCGTATTTGGTGTGCAACAGTGTCGATATCGCGCCCGAGGCCGAGAGCGAATTCAACGCGTGGTGGGAGCAAGAACACGTACCCATGCTTGCCAAAGTGCCCGGTTGGCGCCGAAGTCGACGCTTCACCCTCATCGACAACGGCTTGACCGGCACCCACGCAAAGCCAGGCGATGCCGACCAGGTGCCCAAGAACCTAGGTCTGCACGAATGGCATTCTCCGCCCGAAAACCACCCGGCCTACAAAGCCAGCCTCACCACCCAATGGCGCGCCAAAGTCACGGGCGAAGACGAGCGCAACGTACTGCGTCGCGAACGCAAAACCTGCACCGTCTATCGCGCCTGGGATCCCACCGCCGCCCTCTCGCACGCTTGAAAAACAAATCAACCAAATCATATCGTATTGCAGCTGCTCACACACGCTTGGGCGGCATCTTCATACTGTTCGGCAGAGCCTGTACAGGCGCCCTACTGAGCCTTTCCGCCCCCCTAGCCCTAGCATCCTGCGCCATGACAGCGTCCATGACGACCAGCGCCGCCATGGCCTCGACGATGGGCACCGCGCGCGGCACCACACACGGATCGTGCCTGCCGCGCGTGTTGAGCGTGCCCGCCTTGCCCTCGTACGTCGCCGTCGCCTGGTCCTGCGAAATCGTAGCGGGACTCTTGAACCCCACGCGGAAGTAGATATCCTCGCCATTGCTGATCCCGCCCTGAATACCGCCACTCCAATTGGTCACCGTCCCCAACCTTCCGCCATCCTTGAGCACAAACTTGTCATTGTGCCTGCTACCCGCCACCTCGGTGCCCCGGAAGCCAGAGCCGATCTCAAACCCCTTGGTGGCAGGGATGGAGAGCATGGCGTGCGCCAGCTTCGCCTCGAGCTTGTCGAAGCACGGCTCGCCCAGGCCGCTGGGGACGCCGCGGATGATGCACGTCACCGTGCCCCCGATCGAGTCGTTGTTCGCCTTGGCGAGCAGGATGCGTTGGCGCATGCGCTCGGCCGCGAGCTCGTGCGGGCATCGGATGGCGTTCTCGTCCACCTTGGCGCGCGTGATGGTGGCGAGCAGCTCGCGGAACTCCCTGGACAGCGGCTCCTCGGCCTCCTCCTCGGTGAGCCCCTGCGTGTCGATCACATTGTCCACCTTGGTCTGCGGCGGGCCATCGGTGGCCGACTCGCCGTAGAACGACTTGCCCTCGGCAGCGTCCGTCTTTGCAGCGGCGACAACGACATCCTTGGCCAGCTGTTCGCCCGGGTAGCGCGGCACATGCACCTTGCCCACACTCGAGACAAACGCCACAATCTCCACGCCAAACGCCTCGGCGAGATACTTTTCGGCGAGAGCACCCGCGGCCACCCGACCGATGGTCTCGCGCGCACTCGAGCGTCCGCCGCCGGAGCTCGCCTTGACGCCGTACTTTTCGAGGTAGGTAAAGTCGGCGTGCGAGGGGCGCGGGTAGGCGTCGAGCGTGTCGTCGGTGTAGTCGTGCGGGCGCTGGTCCTGGTTGCGCACCAGCATGGCGATGGGCGTGCCGAGCGTCACGCCGCGCTCCACGCCCGACTGGATCTCTACGCGATCCTTCTCGTCGCGCGGCGTGGTGAGGTTCGACTGGCCGGGGCGGCGGCGCGAGAGCTGCGTCTGGATGTCCTGCGGCTCGAGCGCCATGCCTGGCGGCACACCGTCGACGATGCAGCCGACGGAGGCGCAGTGCGACTCGCCGTACGTGGTGACGCGGAAGTGCGAGCCGAATGTCGACATTCTGTTTCGCTCTTTCGATGAGGGATGGGGGGGGGGGGTGGTAGAGAGGTGGTGGTGGTGGTGGTGAGGGTGGTGAGGAGAGAGGACGCTCGACTGCGCTTTCGACTGCAATCTGGAAGAAAGTCGACGCTCGGATTTCATTTGGCTTTGCGTTTTCCCACTTTGCACCGTCACACTGCAGTCTGCTGTGGGATTTTGTAATCCGCTGCAAAAAAATCGCGAGCAAGCGCCCACTCTCTGCTCTTCTGCCCCACTCCACCGAGCCGAGTCATTCTCTCCCAATCGACGATGGCCCACCCCGATTCCGACTCTCTTTTCCCGATTGACACCCTTTCGTGCCGCTCCGGGTCTTCTTGTCGAAAGGAGACGAACAGCGGCCAAACGGCTGTCGACGTGCCCACCACTCGCAAGCGTCGTCAATGGCATCCACATCGTCGGTGGGAGCGGCGTCGCTCGCGAGTGCGTCGTCCGCAGCCGCCTTCTACACGCGCTTCATCCAGGCCACCGATGCGCTTCGCACGCACATCGGCGATGCTGCGGATACGGCTGCGCTGCATGCGGCTCTGCAACGACTTGCGGCGCTCAACGCCGAGCTGACCGCAGCGGTGGATAGCGGCGTGCTGCCCGCGCACGATCAGGCGCTCCACAGGCGTGCGCTCGACGAAATCACCGCAACGCTCGATCAACGCAGGCGCGCCATCCAGCCTGCCAAGACAGTGGGTGCAGGCTTTGCGTTTCGCCGCAAGCCTGCCAAACCCACACCATCAGCACCACAGCCGACCATTACAGCCACCGAGCCGACATCCACGACATCTGCAGAAGACACGGCAGATGCAGATCGTCTGGCCATCACATCGCTCTCCGACACGTCGTACATCCCTCCACCGCAACAAGAAGCGGTACGACTTTCGATTCACGTTTGCGGCGTGACCAATTCGCTCGTCGACTTGCGCTCGCTCAATGCCAGCGTAGTGTCGGTGCAGCTGCGCGACATCAGCGACTCTATCCTTCTCCTGCCGTGCATCGAAGGCAGCGTGATGGCGCACGACATCGTACACTCGCTCGTGAGCATTCCTTCCTGCCACCAATTCCGCATGCACACCTCGACGCGCGTAGCCGTGCAGCTCGCCACGAAACGATCGAGCATCGTCGCCATCGAAGCGTGTCGCAACCTCGTCTTCGTTGCCGACCCGCACGCGCTCAAGGTGCAGGACTTTGACGATCTCATCGGCAGCCACCAGCTCGCCTCCTCCACATCGCACGTCGCTGCAGCCTCTTGCAACTTTCGCACAGTGCAGGCTTCCATATCCATCGACGCTCCGGGCGCAACACAGACGGTCGCGGATCGAATCGACGAGGCGCTCACCACGTTGGGTGGCTAGCCTAAATTGTCATTTCTATCCGCCCTTTATTGCGTGCGCATGATGAGGCTGACGCCGTCGCGCACGGGGAGCACCACCACCTCTACGCGCTTATCCGCCCTGACCACCTGGTTGAACTGCTTGATCGCCTCGGCATTCTGCTTTCCGATCTCGAGCGCTTTTTCGTCCACCAGTCCCTCGGTCCAGGGCGTGCCCTTGTAGAGCGTGTTGTCCACCACCAGCAGACCGTTGCGCTTGAGCAGTCCCTTGTCGAGGATCGCCTGCAAATACGTCTTGTACGCCGGCTTGTCGGCGTCGATAAAGATGACGTCAAACGCCTCTTGATCGTCCAAGATGTTGAGCGCAATCTTGTCCAGCTCCTCGACTGCATTGCCCACCTTGACATCGATCTTGTCGCCCAATCCGGTCTTGTCGAACAGCGGACGCGTAAAGGCATCCAGGTAAGGGTCGATTTCGAGTGCGGTCACTTTGCCACCTTCGGGCAGCTGGTTGGCGATGCACACCGTAGTAGTGCCCGTGAACATTCCGATCTCGAGCACCTTTTTGGCTTGCATGAGTTTGGTGAGCATGCCTACAAGATTGCCCTCGTACGCTCCCGCCGACCACGCGGCCGACAGGTGGAAGAGCGTCTGCTTGTTATCCCACGCCGCCTGCCAGTCGTGCTCGGCTGTAGCTTTGAGGAGAGGTCGTTGGACCGCAGGAGCAGGAGACGACACCGAGTCCAGATACGCGTCCATACCAGACAGCAGCGTCTGGACGAGCTGCAGCTGTCGAAGCTGCTCCGCAGTCGGCGCGCGAGTCGAGTCGAGCTGCGACAAGACGCCCGAGAGCAGCTTGGACGCCGACGTCAGCGGCGCCTCGACGGGAAGCTCGATCGTGTCGCTCATCTTGTCAAAGGTTTAGGGATAGGGGATTGGATGGGCAAGAGCAACGGACATGCCCCCGACCCAGTGCACTTATATAGCCCGCCTGCACGCTTTGCTGAGCGTAGCAGCATCGCAGAAGCAGCTGAGCATCGGAGCTGTCGCGACTGTCAGTTCAGCCCCTCGAGGGAGTGATTTCAGGGTCCACCTCTGCTGCTGCCGCTGCTGCTGTCGCTGCTGCTGCTATGCGCCGGTCTGTGCGCGGCGATCCCACAGATCGGAAGACTGCCGTTTGCTTGCTCAGCCGTGCATGAGCGCGGATTTTCTTGAGAAATGTTAAGCCGTTGGGCTGGATCGGCAGATGCGTGGCGATCGGGAAGCTCAATCACGCGAGTCGCGATGGCGCCGGCATTTGTGGGCGGGAATTGGCCGGTGCCGACGCTCCAACGCTTGGCATCCTCCTGTCCACCTCTCCATCACTATCCCCTCAGCGCGCCTGCTCGCGGCGCTCTTCCATGCTGTAGTCATACGCCCGCGCCTGCATACTGAGAGCGCCTCGCATGCCTCTCTGCAGCATCACCAGCAGCAGCAGCGCAACACGGCGACATGGACCCCTTCGCCAGCTATGCCGCCCTCGACAATCCAACCACCTTTTGGGCCGAGCTCGACGACATCCTAGACACGCCATTCCATCCGCCTCCACCACCACCATCACACGACACTAAAAGCAGCTACGATGCGGCGCTGCTCGACGCCAAACGCATCTACGTCGCCAGCGTGCTCGCCAAGTTTCTGCATCTGTGCGCAGCGTCGTTCAGCGACAACCTCGCCTCGGAGCACACCCAGGACTTTTGCATCAATCGCTTGTTTGCCTCCACCGCCTTTCGCGACGATGTTGTGCCTGAAACGGGCGCGATACCCATGCACCAGCTCGCTGCCGAAGAGGCGATCCGCATCATGCAGACCTCCACCTCGATCCCCGTGCTGCTCATGTCGTACGAAATCGTGCTGCTCTACGGCGACGCCTTCCCCGCCACGTACAAGTCCATCCAGGCCTCGGCATCCACCGTGTCGTTTGTCGGCGTGCGCGCCTTTCTCCACCGCCTCGTCCACCAGATCTGGGCGGGCAGCTACGCCGCACAGGCCGAAGCCAAGATCGGCATCTCGCAACACGCTGCGACGGGATGGAACGGCGCGCACTGGGACGAAGACTACCAGCCCGCACCTCCCGCAGCAGCTGCCTCTACTGCTCCTCCATCCGGCTCGGCATCCAAGGACATTGCCATCCAGATCAGCCTGCGTCAAAAGGCGGTGCGCATGCTGTACGAGGTGTGCCGCGTGCAGAAACTCGAGCCGGGCCATCTCAAGGCGTTTGACGAGCGCTTCATCCACCACCTCTTTGACCTCGTCGAAGAGACGCGCCACCACCACGACGAAGACTTCAACTACCGCCTCATCAAGCTGCTCGTCGCCATGAACGAGCAGTACATGGTCTCCACGCTCGCCTCGGCACCCGCGTCCGGTGCAGCACTCGCAGGCGGTGCGGATCAGATCAACTCGGCGCCACCCACCACCCGACCCGTCAATCTGGTGCTGAGCGTGCTGCAGCAGCGCCTGAACGCAAGCAAAACGTTCGGGGAGAATCTCATCTTTATGCTCAACCGGGCGAGCAGTTCGGATGCGGAGGATGTGTGCATGCAGCTGCTGGTGCTCAAGCTGCTCTACCTGCTCTTCACCACGCGAGAGACGGCGTGCTACTTTTACACCAACGACCTGCGCGTGCTCGTCGACATCTTCATCCGCGAGCTGCACGATCTGCCGGACGAGAGCGAGTCGCTGCGCCACACGTATCTGCGCGTGCTCCATCCGCTGCTCACCAACACGCAGCTGTGCACATACGCCTACAAGCGCCCGCAGATCCGACGCCTCCTCAACGGCCTGCTGGCACATGCGCATCTGCGCGATATTTCGACCACCACGCGCCGGCTCGTCGAGCGCTGTTTGCGCGCAGAGTGGTGCGTGGAGCTCGATCGGCTCGACGGCACGAGCGTCGCCATGGTCGAGCCGGTGGGTGGCGGAGATGTGCACGCCAAAAAGATGCACGCCGGCGTCACCTCCGAGGGCCTGCCCATGCTCGCCACCAAGATCGAGAACAACACGCAGGTGAGGGCGACGGCCGACTCGCTCGCGGTCACCACCGAGGACGAGGTGGCGAGCCCGGTGAGCATCACCACCACCTACTCGCCCGACGCTGCACCTGCCTCGGCCGATCGCCCACGCACATCGGGCTCGTTGAGTGTGCCGCCTCCGCTGCGCACGCGCGACAAACGCGTGGCCTCTCTCTCCAGCCCTCGACCGTGCGACGACGGTGCGGCACTACTTCGTACCAACTCGGCCGCTCCCGCAAGTAGTAGCAGTGGGAATGCGGGTCGTCGAGCGGTATCGGCCCAATCGGCACCATGCACACCTCCACGCACAGACTCACCCTCGTTGGGGGCGCGTCAAAACTCGCGGCTGTCCGAGCTGTCGACGGACGACGATGCGCTTTCGACCAGCAGTTCGTGGCACGCGCACATGACTGAGGAGACGCACACACACGAGGCCTCGGACTCGACCGCACCCAAACGGCGCAAACCTCCGCAGCCACCGAGCGCACGCCGACTGCAGCTGTCTAGCAGCGAGGTGTACAGCGCGCCGTCATCGCGTGCCGATTCGCCGTGTGCGGCCAGTCCTGCCTCTGAAGACGCTGGCGAGCCACTGGCACCCAAGGCAGGCGCAAGGAGAAGACCTCCGCCTCCCCCACCGACAGCAGCAGCAGCAGCAGCAGCAGCAGCGGTGGTGGTACCGACGGTGACAGCCGACGACGAGCTGGAAGCTGCACAGAGCTTCTATATCGCCGAGCGTCTACGACGTGGCTTGCGCATACGTTAGCCGCCCGATTTCACACTGCCATCCATCCCACCTGTGTGTGTGAGTGTTGAGCGGAGGGGAAGCGGACCGTGCGCTCAATTGATGCATGACAATGTGGAGGGAACCATGTGACAGGACAGATTGGTTTTTGTGATGTTGGGGGGGGGGGTGCGGAGGGACGTGCGGGGTTGGGATGGTGGAAGCGACGAAGTGCAAGCGGGGAGCCGAGAGCGGCCGTAGTAGTGTGGGCGTTTGGATGCGTGGTGGCCACCACCGCATGCGCTGCTGGGCGGCGATAAAAAACTAAAAGCAGCGAGGGGAGCAGCGGCTTGGCGCCAGTCTTTTCGCCATTTCACGCGCCAGTCGAATGTCCATTTTAACAAAAAGGTGCCACCAACCTAACCGCGGCTGTCAACGATTCACCTTTTGACAGGCGTCTGCCTCGCCTCGCCGCACGACCCCACAAAAATATATAACCTCCGCACCCTCCCCCACTTCTTGTCTTTCGCCTCGCACACACAGGGTCCACTCCCCATACTAGATCCTCACAATGTCGACAACCACCACAACAACCACTCGCACTCGAACGAAGTCCACGGGGATGGAGGACAAGGTGCCCAACCGAGGCCGCATGACCTCGTCGTGGCACCTCAAGCCTTCGTCGCAGTACGACTTTGCCGAGCGCATGCTCGTCGCACTGGGCATTGCACCCGAGACATCGTCCAACCCCCGTCCACCTCCGCCCGTCTATCCCAAATCCACACCCGTGCCCGTCTACCCCGTCTGGAAGATGCACCGCCTGGTCGCCCCGCAAGCCGCCGCACCCTTGCTGGTGCACCACTTTTTCACATATTTCACCGGCATCCAGGTGCCCGTCTACGTGGCGACTACGCTGTACCTCGCGTACTTTATCTGGTACGGCAACGGCGTGTTTCGATGGTGCAACGATATGGCCAACAAGTTTGGCACGTTCGACGGTGCTTCCGCTCGCGACGGTGTTCCGGACGCCGACACATGGGGCGTTGTCCTTGGCCTTCTGATGGTCGTCGTATCCCGCTCGCTCATCGCCGTACCCTACCTCTACGACCCCTCTACACCCTTGCTCGATCTCAAGACGGTGTTGATGATGCCGGTGAACATGTTTATGTTTTCCACCGCTGTGGATTTCTGGTTCTACTGGTACCACCGTCTCATGCACGAAGTAGACCTACCCTACCTCAACCTCTGGCAATACCACAAGAAGCACCATCTCACCAAGCACCCCATCGCCGCTTTGGGCGCATTCGCCGACCACGAGCAGGAGTTCTTCGACATGGTCGGCATCCCCATCCTCGCCTGGCTCACGTGGCGCATCAACTTTGCCACTTGGTGGTTCAGCACCTGCTACATCTTGTTCATCGAAGCCGCTGGCCACTCGGGTCTGCGTGGGTACTTCCAGAATCCCAGCACCTGGATCCTGCGCTACTTCGGCGCAGAGCTGTGTCTGGAGGACCACGACATCCACCATCGACAGGGATGGAAAAAGTCGGGCAACTACGGCAAACAGACCCGACTCTGGGACACCATCTTCGGCACAAAGAAGGATCGCATCGAGGGAACGCCGGACAACATCAACTGGGACGACCCCATGGACGAGCCCCAGCCTGTTCCCCAGGAGGAAAAGTAGTCCCACTTAGCATTGTGTATAGTAGCATTTGGAACTGTTTATAATTGGGTATCAACGTCGTTGAGAGCGTTGAGGGTCGAGTGCTTTGCGATGGCGATCGTCAACACGTCTTCCGAGGCAACAGTTACCTGGGACTGCATTGGATTGCTGCGTTGGCAAGTGGGGGACTTGGCTTGATAGGCGCGATATTTTGCTCCGGTGGGTCGCGACTTGAACATCGATGCCATCGTGCAGTCAAAAGGGCCGGCATGAAGAGAAGAGGAGGAACGATTTCGCAGGCCCAACCGTTTATCGCTGCGGGGTTGGGTCGGACGAGCTGCGACTTGCGCTGCTCCCGCACGTTTTGACTCAGGTTCCATCCAATGTCGATTCGAGTGACATTCTCGCCGAATGGTCCGCTGAAGGACGGCGTCAAAGTCAGGCCTCGGCCTGTGAGAAGGTGAACACGCCTCGGTGGACAGACTGGCGACGCAAGTGCAGCGGCGCTGTGAGAGCTCGAGCCGACACTCTGCGTGCAGCACAGAAGTGAGCGGGGTGATGACGCTGGAGCTGAATCGGTCAAGACTTACAACTGGAGCTCGATGCTCCGTCGAACTGAAGGCCTCGGTGCAAGTTGGCGTTGCGGTGCTGAGGCTTTGACTACGTGCGCTGTCAGGAGGGCGATGAGTTAGCGGCCCGCTCTCACACAGCACTGGAACTGCCGCTCAATTCATTCCACCGCGTTGGTGCGGCTTTGCCTGCATGTGATAGACGTTCGACCCCAAAGTGCGCGGTCGTATGTAGGCGTACCGCGCAAGCAAGTGCGGATCAAGCAACGTTTTTCCTCCGCCCGGAAGCGCATCGCGTCGCCAACCGAGTTCAAGCAAGCTTCGATCGGTTGCGCTCATGCTCTCGTTCCCGCACATCCCACTCACGCCCTTGTCGAAATGCGAAACGAAGCTCGATCGTTGTGCTTCTGCGACTGTGCTGTCTTTGCTTCTGTACCGAATGGCAGAAGAGTGGGAGAGCGGAGAGGTTGCACTTTGCCGCCCACGCGCGCACTGCGCGTCGCCACCACAAATGTCCGACCCAACACCTGCGCAGGTCGTTCGCGGCTTGCAGCATCCTGTAGGCTCGCCTGCGTCGCTGCTCAGTCCGAGGCCGAAGCTGAGTTACTTGCTGCAGCTTTGGTGGTGAGCGCTGCAGGGTGCAGCAATTGTCCGCGTGAAAGAGCGGGGCTGCATCGCCATGCGCGCCTTCCCCGGCGACTCGGTGTCGCACTGCTCGCCCGAGCCTGATGGCAGACGTTCTGCAGCTGTTGCGTCTTTGCCTCATCGCCGCTTCCGCTTTCCAGCCTTGGAGCTCGTGCGTGCGTTCGTTTCCCGCACTTGCTCGTGACTCGTGGTGTAGCTCGCTTGACTCGCCGCGGACTATGCTCGGCGACCCAAAGCTGCACTGCTCACCGTCGAGTCGCGCTCTTTGCCGTCTGCCATGCTCACCGCACAAGCCTCGCACTCGCACACCGAATCAACGCCCACTTTTGGATTGCTCTACACCTTGTTTCTTGTGTCTTCTTCTTTGTGGGGAGATTCGTCTACTTTGTCTCCGGCAGGGGATCGGGCACGGGAGCAAGGGCGGACACGTCCTCGACCTCCTTCTTCTTCCTCCTCCTAAGCTCCTCTCGATCCGAGTCGGCATCGGTGGTAAATCCACTCGCCATCCTCGCCGCGCCCTCCTCCTTCCTAGCCCTCCTGCGACCGCTCCTCTTGTCGAGCGCCTTGCCGAGCCCGTTCTGGAACGCGAGGATGGCGACAGCCGTGACGATATGTCCATAAAAGTACACCGCCTTCCAACCGGCGATACTGGCGCGCAGTTCGAGCAGCATAAACGGTGCCACGGCATAGTTGAGCGTCGCCTGCGAGACTGCCACGCTGAGGGTGCAGTACGCCAGCTGACCGGCACTGAACGTATGCACATTGCTGAACGTCGGATTGGGCACGTTGGGCTGTGCGAAAAACACCGGTCGCACATGGCGACGCAGCATCTTGGCTGCCGACTGCATGAATCCCGCCAGGATAAACGAGAGGTAGTAACCCGGCTCCAGCCCGTGCCAGAATGCCGAAGTAAAGAACGTGGTCATGGTAGATTTGAAGCCGGGCTTCTTGCCCGGGCGCGCGATGCGCTTGTACACGTTGTTGCGCAGCCACACATTGGTGTTCATATTCCAATGGTCCAAGAGCTCCTTCCAGTTGTTGGCCAACTCGATCTTGGGGATATCCACATTGCTGCACCTATTCCAGCGGGTCCTGCCGTTCTGCACGCCGTTGTATCCGAGGCCGGATAGGATGCATGCGCCGTCGGTGAGCGACCAGATGCCGTAGTACTTTGTACGTGCCATGAAGCCGGCCACCTGGATCCAGCCGAGCTTCTGCCACCACTTCAAGTGGCCCAATCCGCCATGCAGACCGATCAGCTTTTCGTACGAATAGGCCGGCGCAAAGATCGAGTAGATGCCCATGAAGCCGAGGCCGACCAGCAGCGTACGCACCGCCGCAGCCACGCGGCCACGCGGCATCGAGGTGTTTCCCTTGACACCGAAGAGCTCGCCCGTGCTCCATGCGCGGTAGTCCGAAAACCTGGTGGATGGACCCACAAGCACACCCGGGAAGTAGAAGGCATAACCCAAAAACTCGAGCAGGCCAGGCATCTTGGTGATCCTCGTCTTCTTCTGCGCATCGTCGCATTCCTCCTCGCTCCGCACCTGACCATCGAAGCAGTCCCACGCAAACGTGGTCAGATTCATCACCGCCACCATCTGCATGGCCGTGATTTCGATCGTCGACAACGGAATGCCCCCAAACTTGCGCACGGCATGGTTGTACGTCAGATGCGCCATCTGCATACCAAACACCAACCACCCCATATTCCTCCCGCCGACCCTAAACCAGCAGATTGCATAGGTGACTAGCGCCGAGGCGAGGAGCTGGAGGAAGCCCGAGTAGAGGTGGAGGATGGGCACGAGAAAGGTGAAGGCGACCGCGATGCTGTACACGTGCTTGAGCGCGGGGGAGGGCAGATGGACAAAGGCGGACGCGAGCGGGAATGCGGAGAGAAGACAGCAGAACAGCTTGATGTAGTCGACGGGCGCACCCGCCACGCCCGCCACTCGCTCAAAGTATGCATCCAGCATCCTAGACTCGTAGAAGATGGTGGTAGGGGTAGTCGTACAAGCAAACGCGCCCCCCAAAAACGCGGGGTCGGTCGCTTTTTCCCCTCCAGCGTGAAAAAAGAAAAGGCGCCGCCGTCGATCAGAAAAAGGTGTGGAGGCGGGTGGCCCTTGCACGACTTCTGTGCGTCATCGTCCTTTCACCTCGCCTGCCCGCATGCACCCGCTCACCGCGCTCCCACTGCACACGCTGCGCTCGAAACCAGGATAAGATTGCAGGCCGGGGCTAAATGACAAACAGCAGGTCCATGTCGATGGGATGCGACGACGACAGCTGCGGTTTCTGCGAGTACTTGGACGCGAGCACGTCGCGCACCGCATTGAGCATCTGCTTGTACGTCAGCTGCGGATACTGGTTCATCACAGTCAAAAACGCAAACGAGCACGCGCCCGTTGCCTTTCCCGCCTCGGTGGCATCGGCACTCGTCTGCGAGTCCTTGCATCCACTCAGCATCACCACATCGGCACCGCTCGAACGCGTCTGCTTGGTCATCTCGTCGGCGCCATTGGTATTCTTGGCCGTCGTAAACGTCGAAAACAGCCCCTTGGCCATGCCCATCACGTCGCCACGCGCATAGTTCATCGCCGCACCCATGAGGCCCTTGCCGACACCCGCCATGACGTTGGTCTCCTTGATGTTGCCCGAGGTGGTGTAGACGTACGGCAGATCCAACGCGGTACCCGAGTGGCACGAGTCAAAGATGGCGGTCAACCTACATCCGACGGGAAGCGGACGCACCATGATAGCGTGCAGCTCGTCGTCTTCCATCTGACCCGTCTGCTGGTAGTCGACGGGGATGATGGTCTCGTTGTACCCATCCGCCTCGTCGCCCTGCGTCGCCTTGGCCTGACCACCGTGCCCGCTGTAGTGGAAGAAGAGCGCGTCTCCGGGCTGCGCACCGCGCACGAGCCAGTGCATGGCGGCGGTCATGTTCTGTCGTGTGGGGATGCTGCGCGCATCGCGCTGGTCGTCGGTGAGCACCACCATGTCGTCGTCCTTGTAGCCGCGCTGGCGCAGGAACTGCTTGACGTTGTTGACGTCGTTGATGCAGCCGCGCAGCTCGCCGTTCTGGCCAAAGTAGTTGATGCCGATGAGCAGCGCCTTGCGCTTGCCCTGCATCGACGAGTACTCGTAGCGCACGTTGCCCATCATGCCGCCCTGCGGGCGATAGTTGACGTGGTTCGTCGCGTATTCCGAGGGCCCGACGGGGCCGGAGGGAGGAGCGTAGCCGTAGCCCATCTGGCCCTGGACGCCGCCCTGAGGAGGCTGCATGGGCGGCGCATAGCCTCCGCCCGACGGGTAGCCCATGGGAGGCGGGCCCTGTGGTGCGCCGTAGCCGTATCCTCCGCCGGGTGGTCCGTATCCTCCGCCGGGAGGACCGTAGCCTCCACCGCCGCCGCCGCCGCCKTGGCTCTGCTGATAGTGGTGTCCGCCCTGACCTGGATAAGCCATTGTTTTTGCTGGATGTGGATGCGAGTAGTGCCGTAGATGGGGTGGTGAAGATGATGGAGGTGGATGGAATCGACATGGCGGGCGCAGTGGCCCAGTTAAGCGCGCGGACCGTGCGTTTGTGGAAATGGCCGGCTGTGCTCAGCGCTCGCTTCTGAAAGCCTTTTCTCGTGCGACAATTATCGGCACGTGACCGTTGCAGCTTCTTCTCAATTTGCTCAATTCCACCCTCTCGACTCCACTCCTCCACCACCACGATTCCTCATCTTCGACAAGGGGCATCACGATGAAGGTGGCACCGTCGTCGAGCGGGGTGTCTGCGCTCAAGGCGCTGCAGTGCAAGGTATTCGGAACGACGTACAATCCCACACAGGCACGCACAGGAGCCAAGGTGCTGCGTCAACGACTCCAAGGTCCCTCGATGCTGGCGTACTATCCACCCACGGTGAACCTGCGCGCGATCGAAAAGCTGGCCCCCGGACTGGGCAGGCTGCAGGACGTGCGCGAGATCCAGCGCGAGAAGGACGTGGAGCGCAAAAAGATGCTCGGCAAGGGTCCTCCAAAGAAGGGTAAGTCCGCACCACACAACGATGGCATCGCTGAGAATCGTACTGACTTGGCAATCTCTGCGTGTGTTCGGCGGGTGGATAGGCGAGGGACGACGTGCGGCCATGAAGGGCAAGCGCAAGTAGACACGTTCGCATTCACAACCACCCAACTGTACTTTTACGCATCCCACACCCACCAACATCGATGCACCATTTCACCACAGCTGCCCAGACACGCCGCGATACAAGAGTCCAAGTGCAAACTGGATCGGCACGATTCAAATCTGCTGCATCGGGCTTGGTTGGGATGAGGGTTGAGGGTATTCTATTTCCAGCCCGTCTATGTTCGAGTGGCGCAGGGTGGTGGCCTCCGCAGTGGCGTGCATCTCGAGATCGCCACCCAAGGTGCCACAGTCGGAAAGATCGTCGGTAGTGTGGGGGTTGGTGGTGTCAGTGTACGCAAGGATGTGGAATGTTCTCAGGGACGGCGAAAGAAAATAATGCGCCGGCCATGCCGGTCTCGAGAATTTGTCTCGGGAAGTGAAGCGACTCGCAAAGATAGCGTGGGCAAAGCCGGCATGGCGGCATGTCTTTGCGCCGCGCATCCAAACACAAACAAGCAAAGCGTGTCTGGGTTCGTGTTGAAGACTCGTTGGCCAATGTTGGTGCTGGCGTGGACGGATGGATGGCAGTAAGGAAGGGGGAGATCGGGCCGCGATCGCGCTCCGATCCGAGTCCGATCCGACTCCCTGGCAGCGTGCAAGCTTGAGCTCGAGCTCAAAAACCAAGTTCCACCGGACGCGCTCCTGCATGTGCGGGATGACGACAAAGGCTTGGATTTTCGACCGGCATCGAGCTGGAAAATTCTTGTCACTCGCCAGCCGGAGATCCTCCGTGTTCGGGACGGCCTTGATTGGTTGACCACACTCAGAAGCTGCAATCCGATGCAAGCGTGGAGTGCAGGGGTTGCATTCCATTCTAGCCGCCAGTCCATGTGCCACTGCATCTCGCAGCCTGCAAGCTATGATTGGTGGGGGCATGGCCGACTTTGAGCCGAATGTGCCTCCACGGCCCGACTTCCTGAGCGACTCTGCTGGCGTGTGACCGATCACTCTTGTCGCAACGCAGCAACTCAAGAGTGTGGGAAGGGTTTGTGGTACGGCCACTCGCTTGCGGCGACGGCAGGCCGCTTTACCGGTACAACAATCGACTTGCCGAGTATTTCTGGCTTTGCGGGCATTGGGACCAGGCGGTGTTCCAAGCAAGTGCCAAAGCGGCGACCAGGGTTCGCCTCCCGTCGCGCCCGACGCTGCGCAGACACACTCTAAATTCGGCCACGCCGGCATTTGCAACTGCGCGTCGCGGCGAGTCGCCACGCCATTCATTGCCTTTTCCTGCATTCATGCGGCACAAAGCCCGTCTGGTCTTCGCTGGCGACGAGAGCGATGGCGTGTCGGAGCATCACCGCCCGCTTTCTCCATCTGGCTGCTGACGGATGCAAACGTGTCGACGGGAAGGCGGCTGCCAGAGTCGCTTTCCGGAACACGTCCGGGCGAAAGGATTTTTTGGGGCAGGGAACGAGGCGGAGGCTAGACGGAGCTTCCGAGTTTGCTTGGTGAGCCGTCTCGGGAGCGGGCGAAAGAACCCTAGCACGACCCTGATTGACCCTGGGGTTTTGTGAGATTGCGACGCCGGCCAAGCTGTGGCATCGGACGGGCAGAGAGCGGTGCGGGATGGGGCTCGCCGGATGGCATGGCGGTGGGCAAGCGAGTCACGCGCCACCGCAATCTCGCGAGGGGAGAATGGGAGCGCTGATGCAATCTGTCGTGCGGCCAAAAGCTTGAGCGCGAAAAATCGGAAAAAAAAGCAGCGACGACCCGCCAAGGCTCAACTCGGATTCCCCATGCGAGCGGGCCCCGAGGTCGCGGGCGTCGGTTGGATGCATGTCGTCATTGCGCGCGCATGCATGCCATCGCTGCCAGATCCCAGCATTTGGCTTTTTTAGGCTCATGCAGAGGGGCACACTGCAGCCGCGCCCCCTCTGCACATCCTCAGCTGCTAAGAGAGGCGCATTCAAGGTCAAAGCGCCAATCAATGCACGCTGCGTACTCGCTGTCTCTCCCCCACCAATGCTCATGCTGACATTGCGATTCGGATGGTCATCTTGAGGGGAGCGAACGCGCATGTCGGTCAATCGTGTATAGGCCCATTCGAGCGGGGAGAGTCGTTGCGTAACTCCGACAGCTCAAGGAAGGCCCCTTCTATCGCTGACCTCAGCCGACTGCGCGTTGGACCGCTTCTGGAAACGAAAAGGCTGCAACACTCACTCAGGGTGGCCGGCTCCCTTCGTAGAGCATTTTCGAATTTGACGACGAGCGCGACGCCCTCGCCTCTCAAACGGACACAACCCGAGTCGGAGGCTCGTCTCATGCGCGCTCTTTCCTGCGCTTGAATCGGATTTTTGGCTCAAGCTTGGCTCGCTGCGCAAATCACAAATCACACTCCCACGATGGCGTTGCCCAGTCATCCGTTCGGCACACCCGTCGGAGCACTCCCGACGAGCGTGTGTGTGAGAGAGGGAGAGAGAGCCAGCAAAAAGAAAGAGAGAGAGAGAGAGAGCGGGCGGACGGCGTGACCAGAGAGAAAGGGCCGCCGCTGGGCCGAAGAACCAACAAACTCGACGCGGCTTTGGCCACGCCCTCGCGCACTTGACCGCCACTGCGTCAGTGTCGCTCGCCTCGCCAACGCCTCTCGGCTTCTGCCGCGCTGCACGCTCGACTGCACTCTCGCCATGGCCTCACTTCGGCTGCCCAACTGCCGTCTCTGCTTTGGCCTGTCGGCAGGGCCGGTGATGCGCTCCTGCCCCTCCACCCGTCTGCCTGTCTGCCCGTCTGCCAGTCTGCCCGTCTGCCCGTCTGCCAGCCGCTGCCCAGCCAATCCACGCCACTCGTCCTGGCCAGTCCAGCGCCCTCCCCTCGTCATTGGCCTCGTCGCCCTCGTCGCCCTCGTCGCCCTCGCCTCCCACCATCTCTCCATCCCCCCCATCGCCATCCGGCTTGGTCCACACGACACCCAGCATCAACACAGCATACATCGCATCCGCACACCAACACCATCAACTCACCAGCTGTTCCAAATCACATCCACCCTGCATCGTCTCGCCAACACCCATCCCGCCTACATCGCTCCATCGCTCCATCGCCACATCGTTCGTCGAGCTCACCTCATACAGCAGCCTAAGCTACAGCGCTCTCTGAACGTGCATTGTCTCTCCGCATCCACTTCATCTGCCTCTTCCACCACCCGGCGTCACCCTGCCAGTCAGTGCGCGTCGATCCTTCATCATCGACCTCCGCCTTAAACCCACAAGCCACATCCGACTCCGGGGTTCCGTCTCTCTCTGCATCCCCGTACTTACACGACCGCCTCGCTGCTATTGTCTCAACCGTGCTACCTTGGCGTGGTGACCAAATCTCGCATTTCCGCTCGGCTGGTTGCGTAGCTAACATACTCACGCCAGCGACAACCAACATCCCTCTACCGCTCCCACCTCCTCTGCATCCTCCTTTCGAAATGTCGCATGGCTCCTTCGCCTGACCTCCTCAGTGCAACCTCGCGTCACTCCACCGCCACCACTTGCTGCGCCAGTCTCAGCTGCTTTCCTCGGCGTCTTGGCAACCACCCACTTTGATCCGTACAGCATGCCCACGAGCACTTCCAGCAGCCAGGACTCGCACCCTTCCATCCCTGACTCGCTTCCTTCGCTCGACGGCCACGACTCGGTCGCTTCCTCTGCCTCCTCCCACTCCTTCCACTGGCACAACCCTCCAGATCATCGCTCCACCGCGCTTGCTGCGGAGCCATCGCACTCTAAAAGAATGGATTCCTCCGTCTCCATACCCAACACGCCCGGCCCGCAGCGATCCACAACCATCAAGGCATCCAACAAGCCTGCATCCTCGGCCTCGACTCGCACAGCAGCCTTTGCCTCCACCATGGCCCCGCTTCACACCATGCTCGATCCCAACACCTCGGCCGCTTCCGATCGCGTCATCGCTTCCTCGGCATCGCCGCCCGTCCTCCACTCGCTTGTCTTTGCCGATCGCAAGCCCGAGTCATCCTCCTCCGCCAAGTCGCTGGCGCCGTCGGGCGTCGCTCGCGATACGTACCTCGCGCTTGACGAGGCGGCGCCACGCCTCTCCATGTCTTCCACCGGCAGCGGCTCCACGTGCGAGCTCGCCACTCCGGAAAATCTCCACCAGTCTTGGCCATACGATGACATGGAAGGATCCGCACTCGCAGCGTTGCGTGCGTCCGCATCACTGGACCCATCGCAGACCGCAAAGACCGTGACCGAGCAGCTTCGAGCCATCGATCTACATGCCACCAGCCCTATCGACGAGACGCCGCCAGCCACCGGTCAATCCAACGTGTCGGGTCTGGCTCCTCAGCGTCCTGCAAGGCTCCAACGTCTCTCGTCGGTAGCCACCAACGCAACCGCCACCAACTCGACGCATTCCGACGAGTCGCCGCAGACTGCCACCCAGTCACCACGCAACGCTGACGCGCACGACCTCACCTCCTTCCACGCGCCCTCAGCAGCCTACACTTCGGCCTACGGCCTCGACAGGACGAACCGCGCTGCCTCGTCGTCGTCGTCGTCGCCCAGCTTGGACATCGACATCCTCAATCGTGCCAGCATGACGAGCCCCGACTCGTGGCGCTCGCTCCTGCCCGAGCACGACCCCTACTTTGCCTCCGAGGGCCAGCTGCGTGCCTCGCAACCCCAACGATCCGCATCGCCACAGAGTCTGCGCCCCTTCTCGGCCACCGCAGACCCAGATCCGTACGTGATGGCCAAGACGTCGCCGCGCGCTCCCGTGTACGATCGCATGTCCAATTCATCGCTCGACACCACGCGCACCTCGTTTAGCAGCGCCATCAGCGGCTACTCGACCATGTCGATGTCCGGTGCGAGCAAGCCTTCGCTACAGTCGCAAGACTCGGCTCGATCCGACAGCTGGCGCAGCCTGCTCCCGGACGATGATCGCTACCACACCTCGCGCGACGCAGCCGGAGCACATTGCGGCGGCTTGGACGCATCGCCCAACCTCGCATCGCCTTCGCTCTCGGATCATCTCGAT